CTTGCGGCAGTAGAACTGCACAATTCTGAAGAGCTGTCCCTTGGATTTCGTATTCTGTGATACACCCTCTCGCCATTCAGCAGCATTCCAATTTGTGTCAGCAAATTTTTTTAGCAAATAAAATTTTTCAGATTTTTGCAAACTTTTGCAAAATTTTCAGCAAATTTAAATTGCCCTTCAAGATATTCTAAGGGAATAGAGTTTTTTGGTAATTAAATTATATCAAGGGTAAAATGTACAGGCCTTTTGGTGGTTGGCTATAAAGAAAAACTTTACATCTGACATGGCTAGACTCAAATTCCTGGCCAATTTTTTTTTTAGTTTGGCAATTGCTTCTCCGTTTCGACACAATTCTATGATTTAGGCAACGTCTTTATGGACATGGCTTGAAAATCTGCGCTTTAACCTTAATGAAACAAGTTCTACGTCTACACGGAAACGTACATTTCAAAAAAATTCTTGCGCTTTTAAATATACCATTATTTAAAGCATTTTAAAAGAAATGGTTGAATTTCATGCAAAACTTTCTCATGCAGATGAGGCTTCGATATTGCCCCATCACTTCCAATTGGGTATTTACAAAAGAACTGCACCAGGTGGGTGCTACTTAAACCATAAAATGTCCATTTACAAAAACAGCGTTGATGCTATCATCAGGACATTCCGAAAACTTTTGGCCGATATAATTCCTACGTACTGTTATAGGTTACCCCCCTCGCAGTTCGACCACTGGGAATATCCACATTCCGAGGCAATAGCTGGATTGGAAATTGGGATGAAATGGAACAAGGCATATATCAATACTTAACATTACATTTCTTAATATCAACTCTACTAGGTAAGCAGTTTATGAAAATCTAATGCATAACTGCAAGCAATCATTTGAGGCAATGAAGTTCTCTAACCTCTTCGTTGTCAATGATTTCGACGTAATTAGCAGGAAAGAGTCCATAAGCTCCGCTTGGAGCCGTTCCCCTCCACCAACCTTCGTCAACTTTCTCAATCCCTTCGATGATATCGCCAGGATCAAAACTTATTTCATCCTGACCCTCTGTTAATGAAAGAAAAAAATCTCTTACAACGTCACATTGTATTGAGGTCTCCCTTGCCTTGAGACTACGTACACAAGGCTTTGACAATAGAAAAACAATTCTTGAATATAGTTAACTGTTCATTGTTTGAAGTTTTTGTTATCATTGTTCTCGGCACTGTAATAATGAAGAAAAGTGGACACTCTCTGGAATCTGCAGTAAAGTATGAGCGACTATTCGTTAAAATTTGCGTACAACCTGAAAGGATGTCGAGGAAAAAAAGACAAAACAGTAGATTGTGTTTAAATCTTGGAGACTTCTTGAATTAGTAAGGTTTGTTGCTTTCCGTTTGTTTCTAGCGAATTAGATTTGATACCTACACTCTTATTTTATAAGAACCAGTAAATTTAAATTCAGGGTGACTGTTCTAAATTTTTTCGAAAATTTGAGGCTGGATTGTTTTTTATTTGTTCTTAAATTAAGAGAGTGTAAGCAGTGCAAGTGCTAGCTTTTTCGCTCTAGGGAGGTGTTCAAGCCTCATTTGCCAACAAAGTGAGTGAGACAACCTTCATTTGTCACCAAGTTTGAATATTCACCGAAAATGCACCCACACATCGCTAAAAATCCTCGATTTTGAGAAAAAACGTTGTTCAAAATTGCATTTTGCAGAAGCTCAGCCTCAGCTTGTATTTAATTTGTTCTTAACTTTTGAGGCTCGTGTTCTTATAAAATTGTTCTTATAAAAAAAGAATGTAGTTTATCAAAAATCATCCAACGGCATCTTTATTAGCTCTGTTCCTCAGAATTGTACTAAGAAATGATTTGGCATGGAAATTCGTGATGGGCGAGTGGAAAGGAAGAATGGTTCAAAGAAAAAGCAAAATTTAATTGTAAAGTAATGTATGTACACACCTGCTCTATAGTCAAACAAGGCTCGTGCAGTGCAGACATTCTGAGTTCCTGAAGTGATCTAAAAACGGCAAAGTAATGCGATTACTATCCTGAATAAATGAAGAAAAATCCTCGTTTATTACGGTCAGCCGTATGTCGATCTTAGAATATTTAATAACAGATAACTGTACTATTATAAGTTACCCGTATGTAAGAAACCAAAACCAAATCATGAAGCGCTGGCAAATGTACTTAACTACTTTACTATAATACTTTATAGAAAGTTCTTAACTCCCCCGTTTATACCAACGAACTTTAACTGAAGGTTCTAAACTGTAATTTTCACACTAGACATACCAAAGTTCGCAACAAGCACAGTGTACAAATCGACTAAGCACCGACGACTACATCAAATTAAAGGATACTGAATATATAGAAATGTTCTTTTGTCATTTTAAATGATTCAAACATTAACTCTCTATCCGCACTTCATGTTTTTTAGGGCTATGCTTGCAGCACTGGTACGTACATACGGCCTCTGTTTAATGCTGAAAGTTGCCAATGGTTTATGCTATTCGTATTTAAGGCAGCTATCGGAGTCTTCCCAGAAGGCGTTTGATTCTTGTTAGGTGCCATCCGTAAAGTACGCATGCGCATATGGCGAAGGGGTTTGCCAAAGCAGAGGTTCGTTCAGGGGGAGGGAATATTTTAACAAAGGAAGTCTTTGAATTAAAATTAAATATCCCACTCATCCAACCAATAGGAACTGCAACTTCCTTAATCACGTTTTGGGGCTACATTCCTTTATAATAGCAGTCCGTTTTCCGTTGGTGCATCAACACAGGTCGCTCCACCTAACCCATATAAAACCAAACAAGGATGAAAAATGTTTTGATGCCGTTTTCTTGGAGTACAACCAACCATAACCAATGTAAGCAGATCCAATCAGGGCAATAATGGGCTAAACGTTTCGTCGCTTATCTCTGGTTAACGACCGAATTTTAAAAATGGGGACGACAAAGTTTTATATATACTCCTTTGCTATGCATAATTGTATGAAGAACTTCAATAATGACAATTTTCGCGTTCAGCGTTAACTTTTTGTGGCGCCGGTTTTTCCCCACAGCTTTGGATAGGAGGTGCGAGCGTTACTGTTGCGGCTGATTCGATGCGATTTCTATTGTCTTTGACGCTATACCATTGGCTGGTTGAAATTGTAAACAAACAGTCTGATTGGCTCAAAACATTTTTCATCCTTGTTAATAAAACCCAAACCTTATATATAACTTGATTAGCTCAAGTTACAAAGCAACTTTAAGTTCTGGGCAGGGATTTGACAAGAAACGTGCACATTCCCCTCCACTAAGGGGCCGACACACCAAAAACATAAAGAACAGTGAAAATCATAAAAAAATGTAAATAATCCATAAACCCCAAGAGATCAATGAAATTAACATGGATTCGAAGCAGTGCTTCCACTATTCAAATTTAAATTTCCTTAAAGCGAGGCTGAAATTTTTCAAAATTTCTTAGAATTCCTTAAACCGGAATTCTATTTTCTGTGAATATTTCCTTGTTAGTTCTAATCCAAAAATCGGTCATACCATGACTAACAGTTAGTATGCATCTACAAATTTTGAACGATTAATGAATAATTCATTCATTTTATGCTTTAAATGGCCATTTGAATGCTAAGGTGTTGAAACAGTCAAATAATCATCATAAATTATAAAACTTGAAGAGGGGATCCTCTAGCCACGTATTCCGAAATTTCTGCTAGTATCTTTTTCTCTATTCTGTTGCTAAAGCTGCAGTTTTACCGTCAAAAAAATTTCGCTTCATCGTGACGATAGATCAATTCGAAATGAAGGTTAAGTCCAACTGTTTTAGCACAAAGAAACGATCTGATTTATTCAAAAATACGGAAGAAGTTATTCAAAAACACCAGTTTCCTTCAGAATCGGTGATGGGTCATCATCACCTAAAAGAGCTATAAGAAAATCAACAACCGACAACCTTTTGGGTCGTCATTAAGACAATTCTACCGCAACTTTTTCGTTGCTAACGCATAAGACGCTATATCCTCGTTGTTAAATTACACATCTAAAAAAGCAAGCATTGAAATAATTCTGAACTTTTGGAAAAAAAGTTAATACTGCTTAATACTGCTAAATTGCTTGAATCTTGCAATTCCTTAAAAAATTCCTTAGATCTTGTAATTCCTTAAACAAATCCTTGATCTAAGGAAAATTCCTTAAAAGTGGAAACACTGATTCGAAAAAACACACCATGTTTTATATATAAAGGGGATTGGGAAGGGGGAGAGACAGGAGAAGAGAACAGCGCAGACGTAGTATTCCAATCAGGGACGATAAGCCCTACCCAAAGCAGATAAATACACTCATCCGAGTCAAGTGACAAACTTTCATTCAAAAACACAAACTTCAAAACCCTTACTTCTCTTTTATTCCCAAAGTCACAAAAGCAGAACTTTAAGGCTTAATGCAGGAATGAAAGCATGAGCCTTACCACCCAGATTTGAATAACACAAACAAAATAAAAACCCACCGTAAAAATATATTCTACAACATCCCTTGTAAAATTAACTCTAATGAAACTATATTTAATCACTATGGACGGAGAAAACAAAGCTCTCATTCGCGTTGATTAAAAACATATCTCCCTTGATCCATTTGATCTTTTTCAATTTCCGTTCTTTTTAAAGGGAGCCTATTGTGTTTAGAGATTTTTGCTATTTTCGCGTCAGTAACAAGAGCAGTTGAACACACAAATTCACAATTTACTTCTTGCTAATTGCAAAGAAAACAAACGAAATTGAAAGGGATTCGGCGACAGGTGTCGGTGCTTCTTTACTTCAAGTCCCCATCTATTGAAGTAAACTTTCAAGACTGTAAAAAGTGACAAACTACCAAATTTTTTCGAATCCCGTTTAATAAAATTTTTCCTACCATTTTAACCCTTGTAATACTTGAATTGAAAATAAAATTTTTAAAAAAACACAGTGAAAGCTATAAAGAACGTTGGGATTCTTTTTGTTGGGCGGCGTGAAAAAGCCGAAGGGAGAGGGGGGTGGTGGGGCGGCGTAAAAAAGTACGGGTCCGTATTGGTGGGGGATTAGGACTGCATACGTACTTTATGGATGGTCGCTTACTTTTGCAACAACGCCCTGTCTTTTTTGGAAATTTCCTCTCAAAGTCTTGAACCTCATCTGGAAATCAAACAGCAGTCAGTACGAGGAAGCGCCGCTTACAGTGAAGACTCTTAAGCCTGACTTACACGAGACGAATTTTTCGCGTTAGTGCATCTGCTTAAAACTGTTGCTGTTTAGCAGACCAATAAGCACCAACAATTCAGCAATTTGAAAAAATCTTGCCTATTTTTTTTTATTTCTGCCATATTAGTAGAACGATGAAACTTTCAAGCCAGTTTTCGTAAATTTGAAATTCAAATTTTTAAATAATAATCTGATATAAATCAACTTACATGGATTGTGTACAAGGAACAGGAAATGAATAATTACCAACCTATTTTATTGATATTTTAAAGGCGAGAGTGTTTGAGAAAAAGAATGCGGAAAAACGCAGGCCATCTGAAACCAAAACAGAAGTCAGGTGTCTTCCAATGCTGTTCTGATTGGTTTATTTTACAAGGCGAAAAAGTTCGCAGCAAAAAAGTAGGAATGGTTTCTACTTTTTCGCTGCGAATTTTCTAATCTCTACTTCTGCGCATATTTTTCGCGCATTCGCGGCGAAAAATTCGCTTCGCACGAAAAAATTCGTCTCGTGTAAATCAGGCTTATGTCTCTTGGTCTTCGTGGTTATTTTGAGGTCAGATGCACAGACAATTCCCAGAAAGCCAAGACGTGTATATATAAAAATTTGTGTCACGATCGGGCGGGACTTGAACTCAAACAACGCTCTTAAGACTACAACATATTGTAGGAGCATTGTAACGCTACCTCGGGCTCTTTTTCGGTTTCAGCTGCCTGACTTTGGTGGTCAACCTCCTGCAACAATAACAAAAAACAACTCACAACAATAACAAAAAACAACAGCATGAAAAACAACTGCTTAAAATTTACGGTCAAGGCTACCTTGTGAAGACTGGTTATAGCCATCTTATCATACCCACCATATCATTCTTAATAGATAATTTTATCCCTGCCAAGGAAACTAGAGTTACTGCTAGCTTGATAATTTTGAAGTTGCTTCTACAATTTTGGGAAGAATTTTTGGAACAACCTACTTGTCCTTTATTCGGAGATCACTTGGAGGTGTCTCTTCCTGGGAGGAATCTGCTACTTTGAGAGGTTTTTTACTGTGAGGTGTCTGTTGCGAGAGGGTGTATGTGAATGGGAAGTTTCCGTTAAAGGGAAATGTATATTTCCTTACTTGAAAAAATACTTTAACAATGGACTGAATGAACAAAAAATGGGAATTTTTATCAGATTACCTCACTTTGCTGTTCGACTTCAGCTTCAGTTGAAAAGGTTTGCTGGTCAGGCTCCGGCTATAAAAGGTTGATTTAATGCTTTAATGATACATTTCAAAACACGAAGACAGGCCGAAATTTCAACAAATTTTTTGTGTCTCTAATCGCTACGTCAATCGAAAGCTAACATCAAAAGAGACCTTAAAAAAGCTTCGCACTCTAGAGTTTTTCTCACTGCTATATTACAAGGTCTGACAAAATGCTGTTCTTACATGCTGTTCTGTATCGGCAGCATACAAGTTCAGAGCCGAAGATTCGAAACCTAATTAATTTACTCTTATCAAAAATCCTTCTCATTTCGTACATTCACCTATTTTGGCCCCAGTTTCTTTTCTCGCAAAACTTGAGATAACCCAAAATTGAAATACGATCCTGTTCAAATTTTGAGACCTTTATTAAAAATCAACCTCAATCTGTAAGTTTACTTAAATCGATGTTGTAATGGAAAGATTAACACTGGCTACATCCATGCAACTCTATAAAAACCTTATGCAACGTTGACTTTTGGTGGGAGGTGTAGCAGGTAATTAGCAAGAGCTGTTATTAAAAATAAACTGTGCTTTCTTTTATCAACAAAAACATTGAACAAAATAACAGCAGTGCAAAATTTTCTTCGTCGTTCTTAAAAGCACATCAAGAAAAGGTGAAACTTTTATAACTTTACAGCCATGTGCTCGCAGTTTTGAATGGTCTATTTCCATCAACAGCTGCGGTTCTCGATCAATGTTCTGACGTTTTATACTCTGAAGAGTGGCAGATTATAGCTGAAGAATGTCATAAAATGCTTCTCTTTTCAAAGTCAATTTTAAAGATAATTCTCTTGATCTCGAGATAAACTGAGTACTAAACAACAGTCCGTAAATCAAAGGAAATTCGTCACCGATCGACACCAGAAATACTTGGTAGCTGATTTTGAATAGATTATAAATCTTCTTGACTCATAGGAGGACAATTCAAATATACAGTCATTTAGGGATGTCCTTCAGTTGGATTTTGAAATTTGTTTTTGAACACTCTGCTACTTTGCAAGATGTTAACTACGCAGTTTCCTATTTTCATTTATTCAGAACGTCTATTTTCGAATTTGCTATAAAAACTTGGCACATTCGTTCCATTGCTTCAAATCGAGAGTGAGAGTTCACGAGGACTTCTAGCGTCGACGGTTCCGTTTTGTAGCGTTCCGCGTCTGTTTTAGCGTTTTAGCTTCGTATCATATAACATGTTAAATAGGTTCTACAAACAAACCTTGAACAAGTTAGTATTTCAGGTATGCTTTTCACAAAATAAGTCTTGAAGCAGACGTTTGATTTGAGTTTATAGCCATATAAAAACAAGTTTAGAATGAAATAAAATGCTCCAGAGATAAACATGCTATTTCTTCCTTACTTCAGAGATAAAGCTCCTTTTCAAATACATTAGCCAAGGCCAGGACACACGGAGACCTCAAACGGATTAAGTGACAAACAACCTGGACATTTCTTGCCGAAAAAAGTCAAGGTAAATATTCAGTTAAAAGCTGTTTGGTTGACTAGCGAGGCGATGTACTTGCTCACACCCTCTGCAGAGCTGTATCATCTTTTTCATCTTTATATTGTCGTGTCGCTTTTCCTTTTATATTTTCAACAATTAACTACTTGCCAGCACTTTCGTTTTTTTTAAATAACGAAAGGAAACCGTCCAATCCATAGTGAATCTTTTCTATGGTTTAAAACGGTGTGCAGTAGCTTAATGATTTTGAAGCGCCTTTAACGAAAATAATTCTCTGTAGTTTTGCTAATGACTTTTATTTTTCATTACTTCTGTGCGGCGACTTCAGCCATGAAAAAAATTACGCGTTGCAGGTGCTAGGGTCTGTATTTCAGGATCTAAGCGCAATATTTCGCCGTACAAACGGATAAAACGTGAATATATCTTGTTAAAGCAGCCAAGAGCTGCTAGAAAAATTAACTTTTAAATGTATTCATACAACTGCTAAGGAAAGGAAGGGCGCAATGGCACTTTCCCTCTCTTCCCACATGGTATGAAAATATTGGGAACATCATAGTCCAGTCAACTATACTTTCTGGCGTTCGGAAGGGATACATAAGAACAGAGAATATACTCAAATGGTTTTGTGCTAAAAATAACTCATTTGCAAATTTGGAAAGAGACACGTGCCCCCGTAACGGCTTTGCCCCTCCCCATTTCATTTGCACATTGTTAGATTGCGCAGCAATTCCTCGTCTTAAACGCTATTTTAAGAGTTCCTTTCAACGGCCATACTAAAGGCTTCTTTGATAGACTTCTTTCTTGCAGCTGGCGTACTTCCCATTATGAATGAACTTTCTCTTTCAATATTTAACTCTTTCCTTCAGTTTAATAGCCACTCATCACACAATACCCTCTTTGCGCTTCACAACCGAATCAACATTGCTCTTAATGTTATTTTAAATGTGTATTTATAAACCTCCAAAATCTTTTCCTTCTACTCAGCGCAATCTTAGTATAGTCTAGTTTTAAAGGACAATATGACAAATCGCCTGATTCTGAATTACGATATGCTTAACGCAAAGGAACGCAAAAGACATCTCTAAAAAGTATACAAGAAAACTATTCAGGTTATGTGAAGAGTTCATTCATTCATTGCCATACGAAAATTTTGGAAAAGGCAAATTATAAATTAACATACCAAATCCTGGGCTACAGCTGGAACATGTGGTAATTCCTTTTGCTCTTCTATAACAACAGGGGCTTGCTCCTGCACAGGGCTAGGTGGTAATTCCTTTTGCTCTTCTATAACAACAGGGGCTTGCTCCTGCACAGGGCTAGGTTCATCATGCGTAGTATCTACAGTAGAGACGTATTGCTGCTGTACAGCCTCCTGTGGTTCATTGATGACCTTAGGAACTTTTTTCTTTGGCTGTGTCGGAGGAGGAACTTTGCTCTTGGCAGCAGGGGCAAACTTGCTGCGCTCCGAGTCAACTGATTGTCGAGAAGAAATTGCAGACTGGACTTCCTTGAGTTAATATCAAGAGTCAAGATTATAAGAAATTGCTATAGAATAAAAATTTTGAGTTTGGAAAGTCAGAAATTAGATATTGATAAACAATCTCAGTAATATGTTGTACAAACTAACATTTAAGAAAAAATATTCTGAAACTTTGAAATAAACAAATAGAAACTCATTATCACTGAATTATTATTGATAAAGATAAATCATTAAATCTAAACATTTTGTTCACTGGATTTTAAAAATAGTTTCAGCAGGTAGTCTTTGAAGAGGTTATCCATTTTCAACAGAAATTTCAAATGCAAGATTCCTTGTTTGTGATGTGTCAAATATCTTTGGGGATGACATAGGTGTCTTCAAAGTTGCTCCACGTTCATGTTGACTGCGTGCATGATGTGAGGGGGATGCCCCACTGGTTGACTTTTTGTAGCTTTGTTGTGCTTTCAATTTGGCCCTAAATCTCTCCACTGTGTTCTCCTCTGGCCGAAATACAATGACAAACATTTTTGGCCCATAAAGTATGAAGAGTCTAGCTGAAGTGGATATCAATGAAATGATCAGTATCATGAACTCTTTTGTAATTGGTGTGCTCATACTAAAGTACAATGGGAGGAAAAAAAGCCAGGCAAGGCAAAACGAGAACATTGCAAAACTTGTATATCGAGCCTCATTATAATTCTCTGGGAGTTTTCGAGCTCTGAAAGCAAATATGCTACAGGTCAAAGAAATTCCAATGATGTAGCTCAAAAGAATAAGAAACAACACATCAAAGTCTGAACCACATGAAAATGTCATTTCTGTCCCATCAGCACTCTGTCCAACTTTTTCGATAAGCTTTGGTTGAAATACAAAATGAAAAATTGTACATAACAGGCAAGCAATAACCGTGAGTGCAAAAACAGTCAAAAATTGGATCTTGTTATTGAGAACTCTGCTTGTTTTTTTCAACCTCCCAGCAGTTGATGCTTTGAAAATACGAAGCAGTCTGTCTGTTTTTGTGAATGTGACTGAAACAGACGCAGTGTAACAAATTACAAAGTAAAATGCTCTCAGGCTGCAAATTGCACTGGTTGGTCTCCAAATGTACAACAGTGGCATTAAAAATATCACTGTCATACTAGCAAGTTGCAACAATGTCAACTCTCGATTCATTGCTTTGACCAATGGGGTATTCCAGCGATGCAAAATCACACCCAAAATTGCAACCTCAATGAAAAGTACTACCAGAGAGCACACAAAAATAGAAAGACCCCAAAAGTTGTTGAGTGCAATATGTTTGTACATTGGAACAACACATTGTGTTCGTTCTCCATTTGCAACTTTTTCCCCTTGGCAAAGAATGCATTCTTTCATTCCAGCTTTAGGCTGTACCATCTTACTGGCACAGGGCACACATCTCCAGCAGCAAGGCTTGGATGGAAATGTAAAGGCAAAATATCCAGCTTGGCATTGTTCAGAACAGCTCGAGTTTGGCTGTGCTGTACTCCAATTAGAAAAAACAGGCCTTGTTCCTGGTAACAACGAAAGCAATCGAGATCTTGAATCCCAACCACCAATAATTGTAAATTTTGTTGTACCATTTCCATCATTTTGCAAATTTGTCAATGAATACGATGCAACACCTGGATCTCCATTTTCATTAAAGCTGACTGTAAGGCTTGTTTTTCCAACAAAATTCACTTTCTTGATAAAATCAAGCAGCGTGTCAGGTTGAATCTTTTTACCAAACGTATCAAAAGCATTGTGCAAACCATGCGCAACTGAGTAAACAGCATCCATTACATTAGCAAATTTGTTCCTTGGTAAGCCTGTAGCAGTGGGAGTATTATTGCAATAGTAGGTGATATTGTCTGTAGAGTTACAGCCAAAATTGTTTCTCCAAAACAAATCCAGCCATGGGTTGTATGCAGTTTTATTTGGGGACAAGGATGTTAAAAAGTCTTCAAACTTTGGATACACCACAGTGGTTGGAATAATTCCAAGAAGTCCACTTACAACACGCTTGTTTACATTAAATACGAGCTTATTGCTCCCCCATGTCTCTGTGGCAACCCATATTCTGTCATACAGTTTCTGCTTTTCTGCCTCTTTCAAGACAACATCGGCTTCTGGGTATTGACACCATAAAACTATTACTGTCGATTTCTTGTCTGCAACAAGTTTGCTAATAATTTCAGTAACTTTTCTCTCTCCAGCCTTTGTTGTTTCGAAAACTTCACTTACTGCAACGCAAATGCCTTGACTTTCAAGGCGAGGAAGAAGGTTTTCGACACCAAGTCTCCCGTAAGCGTCGTCAGAGGCTATGAACGAAACGTAAGTCCAGTTGAATTTTTTCAGTATGTCAACTATAAACATAGCTTGATACTCATCAGGTGGAATTGTTCTCAGAAAGGAAGGATAATAGTTCTTATTTGACAAGGCTGTTGAGGTTGACGAATAGCTGATCTGCGGCATCTTCACGCCATTAGCCCCCAGCACGCTGGCAATGGTAATAGACGACGAAGAAGCAGCGTCTCCGACAACTGCGACGATTGGGGGTTTAGTTTTGTTGCAGAAACACTTCACCGCCTCCATAGGTTGGTTATAGGTCAATTGTTTTCTAGGAGCGGAAGGAATCACCTTTGGTTCTTGTATAATGTCGAGGGTAGCTTGCAATCCAAAATCTGCATTATTGCAGGAGTCATAAATTGCGAACCCTAACGTGATATTTGGCAAGAGTTTCCTATCCTTGTTTATTTGTTCTATTGTGTACAGCATTGCTTCAACCCACATTAAACCAGCCGGATTAAAAACAAATTTTTTGTGACTTGCTGCGTAATAATGAACTGGGAAAATGCCTGCAATAATAAAGTCTGCAGTCGTATTCTTATGCCATGTCAGCGATGTGCACTGATGTTGCGCTTCTGCGAACGGGAGAGGCGGTACAACAATCAAAGTGGCGATAATTAAATGCACCACTCTTACGACAGCAATGTCATGCATTTTCGGTGGCTTGCTTCTTCCTGGAGTTCTGTTCAAAATGAGAAAACAGCCGCCTTGCGTTACGCTCCATCAATAATTGCAAAGTCTCAATTCAATGACAATTGCCAGAGCAGTGTTCTCATCATTTACACGGAAGGTCGATTTCTGATTGTTCATCTGTGTTCTATCGGTTCTATGTGAGTTAGGCAACCCAATTCGTTATATCAACTGAAAGTCTTGAGGGTGTCAAATATTGTCCTTTGTTTCATTCAGGGGGGCGATCGAACTGACAATCAAGACAGCCTTCATTGATAACATTCTCCGCGGAATCGGATGTAAGAATTGCGCGCTCTTTTGATCGCGACCACATGTCATAATCAGGCGCGAATGACATCTACTTCTACTTCCTGAATTTTGTGTCTTTTGTTCCTGTAACAAGCTTGAAAAAGTTGGAAGCTGCAAGCACTGTTCTGCAAGTTGCAAGCTGTCCTCACTGCCCCCGGAAACATTGTGGAAAGCTCCATCACAGATATTTATACTGAGATTTGCTTAGTAACATAGGATGCGGGGGTGTATGAACAAACTTTTATCATATTACCAGTCTGACACAATATATGATGACATAAACACGCACGAATATCGCTCACTCTCTTTCAACATTGCCAAACCAATTATAAAAGGAAGAAGTTTTGTCAATATTTAATCAATCAAGGAACAAATCTTTTTTATAAGTGAACAGTGAATTTACCAGGAGAATTCTATTAACAAATGAAATATGAGCCGAAAACACGCTAAATATAACTGGCGGAGAAGGGGGTAGGTTCAAAAGTCCGGATAATTTCTTACATACGAACACTCTATTTTACAAGAACCAGTAGCTAAATTTAAGTTTAGGTTGACTGTTTTTCGAAAACCTGAGGCTGGATTGTTCTTAATTTGTTAAGGGGGAGGGGGGAGCAGTGCGAGTGCTAGCTTTTTCGCTTTAGGCCAGGCCTAATCTGGCAATAAAGCGAGTGAGACAACGTTCATTTGCCAAGATATTTGAGTACTCGCTGAAAAAGCACCAACATATGGCTAAAAATCCTGGCTTTTTAGATAAAAAGTTGTTCAAAATTGAATTTTACAGTAGCTAAGCCTAAGATTGTTCTTAATTTGTTCTTAACTTTTGACCAATTTTGAGGCTCGTGTTCTTATAAAATTATTCTTATAAAAAGAAAATAGTTAGGCCTGTGAACGAAAATAACTAAGATAATCTTGAAATACAAAAAGAATGAGATTTTAATGAAAGTATTTTGGAATACTGTTCGTTGTTCCCCTAGACCTACTACATAGTGTACACTCTTTTTTTATAAGAACAATTTTATAAGAACACGAGCCTCAAAACTGGTCAAAAGTTAAGAACAGATTAAGAATAGGCTGAGGCTGAACTTCTGCAAATTGCAATTTTGAACAACGTTTTTTCTCAAAATCGAGGATTTTTAGCGATGTGTGGGCGTATTTTCGGTGAATATTCAAATTTGTCAGCAAATTAAGGCTGTCTCACTCACTTTGTTGGCAAATGAGGCCTGAACACCTCCTTAGAGCGAAAAAGCTAGCAATAGCACTGCTTACAAAAGCTAGCAATAGCGTCGTCATGGTGACAAAATTACAAATACATTTGCAGCAAAAATAGGTCTTCATTATCTGTTTTGAATGAACTATTGAACAACAAGAAATCGTTTACACGTCAAATGCGTGGGAGTTTGTGGTGTTACTTAATTACGTCAGGAACAGCTAATTGGGAGCACAAGGAGGAACTTACTTTTAGTTTCGCATTCTCACATGATGTATCACAAATGCAGTGTTCATAACAAAGTCATTGCGATTTCCTAGCAACGCCACTGTGATCCCCCTAGCAACGGCACTGTGGCCCCCTAGCATTCCTTTAAAACTGCCACCGTACAAAGGGACACATTTTCTAGATACTGTTCTCAAAAATGCTTATGTTGGCACCATTAGCTACACCCTACTAAACGCTTTCCCTCAGGTCAGTTTGAAAAACACATTTTTGGTTCGAAAACCTAACCAGATTTGGCACAAATACATAGCCAAAAAAGTATCTGCATGTTGGTGATCCTCCCCTCTTTTGAATTAAACACGGAAAATGAAACTATGGAAAATCACTAGGGCTGGAGGGGGCTGACCCCCTCCCCCCAGTTAGAATGATAACAAATTTCCGGAAGATCACAGTGGCGTTGCTAGGAAATTTCGGAAGTCAGGCAAATTTAAACTAAATCACGATAATCATTTTCCGAAAATGATATTGCTTTGTAATTGTGTTTTTTTTGCGATTTTTCATATCTAGGGGAAAAAGTATCAAAATATATATATATATAGCTTTCGATTGCGTATGGAACATTCCCCCGTTACAGCTCGGCTAACAAGGAAAAATCAGATTGTTTCAAGCAAACACGAATCAATATTCAAATGAAACTGACAATAGAATTTGCCAGGCTGTTTACATTGGCAGCAGAGGTGCAGGTGCGTGTTACTAATCAGGTTGTTAATAAACTGCCAACAAACAAACTGCAAGCAGTTTACTTCAAAAAGGATCAGCTTGTAAGAACTTTATTTGAGACTTTTTACAACTAGTGAGAACATGTGATATTACAAACTTTTGAAGTTGTTATCTAAACAAATGTCATATGGTTACCGTTTTTAGCTTAAAAACATCTTTAGAATAACATGATTCGATAGCAGGCCTGCAAGATGCATGAAGGACTGAAGCTCGATAAAGGAGTCTCCCAGGCAATCTGTCTCGTTGTGGATTGGTTAACGAGAACAATAGCTGGAACAATAGCCTAAACACGATTCCAGGACTCCGCCATATTTTTTTCCATGCGATGAATTAAAGGGGGACTGGAAACAATAAAAAATCCCTTTGTTCTTATAACCAATTAACGTCGTGACAGATTGCCTTTAAGTCTCAGTTTTAATTATTGGTGAACAGGCAAAGTATAAAAACAAGCAGCAGCAACAGCAACTGCTAACTACGACGAAACAACCACTCGAATGAATGCTCCTTATATATTGATGAAATGCAAAATCAACATCTCTTTTAACGACACTTCGAAAAAAGTCTTCCTCGTTGGAAAGGGGCATTTGTCAGAAAATATACAGAAAATGAAAAGCGCATTTGTAGAGTTTAATTGTCAAGCTTCTTCAGTTTACTGCTAAAGAGGAAACCTTCAGTACAGCTGTTTTTCTTGAATTCTTATGCAACTGAAGGGAACGGTTTTTCCTTTTCAAAAGCTCTCCTTCCATTGCATGTCGTCGGTCTAAAAACTAAATTTCGCTAGAACTCTAACCATTGACTCTAACTCAACCTCCTTTTGCCTTTTTCCAGCTATGCTGAAAAAGTATGTTCTTCCATTTACTTAAGAAAATATAAACCAAAGTCGATTGCAGGATATATTATATTTTCAGCATTTTTTCAAATCTTTCCTTGATTGCATCTCTCCGCGAAACGTCCTTTCCATTGCAACCAAGGACCGAGGTGCAGGAGAGGCCAGGGAGCCTTGCCCCCCCCCCCCAAACTTTAGCAGTATAGGTAAAATACTTTTATTTTGTAAAATATAGCTGTTTTACACTTATTTATCAGGGCTGGCCCCCCCAAACAAAAAGTTGTATCTCGGTCTATGATTGCAACACATATTGTCAGTCATGAGACTATGTATGTTTCCATATCATCGAGATTGAGTTAGTGCAGCGGCGAAAACCGTCCAACCTACCATAATCTTCTAACAAGGGAAGTTACACAACAACACCCAAAATTGATTGATAATGGGGAGGGAATGGAAAAGAAAAGCCTTTTTCTCTTTTAAGCGCCGATGCACCAGTCCTACGGCATCAAAAAACTCATAAAAGATGCCTAAAGTATGAGAAGTTTTAACAATGCCGCTTAAAAATTCAAAATGCAGGCAATAGACTCCTCTGAATGCAGACTATACCATTTAATTATCATTAATTAAGGTGACTCAAATTTACTACAAAGTAATCTATAAGCTATTCGAAACTTGTCATTCTGAAAATGATTTTTTTTGCTATACAACTCTTGCATGACCCATTATTAACTCAGCAAAACCTGTATTTTTTAAAATCTTTTACTTAAAAAAATATCCCACCATAAATTTATTAAAGATGTATGTTTCGACAGGCCAGCAATTGTCTTTACTTTGTAGTTACTTTTAAATTACACTTAAGAACAACTTTATAAGAACACAAGCCTCAAAATTGGTCAAAAGTTGAAGACTCGTTGCTAACAATGAGCCATTGCGCTACGTAAGCATCCCATAATGCATTTTTAGACTGTCTAAAATCAATTTTGATTAATCCGTAGAAAATTACTGCCATTGTTTGGACCGTCGCCACGCTCGCAAAGGCCCATTGTTAGCAATAATCTTTAAGCACAAATTAAGAACAAGCTGAGACTGAGCTACTGTAAAATGCAATTTTGGACAACGTTTTTTCTCAAAATCGAGGATTTTTAGCCATGTGAGGGTGCTTTTTCGGTGAATATTCGAATCTATTGGCAATTGAAGATCGTCTCACTCATTTTGTTGACAAATGAGGCCTGAGAAAGTGGGACAAAGCTAGCACTTGCACTGCTTACACCCTATTAAATTAAAGAACAAATTAAGAACAATCCAGTCTCAGATTTTCGAAAAAACTAAGAACAGTAAGCCTGAACTTAAATTTACTGGTTCATATAAAAAAGAGTGTAGCTCGAGCGTTTATTTTCAACATAGCAATGACGTTTAAGCCCCCCCCTTTTGTCCCTTTTTAAAAAAAACCATCGCAGTCATTGATGGTTGAGAAAAGCAGGATCGAACAACCTATTCAAGATGATATACAAAAGCCTTATCAAAACCGTATGACTCTAATATACACTTAAAACTGCTGGAATGACTTAGCAACTAATTCTCCACCTCACACGGGTTGACATAGAGTTTTAGTCAAAGACATTTTATTTTTTTGACAATGTTAATGGAAATGGTGTCCGGCATTATTTAAGGCATATTAAAGTCTTTTGCAAGAAATGCTTTAACCTTGATCACTTGAAAAATTCAAATTACGTCTTGGAAGTGGTTGAAGAGGTACTTGGGATAATTGCTTGGATGCTAGTACCTCTCTATTGAAGATTCAGTAAGTCAATTTGGACAAGGGTAACATATCATAAATATTGGCACTAGTTTGTTTATTCTTTGTAGCCAGCACTGCTGTCCCATTTTTGTAAATGCTTACGTATTTTTAACCGTTGAGTTCCGAATTTCTTTAAGTTATTTTCCGTTGTATGTCGACTCTATTATTAGGCAGAACAGTTGTCCTTCACAAGGACCAACTGAAAATATAATGAACAGAGTATGACACAGGTTTCTAAAGAGTACCCCTAACAGTTCGTTACGAAAATATATTGCAGATGGCTTCGCCAAGATCCTCCAGGTTCCACCGTGCTGAAACGATGTTAGTGTCCCCCCCCCCCACCTCACACCACCCTGGGTACCAGAGCAACAACATTTCGATCTTGGAAATGGACAACCAAGCGGAAGCACGCCCATTCCTCTCTTATATTTCAGCACTCGCATTTATGTGGCTTTGATACCCAGAGTACCTTCACCCCATCCAGTCAAAGCATTTATGAGGGGTCGGCATCCCATTGCTTGAGAACCTTTGGTAGATCATTAAATTCTTCATGATATTCAGCAGAGAAACGTTACCATTCTTCCAGAAGTCAACGTGCTCAGCATCATGGGGTTCCCTTTCAATAATCAGGGGGGAATGAGGCTCCCTACCACTATAGCCCTGAACATAGACCTGAGGGGGATTCAGACGACAGAGCTTTCTATTGTTTGTGTATCATTTTGCCCCTAGACATGTTTATAAAAAATCCCAATGTTGCATTGTACTTTGACTTTATTACAGTAGTGTCCCGCATATAAGAAACAACTTCTTTGATTTAAGGTCTGATGCGTTTCTTATAAAATGAGATATACACTTAAAATCATGGTAATGTTTCTTATACAAAAAACCATATTCTACTATTGATCATCTACTCAGACACAATCTAAATGATTGTGATAAAAATACCATAATATTTTGAGTTGTAGTTGTAATTTATCACTTGTAGGAAAAGCTACAATTATTCCAGAAAAGTGCTTTGTTTGCATTGAAAATTCTTATTCGTTTGACCAGGCTCAGTTTGATTAAACAGGAGGGCTGAAAACAAACAGTTTCTCCATTCAATGATTGTGAACCCTCATTTATCCTTTTATTTAAAAAACTGACAAAATTGTAAGTGTATAATTTTGTTCTGTTTTTTCAAAGGATTAAGTTGTATAAAAACCTTTGAATAAGAAACAAGCATTTTTTCAGACCCTAACCCGTTTTTTATCAAAGGGCTTATTTTTTTTGAAAATCAGGGTCTGTGTTTCTTAAAATGGTGTTTCTTATATGTTGACACTACTGTATTCTAATTTTGTTTACTTTCTCGAAAATTTCATTGCCAAGATATCTGTGTTTCTGTTGTTTAAAATATCCATTTTAATATCTCTGTTCATACTTCTTGTTCTATAACAGGCACCAGGTGCATTTTCTTTCTCTCAACTGCATATTGCATGAGGACATTTCTAAAATTGTCGGCAAAAAGTTTTCCACTGCAACAAGTTACAAATTGAGGTTTAAAATAAGGAAAACTGCAATGCACCGAGAATAAATAACAGCGAATATAAAAATAAATTATAAATGTTATGCTGATAACTCGCCCTGGTACACAGGGCCTCCTCGGAGTTATAAATTGAAGGCTTTTACGGTATCTTTTACTGTTATCCGCACGTGCAACGATTCCCATGGAAAATCAGACCGAACTGAAAAACACGTCAGTCGGACGTTTTCATCAATGGGCAGGGAGCTGGCTAAAAATAGATTAGGTCGTTGGCTAAATTAGCATGCGGCGTCAATTATAAAAGATTCTCATATTTAATTTCTTCTTGTTCGTGCTGAACTATAAATCAAACAAAAATGTAATTTATTACGAACTAGGCTCTAGAAATTTTCTTTGCCATACACTCTTTTTTTATAAGAGCATCTTGATAAGAACACAAGCCTCAATACACTCTTTTTTCTGAATAAGAGCCAGTATATTAAAGTTCAAGCTAGTTGGATTGTTCTTATAACATAGAATGTAGATGCCCTTTTTACTACTTTCTCCTTTATTTATTTCAATTCAGTTTTTTTTGTTTATGCAGTACACTTCCCAAAAATACTGAAACCAAAAACTATCTATTAAAGTAAAGCATGGATTTACATATTTTGACATATTTAGAAGCAAACGTAATGATGCAACAGAATGTCATAAAAAGTGCATCAGAATTTGCGATAAAAAGGAAATCACAATATGACTTCATTGGACTGCAACTTGTTAAAAATCATAACCTCAAAAGTATTTTATCACACAGGCTTAAAGAAAAGCACACTGTACAACTTTTGTTAGCCCTCTCCCCTCAATCTTTCTACAATTTCAAAATTTCTCGTAAAACCCATTGTCTAAACTGTAGAATTTTTAAGTGATGACTTCACGAAAAATGTGTTTTTAGAACATTTAATTTGGATCTCATAACCTGAAAAACATCATGAAATATCTCTAAACGTGCGAAATCAGTTAGATGTGTTCAAAATTGGCCGAGGTATGGCAACATTAGCACACACTCTTTCACCATCAAACCTTTTATCTGTGATTTTGTCTCTGTTCATACCTTTATGAGCAGAGCCAAAATAACAGTAATCCGTTAGCAAACTTTAAATCTTTCATTTGCCATATCTCATCCGATTTTTAACACATGTAGCTAATTTTGCATGCTTAGAAGTATTTTATGGTTTTCTTTTCAGTTATATGGTCAAAATTCCAAATCTTAAAAATATATTTTTTTGACATCACACTTAAAAACTCTAAATTGGAACTGTTCTATACAAGAAAAATATTCAAGACACAGCTGGGCACGTACTCAACGAGTTCCTATAAACTCTGTCTCTCTGTCTCTCTATCCGTGCAATTAAAACTGATCCTCTTAATAAAATGAAAGGAAAATCCTCAAGCACGATCAACTTCCTCTTTCAGTATTAAGTTTACATTGCAACGGATAAAATTATCGTATTCAAAGAAACTGCAACTCCAACGTTGATCCTTTACTAAACTTCGACCTCGAAAGACATTCAAATTGAAGCTCAAATAGAGTTATTTCAGCAAATCATGCGTCTAGCTTGAAGCTTATAAAAAAGTTTATTAACTTTAATTTAAATTGTCAACGCAATTATAGGAATTATGCGGAACAGCTACTTTCATAAAAGATTTTTTGTGATATATATGAAAATTCAAGATCATGTCTGACATAGCTCAAGATTAAATAGGCATAATTTAATTTTCAAATTTATCAGTGATACCAGATTTAATTTTCAGATTAAGCATTTCATTTGAAAACTTCATTCATTTTATAGTCTCTTCAAATTTCACATCATCATTCACCATTCATCAGATTTCATAAAAAATATCTACAGATTCAATGAAAAGTATCATGCAAAACTTTTTCATAGCTCCTCTACCCAACCTTTCTACGATCGCAAGCTACGTACAGTGGCAGTGTATGCCTTGATTCGTAAAACCAAAAGTTGACTAAACTAAAGCGGATATATCTTCAGCAAAACAAAATTTTCCTTTCCTTGAATATTCCATTCAGATGATGAACTCACATTTATGGTTACAGGCAATTTTGTTCCTTGTCAGTTATCTTCATAATTTTTGGTTTGGAAAATCAGCTTATCATGATTCATGACTGCTTGATCATCAATGACTGTCTTCAATTCAAAATTTCAAGGCAAATCCATGAGATATCACATGAAAAGACTATTTCACCATTTAAACATCTTCAGCGCTTTTATCTCAATCTTCCTTGCGCATTTTTTTTTCAATTAAGGTTCCCTAGGTACCAGACTCACTCTATATATAATAAGAGAGAGTCTCTCTCAAGACTGCAAATATCACAACAAAACACTGATACGCAATCTTGTTTCGTAATTGATTTACCCAGAGCAAGTGTCGCATCCGACTGAAAGTTAAATTGTAAATTTTGAAGCGACAATAGGATTCGATAACAGTGACGTAAAGATAATCACTCTTATTGAATAAGGGTAATTCAGACATTTTTCCAGTACCGCGAGTGCCATCTGGTTCGTCCCAGATTCATGGAGCAATTTGTGAGACACTGCAATTTTACTCTCTTGCGTTTAGTTTGACTTAAACAGCATTGTCGATATATACAGTTTTCTTTGTCCCAGAATTCTTGAGCAATCTGTGACACACCGCCATTCTCACAACTTTTTGGCATTTAGTTTGGCTTAAACAGCATTGTCGATATATACAGTTTTCTTTGTCCCAGAATTCTTGAGCAATCTGTGACACACCGCCATTCTCACAACTTTTTGGCATTTAGTTTGGCTTAAACAGCATTGTCGATATATACAGTTTTCTTTGTCCCAGAATTATTGAGCAATTTGTGACACACCGCCATTCTCACAACTTTTTGGCATTTAGTTTGGCTTAAACAGCATTGTCGATATATACAGTTTTCTTTGTCCCAGAATTATTGAGCAATCTGTGACACACCGCCATTCTCACAACTTTTTGGCATTTAGTTTGGCTTAAACAGCATTGTCGATATATACAGTTTTCTTTGTCCCAGAATTATTGAGCAATCTGTGACACACTGCCATTCTCACAACTGTTTTGAATTTAGGTAAGCTAAACTAGCGTTGCTTGTCGCTCAGTACCTCTTTTCCCAGACGTCCTAAGCTCTCTTCAACCTACTGTAATTGTCACAACTTTATTGTATGCAGGGTGGGTATAACAACGTTCCTTCGCTTGATATGGAGTACTTTTGGAAAATTTGTGTGCAAAATGTGTTCCAAACGAAGTTTGTATGACGTCCTTTGGTGCGAAAGCCAGTCCAAATAATCAACCATCGATATTTCCAGTTTCGTTGGCCGGTAAATCGCGAGCTTAATTTGGTCAATTATCTCTTTGCACTAAAGTTAAGGCCCGATTTGTTGGCAAGAAACACACGCCGTTTATACGTTAGGAAACATATCATTACAAAACCTTCTTTGGCTGGTTTCAGTTTAAAGGTAATGTCAATCGGCATAACATCATTAAGGATAAACTTACGATATTGATAGCAACAAGCAAAAAGCCAAGAAATAGAAAAGTAAACAAATGAAGTAAGAAAGAGATTAGAAATAGCGAAAAATCCAACCTGCAATCTTTTCTTTCTCTCAGAATCGGATCTCTTTCGGAATTCTTGGTCGTCCCTTTCCTTCTCCTTCATCATATCTTGATAGCGTTTTTTCTCTTCTTCTCGTTTTGGTTCCTGTTTTACCATGGCGGCCCTGCAAGGAAGAAATGAGTGATGTAAAATAGGTAAGATAATAATGCCTAGAATAACACTTAGTTTAGGATATTCTAAGAAACCCATATGCAAGCAAAACAGTTTTGACTCTTTTCAACAAAAATTATAGCCTAATTGCATAAAAGATACATAAATTAATGTGCTAATAGAAAAATTATTGGAGTTTATAGAACAAACCTGGCATTCAGAGAAGGTCTTGCAATTCACAACGTAGGAGAAAGCAGCATTATAAAAGCTCAAAAGAATGCTAAGGACCTTCGATATTCTTTCAGAGGTGACAATAAAAGAAAAACTAACATTAAATGGTATGAAGATTAGAGGATATCAGAGACTTTGACAGATGATAAAAACATGCTAGTTAACGCATTATCAAAATTCTTGAAATATGGCAAGCTGATACCGTTGCTGGTCAATCGATTTTGATCTTTCGCGGATCATCTCATCACGAGCAACTTCTTCCTTTTTCTAAAATCAAACAATAAAAACGCACACTTAAGGTTGTTTTCAATATGATTCGCTCTGACCGCGCAACTGCGCCAGCGCACTTTCGGGCAAGTTCAAAGCCTAACGACCTCTTTCGCCACGAATGCGTCGCGTAGTCCAACTCGGTTGAGCCACTGAGCCACTGGCCGCGATCACCGATTTCCACGGAGTCGCCGCGAAAATAGAATGATTTATACACAATCTTTTTTGTGGTACAATTAAAAATGGCTTTAAAAAAAGTAAACATTTTGTAACTAATATAGAACTTTCGTCTGACGTTCAGAGTATTAAACGTCAGAGCATAGATCGAAAACTCTAAGCTAGGAAATTTATACTCATTTGTTGATCGTTAAGGTTGCCCAGTCAGTGCCGCTTGCTTATAGAAAGGATGATTTATGTGGAAGACGGCCCTAAGCCATAAGCACTTATTAAAAAAATGCTAGGAATGGCTACCAGTAAAATTTTGTTTAACAGCTTTTGCTGCTATGGCAATGAATGATAACCTGGAATTAGATTAAGTTTTTGGCGAAAAGCATCTTGAAATACAACCTAGCAAAGAATGATAAAAGATATGAATGAAAGATATGAAAAGATATGATATGAAACCATGCAATTTATTCGTGCAGAAACCCTGCAATAAGCTTTACTTGAAAGAGTTAATCAATTCTAAGAATTTATCGATCCTTAACTTGACATAATCATGATTTTTGAACACCTTGGCTATCTTGGTACGACTATATTTCAAATAAACATGCTGATCTTGATAAGACAGGCAAGTGAGTTATCCACAAAGTAGGGCTATCAATGGCTTCACAGCTCCGGGCAGATGAAATTCTACCACATAGAACCGATAAAGCACCCGGGAAGAGAAAAACAGCACGACCTAACCATAATGGATGAAAACCTGACGAAAAAGCCTTAGAAGCCTATACGTCTTCCAATTTCTACTGAAAACAGTTTTCACTACTATGTGTCCCGACACCAGTGACTTCAGTAACGGGGGGCTAAGGACTTCAGAATCCAAATATAATCACCTTGCACTTGTCATTAGCACGTTACGCAATAACAAAAATGTTCAATCCCATCCACCCCCTCTCCCATCCGCGGTTCTTGACTAGCAAAGCACGACATTGTTTACAAATCTAATTTTGCAGGTCTCACACAGTTCCCTGAAAGCTAACTGGAGAATAAACAAAACTAGACAAGGAAATAGCTAACCTCTCTAGCTTTGCGCTTTTCTTCCTCTTCCTGTCTCTTTTTCTCTGTCATTTGCTTTTCTTGGGATACCCGACTTCGTTCTTCTTCCTAGTTTCCAATCGTCATAATTAAACGTCAAATACATTTAAGGTTATCAACACTGACCGAAGTGTTAAGAAGAAACAATATGATACTTTTCTTATGACATGTTTCTTAATGATAACATTTGTTATTTTCTTAATATACAGCAATGCATAATATAGTAAAATGACTCTTCAAATTTTAAAACGATAATTTGGAAATGAAATCGAATAAAGAAAGATTGGATACAGTCTTTCTATACCAATAGAAATATAATTTATGATATTTTTAATTTAATTTTAGATTTGAATCTCATTTAAGAACCGAATCTTTTTGTAGACTTTATCATCATCATCATTACATTTAACAACCCTTTGGGTCATAAAAATGTCTGCCAAGTCAACTACAACGTTAAAATTTACTGAGGTGATTTCGACATAGATTGTTAAAGGAATCTGAATTCGCCTGCGTTGCAATATTGTCTGGCAGGCTGTTCCATACAGAAACGATTGAACAAGAAAATGAAAACCTTGCAGCATCAATCCTTTTGAATTTAGGCATAATCTTCAATGAGTTAGAGTTCCTTGTCATTGAACAAGTTGCAGGGGAAAAGAAAATGTTAGAGTTTAAAGCAACCTGCAATCAATCTGTCACATTAGATCTCTGACGGCAATCTCCCATAACAAAACAAGCTTTTTTCTTTGGACCTTTTCGATTCTTTGTTTCAGTTCATTGGTATGCGGTGACAACAGTTTTTCTCGCACCTGGCGTGGACTTCTAGAAAAGCTTCTCCGAATTAAACCAAGAGTTCTATTCGCCTTTCCTACTATTTGATCAACAGTCTTTATGCAGCGTAAATCCTTGCTAATATAAATGCCTAAATATTTATAAGATTCGACATTTTCAAGAGGTACATCAGAGGTGTGGTATTCATTTGGAATGATATTTCTTTCTAGCGTAATTGTCATAGAATAGCATTTGCTAACATTAAATTCCATATTGCAACGACGGCTCCATGCACAGAGCTTGCTTGAAACGTTCTGCAATGTTACCGCGTCATCTAGTGTTTTTTCATCTTTCTATAAAGAGCCGTCATTAACAATGTCCTTTATGAATATTAAAAAAGTATGGGGCCAAGGAACCTTGAGGAACACCTGACAGCACGTGAGAAGAGGATGATTTTTCTCCATCCATTACGACAATTTGAGTTCTATCACTTTTTGTTTTTTTTGTTGAAAACCTTTAATCCAATGAAGAATTTGTCCCCTCAAACCGTACCACATCTCACGTGCTGTTTCAGTACTAACATATCGTGAGAAACCTTATCAAAAGACTCAGAAAAGTCGAGGAATATAATATCGGTCTGGCTCCTCCAATTGATAAGTTCTGCAAGGCTGTTTACAAGCATCAACAACTGAGAAGTACACGAATATTTTTTACGGAATCCATCCTGCTTGCCTTATTATTTAGAAGCTTTCCAAATGCGAGTATATTGCTGATTTTATTATGTGTTCCAAAAGTTTACAGGATATGGATACAGGTATGAAGTTAACAGGGTCAGATCTGTCCCCCTTTCTTAATATTGGGATAATATTTGCAGTTTTCCAATCCTCTGGCACTCTTGATTTTCTCAATGAATTTTTAAAAATAATAGTTAAACAAAGGCTCACTTCTGCGGGGGCTAATTTCAATGACTTGGCGCCAATCTTATCAGGACCGGTTGCCTTGCTGTCATCAAGCCCGCCGATTGCTTCAACACCTGTACACGATACTTCGATGTCAGGCATATCAGAAACGTCAGGAAAGTTATGACCAGAGTTACTGGTATCGCTAATGGAGGAGTCACTTTTGCTAAATGCCTCATAGAATAGAGTGTTTGTTTTTGTAAAGGTTTTACCAAGCCATTTAATGGAATGTACCTCCAGAACTTACTTGGCTTTTTATCTATAGCTTCTTTTCTTATTTGCTTTACTTTCTTTCTCTGGGTTTTAAATTTTGTGCCATCATTTTGATTTCCAGACCTTTTTGCTTTTTGAATAACCGTTTCTTCTTGCGAAGTTTCCTACAGACGCTTTTAGTTATCCAGAGAAGACAGGATTTGTTTTTTTGCATATTTGAATGGAACAAAATTCTCAGTCAGTTCATTGATTGAATTTTTAAAAAAGTACCACAACACATCAACCGATTCAAAATTTTGCCTAGTAAGCATTTCATTGTATACGCGAGTGAGGCCTTGTTTAAACTAAGGTAGGTCTGCTTGGTGGTAAAGATACATTTTCTGGCACGACTGGATAATCTTTGAGGCCTTACATAAAAGTTAAACATGAGCATGTCGTGGTCACTAACCCCAGGACAGGGTTTTATGCTGTTTACGTCGAGTTATAGTGAATATTAGTTATAATGAGGTCTAAAGTAGGGGATTCTCTTGTCAGGAAGTTCACAAGTTGGGTTTAAGGGGCATGTGTCGTGAACATGATTGGCTAATACATTACAGTTATCTCTTTTGTTAAGTACAAAGCATGGCATCGAGGGTGAATTTTTACGGCAGTGAAAATTAATGAAGAAGAAATGAAAAGCCACGAAACAATGGAATTCCACTCCAAATGATTTTGTTTCATTAGCCAACTGCTAATGCAACATATGCTCTTTAAGCTGTAATCAGCAAAAATTTCTAAGAGGAGCCTCGATTCACATGGTCGAGTTAGGTTGTTGTTTTCTAAGCAGTTTTCGGACCAATCAAAATCTGGCAAATTAAAATCCCCACAGAGTAAAAAGCTGCAATTGTGAAAACATGTTAAGCTAAGTAAGCTTTGCTTACGTTCCGCTTATTCCGAATTCGATGGTATGATGAGCCAGTTATGACTGGGATTATATTGTTTTTTATCATTTTGACAAAAACTAGTTCACAATTTTTAGCTATATTTAGTTTTACTGATTAATGTCTTTTTAACTGCGATGAGTACCCCGCCTCCGTGTAAATCTCTATCTTGGCGGTGAATGTCTAAATCATCCAGACCTAATTCTGAATCAAGCATATCGTTGTTAATTTTAGTTTCACAAGCGATCAATATATCAATACCATTGTTTGTTATAAATTGCTTTAATTCTATCACTATCTAATCTTAAACATTATCAAATACACTCATTTGTAAGAAAGTCTACATAATATAAAAAATGCAGCATTAACTCGGCTAGAAACTCTGCAAATGTTGATTCATGAAAATTCAACTATTTACACTCACCTCTTGCTTATTCCAAAACGTATCACGTTTCTTAATATCGATTTCGCGAATTGGATTTATTTTCTTGTATACTGCACCCTTCAAAAACAATTAGAGATTTAAATGCGTCGTCTCGTATTGCAAGAAAGAGGAGGCGAAGAAATGAGTTCACTGGCACTTCAATTTAAGCTTTAAGCGAAGATAACTTCAATGGCGTAGAGAACAAAGATATTTGATATATTCAGTGCTGATTTTTTATATTCAGTTGAACTTCAAATTTGCTAAATTTAAAGCTTTAGTTTGTGTCATGCATTCCAAATTTGGGTTCATAATGCTATATTCGATGTTATGTTCATTTATTCCATGCCATTATAGATTCTTTATATCAAAACCTGCTAACAAAAGCAAATTTCAGCTCCCGAAAAATTTAGCCAGGCAGTGTACCCATCATCCTGACCTTTAAATTGTTCCACAAATCTTACTTACTTTTAGAATTGCTTGAGATTCCCCTATCTTGTAGGAGCTTAGCATCTGGCCCCCCTTAGCCCCCTTTTCTCGGGCCTGAATCGATGATCTGCTATTATGATTATAACATATGCTACCTTATTCTAAATACAGAGACAAATCCTGTACTTATTATTTTGAATTCATCCCTTGTCTTCAGCAATTGTCACAGTGTGAAGTTGGAGTACAATGGTACAAGGCTCTTACGTTGATTTGTGGCCTAAGTAGGCTGTTATTAAACTTGCAAATCAATTCTATACATAATCGAGCTATGGCCATTTAAACAATAATACATTTTTAGTTGTGCCAGATTCAGGGAAGCAATTCTACATTGGTTGGCACAACTATATGAATTGGAAAAACGTAAATATTTTCATAACTTTCTAGAATCATGAAAGAAACAAGATTCTTGTATTGCTTTTTAACGTCCTTTTCTGACTGTCATATCCCGATTATCAACTTTTAGTGGCTTTTTCATTAAAATCAAATTTTTCCAGAGTGGCTTTTTCATTCAAATCGAATATTTACAGGGCTAATGTAAATTCTGCATTAGGAAAACAAATTATGGAGGAGAAAGGCAGGAAAATTGTCCCATAAAACAAACTTAGTAACTTACGACTGGTTTGATCTGCTCGACTGGTTTTGGTTTCTCTTTGTGGATACTGTAGTTTGCTCCAGATGACTTTTTCACTTTATCCAATACACTGTCATAATCTAAATCATTCTCTGAACGAGCGTTTATTGTCACGTGACATCCCTTTGAAGATAAAGCAATAGCCATTGAGTCAACAGAAAGTAATTTATTCTCGTTCACCCTATTAGTTTACTAAGAAAATAACTAAAACATTAAGTAAAAGAAATACAACTGCTCTTTCAAGGGGTTGTGTATACGTCGCTCTGCCTCAAGATTAAACCATATATACTGCTATTTTGTCATCGAGCATAGAGCTCTGGAACAGAAACTGATCGGCAAAATATTTCTGGCAATAACTATCGCATGTTATATATACTTCCAACGTTTGCAAAAGCATCTTCATTGACATTCCATTAACAATAACGTTGTATCTTCAAACATGTCGATAGTATTGATAAACAAATCAAATTGTTCTGGTTTTCCTCAAACAGCGCAGGTTCTAAAACAATATAGGTTGGAACAGGAATGCGAAACAAAAGAAGGAAATTATCCACTTTCTTTAAATTAGATCAAATGAAACCCGTAACCGATTTTTCGCGCCAAAATATTATGCAAAAATGAGCAAACCAATGGAAAACGAGTTTCAATCCTGTCTCAGAAAGCAAGCAAGGAAGGGATATTCTCGACAAATTGCAAGGAACCTCCATAACTTGAATTGATCATCCAATAGTTCCTTATTCTAACCATCGAGAAGCAGTCTGCATTTCGAAATGCTTTAACAATATCTTCCCTCAAAAAGTTACTCATTTCAAATATTCGCCCAACTAGAAAATCTCTACATGACACGGTCAACTCTTATGAGTCATTGTGACCGGATTTTAAGTTCATTTCCTAGGCTTATACAAAAAACATTTGCTTGTTTAAGTCCTATATGTATACGTAATTTTGGGGTTGAGTCTAAACATTATTATTTCTTGTACCGCCACTATTACTCTCTTTGACAGAAGGAGCCTGCTTAACAAGGTACCTGGCATATTTTGTAATGACACATCGCCAGGTGACAATTTGAACTATTTGTTATAAAAACAATTTTCTAAAAACACGAGCCACAAATTTTTAAAACGTTAAGGAGTTTTCTGCCATCTAAGGATGCTTTGTTGGCGAATTTTCAGACATGTTGGCCTATAACGGTTGGCTCAATCACTTTGTTGGCAAACGCAGCTTGAGCACTCCCCTTGAGTGCAATAGCTAGCAATTGCACTGCTTAAATAAACACTTATGATTCAAGAATAAACTAAGAGCAATCCAGCCTCAAAGTTTTGAAAAAATTAAGAACAAACAGCCTTAAATTCATTTTCAAAAGAGTACATGTGATTAGGTTGGATCTTGTTGGAATATCATTGCTCTATCAAGAAAGAGCTGCCAGAATGAAGCTTAGAATGCAATGAATTTTGCCTGACTGAAGAGGATCCGGCCCTCCCAGCCCGTATGTCACACATGTCTATTTGTCCTAGCAATTTCTTTTTTCAGTTATGTTTGGTTTTTGTCTTCCGGCTATTGCCTCAAACTCATTAACTAACTAACTAACTAACTAACTAACTAACTAACTAACTAACTAACTAACTAACTAACTAACTAACTAACTAACTAACTAACTAACTAACTAACTAACTAACTAACTAACTAACTAACTAACTAACTAACTAACTAACTAACTAACTAACTAACTAACTAACTAACTAACTAACTAACTAACTAACAAACAAAGTAATTAAATAACCTAAAAGTTAGCTAGCAAAATAATTAACTACAAGCAGCGTATATAGATCTGACCCTGCCTAAAAATTATCAAAGTGCATCCATAGCATTCAAGTACCACCATAGAATTCCATTATATTTTCAAGAAATTGTCAATTATAACTGAAACAACAGGGGTTTGACTTGACCAAGTATACCATGATATGTTAAAATTTATAATGCATCCCTCAGAAAATTCATTTCAGTTAATCTTCACTTCAAAAAACACTTTAATTAACACCTGTTTTTGCTACTTCATGCCAACCTTGTGATTTTTGCAAGATCATTCTTACATACCAACCAATATGGCAATATCGTGTGTGAGATTTTCTCAACTTTCAAAACACTAAACTTTCTGGATATAAAAAAGGTCAACTAGAAATACTGAGGCTCAAATCAATTAAAATTTGGTCTAAAATCATGTATCATTTCAGATCCAAAACAGAAGACAAGAAGACACAAGTACTCACTTTGAATAAACTAGTAACATCACGAATATGATTTGCACATACTCCTTTAACATTGGCAGGAACACCTTCACCTTGCTGAAAAGAAGAAAAAATCTTGAATAGCAACTTTCCTTCATCCTAAATCTTATGTTTAACTGATCTTACAAAGTCAGAATTTTGAAGTTGAAGCCAAAATATCACTCACCCAATTAACAAAAACAAGTTTGGGTAAATTTGTATTTGGATCATTTACTCTGCAAACAGCATACATTATTTTGCCCCCATTCAACTCATCTGCCATTTCTTCAAAGCCATCCTCTGGAACAAGAATATAATGATTAACTAAACTATATGATAAAAACTGTACAGCTAAAAGTTATCTTCAGAAGTCTGCATTTTAAGACTTAAGTACCAAAAAGATAACAGTGACATTATGAGATAAAGACAAATTGACTTACAAAAGAATCTTCTATGAACAAATTCCTTTACACATTGAAATATTTACAAATTTCTCAAGATAGAGACCAGCGACATTTTTTACTCAGGGGCCAAATTTAAAATGTTTTCTTCAAAAGAGGTGTGGAAGAAGTAGGAAAGGGTGAGCAAAATTGGAAAGTCAATTTCAGTGTCAAGCCATACCAAGAATAAATATGAAGGCATGCAGTGAATTGCACTCCCGAATCAAGGGGTGTAATGAGGTGCTATGTCTGTTTCAGTATAATGAAGTATTTATGAACATTTATTAAAAGTACAAAGTTTGAAAATTTTACCCATTTTTAAATTATTTATTTTGTACAAGGGTATAGATTTTCTTTTTTCAAAGCTATTTGTCAAATGGAATAAAAAAATTTATTTAGAAAGGACAAAAAAGACACAAAAATGACAAAAAACTGAGGTTTATCGCAATGCAATCAAAAATGGATATCAACAAAAAAAGGTTTTCGAAAATGCACTGGATTAATGTGTATACACAAATTACCTTTTTTTTTTCTTGCTAACAATTTACAAAAACCACAAAAACGGACATTTTCAATCCATTTCTGTAAATAGTGTGAACACACAAAAAGAGGTTTTTTGGAACGCTCCCAGCAAATCTACGGAAGCAATGTGAGCTGTAAAAACCACAAAAGCAGGCTGTGAACGCACAAAAAGCAGCTTTTTGGAACACTCCAAACAAATTTACGGAAGCAATGTTAACGGTAAAAACCACAATAGCGGGTTATTTTCAATCTGTTTCTGTAAACAGTGTGAATGCACAAAAAGGGGCTTTTTGTGACCGCAAAAGGGTGGTGCAACCGCAAGCCATTTCCAGGATGGCCTGAGTGTGCAACTTGCACCATATATCAGTTCATAACTGCAAACCTTTTGGTTCACCAGGTTACCTCCCAAAATAAGATGCTTCCTCCTGTCTCCCAATTTGAATCACATTTCTCCAAATTTTCAGGTATTTTTAATTAGATTTTCAAGAGAACATATGCATATCTCCCTATATATGCTGATTTCCTCATATTTACTGCAATTGAGATTTGTCCTGTGCAAGGTATGGAGTCATTATTTTTCTAGTGTGTTTTCCTAGCAAGCTTTCAAAGATTCGGCCAAAGCCACATGAAGATATGTGCAATGCTACATCTAGTCATATTTGCACATTATGGATTTTTAATTTTATAGCAGATAAATTGTATCTAGAGGAAAAGCTGCTTCTAAATACAAGTGCTTGTAGAGATCTTCGCTTTATTAAAAAATTCAATGCTTGCTTCAGCTGGAGATACAAAATATGTCATGTTAATTTCATATATTTTGTAGGTTATCATTGAGACCTTATTATTTTTTGAATTTTCAATTCTGATAACCCAAGGACTACAATTTGCTGACCAGCCAGACTTGGTCTGTGGGTTGTAAGTTTCCCATCACTGTCTGAAGACATGATGGAATGTTTAAAAATATGATTGAATGAAAGGTGCCAGAAAAATGATGATGGGGCTACAAAGAACTAATGGTGATAGATTATAGTGAAAGACGTATAGGGGAATCTAAGAAAAGAGTGTATTTAAATTTATGTTAGATGACAAAAAAAATCTGGCTAATATCTCGGAACACTGAAGATAACGATAACATGCCTCCTGTTTCCACAACTTTAAGAGTAAAAGTCTTTCCATCATAACCAAAGACTGCCCTGGAAGCAAGAAAGAAGCAAAAAATAAGATAGTTTCAAAAAAAATTGAAAAAAAAGAAATTAGCAAAAATATCTTTTTACCTCGACTTTGCTCAAGCATATACAAAAATGCAAGCCTCTTTCAATTGGTGAAAATTTGAGAACTACCAGATTAGCAAATGTTGTGCTTTACTGGGCATCTTTGTAATAAAATTATTCTTAAAACTGGTTCTAGCTCTTGAAGGGTAAATATTGACTTAAATCATTTACTTTGCAAACAGCTTAGTTTGCCCCCCCCCCCCGCGATTCAATTCATCTTTTTATAATTTTTTTCTGTGAGTATAATATCTTTCAGTTTTCACTGTATGCTGTGGAATTTCAAATCAAGAGAACTGAGCTGAACTGAATCTACCATTTCTATGACTATTTTATTTGTATTTGGAAAGAGTCTAGGGTTAGTAACTATTCCCTCTAAGAAATTCAGCGGGACTTGGTAGTCCAGAACATAAATTTATCTGATAACAGTTACATATACAATTAAATACCTAATGTTTTTACGAAATGCTTACCAGTTGATTTTGGATTCAGGGCGCGTCACTTCCTTCCATGCTTGCTCGAGGGCTGCTTTATTCTTCACAAGGTCTACTTTTGCCATTTTGGTAAGTACTGTAATAGGTTACCTTATTTATTTTTGCTTCGAGACGCGAACAATCGATTATGATCTAGAAAAACAACCCAACATACCATAAAGAGGAAGTGCCTTCAGTTTTGCAGCCTACAGAACCTAGAGTCTCGCCTTGAAGTCCCCCTCAGATACGAGGCAGCATCCAGCCATGTGAATGAAAAATGGCGGATGGATGCCGTCTATCCTCTGATGTTTTCGATGTGCTGAAGAGTACCTATCAGCCACTGCGACCTGCCATAAGTGAGGAGGTTAGAGCCATGTCATAAAGAATTTCAAATTTATGCATTTATTACACTTTATGTTGAATTTCTCTACCCTAAATGGTCAGAATATGTTGATTATGATATCGATATGACCTATTTTATTTTTTTTGCAAAGAAAAGCCAATAAATTGCGCAGTTGGCAAAGACTTTGCCTATTGCCTAAGATAATTATTGACACACCACATCTTGTTAAAAATGGGTTTCGTCAATCAATAAATACCTTAAAAACTTAACTTTTTAACTTTGATCGGGTGCTTTTTTTGATCACTTCATTTTTAAGTTTTAATTGTTGTCTTTAAATATAAAGCCCTTTCGTATTTTTACATCTCAATGATTCTACAATTCTCATGTATTTTTTTTAATCATTATCCTTAATTTTTAAAGGAGCTGTACCACAGAATATCAGTCACTTTATCAACACCTCCGCAGTTGTCAGTTTTAAGAGTGAACACCCTGAATTCAACCATTTCTAAAGCAAAGCAACAGCTTGGCAAACTCTTAGACAGGTAAGCCTTCTAAGAATAGATAAGTTTATGTTTGAAGGTTCTAAGATCAGCACTTACTGATCTCTCATATAATCTCTCAAAACTACTTCCAGGAAAAATGGTCACACAGAAATACAAAAATCTTATGAAGTACTTACTGAGAAAGGAACACGCATACCATATAATCAATCATATACTCAAAGTTAAAGTGCAAGTTAAAGAATATGAGTTATATTGTTTTAGATTCTCTTCCATCAACACAGATGGCACGAGATTCAACAATGAGAGCAACTTCCAAATCATTTCCATCTTTATTCTAGACCTTATCTCTAGCACAGAAAATAATCACTAGCATAAAACATTAGATTTTATCAAAGGGGATATCAAATGGTTTTAATTTTTAAGAGTTCTTCGTTTTTCTTCCCAAAGAAGGGAAATGTTGTAATTGTTTTTCTGTTGACTACTTTCTCCCTTTTTTTATTTTAGCTCTTTAGTTTGATCATGATCCGTGTACTTCTATTCTCCATTCTTCTAAATAATACACTATGTTTGCTGTAAGGCTGTTCATTTGAATGTTGTTTAAGTTGTTGTATTAATTACTATGAAAAAGATACTGCATAGTTTTGAGTTCAATACACATCTTATCTTCTGTTTTTACTCACATTAAAACAACATGATTAATGATTTTGTTCTAGGCAGAATGAAGAAAGTGGCTTAAATTTAGTCTGTGAGAACCATAAACACATACCAGATATCCTTGTCACCTCTTCCAATGGCAAGCAAAAAGACATTCTTCCAAATGCCAAAGAGGTAATTGTAGATGAACTGTGTGGTGCTGCCATCCTCAGAGGTGCTGATGTGTTTGCCTGTGGTGTTTTAGGCACACCTCCAGGTTAGTCATTTGTCATTTCAAATTCATTATGTAATTTTTCCTTCTTTTTTAATTTTCTCAGGGCGTTTTATCAGTAGTCTCATTCCAGATCAAATTAGCAAAATTGTTTCTAGATTCTCTCTTAATTTTTTATAAAAAGTTTAAAAAAGGGTGGCAAAGATTCAAAACATTTCACATAATTTTTTTAACAAGGTTTCCAAGATTTGGCCATTGAAGTTTTTTTACTAAATTGTACCATCAGCAGGTTTGACATTCCGTCATTTTTGCAATCAGGGTCATAGATCCTAAACTCTTCATAGTTACAAATGATTTGAATCTGTATCTTTTAAATCAGTATTATCCTCAGTCATTGTGTTTCATGGCAATGCAAGCGAATGTTTCATGCTAGTAGATATCAGTGCTTGAAGACTAAAAAAAGATATTTCTGAATTTGTCTGGTTCTAAGAGACCCAAAGCTCTCATAAAAGTATTGATGTTTTGTATAAAGTGTGTAAGTGTTAGCTCAATCAGTTTTGTCAAATGCCAGATGTTTTTTGCTTTTCAAGAGCTGGTCAAGGGTGAAGTTGTATCAGTATATGCAGATCTTGATGGTTTATGCAAAAAAGGTTTCAAGAAACATTATGATGGTCAGAAGTATTTTGTTGGAAATGGTATAGTAATACTTGCACGAAATGAAATTTTCAAAAAGATTCAACCAAGGTATATCCAAAATTTTCAAATTTGTAGTGACCAGTGTTGCAACACAATCATATCATCCATTGCTTCATGTTAATTTTATCTTTTCCTTGTCTCTCTAAACAACCCCTTTGTAGCATGCCCTCATTTTATTTGTACATGCCCTAATAGATAGTTATAAACTAGTAGTCTTAATGAATAAAAATGTTGTTGAAGGGGAGGGAGGGAAGTAAATGTTTTTCCCGTTTATTGATAAGCTATTGGAGTTACAAAATAGTCTTCTCTGACCCTTGGGGGATGCACATAAAACCAAATCTTTATAATGTGTAGTTTATTTGTCATAAGAGATCTAATTTTTTGCTGACCTAAATTTTATTGTGAGAATATCTAAGAATAATTCTTTACCACTGTTTTTATTTTCATCTTATTTCCTTTCAGAGGTGTCGCAGTAAAAATGAATAATCAGCGATATGCCCATCCATCTTTTGCTCCTTTGGATCCTTTGATATTCTTTCCACAGAACTTACCATCAACACTAGTGGCACACAATCTTGAGCCAAGCCAAGGGGATATAATTTTGGACATGTGTGCAGCCCCAGGTTTGTAGTTTTGATTCTATATTCAGTTGAGTTATTTTAAAAAATTGATTTTATTGATCCTTTCTTTATTGGAAGTAAGCATTTAGGTAAATGAGGATATTCAGAAAACAAAAAGCAAATGCTTGGTTTGTTAAGATATGGTACAGGTAACAAATCTCAAAATGCTACTTTTTTTGCTAAAAGGTGGGAAGACATCACATGCAGCAATGCTGATGGGAAATGTGGTAAATATATGTAATTCTTTTCAAACTACGCTTTGCATCCTAAACCAGTTCATGCATCTCTTTCCACTTATAACATCATTTCAATTCGTAAGTTTTAGATCATTCACTAGCCTATATGTGTTAGTATTGATGGGAAATCAAAAGACTTTTAATTACTTACATAATGATTTTATTGCTATTGTAGGACATCTTCAATTCTTTTTTACCTAGAAGTAATTTTTACTATTTTCAATTACTTTCAAATTACATGGCATTTCTACTTGTCTCTTCAAAGGGTAGAATTTTTGCCATTGACAAATCAAAGTCAAAGGTTAAGAAACTTGAAGAAATGTGCCACAGGCTGAACTGGTCATGTGTGAGGTGCTTTGCGGCTGACAGTACAAAACTTTGTGACGTATCCCCTTCCAGTGAAGGTATTCCCTTCCATAGTTTACATTTAAAATTGATTGATAGCAGTATATTTTGTCCACATTTGTCCAAGTAGCTATTTTAATATAGAAAGAAAGCAAACTCCGTTTCTCATTCAAACAAACATTTTCATTTTGGACTGCAAGTTTTTGAAAGTAATCAATACTTATAAGGTAAACAAAGATGTACAACATAAACAAGGGCTATGTCAGGATGTTAAAGTGCAGAGGGATCATTTTGGCAAAAGGTCTGCAAAAACAGTAAAAATGCCAGAAAAAGTTCAGCTTTGAAGTGGCATTATATATAAATGAGATAAATGTGGAAAATGACAAGACAAATTATTTTTAAGATAAATGGCCCTCGTTGGGGGAAAAAGAAGGAAAGCCATTTTAAATATCAATTTATGATTGAGTAAGATGATTCAGGACCTACATAACTAGTGAGGATTTTATTTAAAATTACAGGTATCCCCAGGGAAGATCAACATCCGCCATTTCAAACTGAGGTCTTTGATAAAATAATACTAGACCCACCATGCAGTGCTCTTGGACAACGCCCCCAGCTGCAGTGTAAGACAACCAAGTCAGAACTGGCATCATTTGCAGTTTATCAGAAGAAAATATTTCACCAGGTAAATGGCTTGCCAGTCATACATCTAAAATTATCTTTCTGTACAAAGGAGCTAAATTTAATCAGTCTTTATGTTCTAAGGAATAACAGATTTTCTCTTGAACAGGCTGTGAAGCTGCTTAAACCTGGTGGAACTCTTATCTACTCAACTTGCACATTGAATGTTGATGAAAATGAAAACCAGATTGCTTGGGCTTTGGAAACCTTTCCAGAACTAAACTTAATACCACAAGTAAGATTAGTCAACATGTTATATCAAATCAGAAGTAGATTCCTGCCTTATACAGATTGCATAAAACAATAAACCACAGAATCAAGGAATGGCAAAAAGGAAACTCTCATTAACTTTTTTTTTGTTTTTTATGTGATGAAAATAACTGTCTTTTGTTTAACCTTTTTTTTGAAAAGACAAGCATCATCATTAAAAAACAATATGATACCTTGAGTGGCCTTCCTTGCTGATGACAAACTTTGTTAGCTTCGAATACATTAACACATTTGCTTGCAAAAAGCATAAAGTTCTTACAAATAGAGTTTCCCATATGCCTTCTTACTATTATGTGACTAAACGTTATTCCTTGTTAGCCTGGGAGTGCCAAGAAATAATTTTCAATGACATAAGTTCATTCAAAATGGATTGAAAAATATCATCAAGCTAGACAATAAATACACTTCTGCACCATAAAAACCTAGTTTTTAAGTAAGATTGCTGCAGCATAAAAAGTAGGCAGCCAATTACTAATAAACATTCAGGAGTGAAATTCAATATATCTTACTCAAATTAAAAATAAAATTTTCTTAGAGAATCTCTAGACATTTTTTAGAATTAAATTATGTTCTTGATTTTCTCTTTTGTATTTATTTCAAGAAACTGCATCTTGGTGGAACAGGCATTGCTGGCCACAATCTTTCCGAAGAACATTGTTTGTTAGTGCAACGTTTTGATCCATGTCTTATCTCTATAACAAAAGATTGCTTTAAATCTGAAGACTTTCTTTCAGTGAACAAGGACACAATTGGCTTTTTCATTGCAAAATTCATCAAATCTGATGATATCACATGCTGAGTCAAACATATTTTTTATTATTTATCACTTTGAAAAATTAGTGTAGTTATGACTACAATTTCCTCTAATAAATTTTCCTTGAATTTGTACACATGTAATATAGCCTAGTAATAGCAACATTTAAAAGCAGACACTTTCATTTTATCAACCTCAGTCACTTGTTGGTTCTTTTGGTGTTTCCATTCTATCTATTTTGTATGTTATCAAATACTCTGGATATGCCTAGAACAAAGAATAAATAGTCAAATTTAAACTGAGAATGGTGCAGGTACTATATTCTAAAGCATTGCCCAACTTTACTTAAAAACTAAACACAACAGTTACCAGTTTCAAAGAGAATCTACCAAAAAAGTCATTTAATTTGAATTGAAATTTAGCTGTGTCAAAGAAATTTTATTGAATGTCTGGTAACTCATAACAATTTCATAATGATTTGTTGCTTTTTCAAAGCTGTGTAGTTAGCCAGTTTTGTATCAATTTATCATCTTTGAAACAATTCAGTAATAAGGCAAGGTAGCTAGTGTTTCTCCACAGCATTAAGCACTCCATACTTTAGGGAAGAGGCTACATAGGTCAGGCAGAGAGAGGCTAGAAGATAGTTTTTGATGATCTCATACTGCTTTAATTCCATTGAGCATGATTAAGCATGGTTATAGGAAAAGAAGAGTAAAAGAATTGATAGAAAAATAAGAAATATTCTATTAAAAAAATTCTTGCAATACTCCTAGTTGAAAACTAGCATTTACCTGCTCTCCCCGGTACACAACATATTCTGGATAAGAGAGGCCTCCAGCATTCGGCTTTCCAATAACAGAGTGGTGGCCTGGTGGTGCATGTGCCATCTTTACAGCCGTGAATTGAAAAAAGGGCTTACCCAGTGTCACTCTGCTTAGGATGATTTGCCTTCAAAAAAACAAAAGGCTAGGTAAGCGCAGAAACTTATAGGAGAAGTAAATTAATGGGACCCATAAAGGCATATGGGAATAATTTTTTGGTGGTACAAAATTTGAAATGGCTTTGAAAAAGAATTGTAAAATGTTTGTTTTTTTTAAAGGCATATTTGCTGTACAAAGAGTTTCTGATTAAAAGTTAATACATTTTGCATTTTCGGCTTCTTTCATATGAGGTCATTGCTTTTTGCATTCTTTAATCAAGGATAGTAGTTACTTGAAAATGGCTTTGAAAAAAGTAAACATTTGAGTAAACTAAAGCTTTTCGTCTGACATTTTTCAGAGTTTAAAACGTCTGAACATAGATCAAAAACTCTATGCTAGGAAATATATATATATCCATTTCTGGATCGAAATAGGCCAATCAGAAACGCGAGCACACGACTCTGTCGAGGTTGCTCAATCAGTGCTGCTTGCTTATTGAGAATGTTACCAATGGAGTCTTAAGGTAAAAACGAACTCTTTTGTCTACAAAATGTAAACTTATTTTTTAATAGTTTTCAAAGAAACATTCTTATTTATTTCATGAATATTTTAACAAAACATCTTTCTCCATAACTATTAAGTGTTAGAAATCAGGAATTCCAAGGATAAAAAATTGGAATGATCTATCACTCTTGACATAAAAACAGCAGAAAACCAAAACTTTGTTTTTCGATGAACACAAACTTATTTCTATGACTTTTCAATACCAGATTTCATATTTCAAGGTATTTCAATGACCATTTAAACTTCCATTGGTTGGACAATACAATAGACCTATTGTTACGTTTCCAGTCGGCAACATACTGACTGGCGAGATTGTGGAGATAAATAGTGCCTCTAAGAGCACTGATGTCAGAGATATTTGGCCCGATGGCACTTGCAAGCTTCTTCTACATGTCAGGCAGGTGGCAGCATTTTAATGTTTTTAAATTCATGATTAACTTAATGGTATTTTCTTACCAACTTCCTATCTTGTTAACAGTAGTCATTGTGTTTTGTTTGTAATAAATTAATACAAGCTATGAATTAAATATTAGATTTCAATTGGATTAAATATTGCATTTGAATTTCTTCATTTACAAATGCAATTTACAAGGCACAATAGGTTGGCCAGGAAAATGCTTCTGTTGGCGACTGGAATAACAAGTTAAACTGGTTCGACTTTTGCACAACAGCTGCAGGATTAATGCGTTGTTATCTGTGTCAATCAAAGACCAAAGGAAGCCGATGCTGCCTCAGTGTCACCAGAGTATAGCTTACGTTACCTGAAATATGATTCCATTAAATGGGATCAATCAGATTTAATCGACCAATTGAACAATTGCCAACAACTGGGTCTGCATTTTAATCAAACAAACGGACTGGAAGATGCTCTGAAGCATCGAGTTCTTAAAAAACATACCTGTGACACTCATAGCAAGACCGATCTTTGTGCAACGGGCAGCCAGATCCTCCACCTATCCCATAAACGTATTGGTTGCTCTTACTAGAGTGTTCTGCGAAGTATATGCCTGGGAGGAAAATAGACTGATTGAAAAGAGCAAGTCAAAAGTCCCCTCTTGCAATAAAGCCAATTATCGCAACAACCATTATAAGGAGCCTCTCCAGCCAAAATTTTATTTCATTTTTATCGAATTAAAACATTTCTGTAGGATAATAAAACTGTTATCATTGAAAGATGCTGACTCAATATTAAGTTAAAAAGCAGAAAAGTTGCCTCTTTTCAAGACAAAAATTGCCCCTGTCTCAATGTTCAGCTTTTGTTTGAGGTTAATTTTTCACTAGCTCGAAATATATTATACATTTGAAGGGCCTAAAGTAAGGTCTAAAAGCATCCACGGCGGATTAATCTATATAAGAGACTAGTTGAAATGATTAAAAAGAATACTACTTCGTCAAATCTGTCAGTTTGATAGACCTATTTCGAGTGCGACTGTGACATGCTCAGCCGTACGCTGTAAATTGACTGTGGCCTAAGCCTTTCGGAATCTCCTTCAAGTATTTTGGCTTGGGCGTTATAGGAAGCCCAGTCTGCTAAATCCGATAATAGAAACGACTGAGAGCTAATGTATACACTTGCATCCGCATTTTGCGAATCGCCGACCTACAAATTTCTGGCTTCACAAACGAAGGCGAGGTCATCCAAAATACACCGTGACGCCAATCTGCGTAGCAGTGTCACCAACCCGAAAATTTACTGGATTAAATTCTGTAGCCGATATGCAAGCACTAGAAACATAAAAACTGTACACAATATTTGAGAACAAAACACGAACTCGTGATCAACAGGTTGAATTTTATAAGATTGGCTAGTAAAAGGGAATGACAAGTTTTGACTGGAGGGAGACTTTAACATTACTCAAAAATTATATCACAAATAATTTAAAGCTAATTATTTGAAAAAGAAGTTGTCATGAAAAAATAAATGAATAAACAAATAAATGAATAATTTAGAAAATAAATAAAGGAGCTAATAAATATAAAAATTAATAACTAACGAAAATTGCTGGTCATAAATTGCTCGATGACATAAGGAAGACCTTAGCAAAGATGTAACTTAGAACTAGGGGTGTACCGGATCAGGATTTTCAGAATCCGGCCGGAACCGGATTTACCGGATTTCTTCGTGGAATATCCGGCCGGATTCTACCGGATAATCTGACCATTTATAGAATTTTCAGTAATAAAAAGTTTTGAGCCACTTTGCGAAAACCTATTCAGGGTTGCCAGATTGAATTTACAAACGAAGGCTAGACTGGTGAGCAATTTAAGCCAAAATGCTCATAAAAAGGCCAAATCAAAAACTCTCTCAAGAATCCATCAAGCAGGCACTGGTTATATTTCTATTCTTGTGCCTGTTTGATAATTTCTTAACTTTGATAAGAATCTTACTTTTTTCCAAAACCCTTTGCTAATGTCAAGATAATATTTAGGTTAGGTGATAAAATTTGAAATTTGGTTAACACTTTGTAGTTAATTATTATTTATTCTATGAATGTAGTAATTACTTATTAATTTTGGACGTCTGCTGAAAAGGCCAACAAGGTCAAATTTAAGTAGTAAGCAAAAAAACAATTTTTCCAGGCAATCTAAATCTAAAAACCAAAAATGAAAAATTTGGCCTAAAAAGCCGATCTGGCAACCCTGGACCGAATTTGTGAATTATATCATCCAGTCTTCCTGTTTCGTGATGACGGGCACTTTCATTTCAAATCTGTTTTCAAGGCGCTTGTTTTATCGTCGATATTGTTTAGTTCTGGAAAATCCATTTTTAATCACTGTATGAAGGGAGTCTGACTTGGTTTTCCAAATTTTCTTAGTTATGATTAAAGTTCTGGAAAATCCGGCAACTGGCCGGATTTCGGAAACAAATCCGGCCGGAACCGGATTTTCAAAAAATCAGCGATCCGGCGCCGGATTATCCGGCCTACCGGATATCCGGTACATCCCTACTTAGAACCGTCTTTTTCTATACACCAAAGAACGTGAATAAAGGAATGAATTGAACTAGGAAAATCTTGGTACAGAACGTTTGAGTCAAGGTTAAATTTGCGACGAATAATTAGATTGAAAATAACGGGAACTTGAGGAGCCATGCCCACCTGCGCCAAACATTCCTCCAATGTACGCATGTCGCTCATCGAATCCTTTTTGAACAATTGCATTGACGAATGGCGAGCCTTTTAAAATAAAAGTATGAACGATAAAGGATCAAAAGGTAACTAGATTTAAAATAGGCAGGCAATGATGATTAGAATAAGTGCTAACAACAAGTACTTTACATTTTGAGATGATTTTTTTCAATATTTGAAAATACAGCTACAGAATAGCAGCATAAGCTAAAGTTGCAGTTTAGATGAAATAATAATTTTCAAAGAAAAAATTAATTGCAGCTTGTCGAGCACATTTTAAGGCCCATATGAAAAATAAAGATTTTTTATCGATAAAGATTTGTTATCAATAATGTTTTATCAATCTATTGTGTTTTATCAATCAAGATCTGTTCGGTAAAATCTTTTCACTACACTGAATTATTACAAGTATAAAATTATTAAGAAATACGTTGTATTTGAACGATATACCTTATGAAATAAAACAATGACCTAAAATTGAAGCGTTTTAGAAAAGCTATATACATCTCATTTTGATAAGTTAAAAAAGGGCATTTTATGTTTGTAGAGACTTAAAAAAGGAATTTTACAGCGCAATTATAAGGTGCTGTGCTATATAAATGATAAAGTGCACTATATTTTGTATCTAATTTACCATGAAAGAGCATTCTCTCATTTGGATTGTTGTGATTGCTTTCAGCAACCTAAAACGACAAAATAATATGGTCTAAGAAATATATCAAAGGACGCTAAAAATTTACTAACAAATATCTAAGACGAATCTCAGGTAGATTTCAAACTTTAAAACTGGCTTTGTAAAAAGCACACACTATAAACAAACTTAAACTGTTCGTCTGTATTGTGCTGTATTAAGCTGTATGGTACAATTGTGTGCTATATTGTACTGCATTGTGTTGTATTGTGCTGTATTGTGCTGTATGGTACAGTTTTGTGCTATATTGTACTGTATTGTGCTGTATCAAGTTGTATTGTGCTGTATGGTACAGTTTTGTGCTATATTGTACTGTATTGTGTTGTATTGTGCTGTATGGTACAGTTTTGTGTTATATTGTACTGTATTGTGTTGTATTGTGCTGTATGGTACAGTTTTGTGCTATATTGTACTGCATTGTGCTGTATCAAGTTGTATTGTGCTGTATGGTACAGTTTTGTGCTATATTGTACTGTATTGTGTTGTATTGTGCTGTATTATGCATTTTTTAAATTCACTTTAAGACAGGAATATTTGTAATATTTGGTGAGGAGGCAACTCGATAATGTCTTGTCTTTTTCCCCACCTCAACAATAATTAATTTGAATTTTGTATTTGTTTTCAATGTTACAGAATAAAAAGACGAAAAGTTTTAGTGTCTTTAAATATCTGATTCTTCAAAAGCAATTTAAATCGGAAAACAGTTAATAAACTGCAGATAACACCAAATATACGTCCTAATCAGACGACTATTAAATTGGAACAGGGTAATGGCGCAGCCATTTACAAAATTCCAATCGTGCACATTCCCAACATGAATAAGATTTAATTCCACTGTAACTCTGTAGATCGTAAAATTTAGCAATTTTCAAAATTCTTCGAGATTCCAAGAAACAACTGTACATTCAAAGAAAATAATTAACAAAATTAACCAGTCCAAGAGACAGAAACTTACTTCTCTGCGTCGAAAAGCGTATCTTTCCCACAGTTTCTTGTTGATCACCCTCTCCACCTAAGAAGGTATCGTTTAAAACATTAAAGCACGATATCCAATAGAAGGTATAAAAAAACAAATGAAAAATCTACCAACGATAAAACTTTAATTCTAATAATAAAATACAGTATTGTGTCGTTGGTGGATTCTGCCCTTTCCAATTACTCATCGTCACATTAATAACATGACACCCACTACCAGATATTTTACTTAGCAGATGCAGCTAACAGAAACAAAATCAACAACAACAACAATAACATACAAAATCACCTTTATGATTGTATACGATTTGAAAATACCGCCAGCGGCACCCCCGTCTTTGTGCTCCACAATCGTTGACTGAATCTGCAAACGAAAGTAAAAATCAATTAACGATGCGCGAACATTGACCTTCTAATATCCTGAAACAATTTGTGGTTATGTACATATAGTTATGCACAATCAATTACAGCAGATTCTAATTTGATTTAGAAATTCCCATTTGATTCGGAAGGTTCAATTTGATTCCCACCTTTGAAAGTCTGTAGTCTTTGGATGACAGCCTTAATATACATTCTTATAGTAGGTGTATTTCGTTGGCAATAATGGACAGTAATAAGAAAGTAAATATAGCCAAATGAATTCCAAAGTAGGAACTAAAACAAAGACTTACTTCATCGCAAACAGAAATGAAATCTTTATCGTAAGATGACAGCTCTTGTAATATCGTTCCGTTGCCACCACCAGTGATAGCAGAAGGAAATGGACCACCAACTGTAATAGGCAAGAAAAGATAAAAGATTTGGTACGGCAAAATTTGAAAAAAAAACGGAAAAAAGGAGAAAAACATCAAGCTAAAGTACTTTTCGTCCGACATTCTACACGACAATTTAAACGTTCAAATGTCCAAAATTTTCAATAAATTTCCAAGGGTAAGCAGTATTTATATCCAAATGCGAATAAGTAAATGTGTATCCATTTTCCTGGTCAACCTATTTTTTCACTCCCTTTTTATTGTTTGAAAATAGCACGGAAAAGCGGAAACAAAGAACCAATAATACGTGCAATTCTTCATCTCATGTTACTTTAATACATGTGAACAAGAAACGTGTGAAAATAGCACGACATGTTTCCACTTTGCCGTGCTATTTTCAAAATATTAAACAGATTGAAAAATAAAAAAGAGTTGGTAGGGTTTTGAATAAGCAAAAAAATGTGCATAAAAGACAAATGAAAGAAATGTTAAGAGACATATATTTTGTTTCGCCTTCAAATGGATGAGAAAATGAACCTTATTTCATAATAACATTTCTTTTTTATAATTATGTTATTTAGATTAAATATGCTAATAGTTGCGTAGGATATGGCCAATGAAAGATGTTTGATGTTTGCTAACGGATTATTGTAATGTTGGCTTGGTTCATGAAGGTATGGACAGAGAACAGATTTCAGTGGTTTGAATAGGAAAAACCTGTGCCTTATCACAGCCAATTCCTAACACATTTGGCTGGATTTTCACATTAAGTAGCATTCCAAGACGCTTTGTCAGGTTATGTGATACAAATTCAAAAATCGATTTTTTGTGAAGTCATCACTTTAGACATCTATTGCTAGTAAACGCCAAAATGACCATGAAAGTTACCGATTGTACAGCCTGCAACTCCCAGTCTTTCTTTAACAGCCTTTAGCAGTTTATGTCGATGACCGTAGGCAACAATGCCAACTTCTTTGAGTTCCTCATGTCCCATGTCAACAAGCACGTCCATTGTAATCTGAAAAAAGATGCCTTTTGTTTCAGTTTAGTTTATAACGGGAGCGGCTTGGAGCAATATTAAATAGGTAATCAAGGTACTAACAATCTAATCAATAAAATGCCACACCCAAATAAAATAAAATTCCCAATGCCACGCCCTTTATATAGCCCTTTAAAAAGGATTCTCAAAATTGGTTTCTAAAATGATGCCTAAATAGTTTTGATAGACTACTTCTTGTCCAACAAAAAATAACGAGAAACCCAAAACGTTTGTGGTACGCTTTAGATCATACATTCAATGTTTTACATAGAATGGTTTATTTGCTAAATATCTTGTGTAGCGGAATAAGTTGTTTTTGTTCTGATTATTTGTGTTGAACATACTTTGAAACTTGCAATTGTCTAAGCAGTATGCGGTTGCGAAAATACAAGCTACAAGGGGACGCGTACGCTTAAAGTATTCGGAAAAGTTCTGAACACCTTCGCTTTCAAAATTCTTTGTTTAGCCCCACAGTTATCTCTTGTGACTGGCGTCAGGGTCAGTCAAAAACAATGCGGGTGTATTCAAGATGACCCTTGAATACTTTGTGACTGCTGGCCGCTGACAAAATCAAAACAAAACAAAATCAAGGGTGTAAAGATCACTGTTTTTTATAAAGCTTCTTCGCCCCACTTTGTAATAGCATTGTACCGCACAAAAATAGGGCTTTGCTTGGATTCTTATTTCGGAACATATTAAAAGCCTTTGTTTGAAAAAAAGTTGGTATTCATGAATACCTTTAATACCCAAGCGCGTCGCCCCTGGTACATAACAATAACACAACAATAACATAACATAACATAACATAACATAACATAACATAACATAACATAACATAACATAACATAACATAACATAACATAACATAACATAACATAACATAACATAACACAACACAACATAACATAACATAACATAACATAACATAACATAGCATTACATTACAAGTTCTTTTTCTTAATTTATTTTTAAATTTTTAGGGTGTAAGCAGTGCAATGGCTAGCTATTGCGCTCTAGGGAGGTGTTCAAGTCACTTTTGCCAACAAAGTGAGTGAGACATTCTATATTTGCCGACAAGTTTGGAGATTCACCGAAAAAGCACTCCTAGATGGCAAAGACTCCACTTTTTGAGATGAAATATTGCATTAGCTCAGCCTCAGCTTGTTCTTTATCTGCTCTTAGCTTTTGATCAACTTTGCGGCTCGTGTTCTCTCAAAATTGTTATTATAATAAAAAAAGAAACGTCTTTTCAGAAAAAGGTAGATTATCGTACTTTTTCCTTCTCAAATATTTCTCTCAAATGTTCCAACTGTGCAGAAGCCAGGAACTCCAAAATGTCAACTTCTGTTGAGTTTTCACCTGCAATAGTCACATTAAAACAAAGTATGAAAAACAGCATTTGGGATAGCTCAAGCACACTTAATCAAACGGATAGCGACATAATAATCATCGTGGTCATCATAATAACATAGCTTTTAGGCAACTAAAAATCGCATATATTATGAGATGTTGGATAATTTAAACATTTGAAGGTAGTAGTAGCGAGACACTGCAATGGCAACTTAAGAGTTACCACTACATTGTTAGCAGTATTTGCCAAAAGATCGCATAAACAAACACCAGGTATTAAAGGCCATTTGTCCCATGACTCTTTTCAAGTCAACAATAGGTTCTTCGACACAACGTTTTGTGCTGCGTTTAAAAGCGAGAAACAGGTTGGAAGAAACTGGAATTTTGCTGGCACAAATCAACAAAAGAAATGAATAGCTAGGTAAAGGTCTTATGTGACATTAACTCCTTGCGACAACGCTAAGTAACCTTGTTCTCTGCCTTAGTCGTACTTTTTTGCTCTGTTGTTGTTATGTTCAACTCTCTTTCTTCCCGTGACGCCAAAATAAAACGAGACCGTAACGATTGGAGCATACAAGAATAGCCTATTGTGTAATTCGCCCAGTAAAAACATGGGTTTACTGATACGTATTGTGCCTTAATCAGAGAGCTGGTAAGAGTTTTCAAATAACCGTCTTCTGGCAAAAACAGGGCTTTTTCTATTGACTATGATATCGATTATCTTTGACAATAGAAAGATGGTGTTGACTGGAAATGTGTCTGTGTACGAATGCCTCTATGGTTAGTCAAGTCTATGGCAAAATAATGATCAAAGTTTATGTAGTCAACTATCAAAAAACAATTACCTTCAGCCTCAACCTTTGACCTCACTGCCGACACCGCGTCACTTGCCCCTCCAACTGGATTGGCTTTCAAAAGGCTTTGGTTTGCAGCAGACGGCTGCATCATACACGGTTGCCCGGCGTTGCTGCTCGCTGATGTTGCGGCAGCGGCCAAGGGCTGGCTGGTTGGTTGATTCACAGTGGAGGGGGTGGCAGCCGCTTTCCTCGCAGGGATTTGAGTCACTTGTGATTTGCTCGTCATGGCGTCTTGCAGAAGAATCTTTACGTCATCTTGCTGTATTTAAGATAAAAAGATTGTTATTGCTTGATGATTTAGTGTTTAAAAACAACAGAAACCGACCTCAAGGAGTATTTGCATTTTTGCGGATAAAATATCGAGAAGCAAGAAAAAACAATGAGATCGAATGTATTTGAGAAAAAAATCATATTTTATGACAAATGCAGATCTGCCACAGTAAAGAGATTTGCCAAAGTAATGAGATGATGAAACATCGCAACATAGCTGAACATTCTGTAATTTTGATTTTGATTTGAATCTGTAATTCTGTAACATTGGAAGAGCCCCATAAATTCAGCAATTGGCAAAAGAGATAAAGGACGATCCCGTGTTTTTTAGTTCTAGATTTTAAAACTAATTTATATAAATACTGAATGCAATGGCCTATGCCTCTCGTTTGAATTGTTTTTTTTTGTGAAATAGTGAACTAGAAAAAAATGACTGCTTCCAACGGTAGGTAAATTCCCAAATTGGTCCTTCTATACCTTAGATCTTTGATCTTGGCAGCAAGAAAAGTTTTTCAATTATAAGAATTGCTAGTCGTTAAAACAGAGCGTTATGGCACAGTTGTTATAATAGTTAAGATAGAAGGTAATAAAACAAACTCTGAGTTACCGTTGCAACATCCACTGGTGTATGTCCTTCCTGATTTTTTAGGTTTGCGTCTGCACCGTGGGTCAGCTGAAAAAGAGACAATTGCTGTCAATGTTAGACAGGGTGGGTGAGGGAGAATATCAGCATTGAATAGCAAATAGAGTGAATGCCAAATAAAGCATGCAAAACGGAAAGGGAAGGAGGGAATTAACGAGGTATGAATAAATGGGGTTGTTGGTTGATATGGTGATCAGCGCTTCTGGTGTATTGGAAGTTTTGTTGTGGTACAGAGTTTAAATAGCTTTGAAAAAAGCAAACATTTTGAGAAATGTTACTGAAACTGGCGTCTGACACTCTTAAGAGTATAAAACGTCAGAACATAAATCGAAAAACTCTAAGCTAGAAATTATAGATACCCAGTCGAGGATTGAAATAGGATGTCAGACGAAAAGCTTATAGTAACATGTTTCAAAATGTTTTCTTTTTCAAAGCCAATTTTATTTTGGCAGTCTTTGTGAGAATTACTTGCAGGTTTAAAGGGGCTGCCCCAGTGCAAATTTCAATTGGTGCAAATTAAGACCTTACAGCAGCATGTTTATCTATTCGAGTAGAATCAAATTATGGGGCAACTGGGAAAAAAGAGTGAAATGAGCTCACCAATAAAGCACATAACTGTGTCCTTCCTTTCTGAGCAGCTTCGTGTAAGGGAGTAAACAGCCATCTGTCTGTGGCGTTAACGTTTCCCTTGTATTTGATAAGCAAGGCAGCAATGTCAACATGCTACGGTGGAAAGAAGCACTTTATATAAAATCATCGCATTCAACAAGAAACAAAGAAATTCACGAAATGGTCCTATAGATGGCTTAATAGAGCCCTCAAACGTAACTATGTTGTATTTTTCTATTATTATGTTAATAAAATATCTAATTGTGCAGCCGTACCCCATAAGAAGATGCATTGTGAAGTGGAATTAGGCCTCCTTTATCTTGGGCGTTCACGTCGGCACCTTTTTCCAGCAAGAATTCCGCAACCTCAAGATGATTGTATCCAGCTGAGGAAAACAATTCGAAATAATTGGCAACTATTTGAAACATTTTCTGATAAAATCTTTGCGTAAAATTAATGAATCACTCTTTTTATAGGTCAACACAATATAGAAACACCAAGGTTCGATTTGCCAGAAAATAAAAATATCGTAACGATTAACTCTCATGTTGACAAATCAGAGCAGATTTTATTGACTAATCAGCCGTGCTACTAAAAATGTCATGCAAAACTGTTATTTAGCATTCTTAGAAACAATCTGAATTAGGTATATAGTTTTGAAAAAATAAATTTCTAAATGAAAACAACGTTCATATTAAAAAATAAGAACGTCTAGTTTGGGCAGAAATTATCAAGTTCTAATATAAAAAGAGTAAATCAAAACAGATGAACTTGCTCGTGAGTTAATTAGTGGCTTGTTAATTGCAGCTTATTTTACTTTTCACACATGAAACAGCAAACTAATGTTACAATATATAAAACATACTAGAAAGCATAAAAAGGGTAAGTTGTAGAAGCAATTGCACTAATTACAATGGTTGAGGTAGGAGAGAAATATTCAACACATAAAAAACCCAATAGACTGATAAAAACAGACCTGCTAAATGCAAAGGCGTTGAGTTCCTTCCTTGAGTGTCTCGACAATTGATATTGTCCCTCGTGACCAGTTTCATTACCTACGACAAAACAGAGAGAGCAGCTTTACATAGTTTAAATTGCAATTTGCTGTTATTTATTTGTGATTCCATTCTTAATAACGAAAACAGTTAACCATATGGAATGGAGATCTAGAGATGGGCTATTACCTTTGGCATGTTTCCTTTTTTGGCAGCTTCGAGCAACGCAGCGTCACCCCGCAGTAGATCGATGACGTCAGGGAAGCATTCTTTGACAAGATCCAAAGGTGTGTGTCCATCTCTGTTCTTCTTGTTTGCATCTGCGCCATGCTGTAACAAAAGCAATTAACTGTAAGTATGGCTCAGTATTAAGGGTCTCGAACTAAAATCTAAGCGTCTGTGGCTAGTCAATGACATGGTCAAGCGTTCACTTGGTGTGTAGTCCCATTGAGAGGGAGGACAAAGACACTGCTTGAAAAGCACAGCTTCTCAGTGTTCTAAAATTTATCTTTGAGGCTAGATGGTGACATATAAAAATCCAAAATGAAATCTTATTAAGAATGTATCTAAGGCTGATTAAGGATATTGAATACAAGCTAACAATACTGGAAGATTTAAAGAAAAGCTAAGTCTGTCGATGCTTAAAGAAAAAGTATATATTTGTTAAAACTTCATACCCCAAGCAGAAGTTTGCAAATGTCAAATTTTCCTTTGGCAGCGGCCTCGTGAAGAGGAGTGAATTTCCAGAGATCCGATGCGTTCACATTAGCACCATACTGGAAAAGAAGTACTTTTACATTCAAAATGGTGACATAAGCCTAGATTGAGCACGAAATTTATGAGCGAACAGGCAGACTGATATTTGCAATAAATAAAATGTAAAAAGCGACATTTCAAATGCAGTAATAAGACATTCTATTGACCAGGTAATATATAATTACTCCATGTACAAGGTTGATTCTTGCGGTCTACATATATCAAGTCTTATTCTACGACATACAAAACACTGCATTAAATTGGATTTGCAATTTTGGTTTAGATGAGATTGTAGCGTAGGAGTACCTTGACAAGAAGCTCTGCTACCTCATAGTGACCATAAGAACACGCATTGTGCAATGGCACCAGACCGCTGAAAATAAATGAGTTAAACGGCAGTTAAGAAAGAGCCAGGAAAGTCCTTCCAAAAGACTATAATACATCCAGACAGTATTATTGGAACCATAAAACAAAACGGTATCTGTTAAAAGTCACTTGCTTTGTGAAAGATGCTACACAGATAACAAGGTCATTAAAATTCAACAAATTGCGACAAAAAAGCAAAGTCGTATTATAACTTATGTACTCTTCCCTTAATTCCATAATGTTTGTACTTTCTCCTGGTTAATTATAAACTCCATTTTACATATAGGCAAAAAAGGAGAAATGTGCTTTTAGTTATCGGTTTTTTCGGTTTCCGAAGACTCTTTAAAATTATGCTTGCGGAATGAAGAGGATTCTTAGCAATTATGAAATGTAATTCCGTTAAAAAGGTTCATAAATTCAAAATCTGCCTACCCTTTGTCCTTTGCGTGAACATCGGCTCCATTTTGCAACAAGAACATGACAACATTGAGTCGATTGTAGCCAGCAGCAAAATGCAATGGAGTGGAGTGGCGCCCATCAACGTCTTGGCAGTTTACATTTTGTGACGTCACCAGGCTCTACAAGATAATGAATGTTATAATCGCTATTGCCACTAGCATATGCAAAGGGGGCAACGTCATGTGGCCATTGGGATATAAAGGTGAAGCACTCAAAAGAATGCCCACGTCTAAAGTATTTGCAAACTACGCCATCAGATATGCTTAGAGGAAAAAACATATTATCTGGAGTTTATTTCTGAAATATTCATTACCTATCAATAAGAAATATTCTCACTTCTCAAACGATCAAAATGCAAGCTAAACACATGGCAGCAAACTTCGTATGTTTTGAAATATTGTTAAGAAAAAAATACCAAAGTTTGGGGCCCTAGGCTAATTGCCCTGTGGGTGTATAACAATGCTGTGCTGTCTGCAAAAAAAGCTGCACAGGTTAATACAACGGGCCATAACAAACAGGCTTTTCACAGTGTTTTAATGATTAAGCAGTAAGTAATTTTTCAAGGTAAGTAAATAATCACCTTTAGGATATCCATATCACCAGATTTTGCTGCTTCCAATATCTGTTTGTCTGCGTCTTTTGAAGTTGGCTCTTGTGAGGCTGAGAAGGGAGAATCGAAGTTTCAGTCAATAAAGATTTGTACAAGTATAGACTGAGCAGACAATCTATGTATCGTGGGTTCAAAGGATTTAATTAGAAAGCCAAATAAGAGTACACTATCTGGAAGATAGAAGTTTATACGATAAGATAAGATAACAAATAATTCTTGTTGCATAAGAGTGTAGGTGTTTTAAGAAAAACCAAGGTGCATTATAAAAACAAGTGTGAAATATTCCAATGTTTTCTTCCTATCATAAGATGGGATGCTAATGTCTACAAATGCCCCTTTTCTAGACACGGAGTTAAAACACTAAAGCGAATAACACCCATTGGCACTCAATTCAAAGGTTTACATTCAATGTACAAGGCCGAACCTTGTAAAATGGCTTTCACAGCATCTGTGGATATTTGTGCAGCGGTGTAGCCTTGGAGAGAGCTCAGAGCCGAATCAGCTCCGTTGTCCAATAAAAATTCGCAGATGGCAACATGGCCATTCTTGGCACTGCGATGCAGTGGGGCTTGACCAAGGTTGTCCAACGCGTTCACCTGAAACCAAATTGCATCAATCATAGAATAATTCACAAGTGATTGAGATGCAACAGGACAAAAGCATTGACTCCTAAATTAAAAATTCTTCAGCTATCTTTTTGTTTTATTCTTAAATCTAAGTAACAGAGATCTGTTGCACTGAATTACCAGAAATGATGCGATGGTCATTTATTGATCGAACCGTAATTATCAAAAAGTTTCATAGCAAAATATTTTATCTACTATAGCTTCTATCGCTTAACAGACCGAGCAAAAGATAACACAGAAAATACAATGAGAATTCCAATGTTACAATTCCGGATAGAATCTTTTCTTTCGTTCCTCCCTTTCGTTTAGTGTTGATTCCTCTATACTTAACAAACAAGACTTCTAACTCTGAATGGATTTAAAGGGCTGTATGTTGCACTGTTTGAAGATGCTACCAGTTGTGTGCTTAAAGTTTAATTCAACATCTGTTCCAAGGATTGTAGAAAAAGTTATATGAAAATATGAAAGATATGAAAGATATTTAGAGATATGAAAAGCATTTTAGCCAGTATAATTTAGGCATACCTCAGCTCCGTTCTTCAAAAACAATGTTACCATGTCCGAATGACCGTTTTCCGCTGCCATATGGAGAGGTGTAATTTTCCTACAATGAATCACAAACTTCATAATGCTTAGGTGCATCACAATGACAACAAAGCATTAGTCAATCACTAATCAATGGGTACATTAACGTGATTATGAGGGCTGAATATACCTTGTACCAACATAGGTTCCAAATCTTTGATTGGCTGAGCGACCAAAATTCTGCAAACCTCATTAGCCAATCAAATCCAAGAATAAGACAACAAACGTGGCTCAGCCAATCAAAGATTTGGAACCTATGCCCCTCGTACCTAACAAGCTACTTTTCCCCAAATCTTTCACATAAAGACTACAGATCTATATCATACTGCAGTTAGAATCTTCCCTTAACTCTACAATAATAAACACTTTAAAAACTTACTCTTTATTTTTCGCATTCACATCAGCCCCCTTTCTGATCAAAAACTCAACAACAGCTTTTCTCTTCTGGTGATCTGACATCGCCAAATAATGCTGTAAAATTAAAATAAACTTGATTAAATGAGAACAATTGATTTTAATGACACCAGGTTGTGCAAAACAAGAGCTGAGGGCGCAGTAATCTGGTGGAAAATGGAAAGAAGAAAGTTACTCGGCACAAATATATTTGATTAGAATACTCACCAAACTTGTGTTGTTCGTGTAAGGGTGTTGAAAATTCAGCAAGTCTTGGGCAAACGCTTTTTTCACTCTTCCCATATCACACGATTTTACAGCATCCAAGAAGCTATGGCCTCGAAATTCGACTAAAGTGACAAAAGTATAGAATTATTAAGGGAGAAGGAAATACCTAAAGGCAGACTGAGTGCAGTGGGGAAATCAAGAACGCCAAAGAAGAACACAAAGCCCCAAAATCTGTGTAAATCAAAAAGGGAGAGAAGAAAAATACTATCTCTTCAGACAGACGATGCTCCATATCCGGTTTTGCTCCATATCAGCGCTCATCAGTACTGCTTGACTGAATTAGGACCCAAAGCCGACCAGGCAAATCATTAGGCTGTCAGTGGCTAAGCAGCTATTAGAAGTGCCAAAAACAAACAATTTAACTTATATAAGAGGGGGCCAAACGTCTCGAGCAATGATAAATTTCATATAACCAACACCTTTGGTAGACCAAAATCTTAGGCAAGCATTTTGAAAGGAAGCATAACTGAATACGGTGATCATGAGACTAACTCACAGAATAACTTCTCTTTCAGCTCTTGGGTTGGTGCTACATCGATGGCACTTTTGGAATGGCAATTTACAACTGTTGGGTCCGCATTGTGACTGAGCAAAAACGTACACACTTCGACTCTGTAAAAGATACGTACAACTGTGCTAGATCCAGCAATGGAATGAGACTGTAATGAAGAAAAGTTCTACCAGGATTTCCTATTTGTTTAGACCCAATCCATTTCCCGTTTGAATAGCAAAACTATCATCAACGCTCTAAGAACTCAAAGGCACTTTCCAAGAGCTGAAACCGGAAAGTTGCTCTAAACTGGAAAATAACTTTTTTTATAAGCAAGATCTTTAGTCCTGATGAAATATGTTACCAAAAGTTGAAAGGGGTGGGTAGAAGTTATAACTGAAATTATGATCTTAAATAAATTTTACTAAAAAAGAAAAATGTGTACACACATTGATGATTGAATAAGCCTTTGGTACCGCAAAAATTTGAAAATAGCACGAAAGAGCGGAATCATGTAAAATCGGACTACCTGTTTCCGCTCTTTCATGTTTGATATGTTTCCGCTCTTTCATGCTTTTTTTAAGTTAATAACTGAAATAATATAATTTGCCAAGAGATAGATAGGCAGTAACTATGTCATTCTTAGGACATTATAAATTTGGCGTTGAAGTACAACCATAAAAACGGCGAGCAGAGTCAATGGAAGATCACGAAGAACAATCCACGAGAAATATTAGTTGCGTGCATTATCAAAGGCAAAAAAAATATGTGGATAAATGAACTGTCCTACCTGGACTTAGAAGCAGCCTCGTGCAAGGGGGTGAACTGCCAAAGGTCCATCGCATTCACACTAGCACCATGCTAAAAACAAAGCGTGATGTTCGTGAGGAATATTAGCATCTTCATTACCCGCTTAGAGGGTGGCGGTTGAGGCTCCATCTAAAGGAGGCCGAGGGGTGATGATTATGGTGTTATACAGCAGATACGAAAGGATATCAGTTGCAAAGACTGGGGAAGCAATAGTTAAGTCCAGGGTTAAACGAACAGTTGAGGAATTGTAGTTTCTTGAGAATTAATGGAGACCTTGATCAATCTTTGAAAATTTGCTGAAACCATCTCTGAAAAATCAAAGGGTGTTAGAGTTCTTGCACATGTAACGGTCAGGGTTCTTGTTATGACGGTGAAGAGCTCAGGTCGTTGGCTGAGGGATGGGCTAGGCCAAAGGGCCTAAGCCCCGAATAAGTAACGCACAAAAGATACTCGTTCTCTGGTGTTTTCTCTAATGCTTCCATCAGAAGACCAACTCATATCGTGATCAACACATACTAATAACCTAATAACATAAACAAAGCTCATTAACAGGACAATAGGAGCGTCACACTACATGTTAAAAGACAAACACATTGCCATAAAAAGGCGTTGTTCACTAACACAACAGGAATTGACAGAACATGTGACTATAACACGCAACGGGAATATTACTAAAATTGATAAAATACGAATACCAAACCGTTACACACAGCATCAAACTTTTTTTATTTTTTATTTTTACGAGAATATCTTGTATATTAATTTTCGTTTACTTTTGTTATTCAATTGTATGTTAATTAGCTTGGGTTTCAGACAGGGCACATTGTAAATCAGCTATTATCTTTTCATTACTGAATGTATTACCCTGCATCAATAATTAAAAATCAAATCAAATAAAATCTTCAATCAGGGTATGAAAACCCACCCGACCATTTGACCGGGCGGTCGCAGGGAATTTTTCATGAATAAAGTTCTGCAGGAATTTTTTTTAAATATACTCTTTTGGAAGAAGCATTTTTGATTTTTTTTCATGTTCATCAAAAGAAAAAACATGAAGACAAAACAATGCTTATGCACGATTTTTGTCTAGTCGCATAAAGAAAAAAAAATTTTAATACCCTGCCTTGAATGATATGTGCAATCTACAGGAATAAATAGCAATAACTGCAAACGATTAGAGTAGAAACACAACTTTGATAGATACTGCCAGGTTGAGGTGAAAGGCGAATTGTGTATACACCTAAGTCCCAAACAACTAAGATTCATACCTTGACAAGCAGTTCAGTGACTTCGTAGTGTCCATATGAACAAGCGTTATGCAAGGGGACAAGTCCTCTGCGAAGGAGAATATAAAACTCTGCTCAAAAACAGTGAATTGAGATACACAGGTGAGTCATTTCTGAAGAAATAGAACAATTGGTCATTTCTAAATGTTCAGTTTCATTAAAACGACATTACCCTTTGTCCTTGGCGTGCACATCGGCTCCACTTTTTAGCAGCATCTCGACGATTTTGATACGGTTGTACCCGGCAGCCAAATGTAACGGAGTTGACTAGAAAATGTAACATATTTTAACGACATCTTGGACAATACAATCAAGGTGATTAAGAAATTTGTTTGTAAAGGCTTCAAATAAAGCGCCCCCTTTTCTTTGCAATGTATGCGAGAAATATATGCAATATACAAAATTAACACTAGATTTTTCAAGGCATTATCCAAAGAAGAAAATAGGATTTTTCTTGTACCTTGGCTACAAATGTATATATTTGCGTCCAACATGATAGCTGAAAAAATATTCTCTTGTCAAGTTTTTGAAATGACTATTAGGCATATTTATGGAAGGAGTAGATAATTACTTTACTACTGCATGCCAAAAGAAAGATTCAAACAATGAGTTGTTTTTATATCTTACCAAACGAAAAATAAAGAATGACAAAAGTATTTTCATCTACCTTTCTACCATCACTTGCGTGACAATTCACATTTATTGGTGTCAACAACAGCTTCATTTTCTCCTCACATCCAGACCTGGAGCAGAAAGATAAAGGTAATAAGCCTTAAAATCGTTGGAAAAATTCAACAGTTACAAATAAAACTGCTGAAAATCATCTATGTTATCAACTTTAAGATAATACTGACATGTTTATAGGGTGAAATTATATCAGAAGTAAACAAAAAAAATATCTTTCTACAGGACTACTAAAATATGACAAATTGTATAAGTCACCAATAGATTGTCAGCCTGGCCCGTTTCCATTGGTGAAACATTTTGATCACCATATAATTTTCAAAAGAAAACAGTCTTACAGTGAGAACATAAAGAGCTCTGCCTTTCACTGTCCTGTTGACGTTTTACTGTAAATTGAATCAATTAATGCAAACTTTGCATACATTTGAAGTGAATACAAATGAATATTTAAAAATACATCTCTCTATAATGGACCCCTCCAAGCATCCAACAAACGATTTATTCCCACCACTTTTTCTGTAGTCAAAATCTAACCTAGGGCACCAAATGACGATAGATGATGCTATTCAAACTCAAATATCAAATAATTTTTTTGCTTAAGCAATCTTGTATTCACAAATAAAACTTGATAATGAATAGAACCTTGCATGATCTATTACCTTGCTGCTTCAAGTAGTTCATCCTTTTTGTACTCGCCTAAGTTCAAGGAAAAAAGGAAAAACGTAACTAGGTGCATGAGAATTTATAATACATCCTGAACAATCAGAAAATCAGTCTCACAGGGTCATATTTCAGGGGTCTGCATGTCATTCTAGCTATGTTTCTTTTGGTTCTAGAAACTATATCCCAAGAAACTAGTACATAAAGATTCTAGGTCATTGAACTTATTTAAAACTAACTCTGCAACCATGAAAAAATCTGTATTTGCATTTGGTTACAAGGCATTTTTACATATTGCAAAAAAAGAGTAAAAAAGTAGATCAGTGTGGTTTATGTCATCAAAAATACAAGAATGCACTGAGTACAGAATCAAAGGAAACACTAGGCAAATACATGAATGGAGATCAGTTCTTTCTTACAGGATAATAATACATATGTGTGTGAAATTATTGACCAAAATACCTGGAAAAAATCACAAAAATCTAATCTGACATTTGTTTCACTCATAAGGCTGCAAAATTTGTCAATGATGACGGGATGTACTTTCTAATTTATGTAAGTTTATCTTGAGCTGACCTGTTAAAACAAGTTTAGCAGCTGGGTCTGCAAGGTCACAAGCCGTCTTGCCATCTGTGTTCCGAATTGAAGGGTCTGCTCCATGCTGAAGAAGGACTGTTGAATGAAAAAACATTGGCAAAATCACATATAGTATAGAACTAAATTTCAGATAATTAGCAAAGCGTAGTCGCACTTGCAACAAGCAGCTTCAAAACCCATCTAAAGAAATATGAAAACCAACTATTGTTTCAACAGAATGAGTTCATTTTCACCCTTGGACTCCATAAGCAGCATTGATTTGGCAACCTTTATAGCCATGAACTGGTGCTTCTGATGGGCATATTTTGATCAAAAACCTGGAACATGTGTATATTTCCTAGCTTAGAACTTTTCATCATAATTATGATGCTTTATACTCTGTAGGCAAAAAGCCTTAGTATGTTTTTGATAGTTTGCTTTTTTCAAAGCCATAATTCTTTTCTATATCACAAAAAGTTGTATAAGAATAAAAAGCTTCTGTATGATTTGCATCTGTATGATTTTCTCTTAAGGCTTATGTGTGGCAAATTAATAAAAAATTATCCAATGTCAAACTGCACTACTGCATTTCAATCCTGGTAACACTGGTTTAAGATAGAAGGATAAAAAAGCTTGACTGTTGTGAAAACTGGCCACAGACATTCCTGAGATTACTTCAGCGATCATTTCTACAATCATTTTCTTTGTAAGAATAAATTCATAAAAATTTCAAGACTTTCAAAACTATTTATAAAACTAAAGCAAGGCTCAAATTTCTTCACCATTTTGACTTTCTATCTACCTGACTGTTTTAGCAAAGAAGACGAGTGTGACTTTTTTGCAGAAAGTTTGATACACTTCTCAATCTAGCATTATGCTCATATATTCTTTCATATTCTAAAAATTTTCATGATAGAGAGAGACAATAACAAAGATTTGAACATTCTTTTTTTCCTTACCAAATTTCACATTGTGTTGCTTAAGAATGATTTAAGAATAATTTTGGCTCAGCAAAAATGAAGGTATTTCTGTAGAAAAAGTGTGTTGCTTTCCACAATTTGAAATGATTTTTTGCAGAGTAACATATGAGATGAAACAGCACACAGTTCTGTGAATTCTTTGCCTACAAATATTTCAGCTTTAACATCACTTTGAGTTGCAATCATATCAAGATATTTTGAACTGTTAAACTGCTTAAGTATCAGAATCTGATTTAGCCATAAACATACCAAGAGAGACTTCAACTTTGCCTTTGATTGCTGCCTCATGCAATGGGGTGTAGTTCCAATTGTCCCTGGCATTAACATCAGCACTGTGTCGCAGTAGCAGCAAAGTGACCTCAACATGACCAAAAGAGCATGCATTGTGCAAAGGTATCAGGCCACCTACAAAGTATAATGAACTGAAGTTAACAGCAAAGACACATTGGATTGGAGGCAGGGAGATTTAATTCCCCCCCCCCCCAACTCTAGCATTAAATTTGTCAGAAAGTTTACTTTGTAATAATTTGTTAGAAAGTTCATCATTACCCACTACAAAAATTAACTATTGCTGCACCTCCGAAAAACAGAGGTATAGCACTGCATGTTTGGAAACAGGGTGATTTATCTAAAAGGCTAAATAAAGCATATGGTAACTAGTTTTACTTCAAATGCAATTCAGGCCTTCCTGGGAATAAATTAGCACAAGTGTTGCATTTCTCACCCCTAGACTGTTTTAGGCGTGTGCGTGTGATAGAGTGCTATTGGAATTTTGTCTTACTTCAACAAAGGTTTAATCACATAGTATATAGAGCCTTAAAAAATCCTATTCTTAAGTCATTTCTTCAGTTTACACACAACTTTAACAATGAATATCTCTGGTAAGCTGATGGTGGTATAACGGTAAAGGAAAGCTTATGAATATTGCCAGGGATCTTCGCTAAATTTGATGCTGAAAATATTCTAGATGAAGTTCCCAGCAATCCCTCTTGAAAACCGTGGTGGCAGTTTTCAAAAAACCCTTGAAAATAAAATTAATATTTTGGCCCCAACTTTCAATTGTGTTTCATGAAAAGGGATATGAAAACAGTTTTTAAAATGGCATGATTTGAAAATGGCACGATTTGAAAACGACACGATTTGAAAATGGCAAGATTTGAAAACAGTATGATTTGAAAATGGTACAATTTGAAAATGGTATGAAACATTTCAGTGCAAATGCTTCAAACAGAACAATTATATTGCAGATTTCCCACTTTTTGAATCCAAAGGGCTACCGTTCTGTTTCAAAGTGTAACCCTGGAAAATTTTATGCCTTTGTTACAACCTGCCACTTTCCAAATTTTTCATTTTCATATGAAAATGATACAAAAAATGAATAATTTGTGGAAGAATGGAACATCCTCGTCGGACAAACATGCCATATTGTGTAAGCCCTTCTGGGAAGGGTTGTTTAGCATTGCGTTGCACTCAGCTTATTTTTAACCCAGCTGGCGATAGGAACTGGATACTGAAATCACTGGCGTAAAACCAATAGCGTACAAGCTTTCCACCATGGACCTTCAGCAAAGGCTTCCACATAAAAACTGCAGCTCCTTAGAATGATGGATGCCTGATGATCTGATATTTCACACACAACTTGCACCAAATCTTGTTTACATATTGCTTATTGTTGTGGGCTTAAATAGTGTAGCCTTAAAATATCATTGTTGTTCCATTTTAGGAATATGACCAGCTTCTTTGTGACCCCTTTACTTTTTTAACTGAAGCTGCCAAATTTATGAGTGCAGATAAGAAGTAATACGGCACAAATCTTGTCTAAACTGGAAGTCTTTTGTTCAAAAAGTTACCTTAATTTACCATTTGAAAATGGCATTTTAGAAACATGTGCATGCTAACACAGGTCTTATTAAAAATGCGCTCTGTCCTGACTACTACTAGCCCTGATGCTGGTAATTTGTTCTGTGTTTGACTGCATTCAAGTGTTTTCACAGTAGCTCTTCAAAATGATTACGGTGACCCAGTATGGTGGACAAGACAAGTAAAACACATCAAAATAAAAAACACAAAACAATTTCTTGTTTTTTTTTGTCATCTTATTAGTTTCCAGCGCTTTGGTTAAAAAACAAACAAAAGATTTTGAAAATAGGCGTGCAATTAAACACACTTCCCAGTGTGGGGAGGCGTGTACCAGCACGTGCAAGTGTGATCGCACACCTTCCCAATTGCTTAAAATCTTTAGAATACATTTGGCTAATTGTGGGAGCCCACAGTTTATATCTTTTGCTTTCTACCTGACTTTTCAAAGGAACAAATGACAGTAAAGTTATGATTACCTAAGAGGTGGCTTCCTAGCAAAAGCTTTAGGAAAATTTCTAGACATGTACATTAACAAGTTAAACCAGACAATACTTTGCCACTTTTTTTAGATATTATCATTAATATTATTTTTAATATTTCATAATTAAAATTAAGGATAACCAAGAAAGAGCAACAAGCCAAAAACCTGTAGCTTCAACTAGAAGGTGTCTAAAAAATTCTGATTTGCATGTTGGTTGAAATATTTAAAAAAAATGAAAATACCATCATCTCTAGCATGTACATCTGCTCCATGTTGTAATAAGAAATCAACAATGTCTTTCCTGCCAAATCCTTGATAGAAAAAAAATTTAAAAAAAACCATGAAACTTTGCAAAAATATTCAAACTTTAATATCTATTTCCAAAAAAAAGACTTTCTATGAAACATCTATGATCTGGTAGCTCATCTAGTAGCTCAATATTGATCACAGGGTTTACAAAAACAAAAAGAATATGTAATTGCTTTCCAATTGCTGTACAAATGCAACTGCAATGAATTAAATGAAAAATAAACAGAAGATATTAGTTGCAGAATCAATTTGCAGTTTATTCAATATTTACTGATTTATTCATTTATTTACTCTGTTTACCCATTGTTTATCTTGATGAACAGTCCCTTAAAACAAAAAGCACTCTGTCTCAATTTGCTTCTCTTCCAAAATCTAGCAGTGCCTTAAGATACAGTTTAAAGATTAAATACTTTAGATACAGTTTAATATCCATTATTTTAGCACTTCTGTATGTCAGTCATAAAAGTCTTAGAAGGATAGCAATCACGTAAACTTGTATGGGATGGCCAGATGACTGCCAAATTGTATCAAAATAACATTTGCAGGTCTTATTTTCCACTTTATTTTATCAAATATATTATCCAAGTAAAAGGCTATCTAGATCACTTGGTTTATATCACAATGAAAGTATCCATTTATTTATAGCTTTCACAAGCATGTACGTAACTTTTTTTATCAAGCAGTTAGACCTGAACTGTTAGGTCAATCTGTTTGCTTAAATTTTTGTTTATCAAATAGGCATATTTGTAATGCAGTTGAGCTCATCCCAGTTAAAATATGTACAGATGAACTTTCATAACACACTTTTTCATTGCAGTCTTAAAAAAGAATCTGACTTAATTGCAGTACAGCTATTTGGTGGAAAAGCTTCTGGTGGAAAACCTAAGGGGCCTTTAAAACCCCTTCTATTGACAGCCCTTCAATCTGCAGCCTGACTGGCATGTCCTTAGGTGTTAGATCTTAAAGAGCTGCAAGGCTGCCAAGAATTACATAAGAATTAGCCATAAATTACAATAGATTTTTGCTAACCACATCGAGCAACTATTATTGATGCTGTTAGTTGCAAGCATAGTTGCACATTAACTGATTTCTCCAGTCACATAGTCACACAAAAAAAGTTCCGTTATTTATGAATTTACGTGCTAAGGTGATTCTGGCTGTTCCTTCCAACATAAGAAACAAAACTGCCCCTCAAAGAGAACAGCCTCCTTGATCTTGTAGGTCTAGAAAACTGTTAAAACAAGTGATTCTGCCATCGGTCAACATCTTTTAGACAACCCAGATTGTGCAAAACTCTATAATGACCACATGTTTTGGATAATTGGCAGAGCCCGGTTGTCCTTTCATCTAGCAGTATTGGAGTCGATATACATACAAACGAAAAAGCTGCTATTGTGTAGACAGAAGCATTTAAGATTTAAGATTTTGTTTTCCCTCTCGGACGCCAGTGGTAATTTTTCTTTAGGCACGTGACACTGATTGATCCACTATACCAGTCTTGTGCTTGCGTTTTTCTGATTGGCCTATTTCAATCCACAACTGGGTATATATTTTTCATCATGTTTTTTTTAAACCCTTATTCTGCTGTTTTATGCTCTGAGGAGTATCAGGCGAAAAAGCTTTTAGCCAATATGTTGTAAAATGTTTACTTTTTTCAAAGCAATTTTCAAGTTCTGTATTGCCAAAAAATTGCTCACATAGTTCTCAAACCACATATTAAGCCGTTAGCTTCATCATCCAGTTTTGTTCAAACATTTATCGTGGGTATTCTTTTCTTCATTTCCAACAAAACGAAAAAATCTAAACTTTCACCTTGAACTTACACCTTACAATGTACCAACTTGAACCTTTTTCGACGAAAGTAAAGTCGACTACCCTTTGGAATTTACTTCCATTCAAAACCAGCAAAAAGTTCTAAAAATTTTTGGAACCTCCGGGCAAAATGACATCAAATTGCATAAGAAAGTATAAAAGTATTCGGAAAACAATTTCAAAATGCCACAGGTAGTCTTAAATAAAACCATTTGATATTTAGTTTGACAGGAAGTGGTAGCTTCTGTTACCTGCGGCGAAATGGAGTGGGGTTGATTTCCTTCCTGCCGTGTCCCTCATGTTCACGCTCCATCGATTTTGAACCAAGCTGACAACTTTATTTACATCTCCAGTTCTACAAGCTTCGAAAAGTTCTCTTCTGTTATCGTCTGGATCACCTACAACATCTCGAGATGCATTAAATACATCTCTCCTGCTACTGCTGCGGTTATTTGACGAGGGAACAGGCCCATCGCTGTATTCACCGGCCATTTTTTTTGCGAAACCAAACAAATCGGCCTCTGAAACAAGATCTTTAGAAATCGGATCGACTGCCGTATGGAAACGAGGCTTTCAGAAAATGTTGGATTTTTGCAATGGCGGCAATTTCAATCGTGGAGAAGGGGAGTGCAATCAGTGCTCCGATCACTGCGCTACATTTTATTAACAAAGAATATTTAATTATAGGTATTCGTCTCTAGTATTAGATATTAATTTTCTGTCAATCATGCTTTGATTGCCTTCTTTTCAATAATAGAAAATTGATCCACTCAAACGTTTTGTACGGCATTCTGATCGTCATCTAATGTCCTAAGTGTAGTAAGAATCGTACGCTACAGGTAAAGTCCAGGCAAAAACCTTGCGCCAGTGACAGTTAACTGCTCCAAAGAATGCTCACCAGGCTGTCTTAAAAGAGAGAAATTGCCAACTTTGCTCGAAATGAACATGTGTTAAAATGAATACTCCCTGAGATTAGCCCTAATATGGTACTTTTATTTTGTTATGCCATTTGCTATAGCCTACACGTGTATCCACCACAGATATGTAGTGTCAGGGGCAACCATTCCAGTATTGTATGATTCAACTCGATCACAGAATTTTTAAACAAAAATTAAAACCCAAAAAACAGATCACCCAATATTAAGCCAGCCTCCTATATTTGCAAATCCCCTTGCCAATTATATGACATACAAACAATACCAGCCCCCCACTTTTTGCAAAGCAAGTGGTTTTAAAGCTACAGTAAAAGGTGTACGAAGCCTTGGCCTTTACTTTCAAATTTGTGGCACAGGCCCTGAATACAATAGACAATATACACAACAGCACAGGGGGCACCTCCCCCATTTTTCAGAATAAGTATATAAGTAAAGCACCTGTTTGCAACACACCAAGATTTCGATTTTGCCCTCATGTGCTTTCTATCCTTGATTACCTACATAGCTTTTTTTAATCTTTTACTGTGATGTTTTTATTTCACTGAAAAAACTATTGACAGTTTCATCAAAGTAATCAAATCTTCTAAATATAATTTTCCACCCAGGAGAAGGATCATTTGTAAAGATCTACAATGTTGATAAAAATTGCTGTGTACTTAATACGAAATTATTGCAGACTGGCAGAATACACAAATTTAAAGGTGATTATTTAATTTCAATACAGCAATATGTTGTTTGATAACTTATAATTGCTCAAGGTGCCCCTTTGGCAAGCATTTGTGATCATGTAGCCTCAAGTTGATGTTTGGTAAATTAACTTCACCTAGACAGATGACAAAATAGACAGGATCATTTCCTTTACAGCTTTGCTATTTTTCCATGCCTTGCTGAATTGAATCAAGCTAGAAATTTGTTGTATGTGCCTGTCAAAGCAGTTCAGTCTTGTATCTTCAATTTATTATGGCATGCACATCAACTATATCCAGGTATCACAACAGTATACTTGTGGTCACAGACCTTTACAGGGACCCTATACAGCAACAACAACAAAAAATTTAGGAAAAGCTTTGGGTTGTGTTAATTTATGACATATGAACTCACATAAAAATGATCTGTTTGCATCTTCTGTCCCAAGATGTTGTTGTTTCCAATTTTCTTTTGTAGTGATATCCAGAGATCCATCAAGTAAAAGTTTTATGATTTTGGGCCTTGGAGGAAAGTCGGTTAGGTTTTTCTCAGTTGCTGTATGTGGAAAAGATATCAGGTTATATACACTCACAATCTGCCTACAACTATGTACATTATAAAATGTAATTAAACTAGGATCTTTTGTTGGATTTGTTATTATTGCATTGTTGTCCATTTGTTGCTATTTGATTTTAAAATAAAATCTAACGATGGAGGTAGAAATTTTGAACAATGGTTTTTTGTTTCATACATTCTATCTTATTGGCCTTTAACAATATTCATTATAATTGTGTATCTTGAATTTCAATGGTATCTCTAACATAAAATATTTGCTAATTGTCATTTTCTCTCCATGTTACTTCTCAGACAGTTAAGTGGAAATTTTTCAACAGTACTAGATTTTCTCAGACTTCACTACATTTTTCTAAACTTGAAATAATCCTCTGTCATTTGATTACCAGGTTTAGGCTAATATCAAAAGAAAAATACTTTGAAACTTGGATCTGGGATGCTACAAAGGTAACACCTGGGGTGAATGGCAGTGATGCAGTGGTTGCCTTAATCACATCACAAAATAAGACCATTATTTGGAACTATGCAGCTGATGAAGTCTCAAAAATCCACAGTTGCCAAGAGCATTGTATATTGTATCCATTTCTTTAAATTTCATCTTTATAACAAGCAGTGCTTGTTGCTTTAGTATAGTGGCTATGGTAGTAGATTTGTAGACTGTCTTACAGAAACTGTAAAGAAAACAGTTAAACATAAAGGTAATAATCATAGCCAAGAAATGAAAACTAAAGAGCAGTAAATGAGAATGTTTCAAAGGAGCTGGCAATGAATATTATCTATGGAACAAACTCAGGAAGGAAGACACTTTTCTTAGTTGTATTTTTAAAGTTTATGTGATTTTTTGTAAAACAATAAATACTTTTGAATCATATCATTGAAAAGTCAACTTAGTTTCCGAAGATTTTCTTAATTTCTAAAGATATTCTGCTTGCTTTTGGGGCACCACCTTAGACAAGTTACTGGTTGCTGTTGGAACAGTATTTAATGAAGTTCTTATATGGAAGTCTGTTTCGTCTACCAGCTATGAGGAAGCTTGCTCAGAGCATGTGCATCCTGTTGACAAAAGGCTAAAAGGACATGAGGTATTAAGAACATTAGCACAAATACTTTGAATAAATAATAATGTTTTCCTATTTTTCCTTAACATAGAGTCAAGGTCCACCCTTCCCCTTTTGATTCTAGATGCCACCATCGCTTTCACTTGCGTAAAAACTTTGATTTGATAAATGCATGAAGGCTGTTTCCCTCACTGCTGATATTTCAGAACTGCCTTGAAATCTCTGACTCACGACAAGGCTCATTTCTTCTAGGGCGTCATATTTTCTATCCGTTTCACAAGTTCAGGGGAGCACCTTCTCTCCGTCTCAGATGACCGAAGCATCAGAAAATGGGACATCAAAAGTGAAGAGTGTTTGCAGGTTCTTTATGGACATACTGCTAGGGTTTGGGATGCGACTTACCTCAACGAATTAATTGTAAGCATAGGGGAAGATGCAACGTGTTTCATATGGGATGATCAGTCGACAGTCCTCAAGAAGTTTAAAGGACACAAAGGTGGGTTTCCCAAAGTTAGTCATAGAACCAGGTAAAAGAAGTCAGCAATCGATATTAGACTGTAATTTCGTTTTATAATGAAGAGCAGATCTATGTTGTATTCTTTTCCGTGATGCAACAATGTTGCTTCAATAAATGGCATGCTGAATTTTTACTGAACTAGAAATACAACACTGCTTGAAATGTGTTGATTCTTTCATGAGTGAATAAAGGATAGTCCTGTTATTTCAGGAAAAAACATTTGGAGTTTAGCTGTAGATGAAGGATCCAATTTGATAGCAACAGGTGGTGGGGATTCTAGCATTCGTTTATGGACCATAAATTCTACTGCAAATGGTATGTATATAATCTTGAACTAGAATTCCTACATTTGAGCTATATATGTTGCCATATATGTAGGTTAACAAAAGCGCTAAGGAAGATGTAAACAGTAGAATTTGAACCGCCTAAAGGGCAAGAATTCAAACGTTATTGTCAATAAGCTAATGTAATAAACTACCAAGCAGTGCGGCACAAACAATCTGTGAATGCATATGAGCAAAACTTATACAGTTGTATGATATTCAAAGGTTGTGAGGGTGGCTCAATGGTTAGGGTTCGTGGACAACAGATCCATAGGGTCTCCCTGTAACTCCAAGCATAGCAATCACGAGCTGTGGTCACATCGAGAGGAAGGCAATCATCGATAAGCATCGCTTCTCAGTGTCCTAAAAACCACCTTCTGATGCTAGGTAGCAACAAATACCAGAATTTAAACGTTCGGCAGAATAAGATCTTCTTCTGACTTCTTTGCCATCTATGTTTATTGACATTAATTGTCTGTAAAACATGAGCTACGGGGTCCTCATTCAGTTTGTAATCACAGGCCTCGCCACGATAATTGTCATTTATCGCAGTTTGTCAACACAAAACCCGCAAATTAGCCAATTTTTTTGGGGTATATATCAAATATATGACTTTTTATTTATGTTTCTTGTTTTTTCTTAAAGAATATCTTCACGAAAAGAGATCTATTGATTTAATACAGACTTCAAAATGTTCAATTTTATTGGGAATGTTGGGAAGAAATAGAACAGACTAGAGAAATTGCTTGATATGCTTTTTTGCCTCCTTCAACTCAATTCGTGTTTTGTCTCTTGTCAGCTCCCCTGGGCAGCCTAAGTTTACCGTCCTCTGATGACAGCGATGATTTCCCACGGGACCTGTTTGTCCTTAGCAGCAGCGAACTGTTGGTTCTAACAAATGCAGGGTTTGTTTCATTTACAAAACTTTCTATTGCGCACTGTTACTCTTTGCCATATACGTAGGGACCGGGGGCACAATGGGCACGTGTCTCCCCACTTTAAAAAAAAGGGGTAAAGCTCCTATTGCAGCCCAGAGAGGTGTCCCTATTTGCCAAAGGTGCCCTCTCCCTCCCCCCGTTTCAAATGCTTCCTATTTCTAAACATACTATGCATTATGATTTCAAATGCATTTTAAGACATTGCAAGATAGAGTTCAAAAGTGTTTCATTGAAACTTTTTTCTTTATGTCTACTGACACCATAAGACACAGTCTTATTATACCCTTTTACAACCAAACATGAAAATTGCGGAGAAGTTGCCGAATGACATCCAATCCTATTTTTAGATATCTGTTGAAGTACATTTTTTCGTCGGCAAAGGAAGAAAGCAATTCTTGGGAAACTTTGTTTTATGACAAAGAATTTGCAAGACATTCAAGTATGGCGGTGGAGAAAGATAAGAGACTAGCTGTCTTTGGAAGTTTAAATGGCAGAGTGAAAATTATTTCACTTGGTAAGTGGGTGGCGTAGAAAACGTCCAATTTCTTGAAAAGCCAGTCGGAATCAATATAACAAGAGTAGATAATACAAGAATTGCTTTTTCTTATCTTATTAAAGCTGATTAAAAATGCTGCAAAATTTAGCAATGCTTTTCAAGGCAAAGGGAAATAAGAAGTGCTGGAGAATTTTTGCTGCGGTATTTTCGATGAAACAGTACGTTACATCAAGGAAATGTTTCCGAAGCGATACATTTTTTTCAAGTTTTCAAGTTCATATCATGGTTTTTGTATCTTTTACAGATGACAACACAGTGATCGATAAGCAAGTTTTCGCAGGCAAGGTGTTTTCCGTCTCCATTTTAACAAGAGATTCTGCACGCGATGTTCCAGAAACTTATGTTGCAGCTTCAGGACCCAATGGGATCCTAATTTTATGGCAACTCATTTCACGTGATAGCTGTTTACAAGTGTTACATAAAGGGCTGTTTGAGCTTCCTTACTGCAGACAAAGATGGCTGGCAGCAGCGACACTCGTAAGTCAAAAGGACCATGAGCCACAACTGCAGATATGCTTGATTGTTGGCGACAGGCGAGGATCTATTCACGTCTTTGATGTAGAAGATGGAGCCAATGAGGCAGCACAGGTTTTAACCTCTTATTCATACAATACTGAATACCTCTTAACCTCTTACGAATCGAGAACCTCTTATTCTCATTTCATACAATTTATGACTCGAAATAAACAAATATCGCATTTGGCCAGAGTCACTCAACTTGATGCGGTCCAATTTAGGGTTGTGCAGCTGCGTGTGATGAAGATAGAAGAGTGGTAGATTCTGTCGCTGTTGTTATGTCTTATTAGATTAGAGCTCAGAGCTTGTTTGTGTGACGTATTTATTGGATTTATATTTACTGTCTTGTCTCGTGTGCTGGTTTGTTGCGTTGTGTTATGTAGTGTCGTGTTGTTGTTTCGCGTTGCAACGTGCTGTGTTATGTTTTGTAGTGTTCTATTCCTATCTGTTGTGCTGTCTTGTATTATCCAATGTTGTGTTGTGTTGTGTTGTGTTGCGATGTGTTGTGTTGTGTTGTGTTGTGTTGTGTTGTGTTGTGTTGTGTTGTGTTGATCTATGGTGCTGCAGTCTGCATGGGTTGTATGTAACGATTTGATTTGTACCAGATGACACCAAGGAAAATCGGTCAGGCATCTTTTCATGAAACCTGTTGCAACTGAAGAAAGAGTAAATCCAAACGAGAGAGAATTGAGTGGATGTTCAGTTTTAATTTTGTTTATGTAAGAGCAAGGGAAATTTTCACTGGGAATGGATCCCCAACGTTGAGTATTGCTAGGAATGAGGTCGAGTGCGAAAATTAATACGTTAATTACCCTTTTCTTTACCTTCTGGATGTGGTACTACGAAAGCACGGTCACCAAGTTCCTAAAAGAGACCTTATTGGATTTTGAAAAGTTATATTATAGTATGAACTTTTCAGTATCTAAGAGTTTTGACCCTACAACTTCCCAGTTTGTTTTTTAACTTTTTGCCCTATCTATTTTACCCTTTTCTTTTCCTAGGCGATTGGACCAAAACAAACGCTTTTGTCGATGCATGGTAAAAATGGAGTGACAGGAATTTATGCTGGTAAAGATTGGGTGTTTTCCACTGGCAGAGACGGATTTTATAGGAAGTATAGTGTGAACGGAAATGGGACTCTGGATATTTTGGAAAGAAAGAAGGTTAGTATGCAAGTCTAAATCAAACCCATTCATAGGTTAACAGCTATTGAAGACGGCAGGTTTAATGTTAATAGTTAAACTATTAGATTTTTGCTGAAGAGGCCATGGATTGATCGATTTCGTGCAAAGGCTAGCCAGGTGTATTCCAATCTTGATTATTTGAAATAATTTAAAATTAGAAATAACCTACTTGATAAAATTTTCTGGATGATTTAAAAGTTTATTTGGTTGAAATTTTGCACAATGCAAGAGCATAAGCAATATCACCCTGTACAGCTGTTATACTTCTCATTAAGTTGTTTATATAAGATTATTTCGTTTCATACTCAGAGTACACTCAGGGAGGTTTTAAGTAGTATGACTTCAACTTCTTTGCAATTTCGGTGAGTTTAGCTGTAGAGAGCTGTGTCAGTACTAGTGTAATAAATTATGTTCTATCGTAGGTCTGTAAAGGCATGGATTGGATTGAAGGTTTGCTCTTCAATCAAGGAGATATTCTTGTCTATGGGTTCTACATGGTAAGGCGTCTCCTTAATCAAGTTGTTTGTGCCAATGCTTGGCAAATGACTGGTACCGCCTTTAGGCCTGAACCTTTTTTCTCTTCCTCCAAAACCAGTGTTAACATTTTTGATGATTATTATAAAAGTCGCATGTCAGACATGCTCCTAAACATTTGGTTGTAAATAAACATTGTTTAAGGGGGTTGAGAAGATATTAGCTGAATTCAACATTGTATGTTGACTTAAGCGTTCCATAAGTTTTGAATGTTCAGTTGACTCAATTCTTCTGTTATAGCAATCACACTTTGCTGTTTGGAGCACGAACCTAAACGAGATAATACTGAAGATCAATTGTGGTGGAGGGTACCGTTCTTGGGATTTGCTTCTACATGTGAGTCAGGATTTGTCATGATGCTTGCTGTTTTTCTCAGGCATAACTATTCTTAGTTTCAAATTCTCAGGACGTTTCATAAAATGCAAGTGGGCCAACCAAAGCATGTTTAATCTGGTTCTTCAATTTTACCAAAAATCTAACCGACCTGTATATGAAGGGGAAATCCTACGTGTTCCCAACGTTCTAGTGCCACTACTGTAATTCTACTGCTATCGTACACTGTATTATGGCATTGAATTACTTCCCCCTTATTCTCCTCCATCTCATTTTTGTTTCCGTATGGTGTAATGAAATTGTTGCTTTGTTTAGAAGTCATAAAGTCATCCAAAGGACACAAGAGAGTGGGGCCAGGAGAGGGTAAATGCCCCTCTACCCCTTCTATGTGACATTGACATAGGCCCTTGTAATAACCAAGGATATTTGTATGATTTTCTGATTTTAGTGTTATTTTCAATCAGTTTTTCTTTACGTCTTATGATGACTCTACTCAAAAAATCGTACACAACTTTCATGTGCCACCCATGTTCAAAATACCTATAACAGATGAAGATAAAAACCGTTATGAAAGACAAAGAAGCATTTTTCAAATCCCTTTGGCATTAACCCTGTCTGCTGCCCACTTTGGGCGTCTCTGATCACCCTTTTTGCTCTTGAATTTAATTTTACACCCTTTCAGGGACACGACAATACGTATTTCACATACTTGAAAGGACCAACAATTTTATTATACAAGAAATCCTTCACCAACAGTCAAAGGATTCTCAAGGTATTTCTGTGAAACCTCTCTTATTATATGTTGCTCTAAATTTTTAGTCGTCGCTTTACAAATGAATGCGCAAATTTACGTACGTTATCACAATACGAGGCACTCGGTCTAGTCAACTGCATATTCCTTAATCTAAATTTGTTAGATTTAGATAAAAACTTTCACTTTCACAAGTTACAAGAATATTTATCACTTTGCAAAGTGGTGCTCTGATAGGTTGATATAAAACAATCAATCAATCATTCGCCAATCGAACCAATCACTTTACGTTAACCCGATTCGACTACAAACCTGCTTTGTTAGATTACGTATAGTTAAAGCCAGGGCTATAGATAAAGGGGGTTCAGGGGGCTCAGCCCCCTTCTTCATTTTGAAAGGGGCTCTCAGCCCCCTTCTTCCTCCTTTTTCTGGGTGATTCCAAAATACCATGGCTAATTTCTGCCAGTATCAAATCTTTTATTGATCCGATATTATGTTTTGACATTGGCATTCATGTGTGACCTCAATAGCCCTTTTGGTAACTGAAAACGTAATAAATGCTGACAAATATTACTACTTCGAATTCTTTGTTTTCAAGATTTTTCTACTCAAGTAACAGGTAGACATTGGAAAATGAGTTAACTCTAGAAAAAATGAAAGTGTAAAGAAATTGATATTGAAAAGCCATGCAAACGAAAGGTTCGAAACGAACTGAAACGTTCATTTTGTATAAAATATAAAGAAAGCTCTATGGCCCCCTACCTCTCTTGGTCTACACTACTGCTTAGGGCTGCTTTTGTTATAAGCTTCCCCTCACTGCCACCTCGCCTCAGCTCTGGTTACCTTCTTTATAACTAAGCATCTAGATTTTCATTTACAGAGTCAAACTCAGTTCCATGTTACAATCCAATGGAATATTCTATTGTGTAGTATTCTATTATATTTTTGGACAAATCTTCTTTGCTGGTTTTAGGAACCTCTGCATGGAAGAGAAATCACTTGTCTATGTTTGATTGATAGCATCGAAGATGGTGGTAAGTCGTTATCGAGTTCCAGTATAAAAAGATCTCCAGTTTGCACGGTCTGTTATTTTCTAATATTTTCTAAACCTGCATAAATTTAAACAAAACAAGATAACATTGCAAGTTTTAAAGCTCTAAATAAAAATTTCTTAGATTTTTATTTTAAACTAAAAACTGTAATTGTGAAACAATAAAAGTAACAAAATTTCATGCTCGGTCTTCAGTGTTTTTCAGACGAGAAGATATGTGGTCTAGTAGGGCGTGGTTTACTGCCAATATAGCGGATGAAAAATATATTCATTGAGACGATCCGTAACACTTATTCCTTTCGAATAATAGGCTGGTTAGGCACCAAAAACACTTTATCTCCATTCGAGTTGTACTGCTATATTTTAGCACCGTTCTATTATTTACGAACACGTTAATAGTTTTTGACTTAAAGAATACCGAAGTGATGATGTCACAAAAATCTATTAGAATTTTTCACTTTTGATCCCATAACCTGAAAGAGCATCATGAAATACCTCTAAATATGCCAAATCAGTTACAGGCATTACGAATTGGCTGAGATATGGCCACTTGAGCACAGGCTCTTGCCCCATCAAACCTCTGTAATTTGGTCTTGGTTCATAACTTTATGAACCAGACCAGAATAACAGTAATCCGTTAGCAAACTTGAAATCTTTCATTGGCCATATCTCGCCCAATTTTGAATATATTTAACTGATTTTGCATTTGTCTGATTTTCAGTGATGGGGCAGCAAATTGAGCGGTTGCCCCATCAGTCAGTAAATTAAAATTTGCCTCGTTACGCCCAAAAATTACGATTTTTTCTTTAACAATGAGTTACGAGTCACAAAAAAGGAAAAATTGATATAATAAGAACAGGGGATAATGAAGGTTACATTGTAATTGTTATCTTAACAAGAAGTAACGCGAATGTTTCTTGTTACTGTTTTTTTAGGCTGTCAATGTAAACAAAAACTCCCAAAACCTAACGAGAAGCGCTTAAAGCTATGACCACTGAATAGCTGGCACAAATTGACTCTTGATTACGCAATATACATTATGGATTATGCTAAGAATCTGCCCTAAAGCATGTCAATGTTCACGCATAAGCAGCAGCACTAAGTGCTACCTAAATACCTTAAACTAAACATAGGTGCGACATTAATCATTATCAAAATAAATCGACATAACCAATTAAAGAAAATCTTATATTTTAAGCTTTAATACCAGTATCCGATACCGAATACAATTTGGGGGTTTTGTGGGGTTGCTTTGGAAATTTTCGTATTATCAAATTTTATACTTGTAGAGGTATATATACGTGAGAGTGGCGAATTTACTGCAAAAGGTCGTCTGAAAGCCAAATTTTGGAAGTCTGTCAGGACACACACCACTACTCTCCCCCTTGAGCGAGGGATCTGTCTGTATTGTTTTTTAAGCCCGAAAATAACAGTTTTCTTCAAAAAACAGTTTCTGAGCTCCGAAACGAGACTCAGTCAGTACTAAATAAGTTTGATAATGACAATGATTAAACTTACTCTGAAGAGTAGTTTAAGTGATGTATACGATATATGAATGCAACACTTATGAGAACTGACATTCTTAAATTCTAAAGTCTGCCTATAAATTTGCAGATACAAGAATGATTATATAAACGAAGCTGCTCAGTTCGCAGGTCTTTGTCATCGACAAAAGTAAAAGTATTTGGAATGAAATGTCAAAACTTAACATCTGCGGCTGGTCTGATTTTTGGACCTTTGTTTCCATCGATTCGCTCCAAGCCAGAATCCAGACTGATTGTCCTATTTCCCAGCCCATTTTCAATGACGTCATTACTCCGTCTTCTGTCACAAGTGTTGTACATTTCTCTTGTCCCATTCAAAACGATAATGCGTGGCGTCATAGGCGAATGCTTCCTCACCCTGGGATTTTTCTGCATCACATCGGATTTTGACTTTTGCAGCCTATCGACGTTTGCTCTTGTCATTCCGTTGGGTAAAATCTCAAGGCTTTCCAGACTCTTTACCGCCTTTAGGCCTGGTTTTCCTTTGATGCTGGCAGCTGATTTGGGGGGCGCTTCTGGGGGTGCCCCCGATGGTCCCAGTGGAAGTGCGTCTATCTTATCAGCAGTTGACTTTGATGGACCTGGTACTTGGAATCCTACGACGTCATACGTGTAATCGTATTCATTATCATCATCATCATCATCAGAAAAGGGCGCTTGTTTGAGAGCCTGCTCCATGTTCCTGCGGGCCACATGATCTTGTGCATTCCCTTCCTCCCCTTCAGAATCGGAGAACTGTGCCTTCTTCATTCTGAGTCGTGCTTCAATATCCGAGTATTCGTCGTTGCTTTCTTCTTTTCGAACTCCCTTTCGCGCCCTTCGAGACATTTTCGCCCTTTTTAAACCCTTAGGATCGTCCATTCCATCGACATCATCAAGCCTAACACTTAGTTTGCCGTTTGCCACTGCTCCCCGTGCGCCTACCCATTCTGCGTCAGGTGGGTGCAGTTCCTCGTAGCTTTCATCCACGCACATGCCTCGTTTCAGATCACTGCCAATGCTACTGCTACTTCTCCTCCGGGATAAATGGTTGCTAACCATGCTGTGTGTTGTTGTTGTGCTGCTCCTCCTGCTCAGCTGATGTCTCCTGCTACTTTCCCGTCCCTCCGTATCGCTCGTATCTGAGGTCGTGTAACCATGTTTCATAATGGAGGAGTTGGAGTCGTGCCGGCGAATGCCCTCGATTTGTCTTGCCCTTGGGCCTCTTGGTGTTCGAGAGACATAGTGGGGTTCTTGCCGCAATGTGCCACAATGGTACTGCACCACTCTAGGGTTGCTTTTCTCTTCTTTAGCTACAATATAGCAACAAAAGCAGCAACAACAAGGATCGCAAAAACAGCAGCTCAACAAGCAGTAAATGAAACACATTATGATAATGACTGCTATAAAAATTCCTAAGAACACGCAAACGTAGAACCAGACACGTGCCTCGCAGCTCCATTCGACTTTCTGCGAGTCCAACAAGGTCGATGTCCTCGGCACTTGAACAACAACTTTATCAGCAGACGCAAACGAGATGGGAACAGTGCAGCTCTTCTTGACATCAGCAAAGCAGTTGACATTGTTTCGCTTGTAGTCAATGAACGACCTTTCAAATGATAATGTCAGATTGATATTAGCGTTGTCCGGTCCATCGCTGTAAACAACAAAGAAAGCACGCCGGTCCTGTTCTGCCCTGAAACTGTATAAACCTCGGTTTATCGTTATGTCTTTGCAACACCGTCTTTTGAAGTTATACGCTGCATACTGTTTGTTATTTTTCCAATTATTCAGCTTGCTCTCTGTATCAAAAATTAGCACATCGACATCTTGTTCGGTTTCTATGATAATGCGCATCACTCCTTGCTCGATTGCATAAAAGCCCTGCTCATATGTTCTCTGTTGTGGGCTTAGTGTGAGTGAAAGTGACATGTTGTAAAAGAAGTTTGCCGCATGGCCGACCTTTTTCTCCAATACTACGAGAGACCTTTGGATTTCCGAAGGCTCTGCTTTGATTCCCTCGCAAAAATAAGTGGAATACTGCAATAACTTGACATCTCCATTTGACATTACGGCATCCCCATTTTTATTCACAATGAAATAGTGTGCTACTCCATATAGACCGCATGCTAGGCCAACTAGAATCACAAATATCAAAATGCAGAACTTACAGAGTCGCAAGCATTGTCCTTTAAAACGCACGTTCTTGTTCGATGTTGTCTGCAGTTCCTTTGGGTCGATTATCAGTATTTCGTCATACACGTTGTCATCGATGATAGTTTCGCCGTGGTAGTGAGGGTAAACTGAGGCAGTGCATAAACATATCGAGTGAATCTTCTTACTTTTCACTGTCGCTCCATTGCTAATTGGTTTCCCGTTCGGCTCTTGTCCTCTTCCAACGTGAACATGTCGTATTCTATCACCACAATCGGCCTCTACATCGCTTTCAAAACCATGGTTGTGCCGCCCAACGTAGGCAGGAGGCGGACAAGATTCTCTGGCACTTAGGCAGATTTTATCGCTAGACTTGGTTGTCATCTTTTCTCACCCTCTGCAGCCTTGAGAAACAATTTCAAAGTAAGCGAAGATCACACAGCCAAACGACCCAATGGCCAATCGGAGGACGCAACGGAAACATTAAACGTATTTCTACATCTTCTTTATTCCCAAGCATTCATTATCGATCAAATTTGTAAAGTATTGCTATATTATTCTTGCTTAATGTGAAAATGACGGACGAGTTGACCTTAATTATATTTTTATTAGTTTCTCGTGAGTTTTAATTACTTTTTCAATCATTACTCATTTGTTTCATTTAACCTTTGGCTAGACATATTCTTTTCCCAAGAACAAAAACGTCACTTGACCAATTCGCCCTTGCAGCCAAAAACCGGTCCAGTTTTTCATAAAAAAATTGGCATTTTCACAAATATATTGTGTGTGGCATTTGTTTCATTAGCTAGTTCGCGTTGCCATCATTGTTCCATTTTCACCAGACCCCCTATATTCTACAGAGATAACAACCTCTCCTCTGCACCAATAAACCAATATTACCTCTCTGTTCTACTTCCTATGAACATTGCTCATTAATTTCAATATGATCTGAAGGTGAATACAATCCAAGTCAAACTAGCTTGTGGAGCTCCGCCTCTTCATAGAATATGGTTTCCTACGAGTGCACTCCTCGTTACCAAGTGCCTTACTCGTTAATCGCTACTGTTGTTTCCCGACAAGAACAAAAAATCTGAAAATGTTGCATGTTTACAAAATAAATTTTTTATAAGAAAGCATTTTATTAGAAGACCGAGGCTCGATTTGCCAAAGAAATAAAAACATGCCCAGCCTCAGACGATAAATTAGTGGAGAACGTTGTTTTTGTAGTTTTCCCTGTCAAAAACAAAGCAAATTTTATCAACTTATGAATCAGGCCACTACAAAAATTCATGCAAAAATGCTATTTGTTGGTCTTAGGAACAATGTTCGAGAGGCGATTCACTCTTGCAAATAGCCTACGAGATTTTGCCTAAAACAAAAGGATTTCTGGGGATTTTCAGATAAAACATACGGATTTTCACTAAAGGTGTACGAGATTTTCTTAGAGTGATTTGCCCCTCAACAATGTTAAGCGTAGAGTTGAAGAAAAGTCAATGTTGAAATCAGAACAACATCAAGAACATGCAAATTATCAAAAATTAATAACATTGAGCCTCTGCAAATCTGGTTCTTACACAAAAAAGAAATGACAAGGTATTTATCCTTTACTTTACTGCCATGCCAGAAGAATTTTGGTAGAGTCTTTACCAAAATTCTTCTGGCATGGCAGACACCTTTAACACAGGCTTTTTGGACAGTATTTTCTTAGACTTTAACATTTAAAAACTTTGTTGAAAATTTGAAAGTTTGCAACCTTGAATGTCTTAGGTGGATAGTGATGCAAAAAGAAATGTTAATGGAAATATAACTGCCTTTAACAAAATTTTCATAATGAAATTTTCATATTTTTAGATACGACAAAAATACTCTTTGCAACTGGTAGTGAAGACACTTTGGTAAATCTGGTCATTCGTATCCTTTTGAATCCTTGCTGTGGTTGTATCCTGGTTGGAACCGGGTGTTATTAGATACTGGGCTGCATCTGATACCGGCTGAATATGATACCGGGTTTTTGATACCGTGTTGAATCAGCCTGCGTGCAGACTCTTGCAAAAAAGGGGGGGGGGTGTTAAATGAGAACATACCGCATCCATCCCGCAAACAAAATTAGTTGAACTATTGACAACTGTCATTTTTTGACATAAGCTACACAACCAGACAGGACATTTTTGGGTTCTTTTGATCATGATATGTTCACATACAGTGGTGGCGCCAGGGGAGGGCTAGGGGGGCTACAGCCCCTCCGTCGGAAGCATCTAGCCCCCCCATCGGAGGAAATTTTAGGTTATTGTCGGAGAAAATTTGACAAAATAACGTACGAAAACTGCTTATTTTAGTCATTTTAGCCCCCCTGTCGGAAGCTCCAGCCCCTCTGTCGGAAGATTTCTGGCGCCACCTCTGTTCACATATGATTTCATGAAGCCTTAATGCAATGTCCAGATGACACAGGAAAGAACGAATTTGAGGTGGTTCATAGTTTTGACGGCCATATTGGCAGCGTAAAGTCAGTGGTTGCAGTGAAAGAAGATTCAGCTGATGAAATGAGCGGAGGCAATGAATTTGGGGGACAAGGAAAGGTTGTTAATAGGGAAGCTATAAGCAGTTTAAATAGGTCATACATCATGTTTACGTGTGGTAGCAGAAGCTCGTTGAAATGCAACCGTGTCTTTTACCACGCTGATGGTCATGTGAGCACGTCCTTGCTGGCAGAAATCGGAACGCCAATGAACTCTTTGAAAACCAAGCCAAGTGACCTGTATGATGATCTCCGCTTTCTTTCCATGAATGTTATCCCGGTGAATAATACAGAATTTTCTTATTGCCTTGCTGTGGCCTGTTCTGATGGATATATCAGGTACAGTAACTCTGTTCAGGGGATTTTTGATGATTTAAGAAATTTCGATAGCATTAAAATGAGCACTGATAAACGTGAAGGGCAAATCACGTCAAGAAAATCTCGTACACCTTTGTTGGAAATCTTTTGTTTTTATCTGAAAATCCCGCTGATAATAGCTTGACCGCACCTATTACGTAATAAGTGATGACCTGATCACGCCCAACATCAGCATTAGATCCGAACTTTTGTTTAATATTTAGCGCACATTATCAACTGCTGGATATCATACGAATCAATAAAGCATTTTTGCCTCAAAACGGTTAAAACACCATGATATTTTTTAATATCGAAAAGAACACAATTCCAACTCTAACGACGTTTTTGGTTCTCGTATTCGTTTTTTAGGGTCTATGGCTTCGAGGCTGCAAACAAATCATTTACACTGCTCATGGCTTCAGAATTTCACGGACGTTGCGTTCAAACTCTTCATAGCTTTGTCCACGCCGTTGATTCAAAGCATCACCATTTTCTGGTATCTGGAGCAACTGATGGTCGCATTGCATTATGGGATATAACTTCATGCATAGATATACTATCTTCTTTGGAAACGAAAGATGAAAAAGAATTAGGTCATGGTACAAAAAGCTTTTCGAGTAACGACCGTCGTAATACGAAACAAACGGTTGAAAGATGTGGAAACTTTTTTCACATTGAAAAGTTGAATTCTTCTGTACCACGTAGCAGTTGTTCTCAACAGCCACTGCATGTTTTCCAGGCACATCAGTCTGGGGTGCATTGTGTGGATGTCAAGGCGTGCCCATCAGGTATTGCTTCTCACACTACTCTTGCTTTCTTGACGTGGTAACATCTAGGCAATGAATTGGTTCGATACCACATTAAACTATTAAACTGCTGCCAATACCAATGTTTTGTTTCCCTGCAAAAGCTCACCATTGCCATGAAAGTCTGGAAAATCGTGGTACTTCATTTGAAATACTTTCTTTATACAGGAAACTTGCTGCACTGGATATATGCCATTATTCCAGCAAGTTGCTCCACACGAAAAGATCCTGTTTTACTTTCCGCTTCTCAACCCCTAGTAATTGTCAATTCCGGTAATATCTGTTGTAAAAGAAGTTGAGTGAAATTCGTATCTGAAAGCCAATACTTTCGGTAATCTATCTAAACAGACTGTTTTCTCGTAGATTCGCAGATAACCCTAGCAAGTGGGGGTGACGATAACTCAATATTCACATCGAATTTCACGCTTACTAAACACGCAGATCGCATCGCCTGCACGGTAAAATGGACCGACAAGAACATATTTGCGCACCATTCAACGATCACAGGTATTGCTGCATTTCGCAAACAAACTTTTTCTGAGTATAGCAAAGTTTATGTAAAAATGAATATCTCTGTCTACTTTGGTAGTTTATTTAAAGTACAGATTTTCACAAAGATCCTTAAACTTTATCAGAAAAGATGATACAGTTTTACGAATGATACTATCGCTGATACCCCAGGGAGGAAAAAGATGATACCTGAAAATATTGGACACAATGAGGTATAAATATATGAGGTATAAAAATATGAGGTATATTTTAACACAGCTATGAGGTATTAAATCGTTAGTATTTGGAATGTCAAAGGGAAAGGATCTTGCCTGTGATTGTGAAATAAACAAAAACATTAACTAAGGTGCATTACATGTATTTACAATCTTTCTAACTATTATTGCCTGTTGCAAACCAAACATTTTCACCACGATGCAGTACATAAATTGCTCTGTACCCCTAAATTATAAGAATTTTCAAAACAAAGACCCTGAGACTATCAGATGGATCTCCCGCGTAGGTAAAGTTCGCGAGTCACACCCTGAATACATGTTCGTATAAGCAAGTATCTCTGGTATAAGATAGCTGAAACGAGTGTGGTTGTTTAGCCTATAATTGCAATAGACTTTGGGTTAAAAGCGTTTACTTTTAACAAAACACTTAACCATCCCAATATCCCATAATATATTTGACCGGTACTCTAAACCTTTTCTTCAGTCAATTTTATAGGGTAATATCCAAAACTATAGGGTAATTTTTTGTTTTTAAAGTTTTGGGGTATATTTATTACTGTAAAATGAAGATTTTGTGACAATATGACTTGTACAACTACCCTAAGAGCCCATTCTCAGAAATAAAGCTCTTGGTGTTATTCTGCCTAACCTGGTTGAAGCATACAGACATAGCATGTTGGAGATTTGTATGTCGCTTAAACCCAGCATATCACGTGACCAAACTGCGAATCATTTTTCATTTGGACTTAGTGAAAGCTCTATCAAGCCCCGGAGGGGGAGGGGTTATTTATTTTTTTAGTACTGTAGGGGCTTTATTGAGAGTGGGCTTTAGAAAGAGGGGGATAATAGAGCTTTTACGGTAGTCAAATCTCCCTCAAGAGCGGGATAGCTTACAACAAGTTTTACCTTTCATAATAGGTTTACAGTTGATTAGAACTCTAAAATTGTGACACTAAACCTTAACATGCCCTAATTCTAATAAAACATGTACTACCATAGACAGGGGTGTAGAGTCGTCACTAGCTATTGTGCTCAAGAGGGGTGTCCATGTCTGATACAGGGACTTTAAGATTCATTAGGACAGCAAAATCCCTCTTAAGAGTTGAATATTCACAAAGTAACAGCCTTGTCGTTCATTATAGGTATACAGTTGGTAAGGCCTGATGTTCTTGTGTCATGTTCCATCGACCAACGATTGAAAGTCTGGCAAACTAATGACAGTGGGTTCCAGATTTTAAACGAAGTACGTATGAAATTTCAAGGACTATACCCTGTAAAACATTGTCAAACTGTACGTTATAAGAAATTAGTATACTAACAGAAATCGGGGGAACAGGGGAATTTTCTCAAAGGAGCAGGGAAACAAGTATAACTCAGAGAGGAAACAAGAGAACACTAAACTACCCTCAAATGTGAGGTCTGTAGGCCCTTCGAAGAAAGTTACAAAGACCAAGCCTTTTGAAACTTTGTAAAACCGTATTTTTGCATTTACCAGCAAGAAGTTACCATTCTTGTTACGACCTTAACCCCCCACCACACCCCACCCCACCCCACCCCACTCCACCCCACCGCACTACCATCCAAAAATTATCTTTCTAAGTTGCCTATGACGTTACCATGATGTTTCACAATGCTATGCGAAATATGAATAAGAAATACTGCAGATATTGAAAAAGAGATGAATTTTCCCTGAACCCTGGATAAGACCTGAATTTTCTTTTAAATTTTCGTTTTTCTCTGTTCCCTTGGTACTTTTGCATGTTTCTTTTTTTCTATAATTTAAAACTGCCTATTGGGAGGTGGAATAATTAATTTACAAGTAAGAGTGCAAACAAATCGAAATAAAGAATGGATGGTTTTGTAGGGGTCTCAGTTGAGATATTTCAATCTATTCACAATAATAACAAACGTTGTCCAAAGATTAGTCGTTTCAAAGACTAAATTCATTATTTCTAATTTTTAGGATGAAAAAGAGAAAAGCTGCTGGAAGAACATTTTCACGGATTTTGTGGATATTCCAGATGCGAGTGATCTAATCTGTTTACAAAAACAGTAAGTCTCTGAACTGCAAACATTACGATCGTTTCTACCTAACAGTGTTGCTATGACCGAATGCTATTAACTTTTCTCACAAGAAAACTTCATTTGTTATCCGTCGGAAAATTTGCCTTTTTAAACCCCCCAAGAAAGCACTGTTATACCATTTGCTTTGCTAAAAAATCATCTTTTTTCAAGACCTTTCTTTTTCAATCATTTTATTTTCAATCAGAAAAGGTTCTCCTCTTGTTGTCCGTTTTACCACCTACAGCTTTTAAAATTACCTTAGCAATTGGAAATTGAGATTTTTACTATAAGAGAGTTTTAAAATAGTGAGTTTTATTTGAAAATATCGGCAATTTATGGTGATCGCAATTTGCTGTTAACACCTGTCGTATCAATCTGTTTATTTATTACAATATATTTATCCCTAGGGACGAAATAAAGGCTTTAGTGTGTGGAATTGGACTTCAAATCAAAACACTGAAAATGGAGAAGACCTGATACCATTATCTGATCTGATAACATTACATTGATTGGCTTAAAAAGGCCTTATGAGCGAGATAAACATACTGGAGTTATCGTCCTCTTCTCTTAGTAAAGAGAGATTCGATAAATTCGGGTCGTGTTGTCATTTAATGATAGTATGAGAACAATTAGAATAAGTAAGATTAGACTGTTTTCAACGCAGACCAATGAAGCAGATTTAAAGCCTCTTGCGCAACCGGCACGCTTTGCGACTATAATTCAAAAGACCGGCCTAATATCGCACTGCATGGAAATACAAAACAGAATCTCAATTTCTCAAGACAACTGCCGCTAAGCATGCCGGTTGCGCAAGAGCCTTAATACACGTCAAGAATGGCCAAAAATAAATGAAGCTAAAATAAGAAAGCATTGAGACATCAATCCTGAACTCTGTTATGCCTCTTCTTATATAAACAACACGTGAGGCCTTTAAGATTGTTCTCAACGCGCAGCTTTAAAGCACTGTAACAAGAGCAGTACCATGACTCGTATCTGATTTATGACTAAATTCTATCTGATTCAGAACAAGATGATAAACTGGCGACTTTTTTCCTCTTTAGTGTAATTATTTAGAGAATTAATGTCCCTCCTCTTTACGGCTTTAAAATTCCGTGAAATGCAATTTCCTTATTAGAATCATTTGCTCTTATTTATTGCAGGACCTCAAGTTATTCAAGGATAAAAAAGCGATTTCGACAGTTAAATTGATTTAAACAGAAAGAATCTTCCCTCCTCCTACGAGTCTTTAGAACACCTAGCAGCCTAAATGTTTAATTAGAAAATATAAATTTATGGTTTCCGGTATAAAACAGTTTTCCTACCTACAAAATGCTACCGAAAAGGATTAACTTCCTGAATATATAACCATGTGTATCTGACCAGGGACATACCACGATATCGTTTAATATTTGCAAAGGAGTAGCAAAGTTTCTCGTTTTCTAATAAGCCAACATTTGAAATGTAAATATATTAGTTATTACTATAATATAAATAGGTTTTGTAATCAAATATATAAATTCATACAAAATTTAAGTATATGTTTTGAAACAAGCTGCTTTATAAACTTCTTTAAGAAAAATGCCTCTATATATTGATTGGATTTCCTATGGATATTTTCTCATTTGAAACGGACCCCCGAGAACCAGGTCTATAAAACACAGGATTTGGTGTACGGCGTTCTTTTTGGCCTGTGACTTTTCCAGTTTTCTTTTGAATAATAGGAGACAATACTCTAAAATAGCCTGTTGAACGTGAAGGTTTAAGTTTTGGGTGTAAGAACAGCTCCTTATTTTTCTCTGCCATTTCATTCTCATGTTGACCATCTTCTTTTTGCTCGCCAGCAGGATTAAAAGGTGGAAAATTCAGGATTATCTCCTGGTTTGCAGCCATACTAGACCCAGCATCCTCTGACTTTCCAATTTCAGCTTGAGCTTGGTTCCTGGGTTTCTTAGCAACGTATTTCACAATCGAGGCATTGCTGCTAAGGCGACTCATTCTCGCGTCAGCATTGTCTTTATAGATTGTTGCGATTTGCGAGGCACTTCTACTCTCACGTTCACTTGGCGTGTAACTACTTACACTTTTAAGCGTATCTTGTGTTATGTCTACCCATTCTTCTTCATCGAGCGCCCAATTATGATAATTTTCAATCGATTCGTAGGACACTGCGTCACGTGGAACTGGCCCCTTTACGAACCCGCTCGCAACATGATTCCTATTGCCGTCAGTAGTTGCTTCACTTTTTAAAACTTGCCAAGGTTCCGTAGGTTTCCTTTTTTCGCCCTGCAAACGCATCCTGGCATGTTTATGAATAAAAAATATCAAAACAAATACTGCACAAAGTCCAATGACTGCCGAACCAAAAACAACCAAATAAAACCAAACCCTAGCCTCACATTTCCACTCAACCTCGTTTTCTTTCGGGATGCCCCGCTTTGTAGTGTTTGGCACTTCGATTATTGTTTTTTCATCTGAACCAAAGCTTAATGGCACAGAACAACCAGTGGCCTTTGATGTCTGGCAGTTGGCTGTTGTTTTGCTAAAATCAAACGAAGGTCTCCTGAACTTCAAAGTCAGGTTCAAAGAGACTGCGCGGCCAAAGGATTCTGGGCGATAAAATGCAATATAATAGTCGCTTTCTTTTTCAGAGACAAATTCGAACGAAGAATCTACTGTATTCTTGTTGAAACAACATGCCCTTTTTACAAGATACGATTCCGAAGTTTTTCTTCCTCTCCAAATATCAAATTGTCGTTTGTTTTCGAAAATAAAAAGGTAGATGATTTCATTGCTCTGCCAGATTATATTCAAACTACTGTTTCTGTGAAGATAAAACATTCTACTCCAAAATTGGCCTATTTCAATTCTTAAAACATCACTCGTAGTGTATTGAACTTCCTTGTTTTTATCAACATTCACCAGTGCAGTAAGCCAAATATTAGAAGTAGTTGTAGAAACTGCAGAACAAAAATACGTTGAATAATCTATAACCAGCGCGTCACCAGTGTTGAGAAATTTTTGTTCCGGGTAATAGCCAATGTAAATGACACCGATTGCAAAGGTGATTCCAAGAACGAAGGCCATTGTTATTGAAGCAAGCAATATACATTTATAAGGAAAAGAAACATGGCTCCCGACTCCTTTGTTATCTTCTTTTGTTGTGTTCTCTAAAGTGCTACTTTTCGCAACATTTGCTTCCATCGTAGAGCTCGTCATCCATGATAAACTTGACTTCGGTCTTACGGAGTTAGAACTCTTTTCCTCGAAATCTAAGGACGTCTTCTTGCTATTTATTTTTCCTCTCGACTCATTCATCCCATCTGAGCCCCACGTCGCAAGGCTATCCGGGCCTAACTCTGCAAAACTGAGCTGGACAGAATTGTTTCTAGACTTGCAATGCTTCAGCATATTGCATCTCCTTAAAAACACTGACTTTCTCAGGTTTGTATTTTTTAGTTTAATCCGCTCAACATTTACTACGAAAACTTTTTTGAAGTATAGTTGCATTGTCTGTGCAGGTGACTCACACAAATCTCAATTGAACTTGATTAAAGTTTCATGAGCCCTCGCGGCTAAAAGAAGCTTTTCAAATGAAACCCACCCCCTTAAAAATTCATATGCAAAATTGTTTTCAGCAGAACCATGGTAACCTTGTCATGATTGTCATCATATTGCTTTGTCACGCACTGCAGCAATAAAAAATATACTTTCATATTTCTACTCAAACAAAAAATATTACTTTCAACTTTAATTTCGTGAGATGCCACTTTACAAAGATATTTCCAGAACTGTTTGTTTAAAGTCTCTTATTGCGAGAAAATTTGATGGCTTTGATATTAAAATTAGTTTTCTAGTTTGTTTTTCTCATTAATAACGGTCACAATGTTTGATAAAAACAGTTAGGTAAAGGAAAAAGAATTGCTTGAAATCTCTACGTCATTTTACCAGACCGGACTTACACCAGAAACCTAAATATTACATCTCATAGAAAGATGATGAAATAGGCTTTACATAGTTACTATTTTCAATAACTCTGCTTGTTTTTGCAACAAATGACACACAAAGTAGAGCTCACTTGAAAACTCAAAATATGAAAAACACTAGTCATTCCAGCATCGAAAGTATTCATTCGTTCTCAAAGGTAAATTGAATTTAATCTGTACGTTTCGCTTTTGCGAAGTTTTTGTCCTTTGCTTCTCAAATTGATATTAAAAGAGCAAAATGAGCTCCTGTTGCGATAAGACGTCCTGAATCTGTGCCATTATTATTTAGAATCCACCTGTTGAAAATTTCATGTAAACTGGCTTGATGGGGTTAGCATTCTTGTATTTGTAAGGGAGTCCGGACAAGAAACGAAGAGACGTGAACATGAAGCAGAAAAGAGGAACCTCGAATCTTCCTAATGCATCTTAGGTCGTCAATGTCACGTGCTATTAGCTACCTTCAAATTCACCGCCTATCGAAACACACCCGATTGCGTCAATTTTCTTTCTTTCATGTCTTTCTTCTGATATACTTAATACACAAACCAACCATTAAGCACATTAAAATATCCACCAACTTGTTAAATAAAGTCTACGAGTTGCTAAAACTATTGCTGATTATCCAGGATTTTGTTTTTTAAGAGTCTAGCTCTATACATGCAAAATGATCTTGCTTGGATAACTTGCAAATTCAAGAATATCATTGCTGATTAAAATTATTGTAAAGAAAGGCCTTTCTCTGAATTCTGTCCTATTTCATAGTTGTAGGTTAATGTTTGTAAATGTTGGACTGTTGCATCCCGACTGACTGTACGGAAAGCTTTGTCAAGGACGAGATAAACAGGAAGATGCGCCTAACTGCATTTTAACAGAAGTCTGTACAGTATATGAGAGAGATGTTATTGTGGAGCTCGCCTTCCGAATTTGATGGTATAATGATCGCTATATCAATGCTTTATCGCAGGCTCTATCGGGACCTTATCGTAATTGACTTTTCGATGGTTTGCATTAGTGTTTTGAGCTGACTTGGAAACTTTGACGTGTTTTCCAAATTTTGAGAAAACACCAATCGCAAATGTAATACAATACACGATTTAAAGGTCAGCAAAAGGGGATGAGCTAAATATGAGCTTGCATCTTATACCGAAGCAAAGGTGACTTAATTGTGGCAGGATGCTTAGCTGTTCTTTAATCGCAATAAATCGCAGCGGATTAATCACAATTACCATATACATTTTTCAACTGTCTTGAAAGCGTAGAAATAACACAAAACTTTGCCTAGAGACAAAACCACTGCAAAATATTACTGCATTATCCAATACATTCAAGAATTCACTAAGGCGCATAGCAACAAGAAATCAGTGCACTGTGTACAATATGAACAAGAAATCATTTGACAAGGTTACAATCAGGGAAATTTGCTACCTTCAAGTGAGAAGCCAACTAAAGAAAAGCTTCAAATTTCCATCTTAAATTTAGGATCAAAATAAGTAAGATTCACTCTTTAAAAAAGAAAAGTTGCCTCTGGAAGTTACCAGAGTAGAGAGGGACTGCCTATTGAATTGAGGTGTAGAATTCTGAAGCATGGGAAACTCACAATTAAGATAAAGAAGAATTATAGGAAGAAATATGGCCTTGATCACTGAATCATGGTTAAGATCAAGAGATACCTTTATCACAGTTAAGCATACACAATATAATGATATGTATATATCTGCATCATTTCCATTTTGAAAATGCAGTGAAAAAGATTAATTTTTCTATCATAAATGTCACTCTTCCAGGAATCTTGTGTCTTCTTCTTTCCTTAGTTTATTCATTTCACAGGTTGACAAGACAAGTTTAACTACAAAAGTTGTTGTGTCCTAATTGCAGATCCCTTTCTTATGTACACAGCACATTTCATATGATAAGTATCACAATATGTTTTCGCAACAAAGTTTTTACCTCAGAATTTCAAATTTCTTTCTTGGACATCTTAGAATAGCTTTGGATCGTTGTGGTACTCAAAGTATTTCATTGTGACTGGAAGAAAACCTGGAAGGCAATGTGAATATTGCTAAAAAATAATACAAATTTCAAGTTATCTAGCGAAAGTGAGCTCAAAGAAAGATTATCTTATTATTATTATGATACAGTAATATCCTGCAATAGGAAACTCATTTTTTCAGATTGGACTGTACAGTTTATTCCAAAATAAATAAATTATGAAAAAAGCTGATGAGTTTGTTAGGACATATTGCTAGGTGTACTTAAAGAGAGATTGATAAACATATTTTGACACTAGAAATATACTTTCCAATGCTTAATCAGAAAGTGGGTCGCTACTCAACTGATTCTATTGGGCATTGTTTATAATTTTCAACAGTTTTATTTAGTAAATTACTCACCTAACATCCGTGATCTTCTGATAGCTTTTGAAATTTCCCTCTGTTTTTTATCACATAGACCTGAAAAACAAAAAGCTACAATCTAAAGAATGATTATAAAAGTTACATAAGTTTTACATTTTTTATAAGGAAACACAACTTTAATCATAAAATATTTAGCAGTTAAGAAAATTAGAGGCATATATTGTGGACTGCAGAAGTCTTGATCTATATTTTTTAAAGACCTTTAGCAAACTTACCTATGTTTGAGGTCCTGCTGCAGAGAATTGTCGATAGATTCAAAGTCAAATTAATTATTAATGATATAAATATTGCTGATAGTTTAAGATGCTATCTAACAAATTACATATAGATTATATATAGACAAAAATAGCAACTTGAAATACAAGCTGTTATAAACAAATGAAATATATTATCCAAAAACATACAAACTCAAAAGGCACATTACCTGTTATTGCTTTCCCATATATTCTTCCAGTGTGCGGAGATATAAATTGTGACAATAGTCTGGTATTCTGTAGAAAAGCAATAAAATATGTTGATAAAATGTCCCTCAGTGATTTTACATACAGAATTTTACATACAATTGTCTTTGAATGCTCCAATATTCCACAAATGTGAATACTTCTTGATATGCTGAACTATTGACTCAATACATGATAAAATAAAAATATTCTCAAAAATATTTGTTTTTACCTTTCCAAAGAAAGTTAAACAAAGGCAGCAAACCATTTGTTATATTAAAAGTTTTTATTTAAAAGTTATAGTCAACCTTGTAGTCAATTTCAACATCATTTCTCATGGGACACAGAATGCAACCAGTAGGCCTGTCTTCTTTATCAAGTCTCTGCAACAGAATAAAAAGATCTATAAATTTCACCTGCATATATTCAACAAATTTAGAACTTTTCCAAGGTCTGTTATTATAAAATTGACTGATTAAGGTCTTTGGGCCTCCTTGTGGCTACACTGGGGTATCACATTCCCAACTATAGCTCCATTCACACTATACATATTAGCTTTTTTGAATTTTATATCAGATAGCATTCTGCTCACATTACCTGGTAGATATCTGGCATGAAGTGCTCTGATAATTGTTAGTCAAATCACTGCTTTTGAGGTGACATTAAAGTCACTATAGCCTAATGTGAACACAATCATTAGAACATTTCATTTCTAAATCTCACTTTGACTTTGATTTATAGCAAAATTATCTCATTTAATTCTAATCTATATCCCTTCTTTGATCATTTCTTAAATTGATTTTTCCCAGCTGAGGCTGTCAGATCTACAATTTGAAACCTTATATTTTAAAAATTCACTAAACAGCTCAATCCCCAACTTTCTTGTGCTGAAAAAGTATTGGTCACAAAAAGGTGCTGTTTTATTCTTTCAACTCACATAAGCATGTTTCATACTAAAAGAATTCTGCACCTATCTAGTAAAATGCAAATAAAGTCTATATATTTGAATAAAAATTTACTTCCAAAGTACTTTAAATAGAGATTTCAAATGCCACAGGGAAACACAAGATATTGGTCTAGCCACAACTTTGGAATCATTGCAGATTTAAGTGCTTGGTAAATTTTGATTTGTACACAAAGAAGTATAAATTTTAATACTCAATAGAGCTTTCACTCTCGAAGAAGAAAGGTGTCTAATTTCAATCTTATTAATAATCTACCATGGGTATAAACAAATTTAAGTGAAGACTGTTTTATTAAATCACAAAAAATCCCTTTAAAGCTAACTTTCCTTTTCAAATTTCAATAAAATTCTACCTTAAAAACATTAAAATGGTGCTATTTTGGAACTCTCCACTTAATACCTTTCTGGAACTAGAAAGTTCTACACTGTGCAATCTTTATGACTTTATGTGCCTGATTTGCTCTGAATCTCTCTTTTAATCTTTCAATTTAAGGGCACTAAAGTGGAACAACCTTATTTGTGTAAAAAAGGAACTGGATGCTCCTGAATTATATCACATTTCTGCACTGGATACTAATCCTAAAATGACATTTGATCAACATTGATTAGCCTGGATTTGCAATTGCCTTGGTTAAAATGATCTTCCATCAATAAAGATGATCTTCTATGGAAAATAAAATCTTGTCTGTATTCTTATCCAGAAATAATTTTAGTCAGATCCAAGTTCAGTTGAATATAACCAAGATACCAACAAAATTGACAGTTAATTTTTTATCAAAGGATTATTGTTGGGACATCTTACATTCAGTCTGGCTTTTAACATATCCATCCTTTGCTTTACTAATGTTTTCTTTTTCTTCAGATCATGGTATTTGAAGCAAGCTGTAAAAAAAACAAAATATATGATATTAATATGACCAAGTAATCAAGTTAACGTAAGAAAATATGTTTGCCATAACACAGTTCTTCAAAGCCAATTTTCAAGATCTTGTTTTCAGAGAGCAGCTTCAAGTCATGAAGGTCATTCTCTTCAATACAATTAGCCTGCTAAGCACTATATTCATTTCGAAATCTTAATTCTTTTGATATCTGGACAGTAGCAGCGCCACTGGGGGCATATCCCCCCAGTATTTTGCAGAATCAATTTTGTATTTCGTCAGAAGTGCTGGGGAAATGTTTTGGCAATGTATTTTTGTGATGCAATCTTATGATTTTGAAACTGTCCTTAAGTGACCAAACATTGGTCATTGCCATTCCCTATTGGTTAAACTGGTGTCCCGGCTTGGTAAAAGGGGGGGTTTTCCGACAGAAGAAGGGTGTGACCTAAAAGTTTTTGGTTCATCCCCTCCGGCCCTAGTTTGGTTCATCCTAACATTTTTTCAAATCAGCTACTATTTGGTTTTAAAGAAGCGCTGTTAGCCAGCAAATTAATGGTTTAATTTACCTGGCCAGAGATGAAATTGTCTTGAAGTGCAAATTGAATTTGGTACCAGATTCGTCTTTACACTTAGCACGCATAGGGAGCCTCCCTGCGAATAAATTGTTGGAAGAATTTTACTGCAGCTTTTAATTTTTCTTGAAAATTGATTAAGGATCATTTTGAACTATTTTTCTTCTCTCCAAAAACTAAACCACTCCACGGCTGTCCAAAAAAAGCACCTAACATATGATCAGGTCGAAAACCCTTATGTTTCAGCCCCTATTTGAAAACGAGATTTTCCCTCCAAAGAAGTTCGGACTAAAGGACTAACTTGAAAGCTTGAAATTATATATTGTAAAGTAGTTGAACGGTTCGAGAAATGACCTTCTATTAACTTATAACAAAGGATATCCAGAAAATCAAGGAAGAAAATGGCAGAAAACCTTAAGATGTCTGTTTCGAAAACGGTGGAAGCCTTGGAAACATTTTATCATGGATCAAATCCGACAGCAAGGGAAGCTGCACATAAGTGTTTGCTTGAAGTACAGCAGTCCAAAGAAGCATGGCAAATATGCTGGAAGCTGTTAGGGTTAACAGAGAACGTAGAAAGCCAATACTTTGGAGCCAGCATGCTTCATTATAAAATATCAAAATTTTGGAAAGAGTTGTCTGAAGATGATTACATACCTCTAAAAGATGAAATTATAAAGTATATTTGTTTGTTTGCCAGTGGCACAAAAATGGTTTTTTCAAAGCTCTGTGCTGTTTTAGCTGCTTACATTTTGCATGTGGTACCTGAACCATTGCCAAATGGTTGCGAAGAAAGCATAAATGACTTGCAAAAAAAACTGGCAATGTCATCTAGTGATGTGCACCCAGTTGTGTTGGAATATTTAACAGTTTTGCCTGAAGAATTTTCAACATCAGCGATAAATGGGTTTCAAAGAACAGCTGTTAGGCAGCAACTTAATGATTTAATTCCTAAGGTATTGCAAATGCTGAAAGGGATATTTGAATCACGTAATTTGGTCACATTTCATTCAGCAGCTGTGAAATGTTTGCACCCTTGGGTCCAGTTTGGGGCATCAATTGCAGATTGCCAAAGCTTGATACCAAGTCTTTTGAACATGTTAAATGATGAAAATCATATTGAAGAATCATCATCTGTTCTTGTTGAATTGCTTAGTCACCCAACAAGCTTTAAACAAGAGAACAGTGTATATGCTTTTCTAGAAAATTTGGATGGATTTGAAAATCTACTTATGAAAGCCCTAACAGAAAATGATCTGGATAATGCTAAGAGTATTTGCAAAATCCTGACATCTGTTGGTGAAACTCATGCAAATCTTTTGAGACAAGCAGCTACAGATGATCAACAGAAGCACTGCCTTCAACTTGTACACCTCATTTTGAAATGCACTGGTATTGTTGGAAATTATCCTGTTGATGAAACCTGCAGTGAACTTACATTCACATTTTGGTATACTTTTCAGGATGAGCTACTCACAATTAACTCTGATACCATCACTAATTACCATTTCTGTCTAAGAGAAGCTTTTGTAGCTCTTATTCAAATTTTATTTCAAAAAGTGCAGTTTCCTGATGAAAATATATATGAAAGCTTCACATCTGATGAAAAAGAAATGCTACGCTGTTATCGACAGGATATTCAAGATACAGTTACCTACATTTGCAGCCTACTGAGAGAACGATGTTTACAAAGTCTAACAGAGCTATTAAAATACCTTCTATCAGGTATGTTTTTTGGTGTAATTCTTGCACTTTTTCCCTTATATATCAGCTGTTGTTAATTGTCTTGTCAAATGGATGTACACACAGTATTTATGGCATGTCCTTCAATTATTCTACATAGTTGTTAAACTTGTTCAGCAGTACCAGGGCCAGGAAAACATATTTGAAAGTGGTGGAGTACGGATATCAAAGTTTGAAAGGGTTTAGAAAAGGCTGCCACCATGGTTGGAAACAAGAAAAATTTGGAAATGTGGCATCTTTAGGATGGCCAGAAACTATAACTAGAATGGATTTTGACTGAAGGAAAATCCATGGCAATTTTTTCAAGCTTTGTTTTATTTTATCCATATGTCCCATAGTTTGTCTATTGTTATGTTGACATGAAGTTAGAAAATCCTGTACTATTAAAGTTATCTCCTGACCATTCAAAAGGATTGCCTCCCTACCAATGAAAAATGTTAAAAGTATGTGAAGCTGGGTCTTTAGGACACACTCATCAGTGATTAATCAAAAGGTTAAAACAGCATGTTCCAGCAAGCATCAGGCAAAAACAGTTCTGAAAAGAAGAAGCCACAGCATATTAGCAAAAGCTAGAATGTCAAGTTAAAATGTCATTAGGCAATTGGTCAACATCCATAGTGATAAAAATTTCAAAATCACTGGGCAGGCATGGTCATCTTTTCATTTAGGTGTTTTGGAATCTGCTTTCAAAGCTATAATATTTTTGTAGAACTTATTTTGTTCAAAAATATTCTCAGTTAATGGAAATGGTCAAATTTTTATGTTATCTAAATTCTCTCTCAGTTTGTTTATCTCATTGTCTTTCATGTTTACACAGTATTTATCAAAAACTGAGATAAAATGATATGCGATGTAGGCTGTTGAAATATCATTTGAAAATGAAATATCATTTTGTTATTATTATTCTTAGGTGAAAAGTCAGTCAGGTGGCAAGAAGTAGAAGCTGTTCTGTATTTGTTTCAAGGAACATCAGAATATACAGACAGTGATGACCCAATGTACTTGCAAACAGTCATTTCATTGCTTCCTTTGCTTCCCACGCATCCTAAAGTTCTAGAATCTGCAGTCTACATGATTGGCTCATTCTCTGAATGGTTATCCTCGCATCCAGATCAGCTGAGTTTCATTCTCCCCATTTTGCAGAATGGAATTTCTGAAAACCAACTAAGTACAGCCTGTACTTTGTCACTTAGGGACATTTGTAGAGAAAGTTCTTTTTCATTCCCACAAAATGTCAGTCTAGATATCGTGAACACTTGCTTGAGCATTTTGAAATCAAAAAGACTGAAAGAAAAGGAGCAGATTAGATGTATTGAATGCATTGGATATGTGTTAGCTGGGCTTCCTGTGAAGTTGAAAGAGGAGCAACAAAACTTGATGACATCTTTCTTGCTTGAAATGTTGCAGTCAGCAATCAAGTTCTCTTTGATTGACCCATCAGCAAATAAGCTTGTTCATCATTGGATCCAATGCTACTCAGCTTACTTCAGATCATGTGATTCAGACAATGAATCAAGCTCTGGTTATCATTCCCTAATACCTGTGTTTACTGGTTTTATTCAAGCTATTCAGTCAATGCCAGCAGAATCAATGTCAGAGATGCTGGTTCAGGATGTGATGAATGCAGTCAACAAAGCAGTTGACACAATCAGGGACCCTTTCTATGCTGTCCTCCCACAAACGTCTCTTGTTATTTTTGGAATGTTTGCTGCAGTGCCAACAGCCACTGTTTTGGAGGTCTCATCAACCATCATAGGTATGTTAGGCAATGTGAAAGAGGGCAGTGATATGCTTCAATCATTTTTTCAAAGGCTTGTACAAGAGAGTGTTCTTCTGCTAGAAAGCAAAGTTGCTGGCAAAGACCCTGATTTGATTCAAGGCTTCCTTGTCTTGTTGAATAGGGCGGTGAAGAGTGCTCCATGTCTATTATTCAAAGATCACCAAATGCATGTTAAGGTGATTCAACATGCCCTCCAAGCACTGGGTTTCCAAGAGTCACCTACGATCAAAGCTTCTTGCAATTTTTTCGTTTCCTACATAACAGCAGCTGCTTCTGAAAAGTGTGCAACTGAAATGCTTGATCTTTTTGGACAGGACCTTGTCAGTCGTGTACTGCTAAGTATAGCTGGTCAGTCACCTCGTACATCTGTTGATTTATTTGCAGATATTTTGCTTGTACTAAATCGGCATTTCATCACAAAGACATCCCTTTGGTTGCAATCATGTCTCAGTCAGGATGGATTTCCATCCCCGATTGTTGATTTATCACAGAAGAAGAATTTTCAAAAAGCTGTTTTGCGAGAAAAGGTGAATAAAAGAGCTTTGAAGGAAATTGTTCGGGAATTTTCTTTAATTTGTAGAGGCTTGCATGGAATGCCGTATGTTTCCTAGGTATGAATCCATGCCGGATGCTTCTTAGGGATGACAAGTCAACTGAACCAAACATAATTTGAATCAACAATGAAACCTGCAGTTTGGACAGTGTAATGGATAAATATGTTTCGTGATTTCATGACTGTCATATGATGACAACGCGATTTTTCAATAGTTTTATTTTTATTTTGTCAAAAACATGTCTGTAACCCTGCTTCTAGGATAATGAAATTCTAGCCACTTGCAGGAAATATTTTTACAGCTACTTAAGATCTAGAAAAATTTTCGTATATTTAAATTTTCAATGCATGTCTTTTTTTATCAATGATCAAAAATTGTTTTGTTTATTGCTTGAATGTAATTCTGCTATGCTCTTACTTTTAGTATGATTTTAGCTCAGGACTTTAAGTATCATGTATTTGATATCAGCATATACAAATAAAAATCCTTTAAGTTATTGATTTAGAAAGTAAAGAAGAAAAATGGAAAACGTCATGTTGAGGTTATACACTCTTTTTTTATAAGAACCAGTAAATTTAAGTTCAGGCTGACTGTTCTGAATTTTTTCAAAAATCTGAGGCTAGATTGTTCTTAATTTTTTCTTAATCTAATAAGATATAAGCAGTGCAAGTGCTAGCTTTTTCGCTCTAGGGAGGTGTTCAGGCCTCATTTGCCAACAAAGTGAGTGAGACAACCTTCATTTGCTGAAAGGTTTGAATATTCGACGAAAAAGCACCCACACATTGCTAAAAATCCTCGATTTTGAGAAAAAACGTTGTTCAAAATTGCATTTTGCAGAAGCTCAGCCTCAGCTTGTTCTCAATTTGTTCTTAACTTTTGACCAATTTTGAGGCTTGTGCTCTTATAAAATTGTTCTTATAAAAAAAAGAGTGTAAATATTTTTAGCCATGTTTCATTTTGACGCAATTTTATTTCAAGATAAAGCGTATGGCAACGAGATGTCCGTTTTCTCTCTTCGAATTTTTACAATCCAAGGAGCTATTTGCACCGACCCGATATGGGGAAGAAAAATAGCCAATGAAATGTGCGATTCGTTCTCCTGTGATTTTGTACACTTTCTACTTTTGCAATTAACTGAAATTGTATGTTCTCGGGCATTACTGTTGTTTCAGGAAGTTGTGATATCATCACCATCAGGTTCCTTCGTCTATCAGAAGGTTGCCTACCATGACCCATAAACCATCCCTATCCTCAGAATATCGTTTAGCTCTCTCAATGCTCTCACACCCGCTCCATTCCTTTTCATCGTCTCCCTATGTTCTTCTTTGTCTTCCCTTGTCTCAGTTGTGATATGATAAGTTGTGATATGGTTCTGCTTATTTCGTGCAATTTGAAAGTCTGGTAGTGAGCCTGTTACCCAAATTAAAAGCACAGAGTCCAAAAAAATTAACAAAAAGCCAAAACTTTGGAAACATTACTTCAAAAAGAAAGTAAAGCATGGACTTGGTGTGACAGCTGATATTATCTTGCTCCCTGTGATCTTCCACACAGTCGCTGGTGGTGCGACAATTTTTTGCTTCTAGCGAAGTGTGCCAGCAGGCCCGTCGGGACCGGGGGGCTGGGAGAGGGAATTGTCAAACTGTAGTATGTTTGCTTTGTACTGAATGAGACGGAAAACAATGGGCAGCCACCTGAGAAAAATCAAACAACATTTTTTTTCCAATTGTATGAAACCTTCGTCATACATTCTTTAGGAGTTGTGTCCCGAAATTCTCTTAAGATTTTACACTTACGGTCCGAAAGCATTGCACCCTATCCCAAAAAGGCCGTTTTGTTAGCTAAAGAAAATCTAAATAGCTGTTACAAGTGACAGAAAGTTTTAAGCTGACAGTTCATGCAGGAAATAATAGAAAGTTTTAAGCTGACAGTTCATGCAGGAAATAATAGAACAATTATCAAGGAATTGTAGTTAAGATAAGAAATGCAAGAAAATTCGAGTTTCTTATATTTCTGAACAATTACGAAATCCATGATTACGAAAACGTGAAGATTGAGCTTATGATAGATATACCTGTAAAATATTCAAATAAAAAAGGTTTTCTTTGCACAAGCTGTGGGGATTTTGTTATGGTGAATACAGAGATACTTACGTTGTGTTCGGGTGTCTAAAATGTTTAATTTCCTTACGGAGCAACCGAAAGTTGAAAATCAAACTCAGAAGATAAAACTGATGCTCTTTTATGGGAATACTATTTTTGTTGAAACATTGTAGTCTGTGTAGCTGCTTCTAAATTCCAAAATTTCAAGCTGTGTTTTGTTCTTCCACTGTGATCAAATTGAGACTCTAATTCAATCTCCTTTTTAGATTGCTCTCTTTATAGCTATGAGATTTAGAAAGTGAAGACTATTTTTCTTTTATAGAAAAGACAGGTCTTACAAATGCTTGCTTTTCGGAAACAAATGTTTATAGCCAACACCAAAAAACTAGAGGCATATTTTTCTGGCTTTGAAAAACAGCCTGAGTCTTAAGGCTTATCATACCTATTGGCCCTCTCTCGGAGTCCCCGATGATTTCAACCTTTGAGACGATGTGCCCTAAAAATGATGTTCCGGCATGGCACGCCGTTTCATCAAGCATGACACGCCCTTTCGTCGGCTATCGAAGCTTTATACCCCCCTAATGACAATAGTGAAGTTTCGCTCCTGAGATCTTCGTATTGATCTGTAACCACTTGTAACTATATAATTGTCAAGAGCAATGGATGACCACTTGAGTGGTACACTTGAATGACCAATTAACCAAACTTATTGCCAGGATTTTTTTCTTTTTGGGTGTCACCTGTTATTTGTTACTGGAGCTTTCAAAGCTTTTTCAACTAAAACTTCAACTATTTTACCGCTAGATATTGTGAATTTGTCTCAAAAAAAAGTTATTGACTAGCAAAAGCCCCAAAGCATTAGCAGTGATCCTTTACGGCAGAAAATTTTTTTCCCAGGCGCTTGGGTTTCTTTGTTGTGACGTACTTCTTTGCGCGGTGCAATTTTCAATTTGTGATTGATCTTACTCTTTCTTGCTTTCTTGCTGCTCTTTGTTGTTACACACTTTTGTCGCATGTACCATCAAACTGCTACTGCATCTTATCAATTAACATTGGATATAGTTGGTGTGAGTAATGTGAACCAAGTTGAAAGCAGCAATTCAAGCAAATTTTCTTGGTGTCATTAAATTTCTCAAAATTTTTACTTGGCTGTTTAAATCAATAACGATTTAGCAGTAGTATATACCCGAAAGTACCCGAATATATACCCGAAAATGTAGTTTTTTAAAAATACCCGAAAATGCGTATGTATATATTCTTTACCTTTATAATCAAGAAAACGTTTATGTATCAACTCTTCACAGTACTGCATGTATGCACCCTGAAAGAAACACAAAAGAAAGCAAAAATGAGTTCTAGATTTCTTTTACAGCAACCTTCAAATTTCAGCTTCCTTATAAGCCTCATAAACCAACTCACTATGTAAATATCTAAAATAATCGAATTCGTTAAGTCTTCGTGTATTATAATAAAAAATTTAGTGTACAAAGTCTTTGAAGAACTGATGTCCATCAAAGAAAAAGCGTTGTGAAAAGTAGGGATGCCGACTGACATGCGGTGTGGACAGGGGCGAAACTTCACTATTTTCATTAGGGGGGTATGAAGCTTAGTTGCCCGACGAAAGGGCGTGGCATGCTTGATGAAAGGGCGTGTCCTACATGAACTTCATTTTTAGAGCACATCGCCTCAAGGGCTAAAATCATCGGGAAGCCCGAGAGAGGGTCTTTAGACTCAGGCTGTTTGTTTTAAGTCAAAAAATATGCCTCTAGTTCTTTTGATGTTGGCTATAAACATTTGTTTCCGAAAAGCAAGCATTTGTAAGGCCTGTCTTTTCTATAAAAAAAAGTCTTCACTTTCTAAATCACCTAGCTATTAAGAGAGCAATTCAAAAAAGAGATTGAAGTAGGGTCTCAATTTTATCAAAGTGGAACACCAAAACACAGCTTGGAAATTTCGGAATTTAGAAACAGCTACGCAGATTACAATGTTCCAACAAAAAAGAGCTTCAGTTGCATTCTCTGAGTTTCATTTTCAATTTTCGGTTGCTCCGGAAGCAATTTCAATATTTTTAGACACCCATGCACAAAGTACGTATATCTAAATTCACCATAACAAAATCCCTCAAGCAAAGAAAAGTTTTTTATTGGAGGTATTTTACAGGTATACCTATCATCAAAGCTCAATTTTCATGTTTTCGTAATCATGGATATTGTTCAGAAATAGAATAAACTCGAAAGATTTTTTGCAATACATATCTTAACTACAATTTCTTGATAAATTTTATATTACTTCCCGCTTGAAATGATTAAAACTTTCTGTTACTTGTTATGGTTATTCAAATTTTTTTAGTTAAAAAACTTTGGCGTCTGTATGACCATTTTCTAGCGAAGGGTGCAATACTTTCGAACCGTAAGTGTAAAACCTTAAGAGAATTTTGGGGCATAACTCCTTATGGATGTATTGTTGTGAAGGAGCAGCATGCGGTTAATCCTTCACTCGTTCCTAGACCTCGAAGTTGCATTAGTCAGTTGTTCACGCCACGTTGTAATGAAAAGGTGTTCACGTTTGATCATGTTTATTGTAAATAGTTTTATTATGTTCCTGTTGATGTTATGAAATGTTTAAAAACCCAAATGATGTCTTCTTCAAATGTCCTGACCTAAATTTTTAAAACATGTTTGATTTCATGAATGAAAGTTTCATACATTTGGAAAAGAAAATATTGATTGATTTTCTCAACAACGTATTCCGAGATGGTATATCCTTCATGCTTTGATTCATGATGCTTCTAAAACTGTCAGTGTTCTATGGGCTCCGAGGCAGGATGGAACGTTGAGGGTGGGGGGGGATGGGGGCTTTTCAAGAGAAAATTTAGAAATCACAACAAAAGATTTTGAAAAAAGCTCACTTGTTTTGCAAAAAGTAGGGGGGAGGGGTATACACAGTGTTCATTTCCTTCTCGCATCAAACACACTTTACTTCCTGTCTATACTTTTGCTGTCGATCAATACTTCAGACTTCATCTCGAGGCGAAGATAAACATGTGCGCGTTGAGCTCCAGACGAAAGCGCTGATCAGTGGACGGACGAAAGACAGAAATGTATATATGTTGCTGTTCCTTGCCTCGTTTCTGTTTTGTTTTCCCAACTGGGAGGAGATTGAAAAAAAGATAGGGGAAAAGGCCATGAATTAAAAAACCAACCTAGGGCAAAAAGTAGCAATAAAAGTGCGACCTAAAGAAAATTTCCAGATTTGCCCGACAGATACACTAGCAGCCATAAATTTGCCCGACAAAATCTGCTTTTTTGAAGATTGGGGGGGTGCAGCACCCCCCCATACCCCCCCAGTAGTTTCGCCCCTGGGTGTGGATGATCTAAAATTGCTTTTTAGACCACACCCCTTTTGCTGCGAAAAGTCGCTCTTTTACCAAATGACTTTTTCATGGCCAAAATTAAAGTTTTTAAAACCATTGAGTAAAACCCCAAATTACACAAATTACTCTGATATAAAAAGAATACAACACATGATCATTAGAGGCGCTGACTACAGACCCGAGCGTTCGCTCTCTGTAATTCCAGGCCTAGGAATCATGAGGTGTGGTCACATCGAGAGGAAGGTCCAGGACACTGCTCGATAAGAATAGCTTCTCAGTGTCCTAAAAATTACCTTCGGATGCTAGGTAGCAACAAATACAAATTCAATATGGATGAAGGGTTTAGCTGACAACAAATTTAGCCAGTGAAATAAACATACGGCGGGCTCCCTTATCATTGCAATGTCCTTCCTAAGTTCCATCTATGCAGTGTCTAGTACAGAGCCCTTACAAAAGACTATACGAGTGATGCTGATTTCTCTTTGGGTGAAGTGCTTGTCACAGATTCAAATCTTTTCAATTCTATTTCCTTTTTTGACAAAGCCAGAAAAAATGTTATCGGCAAAGTAAAATGTTGAAGTTAAAAAACTTAATTTTAAATCATTCCAAAGCACAACAGTGTTGCAGAAACATTGATATATTGTATATGAAAATATGAAAAAGATATTTGGTGTCGAGGGGTGAATCACTCTTCCCAAACAGCGATAATGTCTTATTTAACGCAGGGCCCGCACCACAGGGGCAGGGCAGTCATGGCCTACCCACTCTTTCGCTAAATAAAAGACTAAAATTAGCTATTTAAATAAACAAATATACAGATTACAACGAATACATTGAACCAAAGCCCGCAAATAAAACAACGTAAGTTAAGCGATTGCCACAATTGAGGCTAAAGAGGGGAAGAGGAAGCTTTCTCTACATTGCTGGTCCCCCCAGTTTGGGATCAGTGGCGCGGGCCCTGAAACGATTGTAGATTTAGTTTCAAAAAATGATTCTGGAGACTTCTCAATCCGGAAAAGGAACTGGAGAATAAAGCAATCAGAGGTCCTTTCAACCAAATGTAAAGAAAGGAAGGAATTTCAGTAATGGTCTAAGGTTGTGTTAGGCCTAATGGCGTCGCCCAAGAAAACCTTCCCGAAAGTGCCAGAAAAAATGGCTTCTATGTTTCAAAGAATCGATTGCCTCCGAAGACCAAGCAGCAATAAGTTGATAAAAACTTTGACATTTGTTCCATTATTCCTCTCCATTGCATTGAAAATTCGCAGAGCTCATTTCCTGGCCGGCCCTATGCTGTCCTTTTTTCTCATGAATAAGTACCCCACCAAATATTGAAGTTATTCCATTACTAAAATGAATTGTCGATTTAAATTAAAAAATTTATGTAATTTAAAACGTGTTTTATGATTGCTTGAGATTTTGAAGAGATTCTATTGTCCTATGAACATAAGCAATTAACTTTTCTTCTTGTTTTCAACAACTTTACCCGGCACAGTGGCAGCATTGTCTTCCGTTCGAATACTTTTTGGAGGGGAATATACTTCTTCATCGTCCCCTGCTTGGCCTAAGTAAACTGTATACCAACAAACTGAGAATGGCAACCAGAAAATAAACCAGTTCCACAAATATTACGCCCTGAAATTTGTTATGCACCTGATGTTATCATTATAATCCTTTAATGAGCCTTAGCTTTTCAAATCTATCGATAATTTATGGAATCCTGACACAGGTAAAGTGTGGTCATGGCGACGTTGTTGTTGCTTAGTGTTTCCTTGACAACAAAAAACAACCTGTATCGAGTGAGGCTGTTCTTCATGTCGCCCATTTGTGTTTGCCAATGCTCAACGCAGTTGTTTGAAACAGTGTAGAGAAAGAAAATGGTTAAAAACGTTCTGTGTATTTGTCAGATATGCAACTGCGGGTAAGTAAAAATTGGTAATCATTTAAGCATTATAGTTTTTAAATCGTTAAAACGATCACTGCTTGCGAGTACTCAAAGTCAGAGTAGGTAGGCCCGGCATCATTAATATTTTATTCACGGTATATCTCAAAATAGAGGAAAGCTGGTCGGTAGCAATAAGAGCATTGATAGGTATGAATAAAGGAATATGTTATCTTTTATAATTGGATTGTTGTTTAAGAGACATCGTAAGAATTATGAATGATATTGGAGCTTAAGGATGGGTGCGCTTGCTATTACCATAAACACGCTAAATCCAAACAAAGCCTTAGCACTTTTAAGTTATTACTCTGGTCAATATTCCCGTTTTTCACCTTTTTCTAACTCAAAACGTACTTTTGTGCTCTTTAAATCGCGTATCACGTAGATTTTTCGAGTCCATAAACTTCCTCCGTACCCATTGCCCTTCCCATATCTTAACAACAATATACAAAAGCGGACAAGTTCCTCTCCCTTGGCTGCCTAATTTGTAGCTATTTTATCATGCATCTATTGTTTTTCTTTTTACTCACGACCCCTGACAAACGTGTTTGGCTGCCTGAAGGTCCCATTCCAACCTGATTCTAGAATGACTGTTTCTAGAATATGGCATGGTCGTAGTGGATGCAAAATGTTAAGGGGTGCTCAGTGTGGCTCTTACCCGAATACAATTGTTTCATCGCGACAAGACTGCTCGAATGGAGCTATAAGCTTATCTGATCAGGAAGCTGCACCCCTCTGAGCATCTTTGTCTCATACATCCATGAAATCACAAGAGATATTTGTTCAAAATTGATTTACAGGGGAGATCAAATGAGTGACTAATCTTGACTCTTGTTGCTAGGGTATTTTTATTTGATTCTTTCTAAATTAAATATATATTTATTTTTGCAAACAACTTTGATTAGTTCTAACTAGAGACATGAAAAGAGGGGAGCATGAGGTGCATAATGCCCTTTCAGGAGTACCCTTTCAGGAAGGGTAAAATGCCCCTTTCAGATTATTTTTTAATTGTCTCATGCCCTTGTTTCAAGAGTTTTTGGTGACCTTGTAAACCATCCCTCTAAATGTGTCCTTCAAAGTTATACCTGCTTCCTTGGTCTCTAGTTATTACAGCTTTTTATGACTTTTTGTTCTTCCATACTTCTACTGTCCTCATCGTCTGTTTTTTAAAACCCACCATTAGAAGTTTCAAATGAAAAGTCATATTCTCAGGTCTGATCTGTTTAAATCTGATGAGATATTCCTCAAAATGCATATTAAGAGTCTGAACCTCACCTCAGAAAAGGAATATATAATTCATGCCACCAGCATCTTTGCTTTTGACCTGCTACATTGTGGCATAATGACAAATGAGCTTTCTTTAAGGCAGGGGGGTTTCTTAAATTCTTTTAAATCACTTTCATCAACATTGTTTATCTATAACCAGATTGCTTTATTTGAATCAATTACGTGATTTCCTTTATTGTCAAACAATTGAAAATTTAACATAAACAGTCAAGCTACAACAGAGCATTTGTTTACCTATTTAGGTAAACAATATTAAAAGTTATATTAGGTACCTTTGTTCTCAACACTAGCTCCATCTAATTTAGAAAACGCCTTACAAGAAACAATAGGAACCTTGTAAGGACACATTTGTGAGGCAGATATTTGCTTCTTAGTATCGAAACAGATGGAATAGTGAAACTCCATGCGGAAAGCATTGAGTGTATGTGACATATTATTTGGAGAAGGGGAGGGGGGGGTTGGAAAAGGCTGATTACAGGGGTTTGAGAAAACATCATGTACCTATGTTCTCAAGTTTGCAAAAAATTGGGGGATGCAAATTTATTCTACACCCCCCTACCAGGCACTGCGGAGCGTCAAGAAAAGGGGGGGGGTCTAAAAAAAGTGGGGGGGGGGGGCTAAAACCGTATGAAAAGAACCTTTACTGTTAGTTTATTACTTAATATTTCGCATTTCTTGCAAAAAGTGGGGGGGTTTTTCTACATAAGACTAATTAGGCTGTTTATCTCTCAACATTTTGTGACTAAAACTGCAGAATTCAAAGCCGCCTTTCGACCACCTGTTGATATAAAAATCTTCAAAAAAGCAGAAATATATTGCCCGAAATAATGAAAAAAGTTGCGAGAGCACAGGCTGAACAAGATGGATACTTGACTCCCCCCCCCCCCCCCACGACTTTCGGCATGTTCCCAAACTTAACTATTTCTCTCTTAAACCTAGAATTTCATAACTGCCTGGGAAATTTGCGCTTCTGTTTGCTTTTATTTTATACCTCTAAGCATGTTTAAACGGTGCTGCTTCAAGTTTAAGTAAACATAAAAACTTTTGCATTACAGACGACACCACTGTGTGCATCGTCCACGATCAGTTCCAGCCGACTCCACAAGATGTTTGTTGACAGAATATCATGATACGTACAGAGAATATCCACTCTCTGGCAGGGCTAAACCAATCAGGCCTGACAATCGTACGAAGCTTAGCAAGGACCCATTTAACAACAACACAACGTACAAAGAGATTTATGTACCTCACCAGTACAAACCGCCAAGTAAACCCGGTCAGGCAGCCTACGTTAAACCAACTGGAGAAATGAACACGTCATCGACCTATCGAACTGATTATCTTAAAAAGCAGGCTGAAAAACCAAAGTTGGCAAAGCCCAACGTTAAGCCAGTTGCAAGTGGATGTCCTTTTGATGGAAGTACTGTTCACAATCAAACATACAAAGCCTGGGACATTCCTAAGACAGAGAGTGTTCGACCCGCAAATCAAGGCATTCGGAGGTCAAGTGCGAAGTTTGACCACTGCACTACGGCGCAGCATGATTATCCTGGATATTTTGGGAAACTTGCAAGAGAAACAGTGAAGCCCCCCGAGCCATCTTTGAAAAGTGGGACAGGAGCAATGTCAAGTGAAACAACTCATCGCTTAGATTTTGACAGAAAGGACGGCCATCCTGAAAAGTCGGCCAAGCCCTTCCAAAAGGACATTCGTCACCCAGGCCCTTTCGATCACAAAACAACAAATCAACATGCATTTACCTGGCCCGACGGTCTTCCTGCTGAAACTTGCAAGCCTTCTTTGGCAGCCTTCTCATCACAGAAGCCATTCGAAGGTGACACAACATACAAAAATACCTTCAAGAAATGGGCAGTTGAACCAATGGATGCATGGAAGCCCCAAGTGGCATGGAAACCTCCTGCCGAATCTTTTGAACAAACAACTACATTTCGGCACGATTACCAAGGTAAACATGTGTCGAAAGCGAAGAGCGCACGCCCAGAAACTGTTCGTGTGGCGCCCGGAGACTTTGATGGCTCAACAACACACAACGAAACTTACAAGCCCTGGGGGTACAGTCAACGAGAGACACTGAAACCAAGAGCAGGCTATCGCCCTCCTACAGTCCCATTTTACGGACAGACCACGCACCACAGTGACTTTAGGGGCGAACAAGCAAAAAAGCCGATATCTGTGCGCCAAAGGCCAGTGGAATTCAAATATCTGGAGATCAAGAATTTTCAACCAATTACAATGATGATTACAGAAAAAAGAGGTTACCCCCTTGTCCAGCAAGGGATCTTCACCCTGCAGAGTTGCATCTTCGACGGATGGTTACAAATTCGCCAAGGACAATAACGGACATCAATATTTCTACCCTCCTAATGCCATGGGGATGGGTGAAATTGTGGAAACAGTTGCTCTTGCATGATTTTCGTAACAAAATGCATCAGCAATTTTTAATTGCTTAAATTTGTTTATTTATAATCTGTACATAAAGTTGCCGATTAATATCGTTATTTGAAATAGATTCTTGCGGATTCAGATGGGGGTAACACAAATCTATACCCTGTCTGCATTCTTTGAAAACCCAGCTTGGCTGAGTCCATTTTAGTCCCGCAAATACAAATTGTACAAAGCGAACATCCCAAATCTCTTTTAAGTAACTTGTTGTGAACTAGTATGCCCTAGCTTACATTCTGAACGACGAAATAAATATACCGTATTTCCTCTAAAGAGCCCCGCGGCGTTTATTATACACTCTAAATTTTGAATGCGGCGTTCAATACAAGATGAAAAGTTTGTCAAATGACAAATGACAAAAAAATGCGATGAAAAAAGATGAATGTCAAGTCAAGGAATATCAGTATCCCTGTCTCCGTCAGAGTCCTCGTCTCTATGAGATAAAAACTTTCATGGTATTCGAATAGTAAGCGTTTAAACGATTCCTTACTTCTTGTTTGGTGTGTTTTCTAATGAACGCCGCTTTTCAAGATGCGGCGTTCAATAGAGGGCGGCGTTTTTTCCAAATAACTGGCTGAAGGTGCGGCGTTAATTAAAGGAAATACGGCACTACTATTGAATAAAAGCAGTATTAAGTCTCGTTCTTTTACTTTCAATTTCCCATGCTGAATTCAGCAGAGAGCACTGTGGTAAAATTATTTCGTTAGAGAGAAGCTAAAGATTTTTCCTACAAAATCCAACAATGAAGCAAAACTTGCATCCCAACCACTGCATCCCTGTCTTGCAATTGGTACAATAAGAATTCGCATAAGAAATATATCTAGCGAGTATTTGAGTATTTGACAACGACTGAATTTGTTATCCATATGTCCTAGAATACAGTATCTGCCTGTAACGCAGAACATACTTTTTTAAGAGTCAAGCATGGTTCTCATTCTAAAGATGCAGGGTTAATATTTCTTATTCCCAGGGGTATATTCCTTGCATTTAGGGGGAGAGGAAACAATCTGATATAAATATGCTTCCATTAAGTTTATCGAATGAGACACAAAATTGTTTAAAAATAAATAATAGAGAGTTTTTGGGGGTTTGACGCTCGAAATTGTAAACAAAATGGCTGCAGTAAGAAATGATAGTAGGTGAAAATGCTCAATTTCATGACGATACCTACTGTTTCAAGAACGTTATTTATTTGGCAGCCTAGAAATGTTTTTAAGATGCTGAATCAAAACAATCACGTTTGCGAATTCTTAGGTTCTTGTTTTACTGTATTACGGAGGAATTACTGTATAAGAAGTGCATTTGAATTCAACCAGAAATCTGCCGATTACTGAAAGTAATGCAGGATATTACAGAAAAGAAACCCCTCGTGAAAATTTTTGATTAGCATTAAATTTCTTGTTCATTTTGAGACGTAAAGTAACCTTGAGTACTCCGACTGAAATCCAGTTCCAGACGCACGTTGCCATTAATCATTTACAAATCAAAGTGGAGAAAGGTGGTAGAGTAACGAATGGCATAATGAAGACTTTATCATTTCAATCTTAATGTTATTTACTACAAGTGCAGCGTTGTGGTTTTTCTTCATCTTTACTTTACATATTCAAAATAAAGTTTTTGATTCTACTCTACGTTGATCGTAAATATTCATGCATTTTACCGATTTAAAGATTTATTTCATCATGACTTTAAAAGGCCTTGACAATTACTCGAAACTCAAACATTTTTAGACTGGTACTTTCTAAATATTTGATCACTACTTGTTTGTGATCTTTTTAAATACTGTCTTGTCCGTTATAAGAACATTCAACCTTGCCTAATTACAATTTCTAAGTTAGTTCAAGTCCCCTTCTTGCTTAAACATCAACAATTCCTTTCGTCACCGCAGTACAACGCGGCCTCATAAAAACCAATGCACGAGTCTCCTTTAAATATTGCAACACTGTCTTCATGTCACCAATTCAATTTTTTTTGTTATTTTACAGTTCAAAAATGCAACCTTTTGCATTTAACTAAATAAAGCCTTGATTAGGGCTTTATTTCAATTTGTCAATAGGTCCCAGTTCTTTTGACAACAATCCACTTCCTCCTTCGCAAGCTGATAACTTAATGAGAGTTTTGATATGATTGTGTTCCGTAGTTTCCACTTGGGGCTCCATTTTGGTTAGATGATTGTTGTCCAGATCCTAAAGATAAAAAATGGCTTTAAGAAAAAAACCTTATATATATTGTACAGGAATTTCATTAAAAGCTGGCAACCGGCGAAAGTCCACCGCTTTCTCACCAAACCTTCGCTACCTACTTTTACCCTCACTTTAGGAAGACTGCACAAACTTTAGTAAACTTAAAAGCGCCTACTTTCGAATGTGAGCCTAATTCTTCAGATATTAATGAAAACCCTTATTGTAACTGCCGGGAAATGGTAAAATCTGAAGACTTGATTCTAGACATTAGAAAATGAAAATCAGGAAATTGAAGAAGATGGTGAAATAGTCTTGATGGAATGGGCGAGAACGACAAACTAAAAAGTAGCTTAAGTTGTTTGATTGTGTTTCTAATTTGATTGTGTTTGATTGTGTAAAACCTTACTGAGCAGTGTTTACACTGCAATACAACACAAGTGACAAACTGTTCACATATCAAGACTCTCTTATGACCGCGAAGAACTGTATGTTTAATGATAACTATATTTTTAACAGGTTGATTTGGTCAGGTGTTATACTATCTGTTTTCATTCAAGGACCTCTAACATTACCTAAAAAATTTGAGATACAAAGGTTAAAAGAAAAAGGGTAAGAAATTTTATTTACAACTAAAGGAAAAGATACAACGAAGCGTTTTGCATTGATATTTACAAAAACTTCGCTAGATTTAGTTTTTTCTTGAATCTTAAGATGGATATTTCATCGCAAGTTTCTCTCTTAAGACTGTTAAAAATGCGAGCTCACAGGTGCGACTTTTACCAGTTTCAGTGCAAAATTTCGGCAAGACGACCATTTAAAACAGGGAAAAACAAGAAAATAATACGGAAAGCATGGCTCTTCATTGGGTAGAAAGGCTATTGCATTTCTTACCTCCGTATCCTTGCATCATTGGCATTTGTCTGAAAAAATAAAACAGTGATAAAAAATACGTCATAATGCAACACATAAGAGAAAATTGGATATCACCTAATTTTCTGATGGCATAGGGATTCAGGAATGGAAAAGTCTTTTCAAATCCATCAAAAGACTACGTACTTCTTGAGGTGGGCACTTCCAAATAACAACGATTTTCGTCATCCTTATTGTACTTTGAGGCTTATGCCTTTCAAAAGTAGCACGAAAGCAGACACATGCCTAAAAAGCATTTGTTAAAACGGTGTTTTAAGAAACACTTAAAGTAGCAGGATATTCCTTTCAGTCTCACAGATTCATGCGAAAATCACACTGAATAACCCATTGATCGGTGCAAAACTGGCTTACCCGTACTGTTGTGCAGAGTACATTCCATACATAGGGTACCCTTGGCTTTGCACCACCGGCATATACGCCTGTGTATTTGATTGCTGGCCGGACTGCGAGTTACTTGTCATCTGCTGCTGCGCCATCACAGCTGCCCAATAATTGTAATACATCTGATGGTATGGATTGTACATGGAGTATGCTCCACCTGCGCCTCCTTGCTGACCTTGTCCCGCACTTGCACCTGAAGATGGCACTGAGTTCTCGCCACTTTCCTTTCCCCACCAGCACTAAATAAAAAAATGTGATGAGTAACGATATTTTATCGACAGAATAAGGTTAATTGGTATTATTAACTAAATCCAAGTGGGGGGGATCATTAAATTTTTAACTGCTTTAGGAAGGTGCTCATTCCAGAAGGACCCCCTTTCAAGAGGGGGGATGGGGGGGACTTATTCAAGGATTCACGGTAGACAGAATCACGCACTTTCAACAATGACTGGATTTGCATTTTAAGGCCCCCCCCTGTAAGTGATTGTTTTAGAACAGAGCTGAAGAACCAACCTTGATTATGCAGCCATCAATATCCATTCCGTTGCATTTAACAATGGCAGTCGCTGCAGATTCGTGTGTTGCGTATCTGAAATCAAACAGGATAAAAATAAGTAAAGATTTGACAACACTTACAAGATTAACTAAGTCTAGAAACGACCAGAGTAGATGTGAACAGTGAATAAAAGAGGCCTACTTGATGAAGCAATACAGCTTGTCCATAAATATCCTTGTGTCCTGGATTTGGCCAAAACAACTGAAAGTCTGGCGGAGCTTCTCATCTGAGATGGAGCTAGGCAGGTTTGCGACATAGACTGTGGTGTTATTGGAACTTGCAGACTGGTAGACTTCGTTGTAATTCAATGCAGCAGCTTCAGGATAAAGAGAATATGATGAATACATCTGCTAAACAAATATGACTAATTTTTTTAATTTTATCTGTTTTTAGAAGAACTTAAAAAAACTGAGATCCCTTTATATCCGACTTTGTTGTCAAGTATATGAATGGAACAGATAAAGGCAACCATGAAAAGATCGAATAGAGCAGTAATCAATTATAATTGATTTATTTTAGCTGAAGATTGGCAAAACAGTGACTTTGTTGTGGGAAGGATTAAATGAAGCCTTATTGCTCTGCATCATTCAATTCACCTTACACACCCCTGGTGCATGCACAAAAAGGAAGCTGCCTTTTGCGTCAATGATGATATTAAAACCTAATTTGAACAGTTGACACACATAAACAGCAAATTTCCACATAGAATCTTATTGTAACAAATGTCAATTTTTCTTCATTACTCAAAGGCATCGGAAAATACAGCTCAGGATGAAAATGCAAAAAGCCCTTTCAAAAAAAGCAACAATGACACCGTTTAGTATGATTAGTATGTAACTCCTGATCTACCGTAAATTGAGCTTATATGGATCAAAAGTCTTACGTTTCGTCTGTTGATCTCCACCAGTTCCAGGGACTTTGTTACGCGTTGCCCAGTTAGTCCTAATAGCTTTTCCTCCAAGAGTGGCTCCTGAAATCAGACGTTTTAAACAATTCAATGAATATGAGACCTCTATAAATTGACATTACGAAAATAAACTTTAAGTTGAAAACAGGTGATCACAAATTCACTTCCATTTTAGGTTCAGAGATATGGCTCATTTTGATGCTAGATTGGGGGAATAAAAATCTATTGTTTTGCTAAGAGAAATGCTCTTTTGTTAAGGCATCCACAAGGGACATTGCTAGCAAAGGGTTGTAAATGCTTTAATTATTGCTAGATTTCAATAATAACATGTAATAGAAAGTAAAGAAATGTCCAGCTTTAGTTAAGATAAAGGAAATAATACCCAACATTAACAAACCTTGCATTTTAGTCATTGCATCTTCAGCATCCTACAAATAATGAGCCAATATTATCACATGGGTATGTATTAATATTATATATAAGATATCATGAGGCAAATTAGACAAAAAAAACTTGAAAGAAACAAAGTGTTTACATGACTTACGATTTTGGATTTGAAAGAGACAAAGCCATATCCTTTGCTTGAGTTGGTAACTGCATCACGAACTACGCGAACAGCTCTAAAAAGGAAATAAACAAAACAATAGTCAAATTTCAAACAATTTAAGTAATAATTAATAAACAAGGAGCTGTGTTTATGGTTTCCAACTGAATAGTCAACTGTGTTTATATATATATATACTATCTGTCTATTTGAGGATATATGCAGCTATGTTTTTGAAAATTTAATGACCATCAAATACATATAAACATATTTACTTACACAATTTCGCCAAAAATCTCAAAAGCTTTCTGCAATGCCTCTTCACCTATGTCTTGGTCCAGATCTCCAACAAAGATGGAGGAGCAGGCCCCATCTATGGCAAATGAGATAAGTAATTGACATTTTATGATAAATGACACTTGAGCCAATATCTATTGATAGCAACAGCTGTTCACAAGGAGGAGGATATCACTAACAATGGACCAGATATTCACACCTCCCATAAGACTTTTAGTAGGGGTGTAGTAAACAGTTCTGCTAGTAATTTCCATTTGAATTCTTTATAGATATACAAAAATATGCTTTTTAAACAGCTTAGGAAAGCAATCGGCATCTCCCCTCAAGCATTTTAGGTTAGCCTTAAGGGGAGCAAGAGCTATGGCTCTTCTGAAATGGCCAGGCCTGGATATTCAAAACATACAATGAAAATGAAACATAGCTAACACTTAAAAGTATCTAAGGAAATAAACCATGATCTTCTTAAAATAACTTCAATTTAAATTGAATATGAATAAGAGAAGAAATGAACTAAAATATAATTATAGGGCATGACTAGTAATAAAAAGTCTATCAGGGCTCCTAGATTATTTGTGGATGGGGAGGGGGGGTCACATGTTCATATTAGTTGACAACCTTCACCAAAAAATATTACTAATAGCAAAGGATATGCATAAACAGAAGAAACAATTCAAATAATTTAGATAGTATCATTAGGACTCACTTTTAAATATCAAATAATAAAAATTTAAACTTCACTAGAGAAAAAACAACAAATCTCAACTCACAATATTTCTGGCCTGTTTGACTTTTGTTTGAAGTTCCAGAAGTTGCCCAATTAACCTTCACTTTCTAGAATTCAATGAAAATTAATTAATTTAAAATATCCTAGAAGCTAGAAATTAGTAAAAAGCTAGGAATCTAGATTTTGGTGAGAGAAAAATATAAAGAACATGATCATATACCTTATTGAACACTTCTCGTCCATTCAAAAATGACATTCCAGCCATGGCTGCATCATGATCAGCAAATGTAACAAAACAATAGGAATCTGTGCCCTGAAAAAGCAAAGAAAATTGTAAATAAAGCAATCTGCATTGGGCACCAGGCCAGGATCACAGTCCTTGATGAAGCATTTGGTTTTAGGCCACTCTTGTATTCACTCACACCTCACCATGTTGCAAACCCACTACTGTCTTTCTTTTAAGAAGGCCAAATGCTAACTCTGAAGGCAAACATTTTGTTTGTTGCTGCCTAAACAGCCTGCTATACTTCCTGTCTAAGGTCGCCAGAAACAACCACCCTATCCTACCTTTTGCCTAACCACTTCTGTCCAAAAAGACCATGTGGTTTCACTTACCTACATCCAAGATGAGCCTAAAACCTGCTTTATCAAAGAAAACGTTATTTTTGTTACCCACCCCATTGTGGACTCCACCACCCCAAGGAACACCTAGGCTAGTGTAGAAATAAACTCCAAAAAAGAGGAGTGAAATTTTAGAAGAAAGGATTTTTGAAAATTGTAAACGTAACTGTAAAAAGTAGTAAGTAAAAAAATAGTAAGTAGTAATAAGAATCAAAACACTCCTCACTAGCCTGGCAACCTAATATTGACTCCAAGGAACAGGCAGGTCAAGCCATGCTATCCTGAAAATAAGATGTAGACAAGCTTTGAACATTCTACCAATCACTATCAAAATTTGAAAAAACCCAAACAATTGGAAAGGAAGACTAGGAGGCTCTGACACTGCGAGGCTCAAAATAAAAATATTTACTTTGTGAGAACTGAAAGCAAATGAAAACAGGAATTATGAGGAAGTAACAGAGACATGCGCATCTTGCTATTTTGCAAGAGACATACAACACAGACTAACACTGACACAGCTTTACATAGTATTAGTTAGGTGATGCAAGTTGATACATATTGCACAAGACAACCATAAAACAACAATCATACTGATATAAAACAAAACACAAGGTGTTGAAAGTACGAAATAATAGACATACATCTTGTGGGTGGAACATTTTTGCTCCAAGAACTTTGTCACTAATATGCTTTAGGCCATTTTTAAATATGTCTATCATGATCTGTTCTGTGACCCGTGTACCATCTAGGTTTCCAACATACCTGAAGAGAAAAAGAAACTGCAGCTTAAGGACCTGCAATACTGCTAAAGCTGAAACATGTTACTAAAGGAACAAAAATGTTGCAGGAGCTTTTTTATATTAGTAGCTTTCGAAATGTTTCTCTGGGATGACTTAGTAATATTTCTTTAGTATCCTAATAAAGCATTCAAAGAATAATCTTTTGGTGGTACAAAACTTGAAAATGGCTTTGAAAAAAGCAAACATTTAGTAAACTAAAGCTTTGCATCTGACACTCTTCAGAGTTTAAAACGTCAGAACATAGACCGTTAACTCTACGCTAGGAAATATATATATATACCCAGTTGTGGATTGAAATAGGCCAATCAGAAACACAAGCACATGACTGTTGGGGTTGACCAATCAGTGCTGCTTGCCTATTGAGAATGTTACCAATGGAGTCCTAAGGTAAAAACGAACTCCTTTTGTCTACACAGTAGCGGTTTTGTTGGCTTATGTAAATAGATTCCAAAACTGGAACGACGATTGGGCTTTACCAATAATCTGAAACATGTCGCCATTATAGTTTTTTGCACAATCTGGGTTTTCCAGTAAATGCTGCCCCATAGCAGAATCGCAGGTTTTAGTTGTAATTTTAGATTTGCAAGACCGAGGTTGCTGTTCTCTTTGGGGACGAGTTTTGTTTCTAATACTAGGCCGAACATGTTGTTTTATTCTGTCCTCCAATCTTTGGGTAGTGCGTCCTAGGTAGCCAGAATCATACACCAGGATCAGAAAAGCTTTAGTTTACTAAATGTTTGCTTTTTTCAAAGCGTCATTCAAATAAGGGCAATAAAAAACATTTTACATCCCCATAAAAATCATCAATCCTTCCCTTAAGTGAAAGCAAACAAGACTTTGTGTTGAGTGAAAAGAAGTAATAAAAGGAAACTTTGTTTGAAAAAGCCTAGATTTTTCAAAAGTCCTTTACACAAGCCAATAAGAACAGCTACAGTGTGTATGTTAACATTATACAAATACCAAAGTGATTCAACAACCAGGTACAATTTTTGCTTGAACCTTAACGTAACAATGTAATGAAACATAAACAAAATCTTTGTACTTACAATGAATTTCCACTAGCGTCTTGTTTATTCTGTTGGAGAGAGCAGGGTAAAACTCACAAATATGAAAAATAGAAAAACATCAACAAAAGCTTCTTGAAGATTCCCTGTGATACTTAAAATTTAAGTGGATTCAACATACATATCAAACTTTATAATCATCATGTCCATATTTAATATAAATATATAGCTATATAATTACAATAATGACCAAATCTAAATTGTTAGACCTCTTTACAAATTGTAGACCAATTACACTGTGATTATTTCATCTCTTGCAATTAGGGCTTCATATTAACTTCAAGAAAAGGCTGCAAAGATTCACTGGCTATCTAACGATTTACTGCTAATAAACATGACAGAAACCAGAATGTGATTAGGGCAATTTATGTTGCAATTGGGATGTTTTGTAGGTTGTTCTTTAAGATGTTTTATTTTTAAAAGTCCACCCAATTGGAGAGGCAACACCACAGTGCCTTTAAACACAACAAAACAATATTGGGATTCTCACAAGCAAAACCTTTAACAATTTTGTAAGTAAGTTTTGCAAGTTTTATAATCTATATCATAGTTCACAAGCAAGCCAATTCGTAAAAGAAAGTGTTGTATATTAACCTTTTACTTTTGCAATCTAAACCATTTTTATTGGCATTTCCAGCTTAAATATCTTGAAGTCTTGGCAACCTTGCGCTAGGCAATGACAGGCTTATCTCTGCACTCAGGGCAAATTATATTAACACCAGATATTGACACAAAGGTTGTCCTTATATAGGTAAAGGCCCTCAAGGACTGGAGCTAACCTTAAAAATTACACAGTTTCCATTTTGCTATACAAAGATTGCATCTTGCATTTTGAAAAAATTTCACCAGGCAAATCTCAAGAAATATCCAAATAATCAAAAGGAGTAATTTGCAAACCTGTCTGTCAACGCAATACAAATTATATAATTTTAAAAATGAAGATTTCTTCCTGTTCAAATTTGAGGTCCAATTTTGAAAAAGGACAGTAGATAGCGAGATGCCAAATCGATGATGGCAACACAAAACCAAGAATTTTAATGTTCTGTCGTTCTGCAAAGATGTGACTACTTCCTTACCATTAAAAGTTTATTTCTTCCTCAAAAAACTTGGCAATGTCTGACTTCCCTTTTTCTTGTTGCAACGAAATTCAAAGGGATATCGAAATCACTCAATTTTCGCTGATCTAATCTCTGATATAAACTTAAGTTTGAAATACGCAACTTTCCTGATCACTGAGAGGAAAGGGAGGACATTGGTTATCAGTAAATATTAGTGACGCAGTTATTTTATCGTGATAAAATGACTGAAACGGCGCGTTACAATTTCATGTTCCTACACATATTTTGCTACAAGGTAAAGCTCAATCAAGTTTAAATAAAAAATGCATCTTCTTGTGGTCTTCAGGAAAAAGCAGCAATTGAAATCTAAAGATAGACCATTTTTTCGATTCGCAAGAAATCTATTCTTCCTCGGATTGAATAAACTTGCTTCGGGCCTACTCGCTGGCCGGTCCAAACTGTCGTCGGCTTGGCCGGAAAATGAGACTTCCTGCATTCGAAAACACACAACTAACGTTGAAAAAATAACAAAGAAGTTGTACATACCTCCATTTTAATTATAATTTTCTATAACTACAAGAACAGATGAAAAACGGTGCGTGATCTAGAGTCTCAACCAGTTTGAGGAAGGGTTGTCCTAAAAGAATGCTTTTGTCTCGCAGGTCTGCACATGCGTATAAGATTTTTGTGGGCTGACGTAGTGAATGACGCATCACTCCTTCGCAGTTTCATCAAATAATCAAGGAATCGAGTAAAGATAAACTTGAACATGAAAAAAGGTGAAGAAACTTTGGGCAATCCTGCAGGAATTTTTTGCACCACACCCTTCTAGCTTTTCTGCTAGTATTTGCTTCTCAACTTTCGTTGAACAATGTCAATTAGATCAAACATTATAATTACTTTATTCGATTTTGATTAGTTAACATTACATATTTTTGTATATATTGTTATCTATTGCTTTATATCGAATTAAAATAAATCTACAATAACAACAAAACAAACAATTACTTTTAATTCCGAGATTGATTTTGCTCCATTTTTAGCGGTCGAATTTTAATCTTTTTTATCGTTAATTTATTTTAATTGCTGATGTTAGGGAAAGGTTTCAGTGCCTATAGCTAGGGACTCTAAAAAGTGAAAAATAGGAGTGGTCAGCAGGACCGTCGTGAGGCAGGCCTTGTTGGGGGATGGGTGTGGACTACGAATTTACCTGATACAAACCAATTTGCTGACACAAACCTCTGCAGTACATTTTCTCAATCATTTCCTCTGCAGTACATCTATGAAATGTAATTCGCAACTTCCATTTATATAACAACAGACTTTTCAAGCCCTTTAGATTGGTATATCGGGTTGAGCACAGGATATAGTCACTACCGGAGGCGGCCTCATGGTGACCGCCGAGGAAAGGGATTTTTCGAATTTTTTGGCACTGGAAAATGCATTCTTTTATGTGATTATCACCAAATTAATTCTCCTAATCGCACTGAAAATTATTTTATTTTTGCATACGGATTGTGCAGTAGATAAAAAACTGGTAACATTTTGCTATGATCTAGCAAACACAATGTTGTCTGGTTACTTTTAAAGGCAGGTAACCACTCTCTCCATCTTGGAATTCCTTTCGCGTGTAAAAAGATTTGGAGCTCATTGTGTAATGCAATTGACGCTTCTTCCAAGAAACTTTAGAGAAAACTGACGCAAGGGCCTAGCTTTTTGGATCAAGTGCCAACAAAAAGTCTTGAAACCATTAATGATTAGTTTTGTTTACCTTCAAGGTAAAATCAGAGGCAAACCAAAGGAGCAATTGCCTTAGCCTGCTTGGTGCTTTATTGATTTCATAGCACGAAGGTCTTTGAATCTCCTAAAAATTTCTTCAACCTAGCGGATTTTACCTCAAATTTCGTTTCGGGATACCACTGGGGGAGATGTGACTCCACACCCCTGGTCGCGACTCCCCTGGTGATCAGAAAGAGAGGAAAGATCAAGCTGTTTATTTTTGAAAGATATACAGGAACAAAGCAATACGACGACGAGAATCCAATGTCACGAAATAAAATTTCCAAATATATTAAATTTAAAGAAATTCAATTTTTGTTTTGAATAAAGACAGGTTGCAAGAGTCTGGGAAACAGAGGAGAGCATTCAAAAGTTCACAAGATCTAGGGAGGAAAGACGACAAAAATTGTAATGCCCTCGTCTCAATGTTGTTTGGAAGCTAATAATTACTATGTTTACTTAAATTAAAACAGCTTGATTGGCTCGGAAGGGGGCGAAAACTCAATGCAGTCTCACAATTTATTTAAGGATTGTAAATGCTTTGAATTATGAAAGAGATTCAAACGAAAGGTATCCTAGAAAGGTAGGATTGGCGTAAATTTGTTTCGATTTAACTTGCATATACTTATGCTTATACTGATGTCTGTATGTATAAATGCAGTATATGTGTATTTGTTTTTTATTATATTTTCAAAGGACATGGCCGTGAAACAGTTTTCCGGTTCTAAAGATCTTTCCTCTCACAGCTCATTGGATGCTTATCCACCTCTTTTGATACATCTCGGGTATCCGAAGAGGAACTTCATGAATTGTTTTTATCCGAAGAGGAACTTCACGAATCAAGCGGTTTCAGTAAAGTGATTATCACAGTTCCTAGAAATAAATGGTCTTCCTAACAGAAACCGAACCGGACTTTGAGGTAATTCCGAAACAAAATCTTGCATCCTTAGCATGTATAAAAAACTTAGAGTTTCGTCTAAAAAGGTGGGAAGCTATTTTACCTCACGTAGATTATGCCAAATTTCTCGATTGGACACGAAAGAAAGATTTGTTGTTGGGGAGTTGATCAAAACAAGACAGGAAAACACAAGAGAATAACTTTGGATAAGAGTAGCGAAATTGTTTTCTTTGTAATAGAATAAAACCTTAGTGATATGGAGACAAAATTCGGAGATTCTTAAAGTTTATATTCCAAGCTGTCTCTGCTATTAGATGCAAATTATAAAAACATATTTCTAGGAAAGTTTCCTTGGAGAGTCTTTCGAAAACTTTCACAATTTAGCACTCAGAAAAAACCATCATGCAATAGCAAAAAACAAAAGGTTTTGTTTACCAATCTTCAAATCAAAGAGTAGGACAGAATGGCAGGAGAAACATGAGATAATTGACATTGCCAGACAATATTGCAGTTCCATGCATTAAAAATATGTGATTCTATCTAGATATTTTTGCTGATTTGCAACTAAAATATCTCAGGAGGCACCGGGCACCATACTATAAGTGGGTGGGCTGAAAACCCCTATTGAAAGCATGGTTTTTATGGATTACAAAATTTGTAACTATGAACGTTCTGAGGAGTCCTTTCAAATATAAATCCATGTCATGCTTTGCTCTGTGCCACGTTCAGCATTCCTTTTCACTGCGCTTCCTTCATTCCTTTGTAAGGACAAGGCCTAACAGTATTTTTGTTAGAAACATCTCTAAGACCACAGTAAAGACTGTCACTTGCTCATACTGGAAAAAGTTGTTGACATGAAAGGTGATTTTGATATTAGCCATGACATGAACAAGGATTCATAACTTCATTTCTCTTTCAGGCCACAACAATCCTAAAGAAAAGAATCACTAGTCTTATTATTTGCTAATAGAACAGACTTATAAAGAAAATATAATAGAAGGTGATACATCACTATCATGAATTACAATATCCATGTTTAGTAAGTACAGTCTCTTAAATTGTCAGCACATAAGTGGCTCAATGTCATTTGGATGTACGCCTGTGGAACTGCAAATTACACTTTAGAAAACAATGGTGCCAAATATTTTGAAAATATATTTTTTGCTTTTTTGAATCTCAAAGAAATTTTCCTCTTTTTCTGATTCAAAAAAGAAATTTGCCCAAAAGAGAAGAGTTTTCAACATGCAGGTAAATACTAGTTTTCTTTCTTTCCAAACAACATTTATTGAATAACATAATCGGAAAAGAAAGAAAAGAGGAAGGCAGCATACTTAAATTACCTGCAAATAGATTACAGCGAGGTTTCTTAGTCTGATATTTGAAGATGATTGAAATTTCGTCATGCATTCAATGACATCCTCAGAAGCTGTTTCTACAAATGGTTAAGATTAAATACATCAAGTTGATATTAACAAAAAGGTAAAAGCAGTATGTATAATGTAAAAAATATACTTAACACGTAAAGAAAAGTGCAATAATTGTGCATTCAACCCACCAAATGCAATATATTCAAGCAAAAAAAAATGACAATTCATTTCTAAAAACTAATGAGATCAGAAGAAAGTTTCAAATACCTGATTTATTTGAGTGGCTTGATAAATAAATCAATGCTGTTATTGCGTTGATTACAGTTTCTTCATCGGGACTGTAAACAAGAAAACAAAGGCAAATTGAAAGTCAGAAAATGTTGTGAAAAAACAAAGAAAATTCAAATTTCAAATTGACAATCGTTCAGTCTCCAGAATCAGGTTGTTCAGTAAAATCACCACATGGCAGGAGTAAAATTGTCTTCATCTAGGTGCCTCTGTCAGGAATTTTTTCATTAAATTTCATTTTCTTTTTTTTTAATTTATTCTGATTTATTTCATTTTATACTGAGAATTGTACAAGCATTTCTATCTGGCATGTGCCTAATATTACTTTCTTTGGTGATTCCTACTAGAGATCATCTTCCCACCACAGAAAAAACAAAAAAAGTAGTTATATATTGCATTGCATAACTTCTGAAGTAATCATGATAAATTTAATGTACAAAAGGTAATCACAAAGCTGGCAGGCTATTTGTCTTTAACAAAGTCAATAATAACAAACTATTCTACTCCTGCATCAAACCACCAAAATCACTAAAACCAAACCTTGACAAACATTTGATAATAAGCTCAACTCCATCATTTTCAGCAATGATCTGTTTGTTCTCTTTATCTAGAATAAGCAAATAGGGGCAGTAAAGCACATAGACCATCTGTAAGAAAATTTATTGGTAAAGTTTACTAAAATTTGTGAATTAATAAAACATGTAGAGCATTTGACAACAGATAATGGTCTAAAGTATCATGTAGTTTTGTTAATTATCAAAAATGCAGCTGACATTATTTACCGAGACATAAATTGCAGATTCCTCCAATGCCAAATTTCACCAAGTCAGCATCATCCTCTGAGATCATATCTACAAATTAATCTTAGAGTTAAGTGATGGAATGTGAAAACCATACTGTTTAAAGGGGTGGGTCACCTGCTATGCTGTGGGAAAATGTTGTTTTGTTGATGCTTGTGCAAGGGGTGAATCCACCACAGATTGGGGATGACAAAGAATCGCTGTGCAACAAGAAGACTTTAACATCTTTTGTTGCAAATAAATTATCTAAGCCAATTATTTCAACATCATTTCATTGATCAGTCCACAAAAAGAAGCCGTTTGTACTGCAGCAGGAACACAAGCAGTGAATATCCTAACAGGCTGTTTGGCCAAAGTGACATCACAGAGACATCTTTCTGCAGAAGCCCAGGCCCATGAACAATAAACATTGCTGAAAGCATGATTCAGACTTGGCACCATTGCTACAAGCATCAAGGTTTCACACCCTGCCATTCTGTCCTACTCTTTGATTTGAAGATTGGTAAACAAAACCTTTCTTACATGCAGCCAATCCTGAACAAAATGTTTGTTTATGGTTATTTGACCCAGCCCCTTCAAAGTTGCGATCAAACATATTTGACATGCCACATAATTTAACAAGCACAGTTTAACAGTTGCTTCTGCACAAAACTCTGAGTTGCAATTTAGAACAGCCCAGTTTCACATCAAACCCTGAGATTCCACAGAATACAAGTTTGTGTATACGTACCTAGAAAGAGGTCAACCACATTCAATTTCCTCAAATGCCCATAATTAATTGGGTCATAGGAAAAGTTTGCCAAATTTGCCAAAATCTGCACCTTTGCACCTAGCAAGTGAAACCTCAGATTAACATTGAAAAGTGATTTAAGAAGAACATTGAAAGGAGACAGAGAAATTATCTAAAGGGTTGTTTCAACTCAGCAAAAATTATCAAATTTATATTTGGATAGGCTTCATTTGATCATTCCCTTCTTTGTTGATGCAATATTTAATGTCAAAAGTAAATGAAAAAATGTGACATGGATTACATCTAAAACTGAGACTGATTAAACATGGAAAGATCCATGGTAAAGAAAAACAATTTGATAGACAAGTGCAATATAGATACACCATAAATTATGCTGGAGATAAATATTTTCCTAATTAATTGAATTAGAATTTATTAACAAAAATGAATCCCCTCAAAAACAAAATATACCTTTCAATAAGGCAGAGAAGATTGCTGGTATGACCCACGTTTTTAAGACTTGCTCAAGTTCACCTCATTTTAAAAATCTGCCTACAAAATATGCACACCCTCAAGAATCACAGATAAATGTGATGCACACTCAAATGTGGACACTTATTACAAATGCACTCTTGCTTTTTCGGGTACTAGCTTGTGCACTCCCAAGTCGAAAACTGTCATGAAATCTAGACTTACTAGATAGATATTCAAAAAAATTATTATTTCTTTTTTATTATTATTTTTTTCTTTTATTATATTTCTTTTTATTCTATTTTTATTTTCTTCTTTTCTAGTCTAGTTTACGAAAATAAATAGGGACTCTTAGCTCGATAGTGTTCCAAGTGTTCCAAGTAGTCAAGTTGCATATTAATACATTATATTAAAATTGGTGGTTATGCCTCTTGTTAATTATTTCATCTTTAACACATTCTTAAAGCTGCTATTAAATTATTGTCAGTTATCTAGTTTATATATTCCACGTATATTGTATATAATGGTTGCTTGAATGAAAATTTGATTTGGTTTGTTTTGAAAAAATGTATTCTCTTGATTATAGAGACAATTTTAAGGTACCGTTGAATCCCAAATCAATTAATGGCGCTGAATCAATTACCTTGACTGTCAGTATCCTGAAATTCTGTTACCAGTGCTTGCAAATAGTCAAATCTTCCTCGACCTGATGCAGCCGACTTCCTCTCAACGTATTCTTCTGTCGAGAACATGTTTTTCTTCCATTCTTTGGACTGTCTTTGAGAAATGAAGAGGAAGGTAAATTGAATTGAATGGATTGTTCCTTTTACGTTGGCAACTAGAGTTGTTGGAGTTGTGGCAAATAAATCGAGAAAAAATAAAATAAGAAATTGAGAAGAAAATAAGATAAAATGAAAGGAAATGAATACGACAATAATAACGCAGATTTATAGCACACTGCAGGGCCAACGCCACAATGGGGGAGGGAGGGGTTAGTGAGGGCCATCTTTTTGCAGAGTTTTTCAAAACAAGATTCTGCAAACTAACAAGAGTTAATAAATCGAAATAATCGATATCGTTACACCAACCAATGATGGGATGAAATTTGGGCTTTGAGACTAATTCTACATTAAGGAACAAAGCTCGTCGACTAATCTACCTCAAAGATGTAATGTTTTCTTAATTAAAAAAATCTATCATTTTATCACAAATGTATCTTATCACTAACTCGCCTAAGTTTGTGCACATCAGGAACCGCGCACCAGTCTAGGAGTAGAGGGGCTGAAATGAGTGTGCTTGAAAAATTTTGAGGACACGTCCTCTAGAACGCCGGAAAACGCCCCTTTTAGAAAATACTTGCTTATTTTTAGTGAATCTTTAGTCTAGCCTCTAGTCTTTCAGACCACATATTTGATTCGTGATTTTCGGAAATTGTTTTGCTATTGGTTCAATTCTGCAGTGATGCATACAATATTTACTAATGTTTCCACTTCAATTTCTTCGAGAATCATAAGCACAAACTCCATATTGCTTTTCAAATTGGAATCAAACACTCTTGGCAAATAGCAATAAACAGAGAAAAAATCGACAAAAACTTTCTTTGTAAAAGTACAATATAGCTCAGCTTTACATGAGCATTTTCATTTTCCATGATCAAGTTTCGGTCAGAAGAGTTACGTTTTCGAATTTCGGGAAGAAACTTTGGTTAATTATCGTGATGTTTATGGTTAAAAATATTTCAGGAAAAATATGACAAATTGCTTTGAGAGAGCCAGATAAATGCAAAATACAAACACGCTTGGTAAAAATATTCAGAGTTGGCTGGAGGAAAAAGAGATGTGCTACAATCTTCAATATTGGTGCCATTGCTCTTAATATTGATCATAAATTATGTGCGTCCTATTCTACAAAAACCGTTCACAAAAAGTATAAAAATTTTGTAAGCTGGCATCCTACCCGTAGCACAAATAAATGCAAGCTGGCTACGTGGCTGCATCAACATAACGAACAACAAAACAGATAAATTCTAATAGCGAAACACAGTAAATGAGCAAATGAAATTAGCGATGATATTCGAGCATAAAATATATGATGAAATGTATGAAATTAAATCGGTTCGAAGAAATTTGAAAAAATTACATTAGAACGCTCATTGCTATAAGTTTCTTACTCAGTTTTTAAGTCTACTATAAAGAGAACTATGAGTTGAATTATGTTTTTATTTTCCGCCCGTATAGCTTATATTAAGAAATTCAAATTGTTGATATGTTTTTACCAGTGGCATTAGCTAAGAGAAGTTAGCAAATAAGGAATTGAAATCATTGCATTGTTTGCAACTTATCACATTAAGCAAAATGTTCATGAAATTATGATCTAATTGTTTCCACAGCGAAATATCTTAGGTTAATGTCTTAACGCTTCAAGATTGGACTCTAATTACTATTACAAAGTATTTTTAAAACGTTCTTACAGCTTGTTTATAAACCAAATCGGAAAATTTTATGAAACGATCAAAACGCATCCTAGAAAAGAGGGCATAGCTTGTTCTTCTGCATGCACTTGCAGTAGTGGAGCCCCTCACCACCAAAACATCATGATGGTAGGTAGATAAGTGAATATTCTGTTGCTATTTGCCAGCACATTTTCTAAACACAAATAAACATAAGAAGAAATCAAAATAAAACTAATTCGTTTTGAAACTAATTTAAAAGAATTGCGCTGAACTGTACTGGACTATGACAGCAGCCAATCATAGCAAAATCACAACCATCACCATAGACTTTTGTGTAATCAGAAGGCTGAAAGGAGAACACAATTTCTGTCATCCAAGAGTTAACTTATTTACATAAATCACAGTGTTATAAAATGGAGGAAGATTTAGAAAATTAAATTGTTGTTTTCTTGAAAGAATTAAAATAAATAAGGGGTATTTGTGATATGTGAGCAAGAAAAATTAATAGTAAAAAGTTCTTATGTAAAATTGTCATCAAATACATAAATATATTTTTGTTGATGTATGTATTTCAGTAAAGTTTGTTAAGCTCTATATGAATACACAAGCTTTAATTGAAACCTCCAAGTTTTATTGCCAGTCCGTGTATTCGCTCCAACGAGCATTCACGCGCAGGTCATAAACAAGACTTTAGAGCTGGGGAAGAGAATACTTAATTTGGCTATGCCGTCAACGTAAGTGTATTTTGAATATGACATTAATTCACTATTTATATTAAATTTGCATCGGATGGAAATTCATAAGATTTGGCTTGACAGCGGGACGCTATTGCAGGTGCGATTCCATTATCACAAAATGCATTGAACATTGTGTGAGCCTCGAAAACAAGTTTGGGTGTCAACATTCGTTACACCTGCCACCTAGGGAAATGGTTGCTGCCATTATCGGTGCTGCAGCTTGAGGAAGCAACAAATGCTGCCAATTAACATTGTTTCTGATCGCCTGGTCAAGTCACTAACAAAGGTAACACAGATGTCTACATTTTCATTCAAAGTTTCTTTTTTTAAGTTGTGCGAGTAAAAAAATATAGATTTATAAGAATCCTTATCGCTTCGATTTTGGATCTTCTCTTGCTACTAGCAGAACTTTTAGGGGAATAATAAACATTGGGGATGAAAAATTTTGTTTTTGAATTTGTACAATATGGGTAAATGAAGACCTAAAAGTAGATAATTATTACGATAATTCTATCTTGATCCAATGATAATATTTATGCGGTGTATTTGCGTTTGGCAGACAAGGGGAAACAATCTTAATTGCATTGTATCACAAATTCTGCATTTAAGGAATATGTTCTCAGAGTATTCGTAAAACTTTTGAAGGTTTATAGAGCAGAAACATATAAAAAGATTTGTACAACCTGAGCTATTGTGGATATTGCTTCTAGAAAACACATACATAATTTAAATCTTGCTTTTCTTTCCATACCCGTCACTTCTTTTGTCTACTTTGCGCAAATTTGATTGTTTATTTCAGCTACACTCAAAGATTGAATAAATTCGTTAACTGATAGGGAATTGGCACGTGATGCATGCGTTGTTGAAATGTCTGAAAGAAAGCAGATTCAAGTTGGAAAAGGTATGAGAATATCCTCTTCTCAAACACCCAACTACAAGGAATTATAGAAGAATTAACATTCTTCGATTTTGAATGTAAATAAAACCCAACAATATTCCTTGACTCTGACAGTAGTAAGAAGCCTTCTGAATTTTTTAGATACTGGCAGGGTGAAGGTATATGTGAGAATACGACCGCTGAACCGAGAAGAAAATGCAACTAAAACACAAAGTGTGCTGCAGGTCTCGAAGGAGCTCTCGCAGGTAATGCCCAGTCTTTCAGTTCTTACATTTGTACAAAGTACGTGGAAAATGAAGAAATAATTTCAATAAGGAAAACACTTTTCTGAAATTCTTTTTCATAGCATTGACGTTTATTTTCTTAATTTCGCTTCATAATTTAATGTTATTTCGTTGCGTGCATTAGCTTATCGCCAAAAAACAACAGGTTGACAAAAATTTTAGGCCAGGGGCCATCAGCGAATGGGTGGGTGCCTTTTCAGAACAACCACGAAAAATTCAGCCGAACCCCACCGGCAATGACGTCATAAGAACCATTGCAACAACAACAACGACAAAATTCTAGGCAAAGAATAAAATCCAAGATGGGTGAACGGGTTGCTTACATATCTCGATCAGAACACTTTAGTGCAAGCCATAGACTACATAGCGTAAATTTAAGCGACGAAGAGAACAAAGTTTTATATGGAAAGTGCAATAATTTAAATGGGCATGGCCACAATTATCACTTTGAAGTGGTCGTTAGAGGGCCCATCGATCCAGTAACAGGGATGGTTATGAATTTATGTGATTTAAAAAATGATATTGAAACTGCAGTACTTGAGAAACTTGATCACAAAAATCTCGACCTTGATGTTGAATACTTTAAAAAAGTTGTCAGCACAGCGGAGAATATATCTGTGTTTATTTGGGAGGAGCTGAAGAAAGTGATGAAGAACCCTGAACTGCTTTATGAAGTGAAACTTCATGAAACATCAAAAAATGTTGTTATATACAGAGGCGAAATGGCTACTTAAAGAGTTATTCTAGAAAATATCGTGAATTGCTTTTTTGATAGCAATATAAATGTAAGAAACGTAGCATTAAACTGTACTGTTGCATCTTTTAAGCTATAGAAGAGTATTTTAATTGTTTTTCACAACCTCAGTCTTTAACCCCATCCTACAAGCAAGTAGAGCAGAATAGAAAGTGTGCTACATTTTTGTCAAAAAATATTTGAATTAGAAAGCTTCAAGAAGCGTTTATAAATGATAAAGTTTTCAATTTAAAAAAACAAATGAATAAAATGAAACAAAGACAGTGATGGTAGCTCTGGCCCAGCAATTCAGACTTGAATCACCCTAAACATTAAGTGTGCTTGTGAAAAGCTCGAAAACATTCCAAGCTTTGTGTGCCAAATTTCTGTGATTATTACAATCTCAGGTGCACTCTTGACATACTTTCCAGTCTTGATATTTTTAACAGTATGAGGTTGAATGAAAATGGCATCAACATAGCGAATAACAATGAAACTTTATCCTTGATAGCTTCTTAACTTAATTCCGTTGGATTAAACTCATTTTCTATCATTGAAAAGTCCCTTTTGATCGTTTGTATGACAGGTTTTTGCAAAAAGTTTTATTGTATTGTGATTGTTTATTTAAATTGTGTATTTGTGAGAAAATCAGAAGTAAAGATCAGTACAGGAAACAAGTTTATTCAATGAAAAATTTAAAGCAATTCATACTTTGCTGTCTCTTATGTGATCAATGTTGTCTCTATCATGATTAAGAAGCATGTGGTATATCAATAATGATAGAACTATCAAATTACACACATTAAAGCATGTGCAGTTCTGTCTAAAAATAATGAAACTACACCACCATCTGACCACCTACTTAACAACAGTCTTCATAAAGGCATATGTTGAAAGACTGGCTAAATTTCGGTTGGGGTTATTTACCAAATAGCAACAGCTTTAATGTCATGCCAGATGGTACCAATGTGAGAGACTGCCTTATGCACACCCAGTTTCCCTCTGAATACGATGGCAAAAGGCAACACAATGCATAATCTAAATACATGAACGCTATAAAGAAAGCCTGTAACATCCTGTAATTATTTTTACTGCAACAATTTGCACTTTTAGAAAGGTAAAGTATTATTATTCTTTTCAGATTTCTGTTGGCCCTGATGCAAAGACAAAGTCTGATAAAATTTTCCAGTTTGATCATGTGTTTTCACCTGACGTAACCAATCAGCAGGTAAATATTTTGGAGCAATCAAGTCAATTATGAATAAAATTTAAATATTTCTAGATAAAGTGGTAGTTCCATTATGCCTTCCTAACCGAACTCACTACATGGTAAATAAAATCTTCTTCAAATTTCAGGTCTGTGATCAACTGAGCAAGCCAATTGTAAATTCTGCATTAAATGGTTTTAATGGTACTTTGATAGCATATGGCCAAACTGGAACAGGTATTCTATAAGATTGTTTTTGAAAAGTAAAAAATGTTTAGCGTTTTATTTTATATGGCTTGCATTGAAGAATTGTGGTAAAACCATTAAAAATCATGGGCAAAGAATGGAAAGGCCATTGTATTAGGACCGCTTGCTGGAGTTATTTGGCAAAGTAGCTGAGAACTGAGGACCGCAGAGAATATTACACATCAAGGGGGCTAAAATGTTTTCGGGGGGATGCTAAACATGCTAAAAACCGAGAGCTGGATGATTTTTGGTATGATTCTAAGTACATTTTGGAAATTATTGGGGAGGGGGGGGCTGAAACCGCAGTTCCTGCTGGGAATGTAGCAATGCTCAGACAAAGACAGAAAATCAAAAATAATGTAAAAAAACTGTTTATATGTAATATATATTTTGTTTATATATTTTGTTCTGTTCACAGGGTTTCCTTGGAGAAACAAAATGGGTGCCATACTTTTTTAAGAGGAAAACAACTTTGTATGAAAAATTATGAGGTTTTCAAAATTTGCATCTTTGAGTCAGTAATTTCCTTTCTTTGCAGGGAAAACACACACTCTTATGGCAGCTGATGGAATTACTCATGACATCATACACAGAGTGTTTAATAGTATTAACAGTGACACCAAGCATAATTTCAAAGTAATGCCTTATTTAGATTCTTGCAATATACAACTGTTATTTTACATACTTTTCAAGAACTTTTCACCTTGTTTCAAAAATACAATATCAAAATGCAAAATGTGTGGATTTGTACAGACAGAGATTAAACTGCAAAAACATAGCAACAAGGTGACATCTCTTAAAACCAAATTTTGTATGATTTGATATTTATGAACTTTATTTATTTTCTGGTCAATTTGTTACGATCCTTTATGTTCAATCAATTTATTGCCATTCTGTTTCCATTTTGTTCAATCAATTTAATCTGGCTTCAAACATACTTGCATTTTCTTTAAAAGGTTTCAGCTTCATATCTTCAAATATATCAAGAAAAGATTCATGATCTGCTAACAAACAATACAAGAGTTGAGCTATGCATTAGAGAAAACTCTAAATCAGGTAGGTTTTACACCTTAATGACAACCTGTACTTTTCAATCATAATCTTACTCTATTCATTTTCCTGAAAATTTGTGAAAATCTTGCATTCCTTGAAAAACACAAAGACGCACCATTAGAGCAAGTGCCTAAGATGCATTAAACAAGATTTATAAGGTTGAATGAGGGTTGATAAATGTAATGAAATGTATTGAATTGATAGAATTTATTTTTTTGGTGTTTCTAAAAAATCATCATTTGTTTTTAGGTATATATGTTGAGAACCTCACTGAATATGTTATTCGAAGCCCAGCAGAAGCCCTGGCCTTGATTGCCTTCGGAAAACGAAGATTGGTATTTGCTGAAACTAAAATGAATAGAACTTCGAGCAGGTAAACAGTAACAAGTTAGTTTGCTTCTCAAAATTATGTCATGATGAAAATTTGTCACCTCTCAAGAAGGTTGCTAGCCAGTTAATTTTGACCAAATTTTTTGATAGATCACATTCAGTATTTCAACTTTCAATTGAAAAAGCACCAAAGAAAGAGAAACATACCACAGAGGAAAACACATACAAAGGTGCTTGTTGCCTTTGTTATATTTTTCGTTGTTTCTGTCTTTGTGAACAGTTGTATCAATATGCTTTTGATGTTTTTTGCCAGTCATTGAAATCCAATAGCTATTCTGTTATGATATAATGCTGATTAGACAAGCAATGTGTAGGCATTTATTGACTCAAAAATGAGTGATAACGATAATGTGCACATGCTCAAAATGTTGTCTTTTTAACAATCACAACTAATGATTTATTTGCATGTTATATTAGCATTTTAAATAGTCCCATTTTTACTGCTAATATATGGAATGTTAATTTACCTTTCTTTAGACCTGCGGAGTAAAAAGTCATCAACTAAAAGGACACCAGAGGTATAAAAATCTTAAACGGTAAACTTCAACAAGGGAAAAAGTGTCATGGATACACTGTTTCCAATAGTTTCAAGCTCGCATGATTGTAAAATATTTATGATAGTTTTTTTTCCATCAGTGATTAAGATATGAAGCTAGATAGTACTAGCTAAGCCTTTTTTATCTTTAAACGGTATAACACTTTTTTGACATTGCATCTTTAATTTTAACTGTCAGTTTCGTACAAGTTAATTCGAACTGAAGATAACACTGGTGATTAACTTTCAAATTAAAAAATGTTTTCCTGATGTTACAGAGTGTCATGGAAAGGATGGGTTTGGATGAAGATGTTATCATAAAAGGCAAAATTCATCTGTGAGTATGCATTTGCTCGCAAATGAATTAAACTTTTGTACAGAAAATAAAATTGATGATGATTTGGACTCTTTCCCTCTTTTCAAATAACTTTTCAGGAGCAAAATTTACTTAATCAAAGAGTTCATTTTATCTTTGAATCAAATTATTCATTTCATTTCTATCTCATTTGACCTCATGAACAAAGTTAAACTGGCTTATCATTTCAGCTGTGATTTGGCTGGAAGTGAAAGAGTGAAAAAAACATGTGCATCAGGAGAAAGGCTGAGCGAAGCACAACATATCAACTCTTCTTTATTAGAACTTGGGTAAGTTTGTATAATTTAGTTAGTAAATCTCTATACATTAGCTAAAACGAACAAACCCACCGCTTGAGAGGCCAGAGCTATAAGGATATCTTCCATTGCTTGTCTCAAACATTTTTAAGCAACTAACCAAAAACACAACCAATGAACCTACAAGGTAAACTGTTTCAGTGGAAATTAGTGCACAAGACAGAAAACAATGGTTATTATGCACAAACAATAAAAGGACATGAAAACATGTTTATTGACAAGATTTTGAAGAAAATAATTCATCACAAGTTCCCATGGTTTTATGTCTGTTCATTGATTTTATTTCTGCTCTTTGATATTCTTTTAATGTAAAGAAAACATTTTTGCTATGATAACGTTTGTTTTTAGGAATGTCATTCAAGCACTAGCTGACTCAAGAAAAAGCCATGTTCCCTTCAGAAATTCAGTGCTTACTAGGCTACTGCAAGAAAGTCTTGGTGGCAATTGCAAAACCAGTTTAATTGTAAGATTTTATGTCACTGTTTTATTGAGGGGTGTCTCTTTAATGATTTTAAAGCATTGATTATTTCAGGCTATGTAGGTAATATTGCTAAAGTTGTATCTAGCAGCTGAAATTCCATTCAAGATAGCTGAACTCTACAACATAGCCTTGCAGTGCACATACAGGTTGTAATAAAAATAGATTGGATAAATCAAGACCTAAATTCTACTTTGACATAATTTATTTTTTCCATGAAACAGCAGTGATTTACTGGTCACTTTATGAGGTTAATATGTACCTTCATTTGAGATTAATTTTTGCATAGATTTTGGGGGTAATTATAAATCACACCCAACTAGAACAAGTTTTGAAACAGTATAAATCTGTCACAGGTTTGCAAATGTTATATTTTTCTAATAAATTGTATTTTTAATTGAACAAGGTTTGTGTCTCCCCAACATTGAAAAACATTCATGAGACAAAAAGCACATTGAATTTTGGATCACGTGCCATGAGAGTCACAAATACTGCTTTTGTGAATATGGAGGTAAATTTATATTGCACTATCAAATTCTATGAACTATGAAAATAGCAATGATGTAAGTTTTTGTTACCTGATTTAAGTGCTAGGTATAAGTGATTTGGAGATGCAAAAACTGGAGTTAAACAAGAAGAACTGCTCTATGTTGTAACTATGAGGTTATACCTAATGAGGTGTAACAGTTAGTGCATTTATACCTGTTGCATAATAATTGTATATGGTAATAAACTTACAATTAAAACTTGGAACTAATTCGTCTGTAAACATCATGAAAGGATAAACTAAAATTAAAACTTACAAGGAAACTAGCAATCACAAACATTTTATTTACAAGTATTATAAATGAAACTTTTTAGTTATATCAAAATTTAAAAACTTAAAACTTTGCAATTTTGCCACACACTTATTGGCTAATTCATTTTCCAAAACATGAATTAACAAAACAGACAAATATTTGCTTGTTCTAAGTTGCTGCTTTGATGGAGAAAAACAGATTGCAAGTTCTGAGTGTCAACATATAGGGTTTTTAAGTTATCCATAATATACTTGTTTTCTGTATAGATTGTAGATAATTTTACATTAATAAATGATTCTCTTTTCTAAAGGTTGATTTTAAGAGGCTATCTGAGAGTCTGCTGAAGAAACTGGAGCAACAAGGTAAAAATTGTAATGTCTTAGAAAAGGACCTCAAAGATTGATTGCTTGCTGTTGAAGCTTTGATTCAAAATGGCTTTTTCCCTCGTGAGAGAGACCTTAAGTTGATGATAATACAGTGATGATGCGATCATAGGGCATATTCGGGGGGCACATGCCATAGCCCAACTTTTTTAAAATGCCCTATTTCTTAGAAGTACCCTCTTTAGAACTTTCAGAAAAGTGTCCCTTTTTCTGGGACATAGTTCCTCTTCCTATCTGTGCCCCTCCAACTAAGAAATGCTTCTGATTTCTTTACTACAATGACTGAATGATTGCAATGAATACAAAATCCCTTGATATTTTTGCATACGAAATATGCACCACAACATTAGATCATAGATTTTAAGAAAACTTATGAAGAGTACTTTTGATTTTGAAAACAGAGTTGATCATTAGGATGTAATACTTTGTAGAGCATGAGCTTACAGAACTTCGCAGGAGCTGCAACAAGGAGTGGCAGTCAGAAAAACAAGAACTGGTGGATCAAGTGGAAACAATTTCAAGTGAGTCTGAAGCAGTGATAAAATCATTGAAGACAATGTACGAGCAACAAGTGAGTGCACTTCATAGTTGTTTTTATAAAGGCCCAGAGTTAAAATATAGCCTGTTGTCTTGGCTATTCTGGTTCTATCGCTTATCATAAAGTTTTCCTGTCTTCCACTATTTAGTTGCTCACTTTTTAAAAGATGTAAACCCAGGCTTTGCAAAGCTGGCTCTTCAAACATATGTGGTCACAAACTGACTTCCTTTCTTAAATCCAGTCAAATGGGGCTGACCCCATTTCAAATGTCTACTTTTGAAAAAAACCACTTAAAAAGAGTGAATTGATATAGACTGGACAATTCAAGCCAGTTTTTTTATTGAGACTGTGCATTTTTGTAATAAATTCAAATTTTTGAATTAATAGAGTAATTGGCTATAATGAATAAAATACTTTTAGGTTGAACATCTGAAAAGGAAAATTGCAGATGTTGAAAGTGAAATTACTTCAAAAGATAATTGTATTGCAAGTTTAAAAGAGGAACTCAAGAGTGCAAGAACAAAGGAGATTGATGAAGATCGAATTGCGAAATTGCTCCTGCTCAATGAAATGACAAGTCTTGATCTGCTTGCTGCAGCTGGATGCGGTAACCAGTTAGATGATGTGTCATGTAAAAATGATTGGAAAGCAGTTAGAAATGCTCTTCTTGAGCACTGCTTAGTTCTCTTGCAGTACTCCAGTTTGTTTCTGAGTCAAGGAACTGCTAGTAACAACACAATGCCATTATTTTTAAATGCTGGTGGCGATCTCAGTGTTGACACTGCTTTTGAAAGAAAGATGAGTGGCCAGGAGAGAATTCAGCAATTGAAGGAAGTTTTATGTCAAAGTAAGATTAAAATGGATTGTGAACTTTCAAGGCTTTTTCAGGACCATGCTAACAAGAAGTCTTGTGGTAAGTTTAATTGTAATATTGCAAAGTCTAAAGAGTTGAATTTATTTTATTCACATAAGAGGGGGAAGTTTAGGTCTTATGTGGGTTGAAAAAGAATCATGTATGCAAGCATGCTAGTGTTTGTTCTGTCTTGTTTACCAAAATGCTAAAGTGATTAGCACTTCTGCTATGAAAGACTTGATACTAATGGAACTGTTCTAAGATACTAAATGTAGTTTTATTTGGTTGAATGACATGAATTTGAAAATAGTAAGTAGATTTTAAAACAATTTAATAAAAAATGGAAACATTTGGAGTCATGGATAAAACACTTTTTGTAAGACACTTTTCAAAGTGTGAAATTAAGAAAAATGACTGAAAGTGATCAGCAATTTATCATTGTTTGTGAATTAGAACTAATCTATCTTGTTGGTATATTTTTCTTTTGATGACCCTTAACCCCCTATTCTAGCTATGCCCCTGACCATTTTAGAACCACTGGGTAAATGCTGTTAACAGATTTTTTAAGACAGGTAGACTTAGTTTTCTTGTTTTGGCTTTTGCCTGAGTAAGAGGCCAATTGCTGATATTAGAGAGCCAACCAAATCAGGGGTCATTCAAACATACAGTTTTTTCCTCTCGCCTTTCCCTGTCTCTGTACCTGGATATAGATTTCTGCTCACCTTTGATTACTGTTCAACTTTTCAGACTTTAGCACAATGTTGAGCAAAGTGGCTGGTTGCCTCTGCAGTTACAATCAATTGTATTAGAATTGTTGTGTACAAACTGTGTTAATAACCATTGGTTGAAAACAAATTGATATTGTTTATATCAATAAAGAAAATAATCTTCTTAAAAATAGATTTTTGTCCCTAATTCTTGCAGATAACAATCTGAACAGCCAAAGACCTTCCAATAGCCTGCTTTTGTAAATTTAAGCCCCTCTCTATTAAGCCCCCCTTAAGAAGCAAAAATTTGAAATAAGCTCCCCTCTCTATTAAGCCCCTCCTCTTAAGCCCCTGATATCAAACAAAGAAAACATATGCATTGAGTAGGTCTCTTGATGGGTGTGATGATGATAAGATTGTGTGCATGAAATACAGTCCATGTCAATTTTTATTTGTGCCCCTTTGAAACCCCTTGGAAATCAGTCGAAATTTGTTTAGAAGATGTCCCGGGGGATATCAATCAATTCTGGTGACTCTGAGAAAGATGAGGACATAATTGATTGATTTTAAGAAACTTTTGAAGCTGCTTTTCAGCAAAGTTTTTTGAGAACGTTTGTATGACATTTTTATGACAAAAATGAATGAGGTTATTTTTTTAACGTTTTTACATTGAATTATTAATAAGCCCTTCTCTCTTTTAAGCCCCCTCTAGGAATGACAAAATAAATAAGCCCCCTGAGGCCTAAATAGAGCTTTTACGATCTAATCAATACCCAAAGACAATTTCTGAATTATGTTCTTTCTGTTTTGTTAGACATCGAAGGCAGTGATGCCCAGTCAAGCAATGTGCTGGAATTGTGCAAAATTATACTCGAAAAAGGACATTTGTCACGTAAAATAGCTGTTGAAAATCAGGAGTTGCGAATGAAAATAGCTTCGATACTTGGGGAAACTGAAGCAAACAAGGACGAAGTTAGAGCAAAGCAGGTTGAAAATCAGATTAGAAACATGGAAGTTTTTGCAGAGAAATTGAAAATGGCTTTTGATGTGCAAACCGATGTGGATGACAAATTTTCAGGATTTGAGTTTACATTGAGTAAAATTGAAGATATTCTTGCCGAAAAAAGTGGCAAGGAAGAGAAAGACGATGCTGAATTGAAATCTCAAAAACAAAAAGGGATTACCAGGAATGATAATAACACAAAAATGGAAACGAAATCATTAAAAGCAAATAGTGAAAAAACTGGTCACAGTAGGGACTCAAAAGAATGCAGAGCAGAGTTGCCTTTACAGGGGAAGGAAGCTCGTCACAAGCAATATTTGGAGAGAAATAAAGGCAAGGAGCACCAAGGAACAAACAATGCTACCAAAGTTGAAGCTTTTTCAAAATTGATCCAAATTAAACAAGAGGATAATTTGATGCAATTTATAAAACAGGAGGAAAAAGAAAATAAGGCCCCTCACCTTGAAAATTTTGTTTCTTTGCACAAAGAATTGACCAATTTCGATTTACCTGAAGAAAAAGCATTTTTATCAAATTTTGTTTCTGACGTCAAGGAAATAGAAAACTTCATAAATGAGTGCATTGATGTGGAAGGAGAAATATCCAAAGTCAAGGCGGAACTAGAGAGGAAAAAGAAAAAAGATCTTGATGTGATAAAATATGGAAAGAAGAAAGGTAGAAAAAAGGGTATCGATGCTTTAAATGAATTTAGTTCGTTTGCTGCCAACGGGATTTCAGTAAATAGGAATTTGGTTCAAAGAATTCACAACCAGCAAATAATTGGACATGGTAAAAGTGCTTGCATGACAGCCAGTAAGAAAGCATTGGCAGTTCAAGAACCTTTTCACATGTCAATCATTAGCAAAACACAACACATTAACGAACTTTGTATGCCATCGCAGTTGATTCAAGGGGGCTACTATGTCCCATCATTTCTCTTTTTCCCAGTGGCATTGCACCCACCAATGCATCCCTGCTGCTTTCAGTGCAAGGCAGATGCATTAAGCTGTTGCCATGACTGCTCAAATTACGACGACTGGAACGCAGCTCAGCCTGCACAGCTTTGCAAGCGTTTGTTAGGAGCTCCTTTTGATGCAACAATCAACAATCGATTTGCTGGAGAGTACCTGTGTAGCGAAAGTGAAAGCAATGCGATTGAAAACGAGCTGATAAGCAAAAGTGCAGCCGAAAGCAACAAAACACTGCAAAGGGCATCAGACATGACTTCAAACGAAACAGATTTACAAACTCAACGCCAAGGGGAAAATAGAGTGACAGGTTATGAACGAGATTTTTTTTTGGAAGACAACTGGGCTGGGAAGCAGCAGGTCTCTTCAGTTCCAGGACTCAACCAATACTTAGGGAGAAATGTTGATGGTTTTGATGAACATCAACGTGCCCATAATTCTGTGGACTCCAAGTCTTTGAAAGGTGAAAACGAGCAACTAAATGTATTATTTGAAAATGAAGGTGAACCAATTACCAGGGTAACTGCCTCTTACGATGAGCACCTGAGAGAGCTGGGCATCCAATCCATCGAGTCTTGCAAATGCAAGCAAGCCCCTTCATGGAATGACTGTGAACATGGAACGGCTAACGCATTAACTATATCCAAAAGCACTGACAACGATTCTCTCACATCTGATGAAGAACTAGACCGAAAACTCGGATACCTAGTTGACGAAAATAGTACCGGATTTGTAGACGATTGCCAGGGGAAAAAACTTGATACTAAATCAGGGGCTAATTTGAAACGAACGATATCCTTCGAGAAACTGTTGATTCGAGACTGTGGTTTACTTGAAGTTCAAATATCAACAGGAGTCACTCAGAACCAATACGGAGATTCGTTTTTGTCCCCCCTGGTGAAAGATGATGGTGACATTGAATATATGCTAGAACAAGAAAAAGAATGCGACGTCATTGAACCGGAAATGGAACCTGATGACAACGCTGAAAATCAACAAGGAGTTGTTGTCAAAAAATCTTGGTCCCTATCCAAGTGGTTTTGGTGGAAAAAGGGTCCAGGATACAAAGCTCCAGTTGTTTCTGTTGTCATCCAATGAAATTTGTAACCAGCTGAAAAAATAACAAAAAGTCTCTCTGTTAAGTCAAAAACTGGATATCGAGGGAGAATACAAATGCCCTGGGTCCCAGCCTAGCAGGTTCAGACAGCTGACAATCCCACATTGAATCGAAAGGAAGCAGTTGCTTTTGAACAAAATTCAAAATTTATTTTCAAAACTGCGATGAATTTACGATCAAACTAATACAAAATCATTAATAATATCAATATCATAAAACTTTTTGTTGTACAGCTATTGAATTGCATCAGGTACATCAAACAAAACGAAAAATTATAAAGCTAAGGCCAATTTATAAATGCCTGCTCGAAGCAAACCAAACAAAATTATTTATGCAAAACGTGACATGTCCGCTTGCTTCCGCAGAGCAAATAAACAGTAAACGTGGTGATTGTATGGCGTTTTTCCATTGTAGAGAAGCGTGGAATTTCGTTTGGTCTATTCATATTATAGGGTTTTTAAATGTTAAATCTGGTTCGTTACTTTTAAGAATTAATTAATTTGTCATGCATAGCAACATAATTTATTGTACAAATGATGTGCCATATATCAGATTTATTACAAAAACAGAGCTAGAAATAACTATTGGTTGCATCACAAATAATTCGACTTAGTTCGTTAAAAAATAATCAGTGAACATTCTGCTTGCTTTAAACAATGTCCCACAGGGCTATTACGTCACGGAGTGCTCTTTCTTCGCCTAGGAGCCTTGCAGTCCACTACTTTCCAAATTGGTATCTTAATAATCATAGCTCATTCTTGTTCTGCCTCTTCAGGCTTTCTTTTAATACAGAAACCGAGTCTTTAACAGCGTGGTAGATGATATTTTTCACCTGAAAAAAAAAACAAAACATTAAAGCAGGATGAACTCAGTCAAGCATTTTAGTTGCGAAGAAAACCCCCAATTTCCAAACTACTATTCTTTTATTCAAAAAAGCAACAGATTGCCACATTTGAAAACAATATGTCGTTAAAACACAGAGTACCTTCCTATGCTCCTTAGAATGATTTTTTTCAAGAAAAAACTTTGTAGTATTTTGTGACAGAATTTTCTTGTAATTCAAAGTTAGATCGTGTTGTGCGATGTGTTTATGCTTAGAGCAGTGTTTATATATCCTAGATTGTATAATATTTTGCGTCATGTCATAACTTTATTTATTCCAGTCATTCGCGTTTTTCGTGCCATTTTGGATTTTATATACAAAGGGATTAGATAATTGGTAGTAACATAAGAAAATGATTGTCAAGGAAAAAATTGAATTACCTGTAGTTTATCCTCGTGATTTGTATGGCGATCGGACAGATATCTGAATTCTTGGGTTAAATTAAAGCATTGCCCAATTCTCTCTGGTGATACGAAGTCTTCTGCCACTTTCACACAGCTGTGCAGGTTTAAGACCTAGAAAAAAGTCAATGAATAAAAGCAACCTCTAGTCAATGGTTTTTAGACTAAAAACAAATGGAAGATACGAAGACCAGAGGTGGAAGATACGAAGGCCACTTTGCCAAAAGGTGGTCTACCACATTCCTTTGTACTTTTGGCAGGGAGTGGAGGGCAGTAATATTCCTTTAATACTTCCTAAAAATAGCACGATAACAACGGTTGAAAAGGGCGTCACATTAACGTGAAACTATATGATGTCTAAAATTTTACAGGCGTATGCCCCTGGGGCCCTAACAACCAACCCTATTCGTGAAGGCCTTTGCCACCACTGGCAATGATAAATGGAAGAAAAGGAAAGGGGAAGAGAAATGTCAAAATAAGTATTATAAGCATTTGTTTACCTGATGAGGTGCACCAGCTGGAATGAAAACAGCGTCACCAAGGCATTGACAAATGGCGAATCCAGTCACGCCAAACTCGGCTTTGAGCCTCTTTCGCAGCTCGTGATCCAGGTAGAAGCTCTACGGGGAATTGCAAAATCACATGACAAATGCATTGAGGTGGCCAATTAATGAAGGAATACAAAAGGATTAGAATGTTGTTATTAAACTTGATGGGGAAGAGATAAGAGAGAGAACACAAACCTGATCATGAATTGGGTCGTTGTGGATGGAATACTTGAGTTTTCGCTCTTCGGCAACCTAGTGAAGTATAAGATAAACATAATATAAGGTAAATGTAAGGAAATGGGAGGGAAATGTACAAATATTCTCCATTAAACAAAATAATGAAAATATCAAAATCTAGCTAGTAGCAGTGGGCCTTTGCATCTAGATCGTAGAACAAAACAAACGAGTGTCCTTTCTAAACCAAACGAAACGAAATTCTTTTCCTTAATTGAAAGAGAATTAGCTGAAAGTTAGCTTTACAGCCAGTCAAGATCTTTCGGCTCTGGTATCAAGGGAAGATATGAAAGGGGAGGTACCTTTCTGAGGAACTTTCGAATCTTGTCAGCATCCTCAGCAGCGTAAATATGCCACAATGCTCCCTTTGAAAAAAATAAAAGTCAATGAATAAACCGACACTGAGCAACGATACATAATACACAAATAGCCAGGCTCTTTCTAACGTTCTAAATGAATATGTTTACGCTAGGTACAAATATTGTAGACTGTGTATGAGATTAAAGAGAATTCTTACCGGTAAGACATCTGGTTGACGGACTCGCTCAATGGTTTTGTCACAGCAGGCTATTTCTACAGTTTTCAAGGCATCTAACAGGATAAAATATATCAATGGCTTTGAGAGGTTATTATATGATAACATCGAAACTGATAAAATGCTGTAGGATTAAAATGCTGTGAAATTAAGAATCACTAATCGAAGTGAATATATCTATTTAAAAATCGCTAATCGAAGTGAAATTCGCTAAATCTATTTTTGAATTTCAATCACATAAAAATATATCTGAAATAAGTAATTTTAATAATACTGAAAGTGAAACAATTTAAGTGCGCCAAAAACACATAAAGCTCACGAAAACCAGGTAATATTGAACTATGACTGTTTTTGAATAAGCTTATACTAATTTTTTAAGCATGACATGTGATGAAATGGCAAAGTGCAACAGTCGAGAAAAGTTCGAGATTCAAATTTGCAATTAACTAACTTTTTAAAAATGAAGTAAAATACAACCGCCTTACCTTCTTTCTCCTGATCTCCAAGCAATGGGTCACGTGGCACGCCGACATAAACCTGTTGTGCAAGTTCAAAAATGAAAAATGAGATTCTGTTGCAAACATTTGACTTGTTTGATCTACAATTAAGTCTGATAAAGGGTTTTCTCTTTCATGAAAAGAGCCGGAATGTTGTAGCACAAAATGCTTGATTTTTTATTCTCGATTAGAAAACGAAAATAATGAATCATGACCAGGAGCAGGTTGAGATTCAGAGTGAGTAGATCGATAGGCATGGATACAAATCGGCTCATCTTGAACCAGAAGGCCAGAAAGATGTCAGGCCAAAACAAAAAGGTATCATAGATTAAACTGGAGAGGCGAATGTTGGGTTGAAACAGACAGACATGACTTGACTTCAGTTTGGTTTATAGACAGACAACCCTGGAAAGAGAAGTGAAAGAGCACGCCTGAGAGCTCAATAGGATATCACCCACAACAAACACTTAAATAACAATCGATTCCTGATTAATTGTACAAATTGGTTGTCCTTGGTTTATAGCTGTGATAGAGATGACAGCAAATTTGAAACGTTTTTATATTTGGTGTTATAAAACATACCATGACATTGACGGCATCTGACATATCAAGATGAAGGTTGGTTGTCCCAGCGCTAGGCACAGCAGCTGAACCTGATGTAGCAGAAGAAGATAATTTTACTGTTAGCTGGCTGTTAGAGACTGTGACTACCAAATTGAAAAAAATACTTTGCCGTATAAGATAATCAAGGCGTAAATGAAGTTGTACTTACCATATGCATTGTACATCTTTGGACCAAGGTCAGGTTTTATGAAGTGGTTGGTTGGAAGCCTGTGGGGTAAATATTTAGAAAAATCTGATACAAAATATATGAAGTGAAAATGGTCAATTTATGTCCTATAAATGTGCTTAAAAAATAGAACTTTAGGAAATGAGTGGAAATTATTTGAGATGGCAATGAAAGATTGTTGTTTATACATCAGCACATATCAGAAAAAACAACGAGAAAAAAAGCGGTCGAACTCAGTCCTAGTTCATTGTAAACGATTATATAATAAGGTGAGGTTGTGACCGCATTAAGTTGTCTGATAATCGCATGAAATGTGAAACTTTTAAAAAGAACTTAAAAGTCCCAACTTAGAACAAAAGCATGAAGCGGATATAGACAGCCAAAGCATGTACAGCTTTGCCAATATGGCATCAAGAACCATATGACAGACCGGTAAAACGACAATTTTCATTAGAAAAAATACATGCAGAGTAGAGTCTATGAAAAATCATCATTTTCAACGCGAACGTATTACAGAACTATATTAAAAAAGACTAGCGAAAAATAGTAGGTTGATTTAGATAGTAGTGTCACCTTGAAACGAGATTCCATTGTCCGTCTCTTCTGGTATAATCCGGCAACGGTATGGCGTTCATCAAGTCTTCAAATCTAAAGAAATCAAACAAGCAAAGTTTACAATATGACCATTAAGTAAGGGCAAGTGGAAATAAGTAAGCTTTCTTTTCATTTAGCTGGGGAAAATTGTTATGTTTTGTCTTTAGCAGAAAATATTGTATTTTGAAATATATATTGTCTTTGTAACTTATTGGAAATAAAATCGGGAATATTTTGTGCTTAACCCAAATATTGATAACAAAATTGTTCACTTCTACCCTTGGTACAACATACTGATAAGGCTCCTAGAACTGAGCGTGAATGACAATACGTTCCACTTGTTTATTGATAAAATATCATTTTCTATAACAAAATTTGCCTTTATTGGTAACCTCTGAACATTACGGATAGATCGATATTTTGATCACTAACCTTTTTGGCATTTTATCACGGAAATCGTCTCCCGGTGGCCAGTCCTGTTGATGTAAATTGTTGGGGTATTAATGTAAATTACTTGCAAAAAGTAAGACATGCTGTAATAGGCTCTTCGTCGCATATTAAGAACTTAAAATGAGACATATGAAATTGGTGAGAGAATGTGTGACACTGATGCAAAATATTATCAATTTTGATTCCATTGATCAATTTTGGTTTTTTTTACATAATTTGTAGTCATATTGGATTACTTTGATCAATTACGTTGCTCATGTTCACATTTTAATGATCAAAGCTGGCGTCTCAGCTCAGCATAACGATGGAAACAAACAAAAAGCGCACTGTGGGGGCTGAAGCATAATTAATACTGGTTTTAAACAGGCATGGGAACGACAAAAATTGATTCAAAGCTGTATTGACTAGTTGAACAAAATTTGCAAAAATCTTCTCAAAAAATACTGAGACACTTTAAATCATAAACCCCCTTCCCTTCAAATCGATGTTATGATTGGATTGGTAACCTATTCATAATCCCTATTTATTCTGTACCCATTTCAACCAACATCAACCCCGGGGAAGGGGGGTTGATGATAAAGATATTGTTTGCAAAAAACGACGAACCTTGAGCTTCAGCAGCATTGGAAGGTCTTGCGAATCAACAGGGCGATCTAAAAGTCAATTTTGACAATCAATCTTTATAGCACTGGAACATAAAACAACATTATATATTATATATGAAGTGAGATGATACTCATGGTACGATTTTAGATATCAGTGATGTTTACCTTTAACTGATTCAAATCCTTCCCAGAAATCACCGACTGAAAACTGATGCAAAATTTGTCCACTGCGACAGTTGACAACATCGACCAACTCAGATCCTACAAAACAAAAAATTAATAACAATATTTTCTAAATATCTCTAGATGGTTTTAAACACCACTAGTTGCCAGCTTTTTACAAACATTCAAGAAGTCTATTTAGTGTTATCTTACAACTTTAGAAATTTGCGAATCCCGCTTACCAAATTCATTTGCAAAAGACTCCGGTCTCCACAAGCTTTTATCCATCAACTCGTCAACTCGACTGACGATTAGAGGCTGCAACAGAAAGAGAAAAGATCCTCAGAAACATTTGACTAGGAGAGCATCATTTAAAAAAGATAAATCCTTGATGTCAACACATTGCCCAGTTTCAGCAAAACGAACATCTTATTTCGAAGACTGCAATATTAAAATCAATACACAAAAAGTTTGGGTGTTGAATTAATATTAAGACTCTTTCCTGCAGCAACAAAAAAGGTTTAATTAGACTTGCCCGAAAAGATAAAGGACGAAGTCGGTTGAGCATCTCAAGGAGGAGGTGATAGTTTACCCAGGTGACTGTTTAGTTCGCTAAAGAAAAAGTAATGCAATGCTTAATACTTACAAAGCCCTTTTTCCAAACATTTCGGAACAGCCTCACATTCTCAGGGTGCCTCGAATAGTTGAGCTGCAGCAACGCTCCATCGCACAAGTAGCTAGCAACTGGACAATCCCTTGCAACACTTTTTACAAATGTTTCTGGGTGTAAACTTGGGGACTTGACAGTTTTATCGTCCTTAACCGTATTTTCGTCTTGATCATTGGAGTTGTTGTCTTTCTTGCTGTCTTGATCAAAAATCCCCGAAGCAACCATTGCTAAAATATCAAGGCTATTTCCGAAATAGTTTTCGCTCCTTGCTGATTTTCCTTCATTTGCCGAAGAAGGTTCTTCTACTCCTTTTTCATCGCCACCAATGTCCAAGTCGCCTTGATCGCCAGTTTCTGTGTCTCTGATCACCCCCTCGCAGCCTGACTCTGAGATTTCCGGCTTTTCGTAAAAATATTCATCACAACCCGAAAATTCGCCTGGCTCAACCATCTTTTCACTAGCATCTTTCCAGGTTTGGATAGCACGGGCAACCGATAAAGCTGTTTCACATATCGCATGGTAGTACTCGTAAGCTTTCTCGTCACGTGATTCTACATGTTCATTTTCATTCCCAGCATTCACCTCTTCCTTGATGTGTTGACCAATTTTCCCGCCATCCTCGCAGCTGGCTAAAACGTGTAATTGATTACTTTCCTCGACAACCTCTTTGTCAAAAACTTCTTTGGACGATCCTGCAAATCCACTTAACACAATGCCATTCTCTTCTTTAAGCGTCTTTTCTCCAGCATCTTCAATGCTTCCAGGTAACAACTCTTGTATTTTGATCAATCCGTTTTCATCGCCTACGACTGTTTCTTTGATAGGCTCCTCCGATGTTTCACTTTTAACCGTCGTCACAATTGACGTGATAATATTGGCGGGTGTTTCTCTTTCTTTGCTTACAAAATTCGCATTGCCTGAAGAAGAGTTTTCTTGCATCTTCGAAGGGTCATTTGTGATAGTATCACATTCACTATTAACAGTGGTGATTCGATTACGTGATTCATTATCTGTGCAACTCAAGCAAGGGCTAATAGAACTAGGGACAGTCAATTCTGCGTTGTTATCATTGGGTTTCTCAATAGGTATTATCAGTTCCTTGGTTGGCGTAGCAATATCCGCCTGGGATTGGCTTTTCTTGATCTCAGAGTCATTGACGAACCTTGGAAAGACCAGCTGATCAGTATTTTCGTTTGAATTCGAGGCAGAAAGTGTCGGTGATCCAACACATACGTCTTCCATGTGCGAAATTAAGGAAATGCTTTTTGGCGGGGTCATCTTTTCTTGAGCCTCACGCAAAGGCATCGCCATTTTCAAAACGTTTTCTGATAATTTAAACGGCACCCCAAGAGCAGTGCAAATGTCGATTGTTGACTGACACAGTTCCCATAAGGCTGAAGTAAGAAAAATAACCATCAGACACAAACTAGTATATAGTTTTTGCGTTTTTTTATATTAATTCGGTTAATAGTTCTCAGGGCATTGAAGCTAAGTGCTGTCGTGTAATGAAACATTCAAGGCTAATAATCAAGTCGAGAAAAACAAGCGTAATAAGAAATCACAGAATAAAGATAACTTTGAAAAAACAAACCATTTTCAGGAATAATTTGGGTAACCGTCATATTTCGAGGCTTGTGAGCTAGGCCTGGTGCACAACTGATCCAATGAAACTCAAACGTCGTGTCGCCTTCATCTACAAGAAAATCAACAACACAAATAGGAAAATAGGTCGATCAATCAATCTCCCATTTTGCCTGACAAGTGCTAAATGACCGACAAAAAGCATTTATCCCAAGTACAATGTTAAAATGTATCCATGAAGAGAGCATAGAGTTTAGACAACGTAGAATTCAGAACAACCTTGATGATGTTAGAGGAAGCCTCGAAAAACTTAAGAAAAGCTTGCGTGATTAAACAATCAAGTCTAAAATAAAAGAAGTGACCATCAGGGAGCTGCCGCCTTCAGAAATAGATTGAACAAAAATTCCTAATTGGCACCAGAAGGGTTGAAAATTGAAAACACAACACGACTCGCTAGAAGATCTGCAATTTTCTTTTTACAATTATACTTATAAAAAGCTTTGCTATTTGTACCATAAATTTTGGATGAACGTGACATTTCTTTATTCCGATACAAAGTGACTCATGTAAAAACAATACGAGTACAATAGTATGCAAAACATAGTAATATAAAAACAATATGCAAATTGAAACAAAATATAATAAAGCTGTTAAAATTCACAGCCCATAGTTTAGTAGAAATAACAATAAGGAAACTGAAGGAACACACCCTTGACTTCCTGCTCTGTAATCTTGCTACGATAGCAGTCTAAGCAGACTCCGAACCCACACTTCTCGCACACCCAGTGAATGTTGAAGATGGTCGTTGCGCATGCGTCACACATCTCACGCACACCAGCGACAGCTCTTTTCCAGCCAACTGCACCTGTGTTCAAAGAATTTAAGAGTTTACGGTCCACTATTCGAAAGAACAAAGAAAGGATGTAATAACCATTGTAAAAATATCGGTGGATTCTCTTAGATAACAGGAAAAGAGTGCCAATTGCATTTAATGCGTTAAACAAAAACAAGTACATCTGAGAGCCGCGAGAAAACACGAAACTGACTGATTTCATCAAGAAAATGTTCTATAGGAAATGTATGCCCGAGGGCTACAATTGGAGATCTAATTGTATGCTGGTTTGGGAATCCCAGTGGAAATGGATTCAAAACAGTACATGGTAGGAAAAGTGTTATCATTTCAATATCAAATTACAATAAGGTTTTGTAGCTACTTAGCGTCCGAATGTAGTTCTAAGGATATTATGACGCCCTAAACAGTTTTATGTTTATCAGGCAGTGCCCTGGTGCTTCCTCTTGCTGCGATCACATCTCATGATTCCTACGCATGGAATTACAAAGACCTAGCGACTCCCTTCGCTCTGGGTGAGAGTTTCCTCGTGTCAGTGACTTGAATTACAGACTCTTGGACTTGGAGTCTGCAGCCCTAGCCACTGCAGCATCCTCGCACTAAACTTAGGTAGAAAGGGGATAGGGATACAAAAACAGACTTACCATCCTTGGTTCCAAGCAGCAGAGCATTGCACTCTTCCTCGACAACAGCACAGAATTGTCCTGCGATGTTCTTAATGATATAATGGCAAACAGCTACCCTCATATCAACATCTAAAAAAGTGATAAAGACCAAAATACATTCCTGAAGACGATAAGATATGACTTGAAGTAAATAAATCAAAGATACACAGGAAGATCATTTCTACTTTCCGAATACAGGTAAGCTATCATGCAAACACAACAAAAGAAATAGAACAAAACAAAATCTCTTTTAGTTTGACGAAAAGAATAAGGTACACTTTGGAAAGTTGGAGGGGTAAAAGCAAAGCCCATTTCTGTTATCGCAGAGTAAGAGGACATCACAACAGAAATGGTCATGTTACATGAAGTAATAGCACAAATTAAACGCGAGTTGTACTGTGTCGTGTTATAATAGATGATACAAATTAGAATTTGAACATTATGGAAAGAATAATAGTATGTTTTTCGTGTTTCTTCCCATCGACACATTTCTTTCAAAATCGATGAAGGTCTTTCAATTTGAAACTCAAAGAGACATGAGCAGGTTTTTATAAGCTCTTAGTTTAACATATTCAGTATACAACTCTTTTGCCTATGATGTTTTCCATAGAAAATGCAGGAAGTATGGCAATTGTGAACACACCTTTCGCCTTAGAGGTCCAAGGAACAAACGCGTCGAGGGTAGCAGCTTGTGGCGAACAAAAGCCAGCACTTTCCAATTTGCCAGTTTTTAACTTCCTCGACAACCTGCAGAAAAAACAAATTATCACAGCTTTCTCTGCAGCTAAATATGTTAGATGTTTCTAGTAGTGAATATTCTGCAAACACTAACTCAATACTTTTTTTCATGACGTCCTCTTCAGCGGAATACAGAATCAGCATCAGCCGCTTACAGAATCAGCGTCACAAAGAACCAGCCGCATACGGAATCAGCGGCCAACAATATCAGCGCCTTACAGAAGGGCAAAAGTAGAAGATTTTAAGCAAACTGACATAAATCATGCAGCACATTCAGAAAATAGCTGCATACCTTCGGAACATGACGAATCGGCAGAATGCATGCTGATCGGCATCACGTTTATCCACGATTCGGCAATCCCTGCATTTAGGAAGCTTCGGCGTCTGGCTGCAGGGTCGCTCTTGAAGAAACGTTTCCGTCTTGTGCAACACTGGTTTTCTGCCTCTCTTCTTCATACCAGCTAGAAAACAAGGTTTCATGACTTTTTGCTTCTATAGCCGAAACTTATATTCTGTATAACCATCCTTCCATATATAAAAGTACCACAGTTAAATTCTATACAAATGGAAAGAACATTTCAATTTTGGAATCCGGGCATTTCTTTTCATATACACCAGAAATAGGTTTTTAGTAGAAAGTACAAGAACGTTAATTGAAAGGTTCTCAGTAGGGTTTCGCAAAATATACTATAAAAAGCGACGTAGCTGTCGTGATACCAGACTGAGTTGAGCTGTGAAATTCTGGACAAACAGCGTTGAGATTGTTCACATCTCCCTTAGCTCAAGTTGGATGCCTCAGCAATTAAAGTATGCACGCCTTAACTTAGAGTGATGGGAGGGGATTTGCCCGTTGCCCAATAAACCCATGCTATCGGGCACGAGTTTAGGCATTTCTTTAAACGGCCGTGTCAAGAATTTTCGATTGAACAAAATCACTGTACAAAATAGACGCGTTCTTACAAGTTGAGCTATTTTTGAACTTGTCTCTCTCTACCAGGTGAAAATAGCTATGCATTTTCGAAAGCCAGAGGTACGTACATAGGGTGAAGGCAGAGGTTACAGCCCAATAAACCCTACCTGATAGAAGAAGTGATGACATTTTAAGGGTAAAAAGCAAGCAATAACCAAGAAAAACTGATTAGTAAAATTTTGGTTGCAATGACTGTAATGTTTTGTCTCCTTACCTTTTTTATCTTTGGCCTTTAATGCTTCTTCCAAAACTGTATCTAAATCTACTTTTCGTCTGCCTGCTTCCACCAGCATTTTCTCTAAATCCTTCTGCATACCCTTGTCCATTACAGGCATCGCATCAGCTCCCTTGCTCCGCTTAATTGCCAGAACCTGCGCAACGGTCAATGGTTTCTTGCACTTCTTGTGCTTTCTCTTTTGCGAGGCAGCCTCTTTCTGCTGTTTTGCCGCCTTCGCAGCTTTTTCAACTCTTTCGATGATTAACGCGACGTGCTTTTCCGACCAGCTGTCAAGGCCACCAATTTTCGTTGCAATCCCAGAAGTCTCATTTGCTGTGTTCTCTTTACTTTCGCTCACATCTTGCTCAGTTTCGTCGACATTTTCATCTTGCACTACACTCGCAGCCTCTTCATCGTGTGTATCCTTGTCAGTATTTTCTTTGACTTGCTTTGAATTTTCGGCAACAGTTGCTTGGGTTTCATCTTTTTTCAGATCACCCGCCTTCAAGGCGCCTTTTTCTTCATCATGGATAGCAAAATATTTAACATTCATTTTTTCAGCATTTTCAAGAAATTGAATATACTCTAAATGGGCTGGACTAGGGTCTCTTGGTCTTTCGCTTCGCAGCTGCTCGTAAAGATCCTCCACATTAACTATTTTGATCGATCCATCTCGTAATTTGTCTATCAAAGCAAATTTCTTCTTCTTCTTCGGAACAGGGTCTTCCCCTTCCAAACGCCTTTTTGGTGGTCTTCCCCTTTTTCTCTTTATCGGTACTTCGGTCTCGTTTCCCATTACTGATTTCGCTTTTGCCTTTACTTTCTCGGGATTCTTGAAATCTGTGTTTCCAATTCCAGTTCCGCTTTCACTTCCTCTTTCAATGAAATCATCAGCAAGTTTCGAGATGTCAACTGTTCCCGGCCTTGAAACCATGTTTCTCACTCGACCACTAAAACTTACGGATAAATTGCTCTTTTCATCGAACTCCTCATCTTTGTGGCTGCTTTCTTCATTTCCCCGTTTTCTCTTACGTTCTTTCACAGCTGACAACTCTCTTTGCTCAAACTGAAAAATGTTGTATACATAAATTACATATGACATGAAAAAGTTACAAGTGACAGATGAAAATATTCTTTTAAAGCAAAGCATGTTTTTACTGATGTAGCTTCAAGGTGAAGAGATGGGATGGGTTCATGGCTTTGTCACCCTCGAATCAAAATCTGACTTGTAGATGCTTGTTGATTTCTTTGGTAAGTTGGAAAATATCTTTGCGAAAATTTTAAACGAAACGTCAGAATACATTGTCAAAGATCTTATTATAGGCCAAATTGTCTCTCTTACACTTCCACAAAATATTGGAAACTTTCTGAGCAAAGACTAAACAAAGGATCTCTCGAAAAGGGAATCTGGCAAAATTAGCGAACAGAAGGTTTCAAAGCTAAAATTCGCAACATAATTTGTAAAAAACAAACTAGAAACATGCTATAAAAATGAGAGTTCGAAAACAAGAGATGTCAAGTTTTGTTATGAAGAGCAGGAAATGAATGACAGTGTAATTAAAGTTAGAGTAAACAAAACAATTTACCGGTATTCTGCCTTTGGCCATGTTATTTCTCGCTTTCTTCTTCATTTCATCACGTCGCGACTTCATATTCTGAAAAAATAATTATCCAATCAAAATAGAAAACATTGCTATGTAAAGGCAAGATGACGTCGCAAGATTTACAATCGGAAATTGATGAATTTATATTTTGAGAAAATGCTCAGATAAAGAAAGAACATTTTATTACCTCCATTACCATGGTCCGAAACTGATCCGTTACCCCTGGGACTGCATACTTCTCAAAAAGAATGTGCATCTTGTTGCATCTTCTGCAGAACATTTTGTTATGTTCCGAACACTTAATGCTTTCAATTCTTTCTTTCGGCCATTGCTCAGTAATTTCACTTTTCTCTTCATTAGGCCAAGAGCCATTTTCGATGAATTTCGGCATACAGATAAAACACGGATACACGTGATGTATCACACAATAATATTTCTTAGCGACCTTCATTGAATACTTAGCAACCTTTTGCTGTTGTGGACCTTTCTTCTTGGTTTCATTCTGTTTTTTACTAGAACTTTCTTGTGTCGCCATGCCCTCAAACAACTTCCATGAGTAAATCGAATTCAAATGGTCTTCTTTGGATGGCAGCTCTCCTTCAGTAATGTATACAGGAACACAAGAAGGACACATGTAATGCCCATGTACATCGCACTTTTTGTGACCGATGTCTGCCTCCAGCTCTTCTTGCATTTCCGTAACTCGCTTTTCATCAGCAGCATCTGGGGTTCTTCCCTCTCGCTCCCAAAAATAAAAACATTGAAGGCATAGTTTATCTTGGTGTATCACACATTTCTTCCACTGCTCAACAGTGAGTGCCTTTTCCTTTAGTCGCCTTCTGTTGTTCTTCTTTACAGCCTTAACATTTGGAGGCCAATATCCTAATTTCAGCTTAAGTTCATAGCACAATAGACAAAAAGCTGTTTCGTGAATGATACAAAAATCGCCATTTTTCGCCTTGCTCCGTTTTCTTCCTCTCCTTGAAGTCCCCTGCTCTTCATCCTTTCCATCACGAGCATCTTCCGGTTTTCGACGCATCACTTCCTTCTTCCCGTTTTGTTTTTCCTTGATCTGCACTTCACTACATTTCTTTGATTTCCGAGAATCGCTTTTGTTCTCCGGCGCCTCTTCTTGTTCACCCTCTTCCGTTTCATTCTTTTTTATCATCATTTCATATTTCATTTCTACTTCTTCCCTTCGCAAGTATGATGGCCAAATTCCTTTTTTACTTCTAAAGGGAAGACATTTTGGACATTTTGCTCGGAGATGAATCCTGCATTTGACGGTCATGCGATTCTTTCGCGTGCTGTCTTCCTTTTCCCATCGGTATCGAACTTCACCACGCCTTGCCCAGCCAGGCCATCGCCCATCCACTTCAAAGAACGACTTGCAGGCCGCGCAACGAAATCGCCCGTGAATCAAACATTGTTCCATTGGAAGCTCAAACTTAGGGGGACTTGGTTTGGCCTTCTTCTCCGCTGGAGACGGGCACTCCTCTGAGGCACCAACTCGCTCATCTTTCAGTTTTCTCTTCTTTTTAATTCCTTCCGATTTTTCAGCTTTACACTTTTGCTCTTTTCTTTTGTCACTAATAGCCTCAGCTGCTACAGCATGAGACGTTTTATGTTTTGATTCGTCGACATTATTATCAAGACAAGATTCTTTCTTGACTTCAGAATCTTTGTTGTGATCACTAACATCTTCCTTGTCCAATTCTTGTTTAACAGCTTTTGAATCATTTTCATTCTTTTTCTTTCTCAATCGTCGGTTTTCATTCGGCATGCTCCCATTCTCACCCCCAAACAAGCTTTTCATCAGACTTCCACTTTCAGACCACCCAGTTTGATCAACTTTCAACTTATCTTTTTTCTTACTTTCGTTGTCTGTTCGATTCTCATGAAAATTTTCCTCTTTCAACTTATCTCTTTTCTTACTTTCGTTGTCTGTTCGATTCTCATGAAAATTTTCCTGACAAGAAGGCAATTCTTCTCTGTTACCTCTAGAAGCCTTACTCTTGACAATTTTATGTTTCCCTTTATTTGATTCTGTTGTCTGATCTAAAACAAATTCCTTATGCTTTTTATCCGCATTACAATTCCTGCATATGGCGCATTTTGCTTCACCATGCTTCTCACATTGTTTGCTGAACTTCCTCCATGCGGTATTCACTTCCTTAGCTCGTGATGCAGCTGGCCAAAGACCCTCTACTTCTCTAAACGGAAGACATTTTGGGCAGAATAAATTTTTGTGAATATCACAACAATCAAACATCTCATCCTTGCTTGTTTCTGTTGTTCTTTTCGAACTATCGGGTGTTTTAGCGCTCACTGCGGCGGATTCTAAAGATTTCTTGTCACTCTCATGTTGCTCTCTTTCATCTGGCCCTTTGCGTAAAGCCAACTTCTTTTTCTCTCCTCTTGTCACAAGATCCGATAACGGACGCACGGGATTATAGCTGGGATCATCTGATAAATCGCAACTGTTTTCACTTTCAGAGAGGGGAAACAGACAATCAACGAGTTGACTCGGGGGTATACCATTTGCATCGTCCCCCACCTGTGGTTTTCCACTGGACATCTCCGAATCACTTTCCCGTCTAAATCTATTGCTTCTTCGCAATTCTTTGCTCTTTTTTCGTCTTCTCTTTTGCCTTTCTTTCAGGATCTTCCTTTCTTTTTCTTTCTCCTGATCCATCGCATCATCGTCTTGATCTATTTCATTAGACGAATCATCAGTAGCAGACACCACCTTTTTGTTTGAGAGTTTCTTTTTAAGCATAGATAAACTCTCCATTTCTAGTTTCTTTCCCGTACCTTTTGGCTCTTCGGGTAAACTTTCGGCCTTAGAGACACCCAGCACTACTGCATCTATTACGTTTCTGTGTTTCATTTGTTTATTTTCATCTTTTTCCAAAACCTGTTTTAATGAACCATTCTCGTCCTTATCAGACACTGACTTAACGGCAGAACCTTCAGTTTTACTTCCTTCAAACAACGACTGATTGCCATTTCTTATTCCAATAATATTTGCCAAAGTAAACGTTTTACCTCCATCAAAACTTACATTAACCGGTGTCCCCTTCAAAGGCAAAAGATTTTTCTCCGGGCAGACGATCTTGGCCCTTGCAGTGAGTCTGCTTCCCACATTATTCAAAAGATCTGTTGGCAGGGAGATCGTGGTAGGAACACTGATAGTAAAGGCACTGCCAGTTGAAATGTTTGGTCCTTCTGTTGGTCCTTCCTTTGGTGATGTTCCAGTTGAAACTATAGACGTATCTCCTGGCTTGCTAGTGCTCGCTGTAGAATTCGCCTTGCTTTTCTCTTGTGACTTCTTCAATTTCGCAGCATCCTTGCCTTTTTTTGGCTTGATAATGTCAGCCTTTGCTTTTAATGACTTCACACCGACTGTTTTTTCGACATCTTTGGGTTTGGAAGTTTTACGCCTTGTTCCTTTAACTTTCTTTTCAAACATAGTGACATTGTCAAGCATATTTGCCAAAACTGCTTTGCATGTTTCTACAATGTTTGATCTTTTCTCCAACTCTTGCTGCCTTCCCCTTTCGTGTTCACATTCTGCTTTTTCTCCTTTGCCAGCAACATCAGTTTCGTTACATTCAGTGCATCGCTTACTAGAACTGCCAATTTCAATACCATTACCACTTGAACCTGTCACCGGCACTCTGTTGCCTTCACTCTTAAACTCATGATATTTATCAATCTTGGAAATCTTTTGTTCATCTGCGACTTCCACTTTGCCTAGTTGCGTTTGAATTAACTTATCCCCAGTTGGGTTAACAACGGCAATTGAAGATTTCTCATCTTTAAAGTTATTAGCTAAAGCTGCAACAGCACTGCTCGATTTTTCACTGGTACCATTAACCCCCTTACTGGCAGTCATCGTGATCGATGGTGTCCTGATGAATTTTCCATCACTAGAGTTGTCTTTATTTCCAGTAAGATCGTCTTTAGCCAACCTGGCTAGATTATTCACCGGCACATCAAGATTTTCTGTAGATGTTTCTAGTGTGCCTCCAATATCAACTAATTTTTGGTTAGAATTCCCATTATTTTTTAAAGCACCCGCTTTTAACTGGATGTCTTCATCCGATTTTTTGCTAGGATCATCAGTGAACGTTGCATGCGAAGTGGCATTGTGGTCCTTCGGAATGCGGAACGTTGCTTCATCCCCTGTGTATGGCTTTACTTGACCAGTAAAAGGTCCCGTGCCTTGCTGCATAAGGTTGGACAAGGATTCTCTTGCCTCGTTTCTTAGATGTGCAATTGGAATTTCACCAGCAGTGCTCAATTTAAGATTTTCCAGATGCGCCATAGCAGGCTCTGCATCACAGCGACAGGGTTTCCGTTTGTGCCTACATTTTCGCCCACTTGCAGATCGCGCTGTCTTTTTCCCGGTTTTCACTTGAGAAGAGTCATTGCCTGAATTCGCAGGAGGAGTTGATGGATTTACATTGGCAAGAGGTTGACTTGCATTTGAAGTACCTGGAATATTTGTGACTTCCATTGTTGGTGCAATATTTGGCATGGTAATCACTCTCTGCTTGTTTGGAGAAGCATCGGAAGCGGCAGAAGAAATGTATTTCAATGGCTTTATATCCATCAAACCTTCCGCTAATTTATTTCCTTCCAAGGTATTGTTTTCTGGATTTAGGGCCTTAACTGCCATTTTAGAAATTTCAGCGAAACTTGGCAGTGTGATATCAGGTTTAGACATAGTCCAGCTAGAGTCTCCTGACTGTTCAGGTGTGTGTATAATTTTATGTTGGCCAGGAAGCACAAAAGGACTTTCAGAGGCATCATTATCAGCAGCAGCAACAACAACTGCCGGTGGTGCAAATGTTGAAGCTGTGCTTGTTTCTCCACCTTCCTCTTCAAAAACTTGCTTTGGAATATCCGCCAAGTTATTCCCACCAGGACCTACGTCACTCGATTGGTCCAAATATCTTAAAAGATCCAAATGAGCGTCGACCATTGCAGCAGCCTCGATTTCACACTTGCAAGGCTTTCTCTTGTGCCTGCATTTGGCCTTTTTTTTGACCACCTGACCGGGTGTCTTTTCTTTCCAATGTATGATTCCTTGGGTGCCAGCCTGATTCACGTTAGTTGTACCCTTGAAAGCCTTTTCAGATGTTCCTTCAGCTACCCCACTGAAGCTTTGCACTTTACCAGCACTGGGAATAGATGGTTCTTGCTGAGTGGGGAAAAAGGGCGTTTCTTGTAACAGACTTGGAGGAAGCCTTGAAGGCAGTGCTGAATTGGAAACTGGTGCAGCAATGAAAGTGCTTTCACCGACTTCCTTGCTTTCGATAACGCTAAAAGATGGCTCTTGAAAATGCATGGTAGAATAAGGTTGCCTTTCTGAAGAATTTATAAGACTTGATTGCTGATATTCAATTGGTAATGACGCATCAAGTGAAGAAAAGTCCTTTGCTGTAGCAATCTCCCTTTCATTCAGCCTAGATGGCGTTGAAGATACATTCCGGTTTTCTTGTGCTTGGGCATAGAACTGTAAATTTGCAAACGGCATGACCATTCCTTGTCCTCGGTCTGTCATGAAATTACGCTGTTGCTCATCAGATTGTTGCTGTAAGGCCTCGCACTTACAAGGCTTCCTCTTATGTCTACATTTTCTTTTCCTTTGCTCGCCTTTGATTTTAATTGGCTTCTCAACAGGTTTATCTGAGCTGCCTTCAGCAATGGTGACATTGTCTTGTGATTTCTTCTCTGCTAGTTTTGTTACGTCGGTTAACATCTCTCTCAATGCTGATGTTGGAGAATGCAATATTTTCTTCGGTTCATTAATCTCAACTTTCTCTTCTGTTGTAGCTTCTTTTTGTTTCAAATCCCCAACAGTGCTAGATTCATCATGAGGTTCTTGGTGTTGCAGTTCATTTATCTTTTTACCAGGTAACGACAAATCTTGAATTATTTTATCAGTTCTGAGCTGATGGGGAAGGCTTGGCCCCTTTTGGTTTGAATGATAAAGTGTTCTTCCGTACATATTACGGATGATCTTAGCGTCTTTATCCTCTCTAGGCGTTCCACTGAAAATCGTGCCTACATTTATGCCTAAGGACGAAAAAGGTAATGATGCTGTTGGTACCTTGGGGCTCAGAGCCCCTCTTTTCTCTCCTGTATCATTTATTTGGCTACCCACAGCTGAATCAACTTTAGTTTCACTTAAATCAGTTTTAGTCTCTGGGAAAACAGGCTCATTAACTGAATCATATTCAACCAAAGGCAAACATACTTTGTTCGATTGGCTACATTTTCCTCCATCTTCAATATTTTCTTGTCCAATGTTTGGGGTTCCACCACTCATTTCTCTATCTTTGAGACTCTGGGGGGACACTTCAGGCTGAGGTATCTTTGGGGGAGTTTTCGGTTGACTTTGTGTCTCCACACCACCAGAAACGGAATTTTCCTCATTATTCGTTTCAAAAAGAATCTCTGATTCCTTGTCCTTCATAGGCAAAAACTCAGGAGAAGGTGGCTGCTCAAGGATTTCATTACTTGATATTTTATTTGCTTTGCCACCCATTTCATTGTCTTTATCAGTAACACGTTCTCCGGTTACATTTTTGCTAGATATTGTTTTCTGTCCATCCTTTGTGTTTTCAAACCACAAAGCTTCTGATGGCAATTTTTGTCCTTCTGAATCAAATGGTACCTCTTCATTAGCAGTATTTGATTGAGAGCCTTCGGTCCCACGTGCAGCAGCCAAGGCAACCTGAGCTGGAATGTCCTGATTGGAAATGTTCTCCTTATGCCCGCAGACTACATCTTCCTTATCAAATGTCACTGCCTTTAATTCACCATCGGTCACGTTTTTCGCCAACTCAGTCTCATCTCGTTGTTTGCGCCTTTGTTCATCGACTGGAAACTTTGATGCCTGGCCATCATGCTCTGAAGATGCAGATGCAACACTGCCAGAAATGGGCAAACTCAAAGAGTCCAACTTCTCACTCAACAACTCAGGTTTCCTTTGCTCGTTACCTTTCCCAACAGCTTTGGTGTCCGTGTTGCTCTCAGTTTTCGGTTCTACTGTCTTGTCAAGCTGTCCTGATATCAACGAAGAAACTTTCTTTGTAGCCTCAATTGACGGTTTAGCTGTGTCATCTTTGGATTTTTCTCGCTTTGGCTTTCTTGGGGGCCTTTTTGCTCTTGGCTTCTTCAGCACCCCACTTGGAGGTGACATACTGAATTGTCCTGCAGCAGGGTGGAAGTTGTCCATACTCAAACTACGTGATAGATTCAAAGGTGGGGCGCTTGGGCAGTTGCGTCTTTGCGAAGGCATTGTTGCATGGAGCCGGTCAAAATATTGCTTTACTAGTCGATGCTCGTAGGTGTCTTGCAGCTGTCTGGGGTCAGCCGGCTCAAGTTTTTGAAACTGTGAATAGTATCTGGCAAGCTTCTGCTGGAAATGACTGAGCATTTCATCCCGCGGAGACTCGGTGTTACTAAGTGCAGATCCGAGCATGCTGCGTACGGCCTGAATGTGTTCCCTGGAATGAATGTGCATACCTTGGGCATTTGGTGACGTTCTCAAGGGTGCATTCATGGAAGCATCAAGCTGATTAAGGAAGTGGCTCAGATCATTCTCTGTGATATTCCCCAACGGCATTTGCTGAAGCGACTTCTCCGCAGCTCGATCCAAATTTTGTTCAAAGGGAATTCGATGCTCTAAATTCAACTTTGCACGTTGTTCAGTGAAAGCATCAGCCAAATGAGAGGGGCTAGCCGCATTTTGAAGATTATGCAAATCTGGTCGCTCCTTAAAACCAAGCCCTTCAGGCAATGATGATCGTCTGTGGAAGTCTGTAAATGACCGGTCTAACTGTGACATAGTTGACTGCTGACTAGGAGAAGACCACTTGTCTGTGGAACCATCTCTTACTAAATTCGATGGATGGCAGCCGCCAAGTTGTAAATGTCCATCATAATTAAATGGGGGGCTTTCGAAGCTGTTAGGCCGTCGTGAAAAACTTGAGTACAACTCTGCAATCTGCCCTTTTGGAGAAGACAATCTTGAGTTGGGCGAAAATCTTTTTTTGCTGCTGGTATCGATGCAAGGGGCAGTATCTGGCCTTTCTTGAGTTTGAAAATCCATCAAGCTTGCAGGAGAACCAACAGAAGACGCTGGCGAACGAAAATGTTGCTTGTCTTTAGGGTAAAGGGATTTATGCAATGGTGAGGGACACATGGAAGATAAATGGCTTGATTGTTGCATTGGAGACATCATGATATTTGTTGAACTGCTCCCTGACTTCGAAGCCAAAATAGGATGCAGCTGAGCGTCGTTGTAAGGGGTGCCAATCTGCTCCTGTTTCTGTTGCATTCCATCTTGCATATCCAGCATTTGCCTCCCACGATCTGGTGTATTCATCAAGCTGCCGAGAATTCAAGATGACGATTGCTAAATTCTTTCTGATATTTTGAAGAATACCATAGACTTAACATACCAATATTTCATACATTATTTCAAGAACCATATAAATAACATTTTACTTAGTAAGAATATTCGTTTCACTTAATAATAGTGCCCAAATACTGATAGGTTTGTACTGTGTTGTTACAATAAAATCTTTAAGGCACAAATTATATACAAAGATCCTATATATTGAATAGGAAAACCAATCCATTGTGGTTAGACATAATCCTTATCTAGACACCCTAACAGGTAGCTGTCTACCCTGGAAAGATAGTGTTGAGATTTTAAAATCTATCCCCACCTTAGCTCAATGATAATATCTCTTTTTACCAAAATGCAAATTATGAATGGTGATTATGAAAGTTGGTAAGAGTTAAGTCCCCGCTTAAAAGAAAGGAACAATAAGAAACGGCAGCCGGCCAGCATAGAGTATAGTTTTTCATTTAGTAGCAACTAAGCAGCCAGACATTTCGATTTTCTTAAAAAAGGTCAAACATTGAACAAATTCAATCAAAGATCAAATATATAAAGCAATCAATACTTTATTCACTTATATGCAATTCTTAGGGTACCCTCGTTTGCTATGTACATTTTGTACAAAAGTTTCTAAATGAACAGATAAGAAACCAGCAAGGCTCAATGAAGAATATTTCCTTGCATAGAGAGAAACTAGAAAACGTGATATGAAAATTTGATTTGCTTTAAAGCGGGGACTTCATTGCATTGAAGCCTGCATACACTACATTGGTATCTGTTATACGTTTCGGAATTCACCCCTTCAAGCTGTATAAAAGGACCTGATTCTACCACACCGAATCAATGCTGCCAACCAAAAGCCTTTGAACACTCACCTGATGCTATTTGACTCCAACTGTCGATCATCATGAAAAGGCAAGACAGAATTCGGCGGACTGCACACAAGTCCACTCTCTTGTTGGTATTCCTGATGTGGCGCTGCTGAGGGGTTGTCATACTGATCCTGATTCATTAGCACATTGTTTGTCATCCATTGAGGCAAGGTAAATTGGCGCAATTGATGACTTGGCGAATCCCCCGTCAAACCCGCATCCATCTGACTTCGTGTTGACTGCATCTGAAACGTCATATTCCACTTTTCAAATTAAAGAAATTGTACATCGGATGCAATACATTCAGAGACATTGAACGAGTAATAACATCCACATTTCTTTCTACCCTATTACCCCGCTTAAAAACGCATGCGCTTAGAAACGGAAATTCACTATTTTGCTATTTCCAGGGTACGAAAAAAGATTCAGAAACAGGCGCATGCGTCTATAAAAAGTGAAAATGTTTAACAACAAAATTGCATGAGTAATGTTTCAACAATAGAAATTGGATATTTTCACAATTATTTAAAGTCGACTAGCTGTATTAGTTCTTCAATCAGCTGTATTTCATTAAGGTTGTCTTCGTCGTCATTTCAGTTTATACTCAAAGGACAATTTAAAGAAATTGAAAATGCAAGAAAAATAATCGAGGAAGCATGTAAATGTTGTCAATAAGAAAATAGATCGCTGTTTTGTGTTTCTTCATTTTTCTTGCAAAAACCGTAAAGGCCGGTTTCCACTTGATTCGCTCTGGTCGCGCGACTTGGCGAAATCGAATCAACAAGTCAGCGAATCGGCGAACGCGAACACTCAGGGAATGGTCGCGCATTCGCAGCGAAAGAGGAAGTTCAATTTGCGCTTGCCCCAATGTGCATTCGCTAAGTCGCACGACCAGAGCAAATCAAGTGGAAACCCGCCTTAACATTAAGATCAACTTATAAGCGCACTGCACCTATATCCGGATAAAAACGCATGCGCCTTTAGACGAGGTGCGACTATATAGAGTACCGAAGTGTGACGTCACAAAAAATCTATTTTTAGAATTTCTTGAATTTGGCTGCATAATCTGAAAGAATAGCATAAAATACCTCTCTATGTGCAAAATTAGTTAGACGTGTTCCAACCTGGGCGAGATATGGCCAATGAAAGATTTCAAGTTTGCTAACGGATCAGTTATTCTGGCCTGGTTCATGAAGTTATACCCTGGGTACCAGACTCACTATACTGTATATGAAATAAAATAGAGAGTCTGGTCTAGTGCGCCCCATTCTCGTTCTGGTGTGCTGATATTAACCATCAGGAGCGAGTGTACAGATTTCTGTACGTTCAAAGGTCACAGCGAAACAATAAACTTAGCTCTGGTGTAAAACATTGAACAGAACAGAACATAAATAAATGCTAGCGACCGTAACGATTCAGTTTGAAGATGCTGTTAAAACTGTACTCGAAGAATATTTTCCGCATATTGTGGAACTGAACACAGAACAGCATTGAAAGCCTTGTTTGTAAAGAGAAGAGACACCTTCGCCATATTGCCAACTGGCTTTTGAAAGTCTCTGATATTTCAGGCTGTGCCTCTCGTTGCAAAGAAATTAGGCCTTGTAGTGAAATGCAGTAAATAAGAAACACCGCAAGGCGCCGAGAACAAACAACAACAAACACAGTTAATGAGTTATAGCTAATATTTCGCCCGGCATACGGGGCTTCGCTTGTCGTATTGCCCATATTTGCTGTGGTGACCTTCCAACGTGATGATTCTAACCGCCGCGGTGTCCAAGCGCGCTGCCTTCACAGTGAGGCAGGAAGTAGACGTTCAAAGTACACACAATTTATGAGGAAAATTACAAAAGACTTATTTTAAGTTGTATACGAAATTTGATAATGATTAACATTTAATAACTGCATTGTGCTAACTTTAATTTCATGCTTCGCACATGTTTTTTGCTGCTAAATGGCGTTTTCAACCTGATTTGATTGTTATCTTGAGGCAGAAAAGTCTATTACCACTGTATTAAAAATGTCGACTTTAAAGAACTAAATAAAACACATTTGCTTTAAGATTTCCCAAAACTCCTCTGACTACTGAGTTTCTTTGTTATTTATCTGACAGTCTCGTTTCACAGGCCTAGTCTGTTAAATAGACTTCAGTTCTTTCAAGTAAGTTCACCAGAACGAGAATGGGGCGCACTAGACCAGACTCTCTATTATTTTATATAGTGAGTCTGGTACCCAGGGTAATGAAGTTACAACCAAGACCAAATTACAGAGGTTTGATGGGGCAAGAGCCTGTGCTAACGTGGCCATATCTCAGCCAATTCGTGATGCCTTTAACTGATTGTGCATCTTTAGAGGTATTTCATGACGCTCTTTTAGGTTCTGGGATCAAAAGTGAAAAATTCTAAAAATAGATTTATGTGACGTCATCATTTCGGTATTCTATAAGCGGGGTGATATACCAGCACTCCCTTAACCAAGTCACTTGCTCGTACATGAAGTAATTATGATAATTATAACCACCATGAAATCTCTTTTAAACCCACGGCAGCTTGTTGAATTCTTAGGGTTTTAGATTGGAGACATAAAGCTGGCAGTTGGGTATTTAAAAATCGGCAAGCAACTTTCTCCCTGCTTACCAAATTCCCTTCTTTCAAGCTACTTTGCTTTTAAAAATGGCATACAACGTTAAAATGTTTCAATAGTACGAAGAATAACAGATTTTCGTATTGGTTAACCATTTATTCTGTGTGGAGAGTAGGTTAATGGTTTCATAGACAAGGGGGATGGGGGTATAAGGGTAGGTGGAGGTTTATTTCAAGCCTCTGCTAGGAAATGTTGGGCTTACTGGAGAGGGGAGCTAAAAAGAGAGAGGGGCTAAAAAGAACGTTTTAAGTTGTAACTTAGAATCTACAGCAACTTCATGATAAAAATATGGAGGATATCGATGAAAACTGAAACCTTTTAAACATTAACCTTCACAATAAATAAAGGTCTTAAAAGTCAAGGAACATCTTCAGACAAAATGGGGAATTATAAAGAGCCATCAATTTGACTAGGCTTAAAGTGGTCTTAGAGCTCTCAACTAAAGGTCAAAAAAGTTTAATCTAAATTAATATTGAAAATAAAGAAATAAGTATGAAATCTCCTTACATTATGGCCGTAACGAGAATATCTTGTAGGAATGGCTTTCGGTGCCTCGCCATACATAAGTCTGTCTATTTCTTCATCTGAAAATAGAGAGAGCACACTAAACACAAAATTTTATACGAACAAATATCAGTTATTAAAACTATTATACCGCTATATAAAAATATAAAGATATCAAATCTGAAAAATGAAAAGGCTAAAACATCTTAAAATGGTGGGTCAATTAATGTAAATGGCGAGTAAATTGATGTTAAAGAAAATCTCATTCTTTATCTACGGCCGACTGTTGTTGATTCAGTCACCTGCATTGTTTGATTTCGTTCACATGCATCAGACGTCCGATTAAAAGTCTAAATTCTTTTTTGGCTCTAAAAGGTGACATGAATAATGGAGATTTGCCGCAGTCGACCGTAGTCCTATGAAAGCATGTCTGTTGAAACTTTTCGACGCGCTGACGCAGCGCTATCACAGTCACTCTTAACGGTCAATCAAATCAAAACAAGTTCCGATGATCATCTAATAGGCCGGTCTAGACCTTTACTTTTAATGAGTCGGTCATATGATCAGCTGTATGGCCAATTCCTTAATTTACCTAGTTTGAATTTAAGTTGGCGCTGTAGTCGGCTGTGAAGAAGTCTGAAGAAAGCTGGAGAAGTTCGATTATTGTGATATACCAGGAAAATCAGCTGTAAAATCTTGAGTTCATTCATCTAAAGTTCATCAAATGATTTTCTGAAGAATGGTGTTCAGAAATTGCAACGAGTTTATATAGAATACTCAAGGTACATTTTGAAAGTGTTTAAGCTGTGTCAGAGGCTGGTCTTTGGCTTCGGTTAAAGAAGTTGATATATGGCTTTCGAGACAAGTCGCTTTTGGCTTTTGAGTCGTTAGAAAAGGCTGGGATCATAGTGTACGAGTTGTTTAAGCAAAATTCAACTATTTTCTTGAAACAATCATAAAAAATAAAGGCTAGAGACAAAAACTGAGTTGTATCTAAGCATACTTGCTTTGGAGAATAGTCAGCTACTGGACAACACACTTACCCAACCCCCATGATGACGGTGCTCTTATTACACTGGATGAAAAATCTTCTCAATGAAGCTGCACTTTTCCTTATTTTATTTGTTTTAGAACCAATGATATTATGACATAATATATCACAGGATCTAAGAATGTATTTTGTAGCTTAGATTGCCTTAACTTAAATACATTTCTAAAAAAGTTTTATCCATTGATATATGTAGTAATCTTAAGTCTGAGAAAAATTCAGCAACTAAGAGAGTTGTAACTTCCTTATAAAAACTTCATTGAGCTCATTAATACAATATATATGGGCTCACAAAGAGAACTAACCAAAAACTGTTTTAACAAGCAACAAATACACAACAAATATCACACCTGATGCCAAAAAATTGATATGAATCAGCTTGGGATTGACTTTGCGGCTTTTAAGAAGCTGATCATCCATCACATCCACTACCTGAAAGAGAAATCAAGGATACATATTAAGTTATGCAATTCGAAGATCATTTATCAGAATTTCACTGATGTCAACAAATTCCAGGTAGTCACATGAGTGCGAGGATGGCTCAGTTGTTAGAGGCGCTGACTACAGACTCAAAGATCTGTGGTTTGAGTCCCTGACATGACCAAACTTTCACCCAGAGTGGGGAGAGTCACCACCTCTCTCTAATTCCAGGTGTAGGAATCACAGGGTTTGGTCACATCGAGAGGAAGGACCAGGACACTGCTCGATAAGCATAGCTTCTCAGTGTCCTAAAACTGCCTTCGGATGCTAGGTAGAATCAAATAAAATAAAATAAATCAAAGAAAAATAAAATCAAATCAAATGTTCTTGGCAATAATATAAACATTTTTGTAATTACCCTTTTCATATAGTCATGAGATATGATAACAGCACGAAAACATCTTCCATTTGATGTGCTGGAAAAGAAGAAATATAACACCTTATAACAAAAAGTTTCATAGAAAACTCCAAGGAGAAACCTAAAAAGGTCTGAAATATCTAAATAGAAAATATGAAATATTTATAGAAATCACAAAGAAATAAATAGGCAAGGAGTAGATTGACAGATATTTTTGGGTGGATGAAGGACAAAACTTCTGACTGGCAACAATTCAATTGAATCTTTGTACTGTACCAAAATTTTACTAAAGCTCTACTAACAGAACCTTAAAATTACACGGAATTCTCAGCCTTAGCGCTATGTAATACAATTCTGTGATGTGAATAAGCATTTTAAATACGACTATATTTTTAGATTACTCTTCAATTACCAATCCGATTCAAAGAAGTTCAAAGATTGGGGGAGTTTGACACCCCAACTTGCATGCCTGCAAACAGGTCTAAGCGCAGGAACTTTTTTAATAGTGAGATCTTTAAACTGAAATTCATAAACAAACAAAAATGAAATAGGCATTTCACTTACTCAATAATCTCAACTCTGCATCCAGTTAATGAATATGGTCCTGAAAATGAATAATATAGATGTTGAAAAATCTAAAGATGCAACACAATCCAATCCAGAGCTTTGAAAAGGAAAAAAGACATATAAGACATATGAAAAGTGATCTGCTCCAAAAGCATTGGAATTTCAAAAAATATGAAGCAATTTTGATATATCTTAATATAGCTGCCATTGAATGCCATTTGCATTTTAAATAAAACCACATAAAAATTAAAGTTTCAGGTACTAGGCTGGCATATTTTTCTTGCATTTCCAATCTACTAACCAAGAAAAACAAAAGATACTCTATCATATGCAGTAGTAATCATATACAAAGGAATTGCCCTGCAAAATGGACAATCCTTTGTCTTATGGGCTTGTATTAAATGAAGAAAGGAACATGATCATTTATTCCAAAAATGCAAAAATTAAACTAACCAAACAACAGTATCATTTGAGTTTTCTGAATTCTTTCCCATCTTTGATAGTCTTCTTTCAAGTATTTATCTTTTTGAATACTTTCAAGCATAATTGATTGGTCCTGCATTGAAAATGTAGTTTGTGTATATAAAGAGTTAAAAGATTTCACATGAAGTTTTTAATCTTCATAAGATAATCATTGCAAAGGGCCAACAAAATCTAATCTAAAGTCAAGGAGAAAAATAATAAAAAAATTTTGCATACTAGGGATGGTTGAAAAGTTGCAATATGAACGATGCAATGCACTAAAATTGTTGGCAAAAAATGAAACATTAGCCACATACCTCACTTGGGAAAAGTTGTATAATGTCTTCAAACACAACAAAGGACCTAGAATAATAATTTATTTTAACTTAGACAAAATCCAGCTTTGCCAATCACCAGTCCTCTGTTTAAGTACCAAAGAGGTAATGAAACAAAACATAAAAGCAAAACATACACTCATTATTTGAACACAGATAATACAAAACAAGTTGCCATTGGCAAATGATCGTTAGCCTAACTTACAGTTGCTTTCTTGATCCCATGTATTCAACTGGAATAAGATGGGGGTTTTCATCCAAAAAATTTCTATCAAGAACAGGAACCATTCGCTAAAAAACAAAATATGAAACAATTCATGTTTTCAAAATTTTGATCAGATCTGGAAAATTCTTTATGAATATGTCTTATAGTAGAAAACATCCTAATCAATGTAAGAAATTGCTCTAACAAGGCTTCCCTACACAATATGCAGGAAACACCGCAGATGAAATTCACAGGAAGATCAATGACATTTTAGAATTAGGTTTCATCTCAACCAACCTTCATTTTGTATAAAGTGCAATTTTAAAAAACAAACAGTCTTTAATCATTTCTTAGAAAAAACAGTGACTTTGTTGCATCAGATAATCAGAGTAGTTCAATGAATAAATATTTTGAAAAATTTATATTTAGAGCTTGATTTTATATAATATAACTGACAAAGTTCTAAGCTTGAATGAAAAACGTAGTAGACTAGAATAACATCTTCACTGTTATGATATTGACAGAAAATATCAAATTGGTTGAAAGTTTACAAGTCAGTCAAAATTAGAGAAATCAGGGTGGGTTCAAAAAAGTGTGGTGGAGGGGGGGGGGAGGTCACACATTTTTTGAAGGAAAAGAAATGTGTGTTGAAATTAGAGAGGGGCTCTAAAAAAATCAATTTTTTTAAAAATGGGAATGTTCTAATAGCAACCAGAGACATGTGCTTGGTAAATTAAATAATTCAGAAAAACATATACAATGATAAATCAAGAGTAAGCTTTTTCTAAACACTTCTAAAAATTGTAAGAAGCTTTTACAAACAACTTCACTGCTTACTTTTATTTTGTGCAGACCTTATATTCAAATTTTTTTGCTGTTTTACCACAAGTAATCTCATTTTTTCAAAGCTTATTAGATTTCAGACATACCAGAGCAGGCCAGCTGTAACTTTGCTGTCCATAAATGCCTCCATCATTTCTTCTACACAACACCAAATTTTCTTCAATCAGAAAAACTCTATGACTCCCTGAGTATAGCTTGATCCACTCCTTTGGCAGCTGGTATTTCCCATCATATTCAACAAACACCTAAAACAGAGTTGAATAAATAAAATGTCTGAATAAGTTTTATGAATAGAAGTGGTTTTTAAACATGTAGCGTATAGAGAGGTGAAGTTGCTGGAGCATGCAATGAAAATTGTGAAAATGTGCTGGAGAAGAGATGAAGAATAATATAAATTATTAAAATTATACAATTTGTTTTTATACCAGGAAAAGGGAAGATAGATGCACTATTCATACTAAGAAGAATACAAGAAGAATATCAAGATAAGAAGAAAAAGCTTAACATGTGTTTTGTGGATTTAGAAAAGGAGTTTGCCGGAGTCCCAGGGAAGGTTATGAATTGGCAATGAGGAAAGAGGCACTGGTGAAAGGGGTGATGAGTCTTTATACATTTTGGGTGAATGTAGGGGTACACCAAGGATCAGTGTTATCACCACTTTTGTTTGCAAATGTGGTAAATGTTGTTACAGAATATGCCAGAGAAGGGTAGCTATATGCAATTCTATAGGCTGATGATTTGGCTGCCATGAGTGAAACCATGGAGGATGTGAAAGATAAATTTGCGAATTGTAAGAAAATGTTTGACAGCAAAGGAATGAAGGTTAACCTTTGGGAAAAAAGTTAATCGTGAGAAGAAGAAAAGGGGAGGTGAAAAGGAGTAAGATAGATCTATGTGGCATGTGTGGGAGGAGAGTAATAATTAACTCAATTTTGCGTACAAATTGCGATAAACAGACTTATGGTTGATGTGAAAAGATGACAAAGGTGACCCAAGCTCTGGCAATGCATTTGGTATGTGCTTGGTGTGTAAGAATCAGGAAAGGGGAAATCAAGCCTATCAAAGAATTACAGGATGATGTGGAAACAGTGGGAAGTTTTTGTTAGCTGGGTGATAAGTTGAGTGCCAGCAGAGGATTTGAAGTTGCATTGTCAGCAAGAACAAGACATGGATAGGAAAAATTCAAAGAATACAATGAATTGCTTCTTGGAAGAAGGTTTTCTCTGAAGATTAAAGGAAGGATCTATTAGACTGGAGTAAGATCAGCTATGTTATATGGTAGTGAAACATGGTGCTTAAAGGAAAATGTGATGAAAATTTTAAGAGGGGCTGAGACAGCCATGGTGAGGATGATATGTAGGGTGAAACTGATGGATAAAAAGAACACGGATGAACCAATGAACATGTGGACTTGAAAGAAACAGTGGATAAGCTAGTGAAAGCAAATGGACTGCGATGATGTTCTTAGAAAGGCTCAAATTTTCAAAGTTGATCATGGAGAAATGGAGGACTTGGAAAAAGCAAGTGGAAGAAGAAATGAAGAGTTTTGATTTACAGAACAAATGGGAAGGCACGAAGGAGTGAAGTAAATCCGACCACCTGCTTTAAAATGGAAAAAACCAGATCAAAACTGGATTAATGATGACGATGATGATGATGGCAGGTGTTGGGATTTAAGTATACATTTTTTTATCAGTTTTTGTGTCTGTCATTCAAAAAACAAAGTATCTCTGCATGGTTTTGTAGATGCTGCTGTAATCAAAGGCACCTTACATTTTTTATGAACCCCAAATGATGTGGCAGGCAATAGGAGGTGGCTTATAAACAAGGGCAGCTTCTAAACAAGGGCAGCTTCTAAACAAGGGCAGCTTCTAAACAAGGGCGGCTTATAAACAAGGGCGGCTTATAAACAAGAGCAAGTTATATCTGTATAGATATGATGATAAAGAAATTTCTACACAATTTTGCAACAACAAACTATTGAGACTCAATAGTGAGCCAAACAAGAATGTTACAATGTCATTTATTTAAGATGTGTACTCTGAATGATATATCTGCTTTGCAAGAAAGTTTTTGATTTGGTAAAATGTTACCAAAGGTCATCCATGTTTTATAATCGATCTGTGGCATCTCCATGCAAACATTTTCCCAACTGAGAGTAAAAACATTGTATTTATCTTTATTTGAAAATATTTTTGTCTCAATAACCAGTTTGTAAAAAATTATCATGTTTTATTGGCTGATTTTAACTGAGTCCAAGTCACCTGACTTTGCTGTTCTCTGCTTACTTGATATCAGTTGATTTGCGTAAGGCTTGTAGCGCAAAGGTTTCTCATTTTAACAAAAAAATATAACAGATAAAAAGCGCAGAAGTTTCGCATCATTTCAATGTTCTGGTTTATTTCGGAAGGGCTTCTCAAAAAATTATTATCACAAAGTTAAAAAGTCGTTTTCGCCAGCCTAAATTTGTTTTTGTCTGAAAGCGCAATCGATCTTTGAACTGCTCGGGTACTTTCCTGAGGGGAATGTATTTTGGTACATGCAACTTTTAAACAATTGTTCTAAATGGATTGAAGCTTTGATTGGTTGTTATACTTCTGACCCAATACACAAATAATTTGCATAACAATAGCCCAAATTATTCAAGTACAATTACTCTGCCGCCAAGTGGTGCAATACTTCGAAACGTCAGTTTAGTATGCCACAAAAATGGCATCATATTTTACGGTGCGATAAAAGCAGTTATACATCATGTTAGATTACTTTGTTAATTAACATCTAAAATATTTCAATTTTCTTAAAAATTCCAAATTGTCTTGAAAAAATTTGATGAAAATGAAATGAAGAAATTATAATTAAGGACACCACACCTTGTTGCTATGGAAACAAAATATTTTTTGGACAACCTGTGGCACGGGGACATATTTTGTGGTTACCCTGTGCTAAGCTGTTATGCATATCATTATCTCCGCCTCTCTCTTTTGCATCTCATTAAAAATGGACGTGCGCCTCTTCACACAAGCTGCAGCAAGTTTGCCCTCTCGAATTTATTCCGACTGTTGACCAAAAAGTCTTTATTTGCACTCTTAGACTTGACGGCTAGGGGCAGTGACAATTTTCTCAAACAATTATATTTTTTATAATTTTCCAATGACCTTAAGAAGTTTAAATTTTAAAGAAATTCGCTTGCAGTTTCACCCCGTAACCCAAAGGCAAACATATAGAGCATGTGAGTGAGGTCCTGACAAATTGCTGACGTTACGAATGATACCCAAGAAAGAAAACACATCGGTTTAAAAGCAAAGTTACACTTGAATTAGCTTCGAATGATGATTTTCGAGATAAATAACAAAACGTGGAAGCGCAGGCGAGAGAAATTTTTAGAAGTCGCTTAACCGCCATTTCCTCGCAAGAAAAACAGAAGCTTCGGATCGCTTAGTAATAATGAAAGTAGCTTTGTGTAAAGATATTAGATGTGTTGAACGAACCTTGACTCTCTTGACAAAAACAGATTCATTCTGTGCATCTAATCCGTCTACGTTTGAAGCAAGAATCGTGCCCGTAACCCAGCTGAGAGCATCCCAATTTTGATCAAGGCCTGACACCGAACCTCGATGGCGAGTGCCGCTTCTTCCATTCCCATGAATATATGCAAATCGCTTACCAACTAACTCCCTCCTCACTGGAAACATAGTTTTGCAAGTGGTAACTTTCTTCCTGACTGTACCTCATTTATTGAAGCCTGCTAGGACCATCAAAAAGGTTTTGCTTATCAAAAAGTCAGTCGAAGCATTTTCAGCAAGTTCGTACTTCTATCTGGCGCTAAGTATTATAATTTATGCAAATCGTATGTTCAAATGCAAATAAGTTATCAAAGCTCCTCCATAAGAGAAGTCAAAGGCCTATCTCTATGGGCAAAGGAGGATAAGGAAGAACTTTCACTGAATGATCGCATCAATTTAATTCTAAAAATTTTCAATATTAAACTAGACGAAACTCTTATGTAAATCTTTTGCTTGTGAGAGGATTTAAAAGTAGCATAATTTTCAGTGCTTCCAAATTTCGCTCAACCAAGTTCCCGAAAAAATCCTTATTTTTGCTAAAAATTCCTTCCAAAATGTATGAAAAATCCTTCCGATTTCCATCTGCCCTATTACTCGATTTTTTATTGCCCTATTACCTAGGTTCGTTCTAGAAAGGGCGGGTTTCGACGCCACGATGGTAGTTACATCTCTTTGGATAGTTATCAGCTATGCGGAGGATAATTTATTGAGTACTTTGAATTCTTGTTCCAGGGGGCTTATCAATTCGGAAAATTTTTAAATTGGGGCCCATTCGAGGGGGGGGCTTATACGAGAGGGTGCTTGTAAAAGCAATCTCCAAGTTTCCATATAAATACGTAGCTCGTTCTGTACTTTTTCATGATGTTTAAGCTCATTAAATTTGCAATTTCACTTAATAACTCTTTCTAAAATATCACATCAAAGTATAAATCAAAGCACCAAAAATATTTTTTAGTCCAAAATATTGAAATGTTCATTGCTTTCGGCGGTTTCTTCGTAAATGATCTTTAAAGGTGCACCTGTCAATTAAGCTCTATGGGGGCTTATTACATATGCAAAATTTGTCCTACTAGGATGGGAGTTTATTTTGGGAACTTTATGCGGGGGGTCAGCTCGTTCTTTTGGTCAAAGCTTGCAGAGACCTTGAAGAAACTTTAGGCTGGTATTAAGTATAGGAATATGTCGATTGACTGACACATCATTGCATCAAAACGGAGACAGCAATCATAGTATCTAACAACTACAATCCCGGGCATAAATGGTTGAGACTTTTCAAGGAAAGCTTACAATTTCACTTTGCTTTAAAAACCAAATTATCTCCCCCCCACTTCCCCCAATTCAATGTTGAGTGCATGATTTTGAAGGAGAAATGATAGAACTACCAACCCAACATTGCTTCGGGGGGAAAAGGGGGGATTCGATTTTACAGGGGCAAGGTAAAGTAGAAAATTACAAAAATTGCATTTTGTCTCAACATTTTTGTCCGGGATTGTAGTTTTAATCAAATTAAATCCAGACAAATTGAAATTTCAGGCACATTCTATTTTTTGGGTAACTTTGCGCCCCCGCACCTGAGGTGTTGGGATGTTGGCGAACCCAAGATCTTGTCAAAATATTCTGCAAACCGGGCATTACAGAAGTCACTGTATTTCATAAAATAAAACATTAACTTGGCAATATGTTCAACAACAATTGCTTATCGGCTGGAGTTGTCAATTTACTTTAGCCGTACAAACATGCGAGAAGTGAAAGCTCTAAGAGGGCTGAGGGCATAGTGACAAAAATCTTTCTAGATATTTTGTCGTATTTCCACAAATTCCTCTCAACTTCTTAGAAAATCCTTCCAAATTCCTTCTAATTTGTAAATCCTTCTTTTATCCTACCAATTGACCAAAATTCCTGAAAAAAGGATAAATCCTTCCAAGTGGAAGCATTAATAATTTTAGCTTTTTTTCGATCAAATAGCGCAATCGATGTCTGGGAAACATCAGTGCAGCTAATATTGAAGGGCAGTGTCTGCAAAAATACCGATTATGGATATATTTGGACTTTAAGTTAAATTTTATTGATTTTTGCGTGGGGGTGGGTTTAATCCATGCAAATGTAAGGGTGTGGTCAAGGGTGTGATGCCTACCTAAATTGAAGAATAATGATCAAAAATAAATATAATTAAATGAATTTTTACATTATTCGAGTGTTAAATATAATTTCAACGATTCGAGCATAAGTCCTCTTTTAAATAAAAAAAGCCAGCAGTAAGGCCTAAATTTATAGGACAGCACACCTATTCCGGGAAATGTGTTTATTGCATTGTGGAGCAAAAAGTAGTTTTCAGGATTTATCTCCAACAGCAAGTTCATTGGTTTAATATGAAGTTTCGCGTTCAGACGACAGGGTCCCAGGGATGATTTTCACGACAACGTGAAAAGTTATTTCACACTACAGATGAAATAAAACACAAACACGACGCAAACATACTGAATGAAGTATAGAAACTATTGCCCATTTTCATGCATCGTTTTCAGTTTGAATATATTGCTATTGTCAAGCTTTAAGAAGCAGTAGGGCATAGCTGGACTTTCGTGCACTGCTTACATAAATATATTGGAGTAATTATAGACTCTTAAAAAAATTGAAAAGAACATAAAACAAATTATATTAAAATCATGTAAAAACATCAGACTATTCTGATGATTATTGAGCAGTTCGTGTTCCATTCCTAGGAAGTCAGAAACTCATAATCTATTTGTAGGGGGAGCAAACCTTTATGATGATTTCTGTCGAATTGTTAGCATTCACGTTTGCATTCGTAATCACGGGCCAGTAGCGAAACACAGCTTAGGGCACCTTGATTCAGCGTTTTTCAACCTTTTATATCCATGACACATTTTTTGCAGATAGTTATTAATTTTTTTTAAATTTCATAGACCAATGAAATGAAATTAGAGAATTTCCCACGGCACACCACACTATGCAGTACCTCAAGTCACGCTGGTGTGTCGTGACACATTTGTTGAAAACATCCAAGGGCCCCTGACCAAAGTTTATCTTTTTCTATTGTCTTTGACATGCTCTACACCCTTCTTCTTGACGTGATCTTTTTGCTGTCCGTGCTCGTAGCAGTTTTTTGCTTAGGGCCCAGATGCCTCCGTTACGTCAAAGCACATAAGATGCTAGAAACAATTGAACAGAGCTTTACTTTCTAGATGAGCTTCGGGTCTTTTTCCTTGCAAAGAAAATAAGTGTGTCCTGCCCACTGCTTTCCCCTTTCTGGCAAGCCCAGTGCGTTGCGCTTTGTCCCTATTACCTATATGACGGTTCATGTTCAACTTTTCTCTTTAAATTACATGTCTTTTGGTGTTGGCCAAAGTTTCTTGGTAATTGAAATTTTAGAGACCTTGAACAACATCAAGTCCATTTCTCATTGACTCGCTTTCTGCAAGATTCAACCAATGGCCAAGGGAGTGGACATAGAGGTTCAAAAGTCGTCCATTCGCTTTGCCAGGCCCTCAGCTTTGCCGCTCATTTTAGACTGTTAAGGCATTTACCAAGAAACTTTTACATAGGCTTTTAAACCCAATTTGTACAATTGCTAAAGACTGAGTTTTGCAAAATTTAGCAAAAACTTTCTTTCGGACACCATTCAATGCAAAAATGATACAAACTGATATTTATTCGTGCAGACGAAAGTCAGATGTTTTATCAATTATAACAGTATTACAGCCGCTTCCTTTTACTTCTTCGACAATCTTTTCAAGCACAAACTGGGATGTTGCTGTTCTTTTCCATATTCCATTACTTCCGAATACTCTCACGATTACGACTACTTGATTTTTCCAGCACACAGACTTTCAAGCATGTTCGAAATGTAGTTTTTCTTATACTTTTTGTTTTTGGAGAAGGTTCCTGCCCGAGTTTTGCCCCAAAAAACCAGCTGCCCGAATGTGAAGCCCCCCAGCCCCCTCGTCCCGTACGCCTGTGCTGTTTAATGACGTTTTTTCTATTACTCAGAAAACCTTAGAACGTTGGGATTATAGAAAAATCACGGGAAAAGATCTACAAAGAACATTCTTAATGTATGTCTTTTTTCTTTTTAGGAACATTTTGTTATAAAAGTCCTCTTTGGATTTGTTCACCCTTCCTTTTGACGCTGCATACCATCATCTAAAATTTATTTCTTATCAGTGTGCTAAAATTTGGAATTATCTTCCTCTTGAATTGCGTAATAAAAAATAAAGAAACGTTTAATATGCACCTAAAAATATATCTCAAAAAAATTCATAGGCCTTCAAATTGCATTTTGCGATCAACTTTTGAATTTAACTCCCCTTTTCTTTCGCTCTCTATTTCTTTTTTATTACGCTTCTTTTTTATCTCTACTTTATTTTTAATTTCTTTAAGCTGTTCTGTTCCGTTATCTATTCTTGCTGTTATTGATACAACTTCATCATGTGCTTTTCTTGAATCTGATTCTTTGAATACATATGTACAATGTAACTTTCAGAAGAGCTCTTCTGAATTATTTCTACTTGTTCTTCAGTATTCCAATTTTTTTTCCTAGCAATTTTATGTAAAATATGCTTTTTAATATTTTAATCGTTTATGTTAGTATTTTCGTATCATTTGTAATTAATTGAAATATACTGATAATAAGAATGTTGGAGTTAAAGTTGAACAATAAACTTTAAATGTGGGTAAAACTTTTCTGGGTAGGGACATGTTAGAAGAGTGAGGAGACGCAAATCACACAAGCTCCCCTTGGATCTTCAAGCGAAGATTGTCTCACCCAAACCCAGAACTTTACGTCAGTCTATTAGAAAAAAAAACTTGTGGCAACGCAATACCTATTTCACAGATGGTCTTTATTCGAGGATAAAATTACGGAACTTTTACGGTACTTCTTATCTGTAGTCGAGTCGTAACACAATCAGCATAGGTGAAAAATGTAGGCAAAAAATACAAGGGACAGAAGAGTACAAAAAACTAACAGAAAATTTTTCGCTAGTTTTAGAAAAAAATTTTTTGTGCGTTGATCTCATCAATGCTTTCTTGAAATAACTTCTTAACACCTTCTTATCATTTCGGAAAAAACGCCAAGAGCGATCTTTAGATTTGCTAAACTTTTATAGGGGCTTTCATTTGACTGAGCGTTCAAGAAACCGCATTTTCCGTGTTAAAAATTTTGAGAAAAAAACAAGGTAATTTTTGAGTTTGACAGCAGGCACTGGAAACAGAGCTTTTCAAAATGTTGGATACAATGTTTCCTACAATAAAATTAAGATTTGAAAAAAATATGACGATAATAACTGCAAGCCCTGATAAAACAGAAAACTGTAGCCTTGAATACAACTTCCTCTTCAGGTGACTTGACACCGCGGTTAATATCAGAAATGCCAGATTTTTCTTTTTCAGGTCAAATTTTCCAATTTTGGCTTTTTTTCTGAAATAAATTACCTGAAATTTTTTTGGGTATATTACTTAAATTTGGCTTTTTCAGCCGAGATTTTACGGACATTTCTTTTTTTATATAAACTTAGCAATACTATACAGTGTAAACCTAAACGACTATCACCAAAAGTAATCATTAGCAATGGAATTTATTTTAAGGAGAAAGTTGCTCAGTTTTTTTTAATTTTGGAAGTTTTTAAAAGACTTTAAAATATTTACTACGCTTGCGCAGTGTATTCATGGGAATTGTTTTGATTTGGCCTGTTCATGAGCATTTTGGCCTGGGTTTGGCACCCTTTTGGCCTTTTTCTATAAACCCCATCTGGCAACCCTGGTTAATAGTATACGAATGTAGAAAATGAAAATTAAGGTAGAAAAACGCACATTCACGGAGGCAAAGAATTGATCGAATCAATAACTAAATTCTAAATATGAACTAATATATGATGCATTTAAAAGATGTAATTTAAGAACAAAATACATACAAGCTGGAGTCTAAACGTGTCGAAATTCAATAAAATCATTCCAAAAAGCACGACATGAACGGAATCAATTATCGAACGAATTTGAACGTAAGCGTTCTTATGAATGTATTAATTATACAGAATTCTCAAAATTTAAAAAAAGAAAAATAAAAAAAGACACATTAAAAGTTGTATCCAACATTTCAACATATACTTTCACCTAATACAAATTGTGATGAAATGTTTCAAAACTTTTCCATCCTCCATTTCCATATTTTCACAGTTTGGGATTTGAAAGGGAATTAATTAGCATTAGGAAAGTAGCCAAAAGAAAACTGATTTCAGTATAACAAAATAAAGGATTCCACAGTGTCTATCTGCGAAAGGATTTTTAAGCTAGGATCTGTTTTGTTCACTTAGAATTTAATTACAGCTAACAGCATAAAAGCAGGTGAATCTATTTTGAAACCTTTCACAGCATTAAAAACCCTGAATAAACATGAAAACGTTGAATAATTTTGAAAGGACAACTAAACGTGAAGATCATGCGAATGTGGAGAATGGCTAGTCATCATAATCAATATTTGCCAGCTTAAGAATGTTCCCAGATGTGCCAAAAATAATCTTCTTTGTCTTTTTGTTTATATCCATTGCTTGAACACAATGGTTCTCTCCATCAATACTGTCAATAACCTGGAAGACCGAAATGCAAAAGAATGAAAGATCAGCCAGAAAATAGAGAACGTGATAAATTAGTGATGCTGCCTTTAAAAAGATTAAAAAGAGAGAAAAATATCCCATACCCTTTTTGCAGTGCCTAAGTTGCAAGCAGAACAAAATAGCTTGAATCGTTTTCATAATCTATCATGGACAAAAAAACCATTTGTCACACGCGTCACTACCTACTATCTCTACAACTCAAAGGCCTGGAAACTAGTCCAGGGGGTAGTACATCAAAGTTAACGCGAATAGCACGTGCAAATCTGGGAAAGGCACATAAGAAGTTTGAATTTACGTTTTGCCAATGCATACACTGAGAAATATAAAAGCTACCACAATATGATACTAACAGAGCCTCCGACATAATGGGAGAACAGAGCAACTCATATACAAACCGTATTTCATTTCTGTAACCCCATCACATCTTTTAGTATTGAGCACAATGTGGTACAATGTATAAAAAATTACCGTTTTTGTTTCTCTACTGATGATTTTGACGTCATTGCTCCCACTCCCTCCTGCTACAACGGTTTTAGAGTTCCAAAATCGTGCGCAGTATAAAAATTCTCCTTGGTGATCAGAAACAGGAAAAGGGAGTTCATCAATCATTTTACCACTTGCATAATCCCATACCTGAAAACAAAATCATATTTTCAGACAGGGTTACGTACGACTAGTGTATTCTGAACAACCTCCTGTAAGGATCTAATCGGCAACTCAAAGGAAACTACTTGAAGCATATAAAACTTTCAACAATCTAAATCCTATTCTTATGAAGAACTATTTTCCCCCAAAACTAACGAGTCATACCTCCGTGCATAAATCTCCTTTTGATTCCAAAGTTTAGAACTAAAATCATGGGATAAAATTCTTTGAACTAAAATAACATATATTCACACAATATATGATATAACTGCGATAAAATTTAGTATGATTTTAGAATATATTCAATATTATGCATATAATTACCCTAATTGTTTCAAAGACAGAGGTTCGCCCCAAGTTCAATAGTAGCTAGTTGCAAACACTGGCTACAGAAAATGCATTGCGAAGGGATACAAACCTGCAAAGAATGGTGTGCAACCCACGATCCTGTAAGGATTTCATCACCCAAGACATCTAGCCCATCTCCACATACAAAAGGCCCTCTCACTGTTCGTACTACACCGTCAGTTCGTATGTCCCATATCTAAGATAAACAAAACACTATCCAATTATTTCTTGTATCAACATATTTGAATAAAAAACTAATACAATTCTACAGAAAATGCTCCAAACAAACCTTGAAATGCACCTACTGAGGGTAATCAAGAGACAGGAGGCAAATGGGGGAATCCCTACGGCCCTTTAAAATAACATTTCTAAATAGCATAAAACGTATCTTTTATCTATCTTAAGTTAAACCCTGGGGCTCGAGTTGACTCTCGATGGCCCTGCAACCATCCCATAAACAACGAAACAACATTTAAATAGCGAGGCTTTTTTCAAGCATCGTCGTTATTTATCTCCCTGTTAGAGCTAAAAAAAAATTTCGAATGAAGCTAGAAATTTTTGAGAATTTTGTCAACTTGAAAAACTTGCAAAAAATGATAATATTATGGAAATACTTTATGCTGTGAGGTTTTAATAAAAGAAGATCTAAATAAAATGTATATTACTACTGGACATGTTGTTTTCAATGTTTCCACTTCAATATTTCGCTTAATTACAATATAAAAATTGGTTAACAACACACACCAACATTAATAAATGATAAATTGTCACCACCCTTGGAGAGCAGCTGTAAAATTTAAAGAGGTACAACTTACTATTCTTTTTCTTACTGTCTAAAAATGCTTTTTGGTTAACCAAAACAGGAAAAATTAAGTCGTCTCACAAAAACCTTGTATATTAAAAACTGCCGACTGTTGGCTTTAAACAGAGAGAGAATTTTTTGCACTGAGGAAATAATTCTAACCTACATTGACAGCAAAAAACTTAAGCGTGAAAAACAACTTGTAACAAATACTGGCTGTTAAAAACATTTTCCTACCAAGGATTTTTAAGAATTTGCTATGTTAAAAACCCAAGAAATTAACTATTTTAAACCAATTTCCGCAAACACCTTTGCCAATGTTTGTAATCCGAAATTTTGTCCGAAATACGAAACTTAAAATCAGTTTCGCTTAACATACTATTGAAAGTAAACATGTTTGAGATGGTGTACAGAGGCCCCTTCTCCTTGGGACACAAAACAGCAAGTATAAATGAAAATAACCTATTCATGCCAAGGCCTTCAGAAGTGGGGGTGGTGGGGGGGGGGGGGGGAGTTGGTGGTGGGGGGGGTTGGTGGGGGGCACTGCATCATTCACCATCATTTTAATTTGTAACAGACTACTATTGCCATTATTTATGGTAATTTTCTTAAACAAAGCTACAAACCTTTACTGTGTGATCCCAACCTGCTGTCAAAATTACATCTCTATCATCAGGATGAAATTTTAGAGCAAGAATTTTTCGACTATGGCCTGATTCTGATGATGAAATCTCGTCACTGAAAATGAGAAAAATATGGTGAAGTTGAAAAAGTACCATCTTATAAAAAGGTAGATGAAATATTAATGTGAAGGCCAAAATATAGGTTTAACCTTACAAGCTAACAATGTATAAAATTTAATATGATAAACAAGAAACAGGGAATAACTGAACACATGCAAATATATATAATCTTATTGACAAAATAATGACCACTTTGTTAGTAAATAAAGGACATACAGTTGCATGATGTATCATAGTCACAATAAACATTGCTCATTATACATTGGGCTATAAAGGAAAGTAAAGATTAAATAGATAAAAAGAAGCAAAATTCTCTTGTCTGCTGTACTAAAGTCACATTATATATTATTTATGATATAATAGGCTGATAATCCTCTAATTTACAAAATCAAAGGCTACCAATAAATATTTTATATTCCCTAGAAATTTGACCTAAAATTCAATGGTGTACAATTACACTTTAATCTGGATAAACCATTCAACAAAACCTAACAGAATAATTGATAGCTGCTGATCTGCAGCTTAAACAAAATTGCATTGGAACATTATTGAATATTAAGCAGCAATACAAAAAATGAAAGCACACATTAAAGGTGGCACTTTATATTCTTGTGGCTCCTTGACAATACCTGGACAGTTTAATAAATCTTATTGCACAGAAACAAAAGAATTGCCTTTATGCATCAAAAAATCAATTGATATGATGTAGAACATGCTTAGTAGAATTCACTTCAAAACATTTACCTTTCCATTTCAAGCACATCTACTCCAAAATAATTTTTCTTTAGTTGCAAAGTCTCACTGTCATAAAGCCGAACACTTTTGTCCTAAAATGTAGAGTCTCAAAATGTTTTCTTTGCCTACAAATTGTTTGTCCATTCATACAAAAACTAATTTAAATACAAACCTATTCTCAGAGCAACAGAAAATAGAGAATGCTGAGAAAATTTCCACTCAGGGAGACTAAGAAAACAATCGTAAGAGCTATTCATTACTAAGTTAGTGTGGCCTACCTTGAAAGTTATAGCTGCTGATAAAACAAAATGTAATTTTCTTAGCGTTTATAGGTAACATGTCACAAATCAAATAAAAGAAAGCAAAGATGTTAGACTTCTTAAAATTTGATTAAATTGAAAAGATAGCATCCATGGCTGGCTTTAATATACTAAACATGCTAAACATGGGAAATAATGATTTATTATCCAATTTAGATTCGAAAAAAGTTTAAATGAAATTCCTTAACAAAAATGATACTATTATCGTTTAATTTTCATGAGTATTACAAAATACATGCTACAATATGTTACTTTTCCAGCAGTAGCAAAATATGTCCCATCATTAGAGAAATCCATTGCACCAATTTGATTCCCTGGCTCATCTATGGATTCATTATGAACTAATTTTTCTGTATCCCAGACAGATATAGAACCATCTGCACCTGTTTGGAAAAACAAATAAAATATGAAGCTTTGTTTTCAATAATGTGTTAGTATTTCACCTTGGTAAGTTTAATAGATCTTTCAAAAATTGCTTTTCCATACCTGCTGCAAGCAAAAGGTTTTTTGTTGTAGTTGGGTAAAATTTCACACTCATGACTGGAAGCCCAATAAAAGATCCTGGCAGTAATTTTCGAATCCTTTCCAGCTTCAAACTTGAATATAGCTAATGAAGAGAAAAACAATCATTATTTAATCAAAAAATTAATTAAAATTTCAATATCAAATGTTAGTTCTTCAAATAAAGTGTAAAAATATACACAAAAATTTTCAACTAAAAAACCAAATACTAGTTTATAGGCTAGCCAAAAATTGCCACAAAGCTGGATTGAGATTTTTGGCAAATGGGGTTATTGAGCAAAAATTATATTTACTTTTTTACATTTTTTTTGTGCTTGGTTTATTTATACACCTTCTTTATAAATTGATAAAAATTTTGAAAATTTTGTATTGCATGGAGCATATAACAGAATCAATTATTTGAAAGCTGATTTTTTTAATATAATGGAGACATAAATTTGATATAGCAACTTGTAAAAAATATTCATTCTGAGAGCAATAAAACATATGTTGATCAGCATGCATTCTATCTATCCATCTACACTACTATTGTACATTAACCCAATGGCGGATATTCAGGCTTAAATTTGGGGGGCCCAGACCTACGATTTTCCAACAAGATAACATCTTGAATCATGTCTAATTAAGAAACTGTGCATTTTGATAAAAAAGATGTTTTTGAAAGGATCCTTTAGAAATCTTTGCTGTCCATACCATAATTAAGTAGCAAGAAGAACAATCCATTTATAATTTTTGATATCAAGAATGATATCTCATCTAAGGCAATTGATGATTAAAGATGTCAACCGATTACACTTTTGACAAGTAGTACATTCATTTTAAGCATTTTATCTTGTTTTCATCAGTGGGAAATATGTTTAAAAATAACTTTTATTCGGAAGAATCTGATGGAAATTTCGGGTAATCTTTACGGAATTGAAATTAAATATACAATACACAAACAGTTTTGATTTTGGTCATATATTGTTTGATTGATTATTAAGTACTGGCTAATATTTAATCAGCTATGTTATGTATAGCTAATTAGGGCGCTGAGAGGTTAAAGATGCTCCTGGAAAAAAAGGGAAAATGTAGATCACTTGTGAGTGAAGCGAGTAGAAAATTTGGCAATAATGCCCTTTAGATTAGCTTAAAATTTCTTTTCAGAACGATTCCTTTTCTTGAAAGAATTTCGACATGTTAAAGGGTTTTCAATTATCTTATGAAAGCCCAAATTTTCCAATAACATCGCTGATTAAGAGGGCCCAAGCCCCCCTAAAGCCCCATAATTGCCACCACTGAATTAACAAAAACTTATGGTTATTATGTACAGGTTTGTTAAGGGTTATATGTTGATTCACGATATACGGAATATGTTAATGCCTGCACTTCTGCAGGCATAGAATGATAACAGACTTGTTAACTTCTACAAAATGATCAGACTTGATAAAACTACAGCTACATGCCCTTACATGATTTTATATTGACAGACATTAAGGATATAATATAGTTGTCAATAGATGATATGAAGACGAAATATACCTGTATGCTCCCACTCCCTAAGCCAGTAGCAGCTTTTCCTCCAGAGTTATCAAACTGGACACTAAATACACCATTGTCGTCACCAAGCTTAAACTTCTGTACATTTTCAACAATTCCTTTTTTTTCTTCCCTAGTAAGCAATCAAACATGGATAAACGTTACAGTGACGCTAATGCTAACGTGTCTGCATGTGAAAAATACAGCCAATATTATACCTTAGTAAGTGTCTTCCTAGAAGGTGTTTATTATAGCCTTTCCTTTGATATTGAAACCGTGAAGAACACAAGCGAGAAGTTTTTTATCATTGATGAAATATTCATGAGTGTGCAAGTAATAAAATACTTACATTCACAGAAGGTACTTTAGAAGATGTTTGTTTAAATCGTTCACGGAAGGATACAGGTAGTTACAAGATAAAAATTTTTCGCATATATTGTAACACAACTCGAGGCCTAGCTTAAACAAACTTTTGCATCAAGTGTTGGTATGTGATGATGCCGTACATATGATATGCACAAATCATTAAAAATGTCACCTTGGTTCCTCATCGCCGTTGGCAGCAATTTCTCTCCCAACCATTAAAGCATCTTCAAGTCTTCTTTTAGAACTTGCAGACATACTTTATTTTCTGGTTTTGTCTGTTCCCAAATCATGTGCACATCTTCGCGATATGAATTAAATTATTTACCACAACAACTCACCATAACAACAACAACAGCTACCATTTTAAGTTCCCGCCGTTCACTTGTTTGTTGCGAAGCATCACACTGGAACGAGGTAGGGGCTCTTTGCGGATTCCAGATCCTGTCCTGACAAGTCGGAAGTAAATTGGTGAGGGTTTCAGAGGGTCTCAATTTCGGTCTCGATTCTGGTTCCTTTCAAACAAAAACTGGGTTATTTTCCATCTCAAGTCTTTGCTTTTTTTATCTCTAAGAGAGAACCCGTTAGCCTACTGGTCTTTTGGGTCAGAACCACTTAAGCCAATTAATATATTTATCGACTCTTCGATGATTTTTAAGCAATCCACTTATGGGTTTCAGCTGCAATCTTATTTTTTGAATTCTGTTATCAACATGACCTCAAAAGAACCCAGGCAGCATTTACGCAGACAAAAGGGCTTATCTCAACCACACATTTATGTCCAGGAGAAATTTAAAAGGAAATGATGCATGCGACGTCAACTTTGATACAAGAATGTCTTTTCGAGAAACTTAACCGGCCATTTGCAAAAAACCTGTTCGTTTTTTGTCTATATTCTACACACATTGATGAAATTCTTCATTTAAAATATTGTCTCGCAAACATATTCTCACAACATCTTCCTGAAGCAGCCCATGCCTCTGCTGAGGGAAACCTCACGATATACAGGCACAGCCTTGTTTCCCAATCGGATGTAGATGTTCCCTTTAGATTATTTGAAGTTTATTTCGCTTTTGAAATTATGGGTACATACTGCTTCTTTTTGTGCGTTGTAAATATCGAAACTTTTAATATTTTGTTTTAAGAAGGTAATATCTTCAACTTCAGAAGTTAGAGGCTAATTAAGGGTGTTGCCCTGCCAAAGTTTCCTGGCTTAAATGGAAATCAGAACATTACTTTACAATGAAATCTGTGAATAGATATTTGTTGACTCTTTTTCTTTGTATCGCGAAAGAGCAGCCGAATTCAATGTCCTTTGATTGGTTTTTTTTTAAAACGGTCACAAATACTCTCTAGGTTTTTATCAAAATTCCCAAGGTAGACTTTCCGACGGCTATTTTGGACATTAATTCTATTGGGAATTTTAACGGCGAATTCCCACCTGTATTCGCATCTTTTAATGGTCGCAGCCCTCGAGTGGTATGACTTTTAATTTCTTCACATTTTTAGAATGGGATTCTTCATTGATAGGCAGTGCCAGATGTCTAGGTGAACGTGGGAAAATAGTCTTTGCATTGTTAGACAGTTGGGACGAAAAATTTCGATGTAACAATGATCTATGCTCCTCTGATATGAATAAGTTCATAATTTTGGTTCTCTGAATAAGGAGACGATCTTTGCTGAAACTTTTTGCTGAAGGTTTTTGCTAGCTACCATCTGGTGGCCATACCTCAGTGGATTTGCAACAGATTCAACTGGTTCTGCAAATTTTATCGTATTTCATTTTATTCTTTAAGATTATGGTGTTAGAATTCTAAAATTCTAAAGACAAATTTTCTTAATGACGATAGCTATGAATTAAGGGTACTTATTTTCATTGCAACAGGTTCTAGTTTTCACAATATTATGCTACAATTTTTTTATTCCATAACATGATATTACATCCCTAATCGATCGGAAATCACCAAACTTTTTAAATTGGTCAGGAAAATCATTTTCTTCTAAATAAACATCGATATTTTTGCAATTTTTGCAATTTTCACACAAACAATTTTCCAAAAGCAATTTTTGCTTATCTGTCACAAACTGTTATTTCAGATGCAGCTTTAAAAACTTGGGGAGTCACTTAATCGTCTCTCTTGAGCAAATTACTTCAGAAGACAGAATTAAAATTATACTGCAAAGCAGAAATTTGCGAGGAAGATAAATACCACAAAGTAAGGTATTCTTCATTGCATATTTACAAATAAACAACATATATATTACATCTTCTTTGCATGTGTCTTTGCAAAATTGGTATCCGATAATCTTGCATATTTTTTTCTAGAGAAACCCTCAGTCAAGATGTTGAACATTTATTATATACTCTTTAGTCATGTCAGTAAGTATTATTTGCAAAGTAACGCTAGGTAAGTAGTCAGATTCAGAACTCTAAGAATTGGCCTATTTCACACAGGTCAGAAATCGTAAATCAACAAGAAAACTTACAAAGGGTAGGAAGATTTAATATCTTGAGGAAATCTCGCATATTTTAGGGATAAAATAGCCTTGTGTGAAGTTTGGTTGAAGACAAAATTATTATGTGCATTTATTGTCAGTTCGAGCGATGCCAGCAGTTGTTGTCGTCGTGTGTTCTCTACGGAATGGCCTTTGCAGCTGGTACGCGGGAGACATGCATCCGACTACTCTGTTTTATAAGGATTTGTCACACGATTTGTTGTATAGGTCTATGTTTTATATACTTTACAGCGAAACAAGTGAAGGATCCACCAAAAACAGCTCCTGAAATCGACCGTGTTCACCCATTTTTATAAGATACTGTGTATAAGATTCAAAGCCCTAAGATGCGGAAATATAAAGTAACCTTAGTAGTTAGTGATCACCTAAGGTTTTTGAAACTGTTGGAAAGTGGTTAGAATAAAGATGGGATGAAATTTTTTCTTTTATGCGATTAGTTACCTATTTCGGTATCACCTAAAAATACTTAAGAAAACTTTAGCAGAAGATCAACAAAGGATTAAGATTAAGATCAAGAGTACTAATTTTGAGTTTGGTTTTATGGAAAGGTGCGTGTAGCCTGGCCCGTCTTTTTTGGTAAGTTTTAGTGGATCACATATGCCCTTTCGAAAGACACCCCTCCTTTTAGGGGAACATCCCCTCCTGCCCAATTTAGGGGGGCATCTCAAGGGGACTGCATCACTCAATTCCGAAGCCCTCTGAGTTTGAAATGGCTATTGTCAGTTTCTGTTTCAAGGTTTTCCGGCTTTTATAAGAGGGCAAAATGATTTGGTTGAAGCAGGTGTGTGCCATTGGCAGCCTATTAGAAAAAAAATATTGCATAAAGTTAGAAATACGGTATGAAAAAATGTGTGAATACAATTCACAAAAGTAGCAAAAATTGTTGATTCATCACAGAGAAATGAATAAATAAAAAATATTGGTAAAATCCCCCTTAATCAAACCTTCTCTCGTATAAAGCTTAAAATGTGATGCATAAAATATTTTTTCTCAATGTTTCACTTTTGACAATATAGGCCAAAAGAACGCCATGGAATACCTCTTGATATGAAAATCATTTGAATATATTAACAATTAGACGAGATCTAGCCAATAAAAGAATTGATTTTTTCTAACTGATTACTGTTGATTTGGCATTATGTTGATTAAAGACTTGTAATTGTGCAAAATTCTTCATTAACTGTAGGGTTCACCAAACACTTTTAGCAGAAACTAGATATAGTTATGGATCTTCATAAAAAGATTGACATGTGTTTAAATTTTGCTTTATTTTGACGTCATTGAAAATAATTCATGTACCAGATTATACTTACATCTTGTCGACGTTTTGGCCCTCCATGCGAGTGATTTTAAATTTCATTTCGTTCATTCCTCCAACAGGAATTCGATCACTGCCGGTCGTGAAGAGCAAAAGTTTTTTCTTTAGCTGTATATTGAATCCACATACCACCTCCCAAAATCGCCTGCAAAAAGTAAGCGTTGTTTTGTAAACAATAAAACCACATAGTATAACAAATTAGAATATAACCTTTAATCAGGGAACCCAGAAGTATTTCAAAGCTGATGGTGCAGAGGTTGGGAAAGGCAATATGTCTCAGAAAAGGGGCACGTCTTCAAAAAGTTTTAAAAGGACTTCTGAAAAAGTTGAGTGGGCTCATGCGGGTTCTTCTGCAAGATGGTTCTTCTGCAAGATGTTGCAAAAGTAGAAATTGGCTACTCTTCAGCGTTAACAAGGGGGATCAGCCCTCTGAGCCCCCTACCACTACAACCCTGCTCCTGGTGGCCCTGTTCCGACGTTTCGGTCCTTGGTATGAAAAATCAAGTCAAAATTTTCGAAGCAAAATTGGGCTTCAAGTTTCATTCAGCGCGTATGTGTGACGTATTTGACTGTACGAATATATTGCTGTTTAGATAGAAATCGCTTCTCGTGACTGATTCGAGGTATACAAAGCTATTTACTTATAAGTGACTAACAATTGATGAAATTAGGCAACTTTGAAGCTTTAATGAAGTTTTAATCTATACTCAGACATGATGTTAGATCCACTAAAGTTCATACCTGATAATTGCATCGTTTTTTGAAAACCCATCGTAGACTGTTACTTTTTGCAGGGCCTCGATGTCAAAGTGTGGATTGCCACAAACAAGCATTTCAACCTCTTCTGGACGTAGAAGCTGATCATAAAATGAATTCACATTTATCTAGGGTTGTGTTATAATTATGAAAAGAGAATTGTACTTCTTCAGTTAACCTAGACTATGAAGCTAATAGATTTTAAGAGAGCTAAGGATGAAGTCAAATATTGTTACATATGACTAAACCTTGTAATAATTACATTGTGTAAGAAATATCTTGCAGGAATTTTGAATAAAAATGAATCTAGTATGCTTTTTTATATGATAGTTTGAACTTGCACTATGAAAAGAGAATTTACAAATGGCCTTTGCTTGAATACGTTACTTGATATGACCAGCCGTTTACCATTAGCAGCAGATAATGAATCAAGTCTCACGACTTACAATTAATGCATTTGAGGCACAGACACTGTGGAATCCGTGGTAGAAAGCATAAAACTGCTTGTAAATGGACTTGTTTAGAATGTAGTTGACGTACAGCTTCACGTATTCTAAAGAAAATGTGAAACAGAGTTTTACAAGCAATTGTACTTCGATTCAAAACAAAAGTGATAATCTGCTTAATAAAAGTTTATTCCTTGAATCAGAGCAAGGATCGATCAAAGGATTTGCAAGGGGATTCTCCCAAAGCATGCAACGACAAACTTCAAAGCTAGTCAAGGGCAACCACCTAAGGAGTGAGATCATAGGCGTACGGGGTGAATTTTTTTGCTAGGGGCTGAAATTTTTTTGTCCGAAAAATAATAACGCCTAATTTTTTACGGAGTATACTCTAACACAAAGTTTCACAAAACTGACACAAACTGACACAAACTGACACAAACTGACACAAACGGACACAAACTGACACAAACTGACACAAACTGACACAAACTGACACAAACTGACACAAACTGACACAAACTGACACAAACTGACACAAACTGACACAAACTGACACAAACTGACACAAACTGACACAAACTGACACAAACTGACACAAACTGACACAAACTGACACAAACTGACACAAACTGACAATTATGACATCATTACAGCCGCTTTCTTTCAATTCTTCGACAATATTTTCAAGCACTGAATGGGCTGTTGCATATTCCATTACTTCCGAAAGCTCTCGCGATTACGACCACTTGATTTTTCCATCTCATAGATTTTTGAGCAGAAGGCTCCTGCCTGAATTTTGCCCGACAAAATCGGCTGCCCGTATCTAGGGGGGGGGAGGGGGGCTTAAGCTCCCCCCGTCCCGTACGCTTATAAGTGATATAAAACAGTAAAACATGAAAATACAAAATCTAATGGTTAAAAAAACAAATCTTTCGATATACCGTCTCTGTTCTCTTTCGTCACAGGAATCTGTGCTCCGTTTCTTTTCAATTCTTTAGTAACTACATCCCCAAAACTTTTGTAGGAAATCTAAAAAAGGGTGGTCTTTTAAAACAATCCTGAAACAGACTAACATCAGTCAACTGAGTCAATTAATACTTTAAACGCATCGTTGGAAAGTGAGGCTTGCCTAAGATTTTAATTTTTCGACTGTGTATGGTCTCTGTTTATTTCACTTTTATTATAATTCTAGCTATTTCTTGGCCTAAATATCCTTTTTTCACTTCAATATGAAATCTTGCTTTATCCTCTTTGCAATAGTACCTAAAGGGTTGATGCAAATTTTTACGAACCTGGAATGTTTGACATAAATCATTCTCCACGTCTCCTTCGTAGGATACAAGCTCTTTCAGGCCATGGGCAAGTTCCTAGTAATGAAAGAACGACAATTAGCTGTGATGTCTTGTCACACTACTGTGTATGAAAATTGATTTAATACATACTATATTTCAATTATAATTGACAATATAACTGTATTGCAGGCAAAGATTCCGTTTCCCTTGGATGCAGGATTAAATTGAGAATATGTATGTTTAATACATGATGTATTTACATACAATGTCATCGTGTGGTGTAATATGCAGTAATGAGCCTATACAATATCTGAATTAGAATGACTTGTTATGACCTCTTTTCCCTCGAAAAGACAACCTGCCAACGGGGCTGAAACTTACCGGGTTGACGTCACTAAGATCATGGAGGCCAAGTTGTGCTATTCCCACAGGAGCTTGTGGATTCTGGAACGGCACAACAGCGGGGCTAAGCAATTTTTTGTAGCAGCAAAGAGGCAGCCGGATATCGAGGTTGATGCTGTTGTAAACTGCCAGGCCCATCAACTTTGCAGATTTAAGGAAAAGGAGAAAGAGACTATTTGCTAACAAACATTTTTAAGACAAAGCCCTGTTTGCAATAATGAATAGTGCCTTTTGCATCATTTCAATGCCAGATCATTACAGTGCTTCTTTCAAATAGCAAAACATGATTATCTGAACCCAGCAAATTTTTATTAATTTCGGACATGTGTCCACAGAACCGATTGAAATTCTTCCCTTGTCCTCATGGCACCTCAACTTTTGATAAGATAAACCGGCCGAAACATACTAACTAAGACCAATGTAAATTGACCTTGGTTTTCAAAGACATTCTTGTCCATTAAAATTCTCTATTTATATGTTAGAAAAGATACGACACCGAGTAGATTGAATTCGTGTTCAGTATCGATGCTGGCGCTGTTGAACCACCAGATTCGTGTCTTTGCGTTGTAAGTAAACATCCCTGAAAAATGAATCTTGTTATATTGAAGTAATGTTGATGAAAATGACACAACAAAAGAAATTTCTAGAATAACTGACAAACTATGGCTGGCACTTAATGTAACGACATACAATGGATAAGTCTTTGAAAATTTTGGGTTATTTTGAAATATTTGCACTGGAAAAAAATTTCAACGCAAGTTGTTGGCTTTGTAGATAACCAGTAAACGTTTTAGGCACGTAAAGTAAATGAATTCGAGTCTCCATACCATACTCTTCCCTAAATATTTTCCTGATAAGCAGAAGAAACCATTCTTTTGTCAGTCCTCCCAAATCGAGGCCTGGCTCTCCTTCAAAAGAGACCCGCAGCTTTTTCTTCAGGTCTTTTTTCTTCCTTGCGATCTACAAAAGGTCGATCGTAAAGAAGAGTAAACAATGAAGTTGCTATACAGATCGAAGGAAGAAAAATGAAATCAAGATTGATTCAGCTAACACGAGATTGATACGAAGCAACAACCTATGAATAATCTACTTTGACACTAAATGCACTGTTGATAAAAAAGTCTCAGAAAACATGACTACAGATGGAAATATTTAGCCCAGCTTTGAGTAAATCTGTTTAAAGGCAGAAAGTTGGTGCTTCATCTGCTTAAGAGTTGGTCCCTGTTAGTTCTCTTCCCCCATCTGTTTATGAATTGTTAAAGAAAAACAGAGTCAATTGTTTCGGGACTAAACTGAATAACGACACAATTCCAGCTACTCTAACATCTTAACCTCTAGCCTAAGTACTCAGCCTCTTAATCAGATAATCTGTTCCGCTGACCTGACCTTCAAGGAGAAGAAGACACAATGGTGGAGCTATGCTAGCAGTTGCTAACGCAAAATACATCATATACCTCATCGAGGGAATCTGACACCAGATGCGATCTACGCACTTTTAGGTTCAGAAACAACATTCCCATATTCGGCACTTCCCTTCGCTTCACATGCTTTACAATGCTCTCCTGTATATTGAAAAGTATCTTTTAACACAAAATTAAATGACACGAGAATAAATAACGGCAAATGAGAAAAGCGACTTGCAAACAGTTGTAAAAAATCTAACCTAACTTATTGTAATGCCTTATGGAAAACAACCGCAAGCTAATAATTAAAAAAGCGTGAAATTTATCATAAGAACGTAGTGCTGCTTATCCAGCTCTTGTATCTCATTGCTTTCATACAACTGTAATTTTAGTTCTTTAACATGTCAGCTTTTTATCTATAAATTCTTTTTAATTAGTCATATTAGTTTTATTTTTGTCGTTGTGTTGAAACATTGTAACATCGGCTAATTATTGGTGCTAGTCTGTTAATAAATGGCAGCATACCCTTGCTTCAAACAACATTTTCATCTCAGAGTCTTTCTGCATCACAAAGCGTTTCGACTGGAGGCTCAGCAAAAATGGATACTGACAGAATGAAAATCGTCTGAAAAATGAAAAAATGCAGCATAAGCCCCTTCTAAATGGGTTATACCGTCCCACCTTGATACTACAGACATTGGACCCACAAAAGTATTTTTTAAGTAGAGAAAACGGTCTTTAGAGCTTCAAAAATTTTCTTTGCAGAATGATTGAAAAATAGGCACCCTTTTTACTGAGCGGTGTATAGAGCACTGGGAAAAGGCACATATCTATTTATCCTTTAGATTGATCAGCATAATGACAAAATGTCTACAGTCGATGAAATCTGTACACTTCTACAAATTAAAACTACGCTTTTGAAATGTTTCTGTTGACATCGTTGTTTGAGTTAACCGGGGTTGCTAGTACACTGTTTTTTCTTACTCCTTCGCAAGTAAGTACAGCTTCATTAAATTTCCATTCAGAATACAAACAACGGTGGGTGCAGCTGCCTCAAAAATGTAGAAATCAAGGAATCAACCTGAATTTTTTTCAAATGGTATCGAATCCTACATGAAAGGAAATACGTTTGATTACTATTAAAAAAATGTGCACTCTTTTTTATAAGAACCAGATAATTTTTGCCGAGCCTCAATGTTTTAAACTTTTTGATAATTTTAGGCTCAGATGTTCTTAAAATTGTTCTATTTTAAAAGTGATTTTTTTGCAAATATTTGATAGGCTATATACTGTATATAATTTCTAAGACGTTTTACTGGATAAAGTTTAAAAATAAATTGTTTTCATGTTTATAAATTGCATAGTATTGTTCTGTTGACGTGACATAAATTTCAAAATGTGAATTGTTTTTTTTTGAAAATTTCTCATCTGGGGCTGAGCATGTTCTATCCTTTTTATCATTGTTCAGGCAAACCGAGCCTCAGTGTTCTTGTAAAATGTGTTCTTATAAAAAAGAGTGAATGATACATTTTACTATTTGGATTAATGATTGTCAGGAGGAGAATAAAAAAGCCACGATATAGATCTTTAACATGCTTTGAGCTTATTTAAAATAGCAAGTGATCGGTAATCAATGATTTAGTTACCCAGTTTGCCGTTGCCAAGTGTCGTATTCTTTCATCAAATCCATTCTGTTCAGTTCATCACAATAAAAGAAAGCGTGGTCGACAACAGGTGGATGTATGACCCAATTTGCAGAATCTATCCAGACAATAAAAATCGCATTTTCAGATTCGTTTTACATTAGAAAGATTCATCATGAAGAATCATTGTACTTAACTTGTGTTTTTAACTGTCAAAATTAGTAATCTCAGCTATGTACATCTGCCTGAAATTGAACTTACGTAACAAAGCCAAGACTTTCACTGCAGTTTGGATCCACCATCTGCATTTCTCAACAGGAGGCATCTCACTGACATTTGTTGGAAACAATCTTTGAGCGACAAACTGAAGAAGCAAAAGTCTCTTAATGAATCCATTTTAATAGCCATTTAACAAAGGCCATAGGACCAACATAACGTAAACTTTTTTTTACGAAAACATTCTTTATAAAGTCTCTGAGACTCAATTTCTCAGAGAAATACAAGCATGTCAAGCCTTAGATGAACGATTAGAAGAAAAAAGCATTTTTTCCACAATTACCTCCGGTGATAAAGATTATAGAAACTTTATCAGCAAATCAACTGTGGGAATGAAAATGTCATGCAAAACTGTTACTTAGTGACAATTGATTGAACTTCAAATTCTGTTGTTGAAGAAAAATCAATGTTCAAATAAGGACAACATTAAAATCTTTCGATTTTCTATTTATTCAAAACAATAAGAACATCAAGCATCAGCAAAAATTATATTCTCCTTAAACCAAAATCAATGCCCGATGATCTTTATGACCAGATCTTTATGGGCTTTATAACGGTTACAACCCCCACTTAGACAGTCTCATAATTGTCGCACTTCGACAAAGTGTAAGACGGATAATGAAAAAAATGCGATTATCCCAGTTTTATTTTGAAAAAGCAGATGATATAAAAGGGTACTAAAAAAGGTATTAAACAAGAAGATGATGATAAGGGTGCAGAGCAACTCTTTATGTACCTGGTGGATAGACTTTATCATCCTCTTGAATTGCTCGACAGGCACTCTGAAATGAAAGGAATTCATAAGGGCTTACTACAACGATGGCACTAGCTGGCAGATTACAAACTACAGATCACAAGCTAAGGGAAACTCTGAAATATTTAGCTAAATTCAAATCGATGACTTACTTGTAAAACCAGTAGAGGATCGTCCTTTGATCAGCATCTGGCAGCGTGCAGATATGTCGCAATAGATGAGCAAATATTGTATAGGTCGAAACGTCAAAGAATTGAGGATTCTGTCAATGAAAAACAGAATTCATGGCAGGAACTATATGAAATTCAAACTAGCTTTAATGTTCAGCAGATGGAAAAATAACAAACTTTTTCATCAAGTAGCGAGCAAAGATTAACATAGTCTACGAGAACGACAGGGCCAACGGACATAGCTCCCCACTTTTCAACTTACATCGATCTGATATATTTTTGAAAGATTAAATACTTACCATTAAGAGTATAAGCAAAGCTCTTAAGTCGTCATTGTTCCCAGGCCTAGATGAAAGCAAAAGGCGTTTATTAGAAACTTCACGAAGAGCCAATTCAAGCTTCACTCCTTGATAACGGAATATTTTTCTTTTGAACACCTGTAATATGACGTCAATTTCGCGATTCAGAAAAGCAAAATGGATTTGCAATCTTGCTTCACCTTTCATTCAGTGTTGTAAAAAGAAATATCAAGTTTACCTTTTTGCATCTTTCAACAAGCAATTGATGATTGATCTTAAGGCGAGTTTTTGCTGGTCTTTTGGCTGAAAAGAAAGTATACGTTATTTTTCGATACGATTTAAATAAATTTACGTGAAAAAGGCTACATACTTGAATACAGTTTTATGAAATTGAAAGGAATTACCTTCAAAAGTTGAGCAAATGAGTGCTACAAACGATTGTGATAAAGTAGACTATGTATTCACCAATATAGAAGATAGCAAAGGCAGTGAAAAATTGATAAATCTGGCTGTATGCGGAACGAAATGGAGAGCAAATATTAAGAAGCAAAAGCTACTTACAAAGTGGCGAATAGACTCGTAAACATATTCCATGAAGTCATAGTTGATTGCTGTGTTATATGGGTCTATGTTTTCTTGAGTGCTTTGATCCTTTAATATAGAAATACAGGTATCATTTTAATGTGCCTATCTTAACACTCGTTTTGTGATACAACTATTATCTTCACAAAATTATAATTTTTACAAACCAAAAGGGAAATAATTTAATACTTTCAGCCTTAAAGGATTGTGTTTTTTTGTCGAATGTATGATATGCTTAGTAAGAGTCAAACTCAGATCTGATACCTAGTATTAGAAACCTCCTGTTGTACATATAAAACCGTGTACAGTTCTGTCTTAACAACATTGAAACTCGGGAGCACATAGCATGACAAATATCTCTAGGGAAGCCGGAACAACCGAGGGGCAAGAGGGGCAGTCTTGAGTAAAATGACATTTGAAAAATAATTCCTAGCTACCGACCATTCTTTCGTAATTGTCGTTTTGTTTCGATCTTATTTAAAGGTATCTTGAAAATCAGCTAACTTTTGTCATAAGAGGTTTCTTCGCAATTATTCAGAAATGTTGACTTGAGTAAGGCAGTACAGTCATAATTATATATGAATCTTTTAATGATTAGAAACAGCACAAGGGCACTTCTATGAAAGGGAGACTTTGGCCCCCCTTGCCTATTCTATCAAAAGGCAACTGGAGTGGTTGAGCCCCGTGCTCCCCTCTCCGGCGTTCCTGATAATCTCCCTTCTGCAAATACACATTTTTCATTTTCATTTTGCTTTGAGAAGCTCATCTTAAACTTTAAAATTTAACAAACAAAGTATTTGTTTATTCTTACTATTTTACGTTGCTGTCTGCATGAAAAAATTCTTTTGCTATATAATAGTAGAATAATATAGTGTAAAACAAATAAAACAATATTTAGCTAGCAAATTTATATGTTGTTCCATGTCTAGATTAGATTCACTCGAAATAGCACGAACAGTATCCTACAGCTTGGTTCACATAAAATCACAATAAAATTTTTGATCCATGAATCAAACATTAATTAAAACAAGCGATTTAAACAAATATTTACCTGAAATCTCTTGTTTATTGCAGCAAATGTTTCAAATGTTGAGGTGAGAAAGCTTTCGATTTCGCTGTAATTATCGTTCGCTCTTGCGTTGGTTATAATCTCGCTATAATTTGGAAAAATATGCATTTCAACAAATGTGCTCTTGCAATGGGATGAGAAACAGAATGAGGAATGACATAGCATACTTAATGTCTGTCGATAGTTTCAGACAGGCTTAAACAAAACTCTGAGAAATCTTATTTTAATTTCATTTTCAATTTCAAATCATTATAGAAATCAATTTTAAGATCCTATTCCAGTTTTAAAACAAATTGCTTACTCTGTCAACATTGCGCCATTTTTTTAAAATTTAGTGGAGAATTATGACGATTTAAATTGGACACGTTTCAAGACATCATTCAAGACATGGAAAATTTCAAATGTGTTCGTAACTTTCTTTACTCCCGAGAATCGTTGAAGTTCCATTTAAATTGTGGTATAACTCTATTTTTTGATTACTTTAGCAGTTAAAGAGCAAATAATCAAGAGGCTAACCCTAGATCTTCAATAGTGTTGACACTGCAAGGCCTAGGACTTGTTGCGGGTGAAGAAGAGGGAACATTCTGTTTCCCAACTTGCAAATGAGTAACTTCAGAATTGCCGCCCGCATTTTTGAATTTATCATTTTCCAAAGGGGTGGCAACTCGTTGCCTCGGAGATCTACGATTATCAACCACAAGTTTGCTCTGAGCGCTATCAAGCGAAAGATGCTTAGGACCCGCATCGGCTCTTCCGCTTTCCGTCTTGTTCTGCGCTGATGGTATCCGCTCATCTCCCCCTGATATTGTGTTAGATGAGGCTGCTGAAGCTGTTGACCCAGTCGAAGTAGGTCTTCTTTTAAAGGGATTACCGAACCCTGAAAATCGACCATTCTTCTGTGCTTTCGAATTTTTCTCAATCGGCTGAAAGACAATATGGCCACATGTTAAATTATATTTTTCAACAAACAATCAGAAAAAATTTTGCAGCTGACTCAGATTGCATAAATATAAGCTTATACGATAATTGTATACTATTAAACCTTATATTATTTAACCTATATACATCAAACTTTTTTTAGATATGGAATTGCAAAATGTGACATTGTCCCAAGCACAACTTGATTTGATCGTTCTTATTAGTCAGCTGATCCGTCTGCTTCGCAACTGTAACCATAGTAAATAAAATAGCTGCTTCATCATATCTAAACTCAGCCCCTTTTCTGGATAATACGAGTCATCTTTTCTCATCTGGATAATCAGCCCCTTTTCTCGTATTATAACCTTGCCTTTAGATTTAGGACGACATACAACTAATATCATCCGTGGTCAATATATTTTCCATAATATCCCATTTTGCAGTTACATAGCCAAATTCAGGGCCGACTTGAATCAACAAACTAGCATTTAACTGCATACCTGTTTGCCTTCATCCTTAGTTGAGTCTGTCTGCTCCGTTATAGTCACAGCATTTCGCTCAGTTAGGCTGAAAACTGGATTCTTTATAGGTGGCAATACGTCTCTTGAACTCTTCCCTAAAAGAGGCATAATGACTGGCACGCGATCAGCTTACTCCATGACTCTTTGAAGCATTTTTATTCAATTTGCTTGATCTAGTTTGCTATTCCAGGAAGATGACTCCTAAGGAAATCAATCTTCAAAGTGCAAATCAATTGGAATATCTAGTTTGCTATTCAAGGAAGATGACTCCTTAGAAAATCAATCTTCAAAGTGCAAATCAATTGAAACGACACAGAAATATATCTTGAATTTAGCAGTGTTGTTTGCCGTTAAAGAAAATCTTTAACTTTGCATTAATCCTTCAAATCCTGTTGTATTATGAAATGAATTGACGTAACATGAAAACCGAGCTTATTTTGAGAGTTTCATCAATTCATGTAGCTTCCTCCAAGTTCTCAATTATTTTCTTTTAGATCCATTTGTTCGGTCATTAGCTTTCTGTACTGACTGTAGGAAGATACGGTTGTTCTTCTACTTCAAGACATCTAATGAGAAACCAATGGAAAGTTTATCGATCTTTTAACGACGTCCATGCTGCATAAAGTCATCTACGTAGTTTGAAAGTTCGATAGGTTTCAAATTGTGATTCATTTGCTATAGCAGAGCAATGAAGAAGGGGATGTCGACAGGTTGTTTGATTCTCTTGCAATGAATTATTAATCTGCGGAATAAGTTTGGCTAAGTCACCTTACCAATGAGTCTGAAATCATGCCTCACGGATCCTAGAAATTCACCAAGTGGTTACAAAATAAGAAAGCCTTGCAGATTTTGAACCTGTTCTTGCTTCTTGTTAAGTAGACGATAAACAATCGATCTACACAAGGCCGCTATTGATTGTGATGAGTTTATAAATACATTCTTATCTCCTTATCCCTTTACGTTCAACCTATTCTGCTGGTTATTCATCTTAGCATTGCCAATTACATCATTTCACATATTACAGCGTCATATCCGTGTGACTTGTGATAACATTGTATTATTGTGTTAACCTGCTGTGATCAAGTTTATTATGCTGTATAATAAGAACTATCATTTCATATCATTTAATGGATTTCATATGCTTTATTATTAAAATCTTTTGATTTGACATAATCTAATGAATTTTGTATGCTGTATAATAAAAATCTTTTAATTCTATCCTATACCCATACGTTTGTTATACTGCTTTTAGCCTGCATTCGCTTCTGTTTATTTTGCATTAGAATTTTAATTGAAGCGGCCCAGGCACGATAAGCTTGCTTTTTCTGGGTCGCATATAATGTAAATTTAGCTTTTATACATTTTTAGATTGCATTGTATGAAACTGGTTGAGATATTCTATTCAGTATTGTCCAATTCTAGTAAATAAGCGATAAAGTTTGTTAAGTTTGATGAAGATGCTAATTATTCGAATATTTCTATGGAGGAAAAAGGAGATGAATAAAGCTGCTCGATAAAAATCTTTTTTATATGAATTCGATCAGTCTAGAGGTATATGACTGTATTCTTGACAAAAATGCTCGCATTGTATCTTGGGGGTTTTAACTTAGGCTTCATGAAATATTTTTGGGCTTCATGAAATGCTAAGTTTCTTCATGAATACAATTTTGCATTATTCGTGGTTTTTTCTCAATCTTGAATTCATTGTTAAAGTCTGAAATTTCAAGTGCAAGCTATCTTTCTGGTATAAAGTTTGTAAAGAATTATTTTCTGTAAAAGTTCTCTGAGGAGAATCTAAGCCAGGAACAATCCGGAGTATCTCCTGGGTCCTATAAAAGGTACTATGTACCGTCAGTAAATTTTTGAGAGTTAAATCCTAATTGAAAAAAACTCGGTGAACTCCGATTTGAGTTCTTCAAGCCTCCTAGCCCATAAGAATACATCTCTAGTCAGAACGTAACGAGCTGTGCATGCATAGCAAGCCTCGATGCGGAGAGGAGGCTATGAAGAATAGTAGGCTCTACGTCGCGTATATGATTTTAATAACATTGAGAATTAACCTTGCGTTGTCAATTGGATACGTAGCAATTGGTCTTTTGTGTATTCCAACCAATAGGAAATTTGAATGTGCAGCAAAATGCGTCGGTGCAAAGTCTTTCTAAGATGCTTACCTCTCCAACTGGATTTAGCCTCCTAGAGGCAAACGGGGGAAAAGAAGGTCGGAATGAATGCCAAAGTTAATCTTCATTGAATTCAAGTTAAGGCATGACTCGTTTTTCTCTTAGCTACCAACAGCTACCATAAATCCCTTGGGTTAAACGGAATGAATCGAAACTCAAGAGGACACTAGAGCACACTGCATCTCATGCTTGCAGGCCATAATCGGCGACGTATCATAACAATTTAAACGTTAAAACGGTAATATTATTTGTGACGGTTACATTGTAAAAGCAGTCCTTAACCATTAATTAATCACATTAATACAAATATAGTTCAACAATTCAACATCTGATAGTGAAGGAGTTCAGGGGTGGATCCAGAGTAAATTTGAAGGAGGAGCAGTTGGTAGTGGGGGCGCTGAAAAATTTTCAAAAATTGGTTACGAGAGTACGCTGTATACAACAATTTCAGATACCTTTTCAGAATGAACAACATAACTTTGAGGTAATCCTTGAAGCAAATTAACCTATCGGTCCAAGAACCTTTTTAATCTGATTCTCATTTTTCATAAAAGGGCGCACAATTTCCAAAAAAGGGGCGCCAGACTTGCTTCAACTCGTTGAGGGAGGGGCAACTGCCCCTAGTTGCCCCCCCTTAAATCCGCCACTGAAGGAGATTAAAAAAGACAAAAATTTCGTCTAAATTGCTTGCATTGATCTTTTGTAAGATGGAGGTGAATTGTGTTGGCAGTCAAACATTTTAGCCAGGGGTGTAGATAACTTATATTAAATCGGATGGGGAATGGCCTTATTCTGTGAAATATCGACATTCAAACAGCATAAGGTGAATGCAACAACCATATGAACATTTCAAGCTAGATGAATCCGTTGAATAAAATCTTGAAGTTCGAAGTATTTTCTCATTTCAAACCGCCTAATATATGCAGCATGTCTTGAAACTATGCAAGAAGCATACACTTGAAACTATTTGTTCAGTGGTAATAAAAGAAAAAGAAAGAGAGAGAGAGAGAGAGAGAGAGAGAGAGAGAGAGAGAGAGAGAGAGAGAGGAGAAGGGGGGGGGGGAGTTTGCCTCTTCATTGAAGTAACTTTTCAAAATATTTTTATTTTTGTAAGCAGATATAGCTAAATATACAATCAATAATGCTTTCATAGCATAACGGAGAAACCTGTTAAATTCTTTTTTAGTTCTAAATAAACGCAATTAGGGAATATATGACGTTCCAATGAGCTATGGCTCTAATTTCGAATTGGTTAGCGTTTCAGAAGTTACCAAGGATGAGCTCTTGGAAGGATTTAGATTTTCATTTTCAACATTTTTTACAAAATTTCCATATTCTTAAGTGCAAAACTTCCCTAAAGATTCTTCATAAGCTGGAGAGGGAAAACGTGAACACCTTAGCTTCCACAGCAGAGAAATAACAACTTGTGTCCATCCAGCGTAGTAGTTAAAATATAGCATGAAACAAATAACCGATTTATTCGCAAATTGTTCTTCTTTCTATTATTTATGTCCATTTCTATCAATGTCCATTGCCTTGAAATAAAATATCTTCTTTAGAAGTCCTGTTTTGCATCTTTGAAATTGTTTTGCAGCAAGTTGCTTATTGTGCTTTCTAAAAATTCCCCGTCATCCTTTTTATGTGCTTTTAATTTAATTTTTAATTTTTTTCGGTCTGCGTCGACAAATATTTGCAAGCTTCGTTATCTTGTTAGTATTGTTTTCATGTTAAAAAATGTAGCTTATTATTTATCTAAAGGCCTTTAAACAACTTTCAGTACTTCTTCAATCGTTAACTCCTAAAGGCTTTACAACCAATCTGGAGCATTTACTCAAGGAGCATTAAAAAAAAGAAAGGAAAACTAACTCAGGAGTAGGATTAATACCATTTCCACCAAGTGCTCCAGTTTGTTGATTTCTACAAAATGTTGCATTTGGTTTTGGTTCAACAAATCCAAGCAAAGGTTGGCTATTGCCAGAGTGGAAGCGGTGTTAATCATAAACAAGGGATAACAAAAGGCTAACGAAAGAGTAAAAATTGTCTCTAATAAGTCTATACTAGGGTCCAGGTGTTGGTGGAGGCCACCCTCACCCACTGACGTGGACACAACTATTCTGTCACTGATGCTTTGAATTTGTCTTCTCTCACGCAATTCGTAATTTCTGACGGTAGGCTTTTCTAACGAAGAATTGACTTTTGAAAGCTTCAGAGTGGAGGCATTGAATTGTTTGATATTTGAGCGGATTTCTGGTTGGGGAAAGGACAATTTCTGGAAACGAGATGTTGAGCATGTTGTTTCGAATTTTATTGAAGATTTGAAGGTCATGGATGCAGTGTTGGTGTTGTAGTGGTAGCCAGTTTAATGATTTCATTTTCTGTGTCAACTGAGCGTCTGTGCCATAAACGTGATAATCTAATATAAACTTTGCAGCTCGTCTCTGGACAGCTTCGATTTTGTCAATGTTCTTCTTTGTATGTTGACTCCAACATGCTGATGCGTAATTTAGGTGGGGACGGACAATTGCATTGTATGCTGTAGCTTTAACATCTGGGGGACACATGTAAAAGTTTCGGCCACATAGGTTTAACAATTTTGTGACTTTGTTTGAGATGTAATTTACGTGCTCATTAAAATTTAGCTTATTATCTATTATAACTCCAAGGTAAAGTTCAGACGCAGGGACGTCACTTCACTAATTTTTTGGGGGGGTGTAAACACTATTGCCCTGCAAAATTTTTCCTGTAAAACAAGTATAGATGTACTGTACTTATGCATATATTACATAAGTACATGTATTATTTTCAAAAAGCAACACAAACCAACAATCGCAATAAAAAAAGTCAATAATTAGTCTACTTTCACACTAATTTACTTAATTGAAATTCTTCTCATTTTTTTCATGCCATGCTTTTAATACTTTATCAAGTGGGATAGTGTCTGTTAGGTCTTTCTCACAAGCAAGTAGAATGAGATCATTCAATCGTTCATCTTTCATCCTTGATCGCAGCAAATTTTTAACAATCTTAAGTTTGCTAAAGGTTCGCTCGTCTTTAGCCACAGACACAGGTGCTGTAAGAAGAAGGCTGTAGCATTTGTAAACCGTTGGGAAAAGTCGTCTGTTTTCATATGAAAATTTGGCAGCCTCTTTGACGGAAGTTGGCTGGATCTGTTGCTGTTCAATCATTGACTTAAAAACATCTAGCTCACATAATATAGCCCCTGCTTCAATATGAAAGCCTGGTGGGAAAAGCTTTCAAAGATCGTGGACTGTTTCTGGGTTTATCGTTTTGAGTGGTGGCTGCAACGCCATTGCCAATGGCTCAATTTTTTTTAAGCATGCCTTGATATTTTCACCATACTCTGCTATCAGAGAATCGAGAACAACACACATTTCTGTTCTGTAGAAGGAATTAAATTTAAATTCCGCTGATCTTTCTGGACCGTTGTCAATCTTTCTTGGCTGCAACCTAAGTCGATATTTCCACTAAACTCAGCCGCTGAATCTATTCCATGCTGTTTAGCGCACTCGTTTAGAGCATCCAACTCTTCATCCATAGCCTTGTTATCAATGCGAATCTTCTTAAGATTTTCTACTGTTGCTTCAATTAACTTCATCGCATCTAGGATGTTAAGCTCTTCTGCTTGGAGTTGCATCGTCAAAATCTTTGTTTTCTTCATAATTAATCTCATGAAAATCAATGCAAAAAGAAAGTCAAGTCACTTTTACCCTTCATTTCTGTGCTGTCGTCACTGACAACTTTTTCAATTGCTTTGAGTATGCTTTGTAAACTTCGCCACACTGCTTCTATCGACTCTGAAGAGTAGACCCATATCGTTTTAGACATGTTGCGGAGTTTCAAGGAGTACTCATCAACTTCTTGAACTTTTTTATTGTAAATTTTGTTTCGTTTGGAGCTGGCACTGAAGAAAACATATAGATCTTGAAGATTATTGTATATCGACGTAATTATGGCACTTTGTTTTGCACAATGCTCTTTGAAAGTATTAGATCGATGCCCTTGACATGGAATGTACGGGACTGGTCTTTCAAGAATATCTTGTAGAACCCTCTGTGCCCCTGCAATTCTCCCAGACATATTATTTACGAAATCGTATGTTTGGAAGCAGAGATGATTCACATTAATTTCATTTGCTTCCAGACACTTGAGAATACATTCTGCTGTCTTATCTCCATGTTTGTCATTGCACTCTTTCATTTCCACGACTCTCTCGCGCGCAATTCCATTTTCACCAATATATCTTGCAGCCACAACCATTTGATCCTTATTGCTAACATCGGGTGTTGTATCGGCCGAAACCGACAACATTTTAGCACACTCAATGTCATATTTTATTCTTTCTCTAACATTCTCCCCCCAGATCTCTAAAAGTTCATTTTGTGAACTAGAATCATGTATTTCGTACTGAAAGGCTTCAATCGTTTGCTATCAAGCCATTCTTTCATCTGTAGACAGTGCCTGGACAGAAGATTCACAAACTGGACAAAATTGCCGTTCTGGTCTCCTGCGGAGCCTCTGAAAGCAATTCCTTGCCTTGCCAATGTTCTAGCAATATCAAACAAAATGTTCATTATCGATTTGCATTTTTCTTCGTCAGCCTTCTCCTGAATGATGAAGTCCTTCAGATGCCTATTCGTTTGAATGTCAATATGTCCTTGTTCGACTGAAAACCTAGCAAAATCAGCCAATGCTGCTTGGTGTGCTTCAGAAGAAAAATGCTGAGCAAGCTTGCCACTTTTCATTTTATGCCATGATGCGATACCGTTTATCCAAGCAGTGTCACTTTTTCTTCGCGAGGGGCACGGAAATAAGAAACTCACTTTACAATACCACAACAAATCGGAAAAACTAACATATGTTTTGGATTTGATAAGAAAGTAAAATGAATTAAGATATTTTGTGAAACTTGATTTCTAATCTCTTTTGCCCTTCGAAAACTACTAATTCCTTCTGCTTTGCCCTGCAAAATGCTGTTTTTCAGGATTGGGGGGGTGAAACACCCCCCCAAACCCCCCCACCAATAGTTACGTCCCTGTTCAGACGTAGTCTCCTCCAAGCTGTACAAATTTAATTTAGATATATTTCCATCATCAAATATAGATTTGGCTGATTTAAAAACTTCGTCAGAACAGAAGCATCGTTTTCCTGTGAGGCTGATGACTGGAACATTTTGTACTCGAAGTTGATCTTTTTAGTTTTTTTAAGGCTTATACGGAGCATTTTGCACTTTTTTACGTTAAAAGCCATCTGCCAGGTGATGGCCCATTGTTGTAATTTGAAAATGCCCCTTTTTGTAGGAGGTGTGCATCTTCTTTTGATTTGGTGGACTTAATTCAACAAACAGGGCCCGCGCCACAAGGGACTGAAAACTTGTTTGTTCTGCGCTTTGGCTTTTTCTTTCTTTGAAAGTGCGTCAAAATTGCCCTACTGGGAAGTTTAACGGGTGAATTGGGACTCCAGGCCCCCCACAACCTACCGCTCCTCGCTTTTTGGTGTTATATAATTCATTAATGACACGTGCATGTAGACATGTGACACAACTTAAGCACCAACACAACAACAACAGTCAACATGGAGATCTAGCCTACTCTGACAGTTGCCGGCTTGGAAAAATGAAAAAGGGAATTAATGCACACTACATCAGGACATCTTCGGTTTCTGGTAAGAGCCACATTACAACAAGCAAGAAGTTTAGTTAGGAATGAGCTTTTGCCGACCATGGAAGGATCGTTGAGTGTCGTATGGAGTCAGATGAAAGAGGCAGCTATAAAATTTGCTCAGGTTTGCATGCATGAGTTACTCTTACTGAAATTTTGCATTTTGACGAAATAAATTTGCTATAAATTTTGTCAAGCCTCAATGTTCTTAAGAAATTTTTTATTTTGATCCTGGATATATTCTTAAAGTATTCTTACTTTTTTGAAATCTGGTATAGTTTCATGGGAACATTCGCCTTGCCCTCGAAATTGAATCACGTCTTCGAAAGATGAGATATGTCAGTCACGCGATGCTGTGTTATGAACACGCATAGTTGCAAAGTCTTACGGATCTGTCGTGTATAATAATAGTTTGTCAAGTTTGTTAAACTAGCAGACTTTCCTTTTGAATGAAGGGAGCTCGTTAAAAAAGGGGCTTGTGATGGTAAAATATTTATTTTCAAAACATAAAATCTCCCTATTTGAAGCAAAATGATAAGCTTAATGTTAAAAAATTTCCAGGGAGGCATTTTGCTTAAGAGTCAGTGCCAGATACCCAAAGTCTCACTTTAACATGTTTCAAAAATTTTGCAGCTATGAAACAGCTGAAAGGCAACTGCTGAAAAGAAATACAATTATTAGAGCTGAGCAATATTCCTAAAATATTCTTAAAAATTAGATGATTTTGAGCCTGAATATTCTACTCAGGACAACTATGAATTCTATAGGCTTCAGGCAGGATATCCTTTGACAAGCACCTTCCCATGTATGGACTGTATATGCAACAAACATTGCCTTCCACCATTTCATGTTTTTTTCCATCCCAGTTGAAGGTATTCATTATAATTGTAGGCAAATGGAAATGCAGAGCCAAGGCTTCCACGACTTGTTGCCGTCAGTAAAACCAAACCTATAAGCGTGATTGCTGAGGCATATTCATATGGCCAAAGATGTTTTGGGGAAAATTATGTAAGATTGTTTGATCTTCTTACAGCTTCCAGGAATATACTTTATGGCTATATTTTCTTATTGAAGCTGCATTGTATTAATTTCAATTCTTTGGGACAAATGTTATCAAAATATTGCTAGCTTTATTGTAGATTGGTCACAAATAGACTGTTAATATGAATACCCTTAAGCTTTTTTGTGTGCTTGATGTGAACTAAAACATTTGCTTGATGGTATAAGCTAGGAAGTTTTAAAAAATTAATATAAAGGTCAGCAACAATCAGCCATCAAACGTTGTCTTTGGAGTAAAGCTCACAATGGTGCTTAAAAATCTACAGAGGATTCGGTATGTTATAGGTGGTTCTTGGATTTTACATTTTTCTTAAAGCTTCTATGTTGTGAAGCCTGTCCTATTTCAATTCAGGTCAAAGAATTGGCAGAGAAATCAAAAGCAATCGAGGTAAGAGAGGCCAACCATGGAATAGACATGAAATTGATTACCCTCGCCTCAGCTGCTGATGAAATAAATTCATGGTCACATATCTACCAATCTGAATCGGTTTCACAAAAGGACCTCTCTATTCCCTCTAACCAAAGAGTGTATTCATTTTATTGGCTTAGAATATTAGTCCTGTTGCATTCAGTAAAACAAACCTGTTTTCATATGAAGTTCAATTTGTTATTGAATTAGAAAGGCTGAAAAAGTGCCCCTTTCCATGAAAAAACCAAACAAAGGGGAATCATTTTGGTAACAGAGCTATGTCAGGATGTCTGGCTGGCTGTCCATGAGTTGCTTTCTTGCTCTAGAATTATTATATGCCTTTAAGAGCCTTAAATTAATCTCTGATCACATTATAACAACTGGACCCCAAACTATAGAATGATTCTGGTTAGTTGATGACAATTTGAATCAATTGGGTAGGGGTAGGGAGCACCTGTTGAGCCATATGCGAGAAAGGCTGTCTTAGCAGTTGTGTGCTCAAGTCATTAATCCTAAGCCTTCCAGCTTTTTCTGAAATATTTTTGATTGAACTGATAGGAGGTTTTTGGTTGCCACATATGATATTGAAATATAACTGATATCTTCATATTTACATTCTTAAAAGTCTTAATTCGCAATAAGCATAGATTATGTGCTACTTTGAATATAATGATACTTTTTCCAGGATAATGGTGGTTTGGAAGAGATCCAGTGGCATTTTATTGGCCATCTTCAAAAGAATAAAGTAAATAATCTATGTAGTGAGTATTCTAATAAAAATGTAATATTTATTTTGATTTTTTTCAGCAAGCTATGATCCATGTCTTCCAGGCCTGATTCACAGAGGCAAAGCTTTTCCATATAATATATTCCACGGGGGCTACCCCCCAAGTTCCCCATTTTTAAAGAAGCCTCTCAACCATTATCCCTGAGTTCCATTGCAAATCATGGTTAAAATTATTGTGCTGTTTTCTTGTGGCTATTCATTTTATGTTCAGATGTTGCGGGGGTACCATTATTGAAAGTAGGTGAGAATCAGTAATTGGTAAGGTATTTATTTAATGCATGTTCCAATAATGTCCTAAAAATATAATTCTTTTTTCACAGGTGTTACGAATTTAGCATTGGTCGAAACAGTAGACTCAGTAAAGATAGCTGATACTTTGAATAGGTCATGGGGCCGATTACAAGGTGACAGGAAATTAAAGATTTTTGTACAAGTCAACACAAGTGGTGAAGAAAGTAAGTTATCTAAATACTTCTCAACAGGCATTGAAATATATGCCATGAAAATTTTATATGCAATTTTCTATCACCAATAATTATTTACTAAAGAGATATAAATCTTTTTCTGTCTTATAGATAAATATGGTTGCAATACTATGGAAGAATGCATAGAACTAGTAAATTACGTTCATGCAAACTGCCCCAGTTTACAATTTACAGGATTGATGACAATCGGAGCTCTAGCAAGAAGCCACAGTACTAATGCCAATCAGGACTTCTTGGTCAGTTAACAAAGCTTATTAAAGTTAATATTTCTTCTATACTGAAGTAATACATCGAGATGTCATTCTCCTTGATATAGAGATTCTAAATTTGATGGCTTTTTAAAAATAAGGAAACTTATCCGGACATAAAAGAAGGTGATGTCGGCCTGCAAACCAGATTTATTATTTTCGTGATGATTTCTATGTTGCAATTAATCCTGTAAAGCGAATAAACAACAAACTCTTCTAAGAATATAGAGATAAGATAAATCCTTATTCTTAAAATTCAGAATATCAGAATATCTATTATTTAGAATAAGGTTCTTAGAAAATCAATTGACAGAGATCTCTCCGTAGCAGACATCTTCAATGGCCGCCAAAACCTCTGGGTACACCAACATTTTTCGCTACATTTTTCGTCTTTCATTTCTTTTCTGTGTTTTTATTAGACTACCCTCCCCCCAAATCAATATTGAAACAAAGCAGAACATAAAATCATCATCATCATCAAGTCCTTAACTGATTTGGTCATGGGTGCACCCATACAAGGTTTGTCACAAAAGTCTAAACTTTGCTAGTTGACAACCCTGTTTGAAGGACTGGGTGAATAAAACCCACAAGTGTTCAAACATAAGACATAACAAGACATAAGAATTTCTGATTTCAACCAACAAGGAATTACATAGAATTACAATAAACGATAAAGTAAAGCTAATTAAAACTAGTAAATAAAGTAAAGTTAAACTAATGGATAAAACCAACAGTTTCGGCAACAACTTTTAATCCTGAGGCTCTCTATGTTCTGAAGGTTGCTAAAAATTTCCCCTGTTTATAATACTCTACAAATTTGCTAACAGATATTAAAATTTCTTCTAGACGTTAGTTTCTTATCGATCTGAAGTATGCAAACATTTTGCCATTCCTACTGAAGATGTTGAGCTGAGTATGGGCATGTCTGCTGATTTTGAGGAAGCGGTAAGTTTTCCAAATAATTTTGTTTTTTCTCATTCATTTGTGTTAAGACAAATAGACAAATTATTATAAATATTCCTTGAACTAATGCTTTCGTGAAGATCAGTGGCGTGGTGGCAGGGGGGGCCAGGGGGCCATGGCCCCCCTGAATATGGGCGCAAATGGAGATAAGGGGGCGCCAGAATTGTTTGCTTGTAATGTTTGGCTAGAAACATCAAAATTGATCGTACACGGGTAGAACACTTTGCTGTAACTTGCTGTGAACAATCTAATAAAACGTGTGATTCTACAATCGAAGCACGTTGCGTTGCCATGACCCAATCAACATTTGTGTCATATGTTTTCGTGTTAACTATGTACGTGGCTTCATGTTTAGCACGCCAACTAACGAAACTTTTACGTATGCCAAAAATGTTTTCTATTAGTTTGCATTCAAAAAGCCAAAAAAACCCGAGTGTACTCCGAAGATCTTCAGGCCTAAGTACATGGAATCCACCCTGGCAATCAATACAACAGCTTCTTGTTATTAACATTGATGTGCACTCTGAACCAAATGGGCGTCCTTTCCTTCTTTTCCCAACGCATGAATCGTCCCCTCCAAAATTTGTTCTTCAAATCAAAAATCAATGTTTTTCTGAGCATCGTCTAAGTTATCTATTCTGAGCGGTATAGTAATTTGTTAAGTTTTTGTCTGGGAGATGCATTTTTAGCCATTCTAGAAGGCTTGATTTCAAAAATTTTCTTTCGCGTCGGACCCAACCAATGGGTCCTCCTATGTCACTAAACTCGATTCTTTTTGCTGTTTAAAGAACTACTATTTAATAACTACTAAAGAATAACAAACTTGACACCATGTTTGTATATCATACATCATAAATATGATGACACCAGGCTAATAAAATCGCCCATAAGCAGTGGCATAATGGACTAAGGTAACTTTTAGTTTGAAAACTAAGGAGCCCCAAACAACAATTTGCTCTACGTTATGTTACTCTGAATTTTTCAATCAAAACTTATTCATGAAATTTTAAATTCAAGTTGCAAAAATTTATTTATCTCCCAGAAACACGTGCTTTTATATAAGCACGACGTATAAATAGGGCGCAAAAATCGACTTGGCCACCCCAGGAAAAACATAGTCACCCCGCCACTGGTGAAGATGTGTCTATGAAAACATCGATTTACGTCCCATTAATGAAATTCTCTCCAAACTGGCCTGAGTTGGTGCCAAAAATTCTTGACGCTGCGCCATGCGCCTTTACAACAGGTTATTCTCAGGTGGCAAATCTACATTTGCAACTGTTGCTTTGAAACATTGGCAGGATTTCTAACTTTCTCAAAATTTTGTCGAAAACTCCCAAAATATGCAAGCGTTTATGGTTGTTTGCTTATTCAGGCCTGAGTTTATTATCCGAAAATTTGAAACTGAGCCATTTGGTAGCCATTTGGTAAGGCCACAATTCGACTGGGCCCCCCTGTCAGGCCTTAATGGGAGTATCCCCTGGGACATCTCTGTCTTCACAGCATCAAATGTTTTACAAAAGCTGATATAAAGGTGCTGATTTTTTTATTCTTTTAGATCCTTGCCGGAAGTACAAATATAAGAGTTGGAAGTACAATTTTTGGTCAGCGAGAAAATCAGCACAAATCCTAGTCTTAGGGCCTGTTCTATTTTTAACCTTAGTTAGTCAGTTTATTTTGAAAGAGACTTTACTTAACCCATAAATGATTTATGTATCTTAAAATAAATAATGTCCGTTTTCAAGTTATTTAATCCTTTATTTATAAAAAATTAGACATCGTGATTATCGTGGCATTTTTTCATTTTGGTTAGTAATTTTTAAATGGAATCGAGTTTAAATTATTTCGACAGTTAGTGTGGCTTTAATTTCAGCGAATTGCATTTTGTGTTGCCGTTTCAAAGATTGTTACCCTTATATCAACATTATTCTAAATTTTATTTGATGTTAACTATTATTGCGTAGAGTCAAATTTATATTTTATTTTTGTTTAATGAAGAATTAGAATCTACGCTATGCCCAATTTGGAGACAAACAAGCAAATCATGATGGTGATTGCCTAAACGTTATTGAATCTCATTTGAGCTATTATACGTAGATCGTATTTTTGTTGAAAACTGTTTGTTTTATCACTTATTTTGTCTGTAAGTTTTGTCACTTATTTTGTCTTAGTCGACTATCGTTCATCTGTATCATCTTTTTGCGGTGTATTGATACTTCATTTTTTATCCCGTAACTTGAGGACCTGTTTGTCGTTATACCCTGGTAGCAGAATGCATCATTGTTAACGAATATATTTGTATTTTCTCGCTTTTGCTGCTGTTTCCTCGATCAATTAGTCCATGCTTCACAAAATTGCTGAATGTTTTGGATTTGCAAACATTCAGTTGACATGTCTGCATACACTCTCTTTTTATAAGAGCAATTTTATAAGAACACGAGCCTCAAAATTGGTCAAAAGTTTAGAACCAATTAAGAACAAGCTGAGGCTGAGCTACTGTAAAATGCAATTTTGAACAACGTTTTATCTCATAAACGAGGATTTTTAGCCAAGATTGGGTGCTTTTACGGTGAATATTCAAACTTGGTGACAATTGAAGGTTGTCTCATTCACTTTGTTGGCAAATGATGCGTGAACGCCTCCCTAGAGCGAAAAAGCTAGCAATTGCACTGCTTACAACCTATTAATTTCAAGAACAAATTAAGAACAATCAAGCCTCAAATTTTCGAAAAAATTAAGAACATTCAGCCTTTACTTAAATTTACTGGTTCTTACAAAAAAGAGTGTTATTGGACAACAATACATTTAACTGGATTTAAAACTGCCATCAACTTTCTTTCCATCACAATTCAATGTGGTGTTGTTTTAACGATGCTTTAAACCTTGGTCAAACTGGGCAACATTGTTGCCCGACAATGTTGCTTGAAGTTTTGTTGATTTTTTTGTCGTCGAAACATGGTGGCCAAACTGGGCAACATTGTCGTGCAGCATCTTTTGCTGATGTATTCAAAACAGCGGGCCAAATTTGAATTGATAAGTGGTTTCAAAAGTTTGGATAAATATGACTGAAAGAAAGCAAGCTGCAGCCACTGGAAGCTGATTTTGACTCAGAACAACACCATCCTGTTGCTTTTAGCCCCCTTTGGTTGAGCACTCGTAGAAGCAGTAGCATTTGGCTGATTTGTTGTTTTCGAGAACTTGCACTTGGACTTGTTTCAGACGAGACCTTTAAATTCTTCCTGAACTATTCTTCCACTCCATGGTTTCTTCCCATTCTGCAAAATCAACTTTGAAGCTTAAATTTTGACAGGCCATTTCAATTGAATCGATTTGAGGATATTGTTTTGCAATACAACACTGCGTATGTTGATTTTTTCTCAAATGGGAAATTAAGGTGAATTGTTGCCCGGCAATGTGGCCAAACTGGACAACGTAGAGCTGAGCAACAAATGTTGCCGAAAAATGTTTGAGCATGTTCAAACATTCGAGCAACAAATTTCTTAATGAATTTGTCGGCGGACATGGTGGCCAAACTGGACAACATTTGAGCAACATTATGAATTTGCGAATGTTGCCCGACAATATTGCCCAGTTTGGCCAAGGCTTTATACTTACTGTTGCGAGGGTTGCGGCAGAGTCCAGAAAACATTACGGTCGCACGGTCATTGACCAGAGGAAGGTTTGAGAAACAATAGAAATTTGGAGGGAACTTTTTTGAAGAATTTTCAACAGATTTCGAAAATTAGAAGGTCGACTTCTTGGAAAACTGGGGTGGACATGTCCGGCGTTAGAGGTGGCTCTTCTGCGTGGCAATAAAGCTCTTCTTAGCGCCCTGCGGAATCTTCGATTGCCCTGCGAAATCGGATACTTTTAAAAAAGGGGATGTCACACCCCCCACACCACCCCGGTTTTTTCGCCCCTGTATCTTGCCCAAGCAGCAATCAAAAGCTAATTTCTTTAAGATCAAAGCCGTTTCTAAACCACTTCCTCTTTTTATAATATAGTTCTTCTAACATAATTGCTGTTGCCATTGCCTTCAGAAGCTTCAGAGAATTAAGATTCTTAAAGTTGGGGTCAGATTTGAGATAATTTTTTCTCGGCAGATAGCAATGTCATCTGCTTGGAAATTATCATAGTTGAAATCTAAATTCTTTTAAACTTTTTTTTTTAATTCAATAGGGTTAATGGGATTTTTAAATAAATGATTGATTTTGAGGCAGAAATGAAGTGTACTATCTGCAAATCGTCATACAAAAATACTAATGAAATAATCAGGGGGTGTCTGCACTAAAGTACCTCATCTTGTTACGTGATTGTAGCAATTCGTCAAGCTTCCAGTCGGGAAAGTAGGAGTTTATTTTATTCAATTCAGAAAATCTGTAGCTGTAGTAAGTCAAATTAGTCTGTAACAAGTGGCATACTGTAATATCGTGTTGAGGCCAGCCACAGTGGCATAGCCAGGATGGTAAAATTGGGGGAGGGGGAGGTGTAACTGTAATGATGCGAGGCAAGCAAAGAGTTCACACCCTTTTGAAGCTTTATGGCCATTGTGGCCAAGAAAAAAATCAAGAAACAGGTACTATGCTGAGAATCAGGTACCATATAATGCGAAAATTCAAAAACTTGGTTATTAATGATATGTCTTAAAGACAAGGTGTATCTCTTGCTAATGTTATCATAATAACAATACTTGCAATGAAACTGTTTATTGTCTTCTGCAATGAGACATTGTTTTGTGCCAAAATTTGTTTAGCTTATATCCTAATAATTTAAAAACAATTTAAGAATAAACCTGCCTTGCTCTTTTTAAAAGTACAGCTGGGCTAGCTAGCCTAAATTTCCTGGTTTTTTATGAACTGCCACTTTAAAGAGGAGTTGCTTTTCAGCCAAACTGCCCCCCTTCTAGTTTCCTGTACCTTATGAAATGATATTTTTCCTATTTGTGATATATCTTTCACCACTTCATTGCATCTTCAGACAGTAACGGTAAATTTACTTTTGAACAATATATTTACATTTAGATCTTTATCTAAATCTTTTATAGATTATCTTGACCTCGTTTCCTTAGGCTGTAACTTCTTACTTTATTGTGAAATTATCAAATTTCAAAGGCGCACTTCGAGAAAGAAAGTGTCCATCTTGCAAGAAACCTGTTTAGTCTTGATAAATGTCGACGCTTCAAACATCAGTGCTTCAGGGAAGCTGCAACCACACTCCGCAAGAAGCAGCTTTTGAAAGGAAAGAAGCAGCCTTGAGAAAGTTTATACATTTGAAGCTTCAACGGTTTTTATATTTTGAATAAATGGAACGCTATTGTAAATGGTTTTAATCTAATTTGAGGTTAAGTGCGGTGGAGAAGAGGAATTTAGCAAAGCACCTTGCAGCATACGGTAGCCCTTCTTGGCTTTCTTTTAAATTTCAAAACTTTGAAATTTTCGCTACAAAAATTTAATTCACATCACAAAAACATTGGGCAGTTATAATCGGTTTGTGCTGATTGGATGAATGCTGATATTTTTTAGGATCAACAGGCAGAGCTTGTTCAGCTTTGTCGTAAATAGCTTTGTCGTAAATAAAGAGCAGTAAGAGTAGTTCAGCAAAAGATCTTGTTGTTCACAAACTTTTGCCTGAATCTCAAAATGTAAAATGATGAGGATGTATATTCTATCCAACATTAAGGTTTGATTAAGCTACTACAAACTGTCTGGAAGGTGAAAAGGGAAAGTTGTCTAAACTTAATCTGCACCTGGAGCAGAAAACCAATAATTAATGTGTGGTAAACGATATCTGAAAATCCCTTTGGGTAGTTTAATTTCTACTTTTAAAGGAATTGATGAAACCAATTAAGATCTCTAATCAGCCCTACTTGGCTCATTAATGTCAATGACAATCAGCACTGGGCTCGTTTATAGTGCCCAATGCAGCGGCCACAACTGAACAAAGTACATTAATAGTAATTCATACATTGTGGTGACAAGAGTGTTGGTCAATTCTCGGTCTTCCAATCTTCCTTTAGAACAAATTATCTTAGGGAAAATTCCTTGCCATTGGTATTTTTAACATTTCTCGTTGTAAGATAAAAATTAATGAAAAAGAGGGGATTGGTTGCAAATATGGAGGTCTAGAGGGTTTTCTTTGAAAAATTTTTTCTTGCAAACCAGCCAATCTGAATGTGCATGGGCTTAAGTTTGCATTATATAAGTTTCGAATCATTTCCATTTCAAGACTAAATATAATTCGTGAATCATAAGCTAAATACGTTTCATTGACAATTCGAATGGAAGTGAGATTAACTGAAACGAGACTGGAAGTGACATCCTGTTACATGCTGTTGATAAAAATGACCTGAAATGATTGATATCAACCTAAAGGACTGTCAGATGAAAGAAGTAATAAAGAACAATTAAAAATATGGCTCCCATGAGGAATGAATTGAACACTTATGGGATTATCCAAAGTTTAATCAAAACCCCAAGACGCAGAGCATTTTTTAACAGTAGAACTACTGGGGAAATTTTCCCAGTAGGCCCAAAGCCTTCCCCAGTAGTGAGAGCTAAAATCACAGAATTTCCCCAGTAGTTTGGGCCCTGCCGATTTCCACTGACCTCCATTATTTTTTTTAAAATCAATTTTTTGTGACATTATCTATATTTCTTGACTTTGTACTTGATTTAGATTTATATTCTATAATGAATTAGATTTATATTCTATTGCCTATGGTATCGCGCTCTTACGTCCTATCCTGTGAAAAAGGATGACGACATATCCCATTATATCAAACTCAAACTTTGTCCTTTTTATGCACGCTATAGCGTCATAGTACATAATTGTTATCAAAAACATTGCATATACAGCGATGCTGTGGTAATGAAACTGTTTGAACATGCATTCAACGCTTTAATACACTGATACATATTGGCTTGCATCATCACGTGGGTGACGCAGGGATGTGGGCCTGATCCAAGTGCGGTTTGAAAATACCCAGAAATTGCTCTACCTCGTGGTCTGACTGATGAGCTAGCAAAGACTCCAAATTACAAAGACAATATACACACAAGTTTGTGTGTGTTTTTATAGATATATCTTTAAAAAAGCAAATCTTAAGCTTTTCGTCTGACAGTTTTAAGAGCATAAAACGTCCGGACATAGATCGAAAACTCTACGCTAGGAAATATTTATACCCAGATGTGGATCAAGATAGGCCAATCAGAAAATGCAAGCACATGACTAATAAAAATGTTACCTAAAGAGTCCTAAATTGAAAACGAACTCTTTCAGTCTTCAGTCTTTGGGCCCCTTTTGCAAATGTTC